ATTGAATTTGAAATTTGTCAGTAATGGTGTATCTTTTGAGGAATAAACTTTATAAACACGAGTCTCAAAGGAAATTAAACAGACGAATTAACAAAAACTCACTCTTTTGATGGAATTACAAAGCAGCTTTTTTCTGATGATTTCGGTCACTATTTTCATTACCAGTCAATTTACGCAGGACGTGAAAATGAACCCTGCTCAAAACCGATTGATAATAAAAAGTCAACCAACTTTTTTTATTTCTTCTTCCTTCGGCGGGGCGACGAATAAAAAGTGAATCTGAGCGGCGTAACGACCCCAGTGATTGAATCAAAACGCAAAAGCAACTGCAAGTCGTTACCCCGATAAGACTCCACTAATTTGTTCCAAATTTGATGAAAAAATAGGCTTAACTTTCAATGTCAATGCATCTACGCTGGAATAATTCAAACTCACCGTCGACACAGTGGCATTAAAAATAGAACCGAAATTTTAGAAGAGCAATTTGAAATTGTTGCCGTTTCAGCGCAGAATGGCCACTTATGATTTTGATGAAAGCACAACCATCAAGATGACCGTTCTGCGCCAAAACATACAGGAAATCATAAAATTGAAGAGAAATTCTGGCGAACCTGAGCGAGAAAAAACTCCCAGTGATTGGAAAGGCAAAATTACTGCGAGGTTTCTTCACGCGAGGTCCGCCAGCAGAAATTGTGGCAAATGAGGAAAGTTCGACTCGCTATCAGATGAAATCAGATCGTGTATTTTTCTTATCAAAACACAGGAATGGATTTCATCTGGAGGCGAACCGAGAAATTTGAGTGAATCGAGATCAACTTCTTGAGCGGGGAAGGCCGGGCTGAGGCAACTTATAGGAATTAAAAAATAGACCTTTAAGTCACCCACCCCAAGCAAGCCCCACGCAAGGAAATAACAAACACAAAAAAATTAACAAATCTCTATTGAAATTGGCTGAGCAGTGTCTCGGACAAGACCTGGAGTGAAAATGAGTTGCAGTTGCGAGTTGCAAGGGCCTTTTATGGGGTGCATTGCGACGCGGGGGGTGCTGCATAATTCCTCCTTTTCACTCATCGACAGATTTACGACTATTTTCTGGCAAAATCTAATTAATTTTTTCGCTTTCGGTCTCTCAAAAGCAAGAGACTTTATTTGTCGGAATTCGTCGAAACATGTACCGACTTGTTTGTCTTTGCAGCGCGCTTGGGTGGTCTTTTCTCTTATCAGAAAGCGAGACAAACAAAGCCGCACGCAGACTGGCGCCCAACAACCAGAAACGTTCATTACAAATTTTGTTATTATTTCGGCGGTGTCTTTGATCTGATCCCAATTATTATTACGCATACGCATTCCACGAAAATGTTATAATTGATGCATTGTGTGGGTTGCCTATTCATCAAAATAAGAATTTCCGCCAATTTGAATTTCATTTCTGATGCGGTTTATGAATTTCAACTGATGAAATGTATACAAACTTCATTTCTTTTCCCTTCCGAAATTACGATAAAAAATTTATGGAAAATTAAATTGATCACTTTTTGAAACTTAATCACCGCTTCATTAATTGCCAAAAAAAAAAATAATTTCAAAAGTTTTGAACCAAATTGCGACCCTTATATGTTAATTTATTTAACTGTCGCATTTTCCTTCCGCAAAATAAAAATCCAAGAGATTAAACTTTACTTTTCATGGTTAAAGTAAAATTAAAAAAAAAAAAAACTTAAAAACAAATTATGAAATTATACACATGGACGAGTCACCGTTTTTGTCCCTAAATTTTTTTCCCCTAAAACCAATTTCTTCATTTCCCCTAAAATCAAAACCCCTGAAACCATTTTCCCTAAACTTTTTTCTTGCATTTCCCCTAAATAGCAATGTCTCTAAAATTACTTTTCCTAAATTGAAAAAATTGGAAATATATCTTTTCCCTGAAACCGGAAAAACGGAGCAAAATAGAATGTAGTCTTCCTTTGAATACCAATCGAGAAAGGTACGCTTAAAACACAAGTTTCAATATTCTGACTGATTCTGACCAAAATATTTTAAAAATTAATTTAATTTGTTACCAAAAGATGTATTAAATCGTCAAATTTTATGTTAGAAATGTAATTTTTTATAATTTTCAAAATGTATGCTCTATCAATATTTAGTTTTATTTATTTTGTCGTCATTCTATAACCATCAAGTCAAGTCTTATTGTCAGTCCAAATACTAAGTACACTACCTCGATCTTTTCATTATTGCTAAAATAGCCTTTTTCCGTTTTTACTTGCTGAATTTGCAAACTTCTTGAAAGTCAGCCAGGCAATAATGACAAAGCCATTGAGCATTTGTACAGATTATATTTGCTTCAGTTTTATAAGAGTTAGTGAGCCCCAAACGTAATTTTTTTTTTTTTTTTTTTTTTTTTTTTTAGAATGGACTCAATAACTTCATGTAAGTTTTGAATTGTGTTTTTAATTTTAATAATTTATAATATAATATTATCTGTAAATGATGGAGCTGGCAACCAACAATTTTTGCATATGGAAACAGCCCTGAATCCTGCCTTCTGTTATGGTTTAGGGGCAATGAAATTTAGGGGAAATGGAGTTTAGGGGAAAAAAAGATTTTAGGGATAATAATTTAGGGAAAATAATTTAGCGAAAATACAGAAAAAATCCATTAGGGGGAATAAATTTAGGGACAAAAGGGGGCTCCCACATGGACAAAAGACACACTTACGTTCCGGGTGTAAATTCAAAACTTAATTATCTGCTAAAAATTTTACAAGCAAAGTCGAGGCTGGAATATTGCAGCTAATCGAGTTAGAGTCGTCGTTCGTCCGACCTCGTTTTGTCTCTAATTCGCTCGCATTTGAGTGCATCTGTAAATCTGCGAGTTTGTTTTCTTCTTGGCACGAGAGTAAAAAGGGGTGAGAGTGGCCTTGGCAGTAAAACGGGCGGCGACGCACCTGCGACCTTTTTCCATCGACACACGTAATGCGACTTTATTGCCAACAGGAAAAAAGTGCTCCCTTAAATAAAATACATATAAATAAAATAGACACACGTGCAAGTTGTAAAAAGAACAAAGTTAACTTTTGAATTTATTCCACCGCTGAAGCTCGTAAAAAAGTTGTTAAAAAAAAGTTGTGAATATTTGTTGATTTTGTTGCGAAGGTTGTGTTGTCCTCGTTAACGCCAAATTAGAATGAGATTAGCCCAAGTGGAAATGCAGTTGCGAGGGCCAAGAGAGTATCAACTTGATGGGCCCCGGGGGCAGCAGCCCGGCCAATTTCCACCCCCAATCGAGTTAGGCGCGCTCAACCCCTTCTCACTCGCAACCCAAGTCATCTCATCTCTGTATCAAGTTTCATGGTTTATTTTATAAATTTCATTTCTAATTCGAATGTGAAACAAACTTAGATTGGACAAGAAAGTTATTTTTTTGATGTTTATTTGTCCACATTGTTACAAATACATTGTTTACATTCAATTTTTGAAAAACAATTATTTAGAAAAGGAGATTGTTGGACAAAAAGCATCACCACTAGCAAAAATTTTGCTAAAACTTCCGAGATCAAAAAGACCCCATCCGCTGCAGTGAGCCTCGGTTGACTGAGTTTTTGTTCTAATCACTTAAATCACAAATTCTGCCACAGGTAGGCCTTGCAGAGAGTGGGAAACTGTTCCATCTGGGCAGGTTTTCAGAGCGTCCGGAGGGCATTCCAGGGCGTCCTCGGCAAACTTGCTCCGGACATCGGCAGGCTGCAGTTCACATAAATTTTAATTAATTTTGACATTTCCTTATGTTTCAATTTGTTTTGAATAAATTCCAAAAAGAAACTAAAGTGCTTGATTTATTGAAGAAATTGGAGTTCAAAACCAACATATATTTTTATCAATATTAATTTCTTATTATTTTCAAAGTAAAACCTTTTCCACATTTTTGCTAAAAAATTACTTTGCCTCGGAGCTTGCACTAAAAAGTAGATTTTTTTTATTTCCATCCAGAATTGGCCGGCCTTGTGCACTTTCAAGAATAAAAAATTGGCGTATATGTGTCTCTTCCTCATTTGCATGTCAAATTCTAGACAGTGTGGATTATCGTGTGCGTGGTTTGGGCAAAAAGCTGCTTTTAAAGTCTCTCGAGTCTTTTTTGGAATTTGATGGAGTGCGCGCGCGGACAAGAACAAAAAGCCACTCTCCGGTGACACCCGCCGCCCCGGATAAAAAGGTCCGCCGGGATTAGCGAAATAAAACCTGCGCCCGCCGACCGACAATCTGCTTTGCCCGAAAACAAAAGCTTCACTTAAAAACATCCGCCAGAGCTCTCTCATTCAACCGAGATAATTATACAAAAAAGAATTTTAACTTCATTTTCATTAATTTGTTCTATAATTTCACTGGCATTGAAGTTTCAAATTTACTTGCACAAATATGGAATATTTTCAGTTAATTTTTCAGCCCAAATCTATCTGTTCATTGGAAAGGTCTTTAAAAAGCCCCCAAAGCCAATTCATTCAAAAATTATAGTTTCATTCTGGTATATCAAAATTGTATCTCATAAAAATATTTTTGCCCAAATTTCAAATAAGTTTTCTTCTTGTGAATGTGTTTTTTTCATTAGATTTTCTTTAGTATTTTTTTCTGTACTTTTTCTTTGCGTTTTTGTTGTTAAGTGTATTTCTGTTTTAATTTTACAAAGGAAATCTAACATGAAGATTCCTTCTCTTCTCAGAGATCGCATTTGCTTCTCAATTCATGAGCTAATGAGCTTTCAATGAGCGAAATCAGTCATGTTGTCTTGTTTTATAAGTAATTTCAGGGCGTTCGCTCAGATCATTTATTAATTATTTACTTCAATGTTACGCTCGAAGCTAAACATTGATTTATAATTTAGAATACAATTGCTTATCGGTAATTTTAAATAAATATTTTTTACCGCAATTTCAAAGATAGTATGTCTAAAATGTTCATTAATTTCCAAATCGATTTAAGTTTTTATCCTTCTTTTTTCAGGGCGTTCGCTCGGATTTTGTGCGTGTGCTGTCCGCGTCGGGTGCGGCGCCGCTACCAGGCCACCCTTCGGCCCAGGGCCAGCCAGGTATGAACTCACTCTCGTGTACGTGCCAAATCGACCTTTCGCTTTATTGCTTTTTATCGTCGCCTCACTCGTCTCTCGTTATTAAGAAAAAATTCCCCTCGGACCGAGCTTGGCGAGAGGAAAAAGCGATCAGCGCTTTAATTGAAGCTTGAGGGATGTTTTACGTGACACTTTTCCACTCCTGGAATAATAATTTATCGCGGTCACGATTTCCCTCCCAAGATGATCATTTCTGCGCCGATGAAATGCACGCGCGGACAACCCATCCATCTTCTATTTTTATGAGTTCAAAAAAAAAAAAAACGATCGATTCATTAATTCACATTCACTTCAGAAAAATGTTAGCTTCTCTGAATGAAAATTTTCAAGTATTTAAACGTGATAAAAGAATTAAAGCCGCGAAAAAGCTCAAAAAATTGTGGCAACTTTCTGGAAATCCTTTTATTTTGAACAAAATGCCTAATACTTCAAATTAATTAATTTTGAACATCAATTGTGAAAATTGTGAGTATTTTTACTAAAGATTAATTTTTATCTCAAAATTTACGTCCAAAAAATTAATTGCCAGAAAATCTGTAAATGCTATGATGGAAATAGTAAATTTTCCTTGGCTTTTATTAGTTTTACAATATCAGAAATCCAAAATCCAAATTTACAATGCAAAAGAAAAGTTTAAAATATCATAAACGTTGTGCGAAAAATTTCTTCAAATCGTGTCGAATCTAATTTGATCTTTGATCAAAGAAAATTGAAGCTCATTTTTCCAAGTTGAATTTTTATTTGTATGACTTGGGTAGAATAGTTATTTACACTTTTAGACCGATGAATTTCTCAATCAACATTTGGCCTGGGATTTTAAAGCAAAATGATAAAATTTCAACCGCTGAATTTTCATATTGCCTATAATTTCAGCGGAAAATTAGGTATCATGCTAAGAACTCATTGTCAGATGAGAAAAACGATTCTTGTGAGGAAGCACGTTTTGTTGCGCGATCGTAAACGCGGTTATGCAACCGTTGGGGCACGACTGCTGAGCCTGTTGCCTACTTTGCGAATTCGCCCCAGGGAAATTAGACCCGCCAAATCTTTTGCCCTTATTTGCATTCATTGAAAGAGAGAAACAACTTTTGTTTGTGCGAAGAAACAAAATTGACGCGTTTGTCGTCCCGCTGGGAAAATATTGTTTTTAATTGCAGCGCTGACAAAAAAAAAAAAGGAAATTGGACAGAGAAAAACAAACATCAAAACAGCCTCGGCGTTTGTTTGCTTTTCCTGCAAGTATCAAAGCAGGTGTTTTTGCGCCTCTTGTTATTTGCTTGTTTTCAAATCGCGGCATATTTTTTTATTTTAATTTCCGAGATTGTTTTTGCAAAGACGAGACTAATGTTTGTGTGTTTTGCAGCGATTCTCATCGGGCCGTTTCTACTCGTCGTGCGCACTCCACCACGCGTCCAACTGCCAGAAGACCTACATCTGAGAACAAATTCTACTGAAAACTTGTTAGTCCTAATTGTGTCGTCGTCGAATCAGTCAATGTTTGAAATAAATGTGTTTGCGATTAGGGAAGAAATAATGCGATGCGAAAATCAAAATTGACATAAAAGGTCCCGACGAGAGCAAAAAGTGCTAAAGTGGATTAAAAATCGTTTTCATTATTAAAAAAAAAACTATTGTGGATTTCCCGGATCAAAAGTAAAAGTCCCAATTTTTATGCATATCTTTTAATTTTCAGTGAATAAATATTTATTTTCTGGCACTGTTAAAATTGCAAGATACTATGTGAATAAAAAAACTTGTTATTCTGTCTTTTTTATCAACCAAAGCAGCAATAACATTTATTAATCATGAAACATTTTGATAAAGACAGAATAATTACAAATTCCAAGCAAAATCAAATGTCTAGAAAGGAGGAAACTTTTGTGATTTTTTTGTATCCTACTCAGACTGTCGGGGTAAAACCGGCACTTCCTCGCGCGACCACTGATGGTGCTTGCTGCACCATTCGTGGCCGCAGCTGAGAGACAGACAGGGCATCAGGTGACAGAGCAGCAACATTGATAGATGAGTCTTTTATGTGAAGCCAAGTGGCACAGTTGCGTTTTGTAATATGTGCAAAGAATAAGGCCAAATAATTACATCAAACCTTTGAAAGTAAGTAAAAATTGTGTCTATTAATTCTATTACCCCAAACAAAATAATTATGAATTAAATAATTAATCTTAGCATCCGGGACAGATTTATTTCCCGACAAGACCAAACTTTTGTGGTCTTTTGATTAAGGACTTCTTATTGACATAGTCAAATCAAGTCCTTACAACAATATAAACAGATTTCTCGATTTTTGGAAATTTTAATCACCATTGTTGTAAGGACTTGATTTGACTATGTCAATAAGGAGTCCTTAAAAAAGATGGTCATAGTTTGACTGTGATAATCAGAATCGTTTTTAATCCATTGTTGCACTGGCAATTTTCTTAGGTGCACCTCGACTAAAATGGAGAATCTGTTGGCGAATCAAAGAAATTTGTGTATTTTTCGTAAAGAAGCGCTCACCTCAAACAATATCTAATATTTAACTGTCTAATGACTGTTTTAAAAGAGAGATTAATAAAATACTATGTCTATGGATCCTGACAATCAAGGGTTTTCACTTGAAACAACAAAATGGAAATTTGATTAACTTATGTTTTTATTATTTGTAACAAACATGAGCAAAGAAACGCTTTAAATATCTGCAAAGATTCAACAATTATAAAACTCAAACAATTAAATATAATTTTAAATCAGCACTCTTGTCCCATCCACTCTGATAGAAAAATACTCTGACTTTTTCTTAAATCATTCTTCACTTGCGGACGAATCCGGAAGTCGGGGGTGCCGCCGAGGAGGGGAAGCTGCTGGGCGAGAGGAAGGAGGGGTTGGAGGGGGAGCCCTTGGACTCCTTGGAGCCCCCGGACCAGGACCTTTCCCTAACCATCGAGCCCTCCCTGGTCCGGTCAAACTGCCGGTCGGGGTTGACGCCCAGGGTGTTGTAGATTTCTCTCAGGATCAGCAGCATCGTGTCCTCCGACTCCCTGCAATTTACAACATTTTTTTTTCAAAGAAATTCTCTCTTTACTAATTAATAGGCTCGCGCATTTTAGTCGGTTTTTAGGAGTCAAAAAGTCGACTATTTTTAGTTGATTTTACAGAAATTTAGTCGCCTTTCTAGCTGGTTTTTGCCAAAATAGTCGGTTTTAGTCGATTTTTAAATCTGTTTTTTGAGCCTTAAAATACATGAAAATATTATTTTAATAAATTTTTTTGGATTGCATTAATAAATATCCACTTTTGGAAGCATAAATCACCCGTTTTTCATCATTTTTAAATTACCTAGCTAGCAATTATCCAGAACTTTGTGATTTTATCATACGTTATACTGAAAGGATACAATTGCTGAAACCATTGAATTTTCGTAATATTTTGTATTGAAATATATATTTTGAAGATAGTTGAACATGGTAATTTAATAAAATACGTGTTTTGTTTGATATTTGGGAACAAAATTTATATTTTGTCGCAAAAATTTTAATTATGAAGTTCTAAAAATACTCAAAAACATTTTTTTCCACTATTGAAAAATTATGACTTTTTCATCCATCACATATTTTATTTCTTTTTTGTAATTGAATATGAAAAATAGCTTTATTTAGTGCTACTTTCAGTCGCTTGAAATAAAATCTGTTTGATAAAAGTTTTTTAAATAAATAATTTTTAACTCTTCAAAATTTTTTGGCAAAATTTTGCGGAAATTTTGTTTCAAAGTCCGGAAAAACGTATTTTTGCTTAAAAAGTTAAAAAAGTCTGTCATTTTAGTCTGTTTTAGTCGCTTTAGTCGGAAATTGAAGAAATAGTCGGTTTTAGTCGGTTTTAAATAGGTGCCAATCGTAATAAAATCACTTGATTCATGCAGAAAATGCATTTCCATAACGTTCCGAGCAATGTAGAAAAAAAGTTGATCGACTAAAAAACACGAGCCTACTAATTAATTGTCAAGTACCAGTAGCAGACGTGACTGCTGAGGGCGAAAATGTACTGGTTGAAGCTCTCAAGAGGCGCCTCTTGCAAAACATAGTCCACTCGGCGACCCCCGTTCAGCTTGCCGAGGAGGGCGGGGTCGGGCTCGGAGGGGTCAAGGCCGTCCGGGAACTGTGACTGGTCGTCCACCATTGCGTCCGTCACCATCATTTGCTCTGCAATCACCTACAAAAACAGACAATTCTTTCAAATTGAAACTTACAATTAATAAAATATAAAAAAGATGTTCTGAAAGAAGTTTTCAAAATACAATGGAATGAATTGCAAAATTTGTCTTTATTATTAAAAAATTTCAACCAAAATATCTAAATTTCTGTTTTTTCAGAATTAGTCCAGGAATCAAAGGAATTCACCGTATCAACCTGAAAAAATTTATGCCAGTCGGAAATTTTCACCATCTATTAGGGGTGCATTGAGACAAATTTTTCCTTTCAATGTAAAGAAGTTTTATTATATTTTTTGTAGTAATTTTCCTATTCATTTTACAAAGATGTGACTGACGGCAATTGATGGGAAATCTAATAAGCTTTAAAAACATTCAGATTGTTTGAAGAAAGGTCAAATTTTTGTCATTTTTTTTTTAATCATATCATTTTAGTTGAAGCTCTTCTGGAAAACATTGAAGAGAATAAAGTTTCAGACAAAACTTGTAGTAAATTTAATTTTGCACACTATATGTATTCAAAATTTTCTTCTAAGTCCAAAAAGAGACAATTTATTTAAGCGGAAAGGTTGAAAAATGAGGTTTTCTGCTCAATTATGGGCAAAAATCAAACACGGGCCTCGAAGGCAGGTGAAATTATTTGGAAATCTTAGAAAATTTATAGCATTGCACATCCCAATAGGTAGAGAAAATTTTAGACTGGCTGAATCTTTTCCCGGTTGAAACCATTCTTTCCTGGACCAAAACCAGTGGAATTCTAACGAAGATCAGTAATTACGTAATTTATTAAAAGTTCCTTTAATTTGGCACTAAAGTTGGGTTCCATTCTAGCAGGAAAACAAAAAGCTACTAAAAATCCTTTTAAATACCTGACACTCGGAAACAAACTGTCAGAAAGTTTCTCAAATTAGTATTTTCATGCAATTGAATTTAAATTTTTTCAAAATTTCTCACCTTGTCCACTTCCTGGGCCAAGTTCTCGGCCCTGGTGAACATGGCCATTTGATAGACCGTGTTCCAGGTCGACTTGACCGAGTCGACCAGTTTGCCCTTGAGGTCGGTGCTCACCCTGTCCAGGGTCTCTCTTAGTTCTAGATAAAAAGACAAGATCATTTTTGATAAAATTTATTTGAAAAACTCAAACCAATGTGCATTCTCTTCCTGCCCTTGTGATGGGGGATGAGGACGGGCCTGGACTTGCCCAGCTCGGCACTGATCAGCCCTTCCATTCGATATGCCACCGGGTCGTAAGGGTGGAAGATGTTGTAGTAGGCGGGGCAGGTCGGCAGGACAAAGTCTTTGCCCAAACTCTCGATGCCCCGGACAGTCACAAACATGCCTAGAGCAAAAATTACTAAAAAATTTGTGATAAAAAACTTGAATTCCTACCAGTGGGAGATCCCAAGGCAAAAAAGGCCATCGGCGAAAAGTGGATCTGCGGGTAGTGGATCGAAGGCTGGCCGGTGCCTCCGTGGCCCATCATGTAGTCCACCTTGCACGAGTCCCTCCTCACAAGGGTCGGCTGCCAAAATTTACTTCAAATAAAAGGAGAAAATTTCAGTTTTGAGATTTTACCGGAGGCAGGGGAAGTCCTCGTTCGTCCTTGTCCAAGTCTTCGGAGCCGAACTGGACCGGGGACTTTTCCTTTTTGGGAATTTGGTGGCACAGCAGGTCGAACAAGATGAGCGAGCCAAGGGAGTGTCCGCCGAGGGAAATTCCTCCGCTGTAGCCGGGGTTTCTCTGCATGAACAGCTGCTGCAGCCGGTTCAGTTCGTGGCCGACCGTTTGCACAATTGTCTGTCCCAAATCAGATTAATTACAAATTATTTCAACAGAAATTGGGAACTTCCGTATAATTTGAGTAAAATTAAAAGTATTGAATTAAAGAAATAAGACCCACTCTGGTGATTTTTATTGCTCTTAATTTTCAGAGAGAGGAGGGTGTCTTTTTTTTAAAATAAAAATAGGGATTTTTAATTAATTCCTTTCAACTTGACTCAAATTAAAAGTAAAATCCAAACTGGTTTGAATTTCGAACCTGGCAGTAGACGGGGCTGGTGTAGAAGAGGATGTCGAGCAGGGTGTCGTTGGTGAACTCCCTGAGTTTGGGGATAGACTTGAGGGTGAGGTTCTTGAGCTGCCGATCAATGCCGGTCTCCTCGCCATGCAGGGAGCCGTGCCAGTAAACGGGCAAAACCTCGATTCGGTTCACTCGGCCGTCGTCACCCGCCTGCCGGAAGTGCGACCTTGTCAGGGTCAGGGCGATGCTCCGGAAGTCATCGACTGAGAAGAATTATTAAAAGATCAAAGTTTTAAAGCAGATTTGTTGAACTGACCAACTTCGACAACGTTTCGGAATCTCAAGTCACAAACGGAGCCGATTCCGTGCACCAGAAAGACAAGGTGGTCGATTATGGCCGGCTCGCCCTCGTCGATTTCAAACTCGTCCCAGCCACGCCGCACTATCCTCGATTTGGCTCCAGTGTCCTGATTAAACAAAGAAAGCAGTTTTAGTAACAAATAATTAAATTATTTTATCATAAAAATGACTAATTTTAATTTTTCTAAACATACATGAAAAAAAAAACTGAAAAATCCCAAAAAGTTTAGACTTTTATTGAGGAAAAAAGAACTCTGAAATATCAACCATATTAGTTAAAATTGATCTCACGATTCACAAATATCATAAAATAAACTCAATTGGCTCAAATTTAAAATCATGTCAATAGAAATTGGTGGCTTTTCAGTATTTTTTTTTTTTTTTGTAATTTGGATGCGTTTTGTGAAAAAACCAAAAATTTAACTAATCTGATGGATGGAAATGCTCAGCACAATTCATGGATAGTGATAGATCTAGGGAATAACAAAGAAAAACTTTGAACTTTGTCCTCTATTATAAGAGTGTGTCATGCCAATGACAAAAATAAATAAATATTTCCCTCTTTCAAACAGTAAAAGTGACAAATTGAAGAGATAAAATGAACCTGAATGGTGCCCCAGTCTTCGAGGATGCTGCCCGTGGTGGGCGGAATGTGGGACATGACGTTGGGTCCGCTGAAGACGATGGCCTCGCCGAAGGACAGTTCGATCCTCCTGGGCCACCTGTTGTACAGGTAGGCTGACCTGTACTCCTCCTGAGGACCAATTTTTTTTTTATATAAAATCAAAGCAAAGCGGAAAAAATACGAAAAATACCTCAAGCTTGGACGCAAAGCTCTCCTCGTAGGGGTAAGAACTGCTGTCTAGGGGGTTCTTGTAGAACCACGAGCACCTGCGCACCTCGTTGGGCGGCTGGTCCCAGTAGATGGGCACCCGCTTCCTGAGGAAGACGTTGACGTCGTAGCGGCCGCCGTCCGTGGCCACCACCCGGTCCTGCTCGCCGGCTAGAAAAGCCGCCTCCAGAGAACTCGAGTCCTTCTTGCTGAACGGGCACCACATCTCCTTGGTCTCGATGATTTGTTTGAAGAACCAGTGGAACGTGACCGGCGCGTACGGCGGCTAAAATAAATTCAAATTTAATAAAGTTATTAATGAATATTCTCGAATGAAGTCAAAAAGAATATTTTGTGAAAATATAGTTTTAATTGATGAAAAGAGTAAAATTCGGATGATTTAACTCGGATCGTCTTGATGAACTTGTCAATCAAGTGCATTTTGATGGGTGGAATTTGAGACTCACAGCGTTGCCGTCGAGAGGCATGTTGTGAGTGGCCGTGACGGGGTCGGCGCTGGTGCTGCCGATGGCGATGCAGGGAATCGGCGCGAAGCCTCCGTGCGGCTCGGCGCCTGCCGTCGGGATGGGCGAGCTCATGGCCATGGAGGCGGCCAAAGAGGCCATGGCCGACACCGACGAGCTCAGGCCGGGCGGGGCGGCATACTGTGGCCGCGAGTTCAGCCGGTGGTAATTTCCAGCTGAAATCAACATTTCAATCAAACACGATTTTATCTTTGTCCGAATAATTCGTCAACATTTATAACTTTTACGCTTTGGATTTAGAAGGAAATGAAAAAAATGTGTAAAAGTTATTTTCTACGAGTTTTTGTTTGAAACATTTCCCTCTAAAATAATTTACAGCTAGAGCTAAAAAAAAAGACAAAAAATTAACCATGTTTACAAAAACCTGAATTTTTGGCATGGGTTTTTTCAGGTTGCATGAATGAAAATGCTTTTGAATGGTGGAAAACTTACACATGGTGGTTTTAGGTGGTGGGGGCGGCTGGTGACTCAGAGGGGCATCAGGGGCGGCCACGCACTGCTTGGGCGCTGCGGAATTCGAATAGGGGTTGATTACGGGGGGCACCTTGGGGTGGATTTGCGAAATGGAGGCGGGGATGCAGGGTGGGTCCGCCTGCAGGGGTGGAAGGGGGTTTGTCAGGACCACGGCAGGGGTGTTTGGGGGCGTGCTGGGCTCTTGACTAGGGTGCTCTTGCTGCGGGGGCAGGCCGAAGGTCGCGGGCGGGGCGAAGTAGTTAGGGATGCTGTTGGCCAGCGAGGGTGGGGGTGCGTACTTGTTCAGGGCCGTCTTGATGCGGAACTTGTTTCCCTCCGCCTGAGGGGTGGACTTTTGCGCCTGGCCGAACAGGTTGGGGTTGAAGAGCTGCACCCCTGGGTCGCTCGTCGGAAGGGGAGGGTTTTCAGGTGGAGGGGAGGGGGACGCTCCCTGGATTTGCGAGGGTGGAGGCAGAACCTGCTGCTCAGGTTGGAACAAGTTGCTGGTCGCAGGGGTGCCCTCTGGGTTGAAAAATTTCGGTTGACTTGCGTCTTGCTGAGGGGTGAAGAATTGGACTGCTGGGGGAGGATTTGCAGGTTTGGGGGGACAAATTTGCCGCACATGGCGCTCTTCTTTTTTTACCTCAGGGCTGATGAGGTTGGTGAAGAGCGGTTGATTTCCCTCTTGGGGAGGAAGTTGAGCCGCAGGGGTGAAGAATTGTGTCGTTGAGGGCGGTGGAGGAATAAGTTCCACCTGAGGGTCTGTCTTCACCTCAGTTGGGCCCTCAGGGCTGAAGAATGTGATCGGCTGAGCTTGACTTGCGTCCACCAGAGGGGTGAATATTTGAGCTCCTGGGGGTGGTTGATTTTGCTGCCCCTGTTGCTCTGTTCTCACCTCAGGGTTGAAGAAGTTTGCTAGCGGTGGCTGTGGTTCTGGTGCCGTCTGTGGGGTGAAGAATTGAGTTGTCGAGGGTGCTGGAGGAATTTTTTCTGGCATAGGGTTGAAGAATTTGGTCTCATGCTGTTGATTTGCGTCCAGGGTAGGTTGAGGGCTGAAGAACTGCACTGTTGTGGGTGGCTTTGCGGGTTCAGGGGGATGATTTTGCTGTACCGACTCTGTTTTCACCTCAGGGTTGAAGAAGTTTGCAAGGTTTTGTTGATTTCCCTCTGGTGCTGTTTGAGGGGTGGAGAAATGCGTTGTTGAGGGTGGTGGCGGAATTTGTTCTACCAAAGGTTCTGTTCTCGCCGCAGGTGTGCCCTCTGGGTTGAAGAATTTGGTCACCTGAGGCTGACTTTCATCAAGCGACGTTTGCGGGGGAGATTGCGGTTGGAAGAATTGAGCTGTCGGAGGTGGTTCCGTTCTCGCAGGAGGGGCGAAGTAACTCGAAACTGGCGGAGAAAAGAAGTTTGAGGGGTTCAGGGGTTGGGGAGGGGTGTAGGTCTTGGGCGAGTTGAAGAAGTCGGCGGCACTCTGGGACTCGCTGTCAAAGAAGGAGGACGCGACAGACGACGGCCTCGAGTCCACCTTTTGGCTGAAGTAAGCGCTCAGGGGCGTCGAAGAAACGGGTGGTTCCGCCGGAAGGTTGGGGGGTGCGGGTTCAGGGGGTGGGATGGACGAGGGAGGTCTGTGCTCCGCCGGAGGGGAGGGGCTGTTGTAAATGGAGGTGTTCTGCGGAATGTTGTAGACGTTGAGGGGGACCTGCTCAGGTCGCTCCTCCTGATCGAGACTCAGGTTTTCGAGTTCCCGACCTTCGAAACTCGAGTCCTGCGGCTCGGCAGGCGGGGGTGTCGGAAAGGTCTCCTCCGCTTCAGGTTGGTCGGAGGAGGCGACCTGCGGCTCAGGTTCTTGCTTGGCCTCCTGGACAAAGTGACCCTGGGCGTACTGCCCAGGGTCGTAGAACTGCGGGGGTTGGTAGTTGTGGTTGTAGTACTGGTACTGCTGGTTGAAGTTGCTGTCAGGGTAGTACTGCTCGCCGTAGTAGTAGTTCTGGTTGTACTCACCCTGGAAATAGTAACCCTGATTGTAGTTGTCCACCTCGGGGGCCTCCTCAGGTGCACCCTGAGCTTCGGGGGCCGAGAATGGACCGGGACTGGCCGTACTCAGGGTGGTGGTGTCGGGGGCCTCTTGGCTGGGGGCCGTCGTGAAGACGGGGCAGGTGCCCTGACCCTGACTCTGCACCTCGGACTTGCTGGGGGTGGGGGCGGGCAGGTCTGGGGGCGGCTGCTGCGTGAACTCGGCGGGGTTGAAGGTCTGCAGGGAGGCGATGTTGGACTGGAAGCGGCCAGGGTCGAAGAAGGTCGGGCCGTTGCCGTTGAGGAGGTCCTGGCCAGGTTCGTTGCCGTTGACCTCAAGAGTCGTGGGGTCGAAGAGGGGCACGGGGACGGGGGCGGCGGCGGGGGCGTACAGCGGAACCTCCGAGGCCGCTTCTTTGGCGGGCTCAGGTTCAGGTGGCTTGGCGGGCGTCTCGGTGACCGCACCCAGGGCCTGCTTGAACAGGGAGAAGAGGGGGACTGCCGCAGAGGGGAGGGGAGCGGGGGGAAGGGCGGCGGGCTCTTGGAGGAGAATGTTGGCCGCTGGCTTGCTTGCATCTGAAATCAAAAGTTATAAAATGTAAATTAATATTTCATTTACAAATTAAGCATGTAAAACCCTTTAATTTTCTTTTAATTTGTTATAGAATATTTAAAATTTTAATTTGGCTAAATTACATTTTCAGGCCTTCTAAATGAAATAACTCTTAAAACGATTCGGCTACTTTTTCCAATTGATTCGAAATGATTGCCTTTTGTTAATGTAAAGACCTGATTTGAATAAGCAAATGAAGAGTCATCACCTCTATAGCAAAAGAGAAACTAGTTTTAAATGGATTTATTTTAATTTGAGTCTGCAGCAGAATTTAGTAATTGAAACTATTATAAAACAGTTCAATTTTTAATGTTCAAAATTTACAGAATTTTACAATTTTATTTCATAGTAAACATTTTTTGAAAATTTAATTGTATAAAAATATTCAACAGTATTTCAACTTTTTTTACATTTATATTGCTCTTCCGGTTTGGTACAAAAAAATGAGTTCATGATTTGTTTTGAAAACAGTTTTTTTTTTTGCATTTTGACCTCTGATAAGCAGTTGAGGTCGAGTGGACCAATAAGTGACTCAGAATACAATTTAATTATTAAAAATGTTGTTTCTGTGAAAGATTGGAAAATTAGTGAAATCAAACAATTTATTTCACAAATTTGGTCAAAATTCTAGTGATTAATTACCAATTTAAATCATTTGTGATCGACGCACTTGAAAATCGGCGCAATTAATAAATTATTTTGGCATCATTTCAGGGCTTGGAAAATTTTTGTCCTAAATAAACAAATATCGAATCAATCGATTTCATTTCATTTTTAAAAAAATTATCCATGTTATTATTTTATTATATTTTTTACTGCAATTTGGAAAGAAATAAATTCTGAAATGCATAACGTAATTTGTGATGATGGATGAGCGTGGCTAAATTTAGAGCAGAATGTGACGGACGCAGTGGAAATCGTGCCAGTTTAATTAAGCGTCGCAATTAGCAAAGACAACATTTGGCACCAATTTACAAGTACGAAAGTGAAATTACTCTTGAAAAACATCAATTTATGTTCCATTTTAAATCCTTAATAAATTCCCTTTTTATTTCAAACAATGTGAATTTAATTATTCAAAGTCTGTGCAAGCAAAAAATTGTTTCGGCCCAAAAAGCACGCCGTCATCTGAAGGAAGAGACGCGAGACAGCCTTGAAGCTTTGCACTTTTTACGCAGAACAAAGAGCGAATTTCGGTCTTTTCTGATCAAATGAATTGAGAATTTTTCTAATCACCTGGAATTGGCGTTTCCCATGGACGGAAGGATGCAAGCGAGCCACCGGCCGACTTTGTTTTGGGGAAAATTTACTCACGCGCGGTTCGTTTGTTTCGCCGCAGAGGCTGGACCGAAATAAACGCGAGTGCGAGAAGGACGCGCTCGAACTGAAGCTCTGAATGACTCTCTTATTTATTGTGCAATTCGTTGATCACGTTTTGATTCTGCGCTCTTCGATCAATCAAAACTTGGCACAATCAATTATTTTTCTGCCAATTTTGAATCATTTTTATTAAAAAACTGGATAAGAAAAATGGATTATTTGTTTTCATGGATATTATTTAAATGTGAGAATTGATTAGATTGATAACAAATGAAATCGATCAATACTTCCTCAGTCAAATTGATTTGCAAATATAGGAACAAAATATTAAAAATTCACACTGTCCAGGTTTTTAAGATTTGTTTTTATTAAAAAATTTGCAAATTTAAAAAAAAATTCCACATTTTGCAAATGTTTAGAAATTTATTTTGTGAATTTTTTAAGTATTTTTTAAAATTTTGAAATGAATCTTCAAAGAAATAAATAGATAACTTTACAACCTTCCGCTATATAAATTTTCGATCATCGAAAAAAATTGTGCAAAATTCACTTTAAAAAAAATCTAAAAAAGAAGCCATTCTTGAATTTTTAATTTTTTTCCCCGACATATTAGAGCTGACTTAGAATTTTTTGGCAGAATTTCAATATTTTGCCTAGAATTCTTTCTAGAGAGTGACCTTGACGGCAGATTTATTTGATCTCACCGATTTGAAGAGGGGTCAAAATAAATTTTTTAGTTCTATAGCTTCTAGCTGCATATCTGTATCACAAATAGAACTGTAAAATCTTCAGTTTCGGTTTTCAGGGAGCGTTTTCTCAACGCCAAAATTTATTAATTTCTGTGCAATTTTCACCTGATTTTTGTTAAGAGATCAGAGATCCACGACCTGTGCTTTGGCTTAAAAGGTGTCCTACTTTTTATCATTATTTATAATTTAAGTTAAAAGAAATTCATGTCTCGTAATTTAATAAATATCTGAAATTAGAATTACTTAGAAGTGTAAATTGAACGAATGAAAGCAATCGAATTGGAAAAAGGAACTATTATTATGATTCAATTTAAAATAAATCAAATTAATTTTCATAAAATTTAATTTCTGCGCTCCACGCCCCCATGAGAAGATTCACACCAGCTGGGAAGAGACTAAAATAATGTCATTTCAATTTTTTTTTCATTTTTTTTCTCCCATTCCTGAACTCATTTGCAGATGCAGATGATTCGAGGGTTAATTAGATTAATTAGATACTTTGCTACTTAATGTACATAAATCCGAATGGAATCGGCAAGAATGTGTTTTGCACGAAAAGTGTGCCGCAGCTTTGGTGAAAACAAATTTGGGGCTGACGTGTCAACAGCGCGTTTCAGGTCGATTTGCTCGGCGGCCTTACCCTGGACGGCGTCGCTCGAGTCCTCGTGCGCGATCGGCATCAGGATGGCGCTGCCTTGCAGGTTGTCGAACGGAAATCCCAGTTCGGCGCCGAACAGCAGCGGGTTTTTCGGCCGCTTCGGCGCCGCGCCGCTGCCCTGGGCCGACATGTTTGCCGTTTGCTTTCGCCGCCGCTCCAGAGATGGCGCCACCGGTCCGCACCAACACCGAGACCAAACCGAGACTAAACATGGAGCCACGCCCCCTTTATGAATAAAAAAATTCTCAAGAAATAAAAATGATGTATTTCCTGCCGAATTCGGCAGTGACAGTCGCGCAGACGCCGTTAAATTGCCGAACAAGATAACAGAGACAATTAATTCTTCCTTAAAAGTGCCAAACACAATCGTCGATTTGATTCAATTTCCAGTTCCAGTTCAATCCCTGATGCCTTGGAACTTTGAAACAATGATTTTAATTCTTTCTTTAAATTATTAACATTTTATTTCTCTTCCAGTTCACAACAATTTAAAAGCCAGCAATGATTGTCCGCAAGCACGAATTTTACGGTCAGTTCTGGTATTGTTATCTTTCTGCAACTCTTTTTTTTCTTATCAAAAAATAGACTTGGTGCTGAAGCGGAGGAGCACGCAGGACGTGTCAAGGGCGGCGCACGTCCTGCAGACCCTGAGACTGAACCTGGTGCCCTTGAAAGAATTGGCCATGCGCACCGTTGTCTCCAACCTGCCGAAACTCAGCGAACAGATCGACCACCTGCGTACATCTAAAAAAATGTTCCATTCTCAATCATTAAAAAAATTATTTTTTGTTTGTTTTTGCAGCCAAAACCGCCAAGACTTTGATTCTTGAGACCATCGCAAAATCGATTTGCAGGCAATTCTATAACCACCTCCGACGTCAAGTTATTAGCCTCATTGAACCAAATCCTGACGGCACTTGCAGCCTCAAGGTCTGAATTTCCAACCTTTTTTGAATAAAAATTTTAACACTACTTTTTTTCTGCAGACGATTCCTCGGGTGTCTTACCAAGGAATGCCAATCCGTAATTATTGAAATCATAATTAAAGAATTGAATATTCGAAAGTTTGAAAATTTCGGTTGGTTCCACAGAAAGAAAAACAAGAGGGGATAGAGAGTCTCTTTTGCTTGACCTGAGCAATGTCAAGCGACTCATCACTTCAGACTTGGAGGAATTTAACTTAAATGTGATCAAAGGCGACCTGACTGATTTCAGTGAAGAGGAAATCTGGAAGTGCTTGGCCTCTTCGGCTCCGAATTTGAAGATCCTTCGAGACTACGGGAGGGACTCTGACACGAAACCTGTGAAGCTCATTCTCAAGTACTTAGTCAGGTTTGCCGACCTGAGCGACCTCGAATTGTCCACCTTCTACTTCTGCGACGGTGAGTTTTTTCAAAGTGAAAATATATTTTAAATAAATTATCTGCAGATGACGTCCGAGTGCTGAGCGAAAGCTGCCGAAAACTGAAAAGCATTCATCTGCCGGCAAGGGGGGGTCTGACCTCTGCAGGACTCAAGTTCCTCACCAGCCTGCCCCTTTTGGAAAAGGTTTCCCTTGCTGACTTTCAGGGGTGCTTGGTGGGTAAGAAAAACAATGGTTATATAGGAGAGTCTTGGTGTCTAATTTTGCCTTTTTCCCCTGAGCAGATGTGCCATGGAGGTATTTCGTAATAATTATAATCAAAACAAGCTTAATTGTAAAACCTTAATGTTAAGTTGTTAAGATGACAAATTTTAGTCTTAGTTGTGTTCAATAAATAAATACTCTACTTTGCTCACTATTGGGTTTCAGGGAAGATTCAAGACTCCGCCGACGCACAGATGGTGTTCGAGATGCTTCCGAACCTGAAGCACATCTTTGAAAACGGCATGCATAAAAATACTCTGAAGAAATATTTATAAAACTTTTTGTACTTTGCAGTGGGACTTACCCATGATAGCTCGGTGCACCTGAACATCCCAAACGAGCTGCCGTGCTCGTACAAGTTGCAACAGCTTTTGCGTTTTGGTGGATGTGTTGGAAAGTAAGTTGAAAATAATTAATGCAATTGGCAGTTCATTTGTGGGTCCACCGATATTGTTGCAATTTGGTATATTCATTCCTCCGAGTGTATCATCAAATAGTACAAAAGGATTTTGGAAAATTTTAAACATAGCATATTTTACAAGAGCCCTGAGTTGGATTTTGTTCTTAAATCAAAAATTTCTGCAAGAGGTAGATAAAAAAAAAACTCATATTTTTAGTCCATTTAATGCCTTACAAGATTACCTCAGTTTTTTTTCTATATCTAAATAAATTTCATTTCCGAAAACTCCTTTAAAAAAATTTTTTAGAGCCCCTGTAAAATAGCAATTTTGAAACTTTTCCAATATCCTTCTGCACATTAATATGATCTTACACTTGGAGAAACCGATATACGAAATCAAATCTAAACAATGTCGGTGAACCCGTACCAAGTTTATTGGGCCAATTAATACAAAAATGTGTTAATTAGAATTCCAAGCCACCTGACCGAGTTGGAAGCGATCAGCAGCACCTTTGATTTGGCTCCAGAGATTTTCGAGCAACTGCCGAAGCTGCGAGTCCTGCACTACCCTTACTTCCCCAAAGATTACGCCACCCTCGGCCTGATTGGCTCGAGACTGGTCGAGATCAGCGCTGGTCAATTTGACAACTTTCACGAAGGATTGTATGGCATGGAAAATGTTGACCTAGGCCAAATCCTGGTCTCGTGCCCCAACCTGCAGAAGCTTCACCTGCTGGCCAGCGTTTTTGAGCCGACTGACCTGATGGACTCAGTGGACCCTGGCAGGTTGAAGCTCAGGGACCTCAAACTGACTCAAATGGATTATTTCAAAGGTGATATTTTCAAAATATTAGATGCATTGTGTTGAGAAAAATTATATTTTTTTCCAAACCTTTTTATTACAAAATTAGACAGAATTTTTACAGCTCATCCCTGATTTCTACATTAGGCATTTTTATGTGAAATAATTTAAATCTCAAATTGCGAAATCATCAAATTTGTGGTTTAAACTGCAGTTAATTGTTGAGGACACTTATTTAGGTCGATCTTAGCAGGTTTAAGAGAATGCAAAATAGTTTAGGACACAGTAAGGATCATGTAGACAAGAAAAATAGCACTGAGTAATTTTTTTTAGAATATAAGTTAATAATTCAATTGAAAGTTGACAAACTAATTGAATTTTTCTTGTTTCTGGCAATTTCATTTGGCACTGATTAATTTGATTTCCGCAATCAAATATCATGATAAATCACCCCCCATATCACGGTTCTTGTTCAAATAGTAAAAATATTCATTTTTTATAAAATTCCAATATGACACAGCCGTGAGAAACTACTTTGTTTTTTTAAAGTCTGCTTCAATTTCATGTAGATTTGTATAATATCTTCCTGAAAAACGCCTAGAATAATAAAGTACTTTTCGAAGAAATGATTATGATTTGGGACAAATGCATTTTCGGGTCAATGCATTTTATGGGAAATGAAAAAATTGTTTAGGACAAATGTTTTTGGGGAAATATTTTTGGGCAAATAATTTTTGAAACATTTAGGAGGTTTGAAATTAGGGGCAACGCGGGTCTTCCCAAATTTGGGAATTTTTTTTTCTTTCATGATTCACGAGATTTTGAAAATCGAAAATATCTCGTTTTGTGTTAGAGATACGCTAAAATGTATAAAAGCCAAAGTTGTTGGAATTGCGACGACCTACAACTTAGCTACAGTTGAAGTTCAAGGTCACTTTAGCCATCAATAATTTTACGACGGCCATGAATATCTTCAGTTTCAAAATAGCTAAAAGTTGTGTGTATGTTAGTAGGGAAGAAGTTATCGCGGATGGAAAGTCATTTTTCACACACAAAAAGCTAAAAAAAACCACGTTTTTCACCCTTTGAACCTGAATAACTTAGAAACTAAAATAAATGTTATCACCAATTTTTAATATGTTCTTCTCAGTTTACGAAAACAATTTTTGGCTATTTTTAAACTTTGAATACTAATGGACTAGGTAATTCAGCAGGCAATTTAAATGTTTAAGTTGGCAAAAGTATGATTTTGAACTTTGACCTGCGACCTTACACTGTTGTAGGTCGTCTCAATTCCAACAACTTTGGTTATAATACTTCTTAGCGTGTATCTCTATCAGAAACCGAGGTATTTTCATTTTTCAAAATTTCCTTTTTTTAGGGAAAAAAATCAAATTTGAGCCCCTGTAAAAAAGACACTTGTGTTATTTTAGATAGAGAACCGTACGCTCGCATGGCCGTGTGGGAGGTTTTGCTGGCGCCCGAGCTGCACTCGGTCGGTCTCTTCAACTTCCTCTTCTCGGAGCCGCGCGCCCTCCTCGACCCGGCCGAACCTGTCCTGCAAAACTTGACCACACTCGGCACTTCGTTTGAGTTCGAGTGGCCTAGAAAGGAGGACAAGGTTTGGTCCCAATTGCTGGACGCGCACAACAAACTGCTCGCTGGTCTGATCAAAAATTGCCCAAGGCTGGAAACGGTCCACTGTGAAGTTTTTGCGGAAAACAGAGAAAATACCGACGAGCATGCAACTTTGTTGTTTGCAAAAGTGTCGCCCGAGTGGTGCAGAATTCCTAAGGAAGTCGACTCGCCGCTCAAATCGGTCAAGGGCAGAAATAATTTCAAAATTTTCCGCTTCTTCAAAAATATGTTTGGCCATAAAAATTGAAGACTTGTTCCTGGCGTGTGATCAAGATTACAATTCTAATCTGTTTGTAATTTGCCATTGTGATAAAAAAAGCTGGTCCAAAATTAAATTGGATTCCGGTAATATTTAATAACTACTGGGGGTGAGGCGGTGAGGCGTCCTAGCCCCTTGCCCCTTATTTTTGAATTCAAACTCTATTAATTGCAATGACATAAAATTTAATTAAAAAAAAAAAAATGCTGTTGCCTTATTGCTTCAATCTGTTTATGTGAACTTGTTTGAGAGATAGTCAAGCATAGTCATTTAGGTGTGGATTTTGAGAATATTGAAAATTAATTTTCTCGTCACTCATCACACAGGATTATTATGAACTCGTTCGCTTTGGAGCTTGAAAACTGAAATGAAATTCGAGAATAGCAATGTCGTGATCTTCACCGATATCTTCATGAAATATATACATAAAAAAGGAGATAATTATTATTATTTTTATTTCGCTTCAATTGTCAAATTGTTGCACTTGCAACAACCTATTTGTTTAAATATAACTTTTATTATAATTATAAATGAGTGTCAGAAAAATGAACACGGCTGGTTTTCTTAAGCGCGTTGAACATTGACAGGATCTGACTTTCCAGAAGCTGATGTAGGTATTGTAGGTGTTTCCTTCTTGCTTCCAAACATCAATTTCTAGCTAGCTGAATGAATACACACGAACTGATAATCGTTTCAAATTGTTTTCCAGTTTCCAGCACTTGGACACAATATTTTACACGCAACGAAAAGCCCGCCTCTCGTCCCTGGTTTTGTGGCGGCGCCGCCAGGTGGCCGTGACGCCAGCGCCGCTCGCGGCGACTACGGAAACTAAATTAGCAGAAAAGTCAGAAAAAGAAAAGCCGGTCCCGCGTCCCGCTTGTTTGTTTTGCCGCGTGTGTTGTAAACAAAAACGCCGAGAGTGTGAGATTTCCGCAGAAAAAGGTCACGAGAAAGGTCAGACATGGTCAAGTTGACCCCGGAACTGATCCAGCAGTCGGTACAGCGGATGAACCCGGTCAAGGACCGCGAACTCATCCTCAGAGGTAACAACTAACAACTGTCGATCACTTCGGCAAAAACGAATTGGGTGGTGCCTTCTGTACCACCAATAAAGGGCACAGGCCGACAAGACTTTGTCTTGGCCTGACCCTAAAAAAAAAAAAAAAAAAAAAAACAGAATTTTGAATTTCTCTTTTGCTCTCAGGGTACAAAATCCCCGTGATCGAAAACATGGGCGCCACCCTGGACCAGTTTGACACAATCGACTTCTCGGAAAACGACATCCGCAAGCTGGACGGCTTTCCTCTTTTGAAGAGACTCAAGTGCCTCCTCCTCAACAACAACCGCATCGTGTTGGTTTTTGAATTTAATTTATTTTTCTAAAATAAAATTTGGATTTGCAGGCGGCTGTCGGAGCACCTGGAGCAGCACGTGCCGAACCTGGAGACGCTGGTGCTGACGGGCAACATGCTGATGGAGCTGGGCGACCTCGACCCGCTGGCCTCGCTGACCAAGCTGCAGGTGGTCAGTCTGCTGCACAACCCGGTCACGGCGCGCCCTCACTACCGCGCCTACCTCATCTTCAAGCTGCCCAACCTCAGGCTGCTCGACTTCCACAAAGTCAAGCTCAAGGTTTGCTTTTTACTTTGGCCCGAAAAATTGCATCAATCGGGACCTTGTCCGTATGAATATCATTACAAGGTCACCGGCAAAGTTGTCGCACCAATAAAAATTCAACTTTGATTAAGAATCCTGGTTTTTTTTTACTTGGCAGGAGCGGAAGGAGGCGGAGAGTTTGTTCAAGAGCAAAAAGGGCAAGGAGCTGCAGCGCGAAATCCAGCGCAAGGCCAAGACGTCGGTGGCCGAGGGGGTCAAGTTGCATGGGCCAAGTCAGGAGGAGATGCGCGCCATCAGGGAGGCCATCGCCAAGGCCACCAGCCTCGAGGAGGTCGAGCGCCTCAACCGACTCCTCCAGGCCGGACAAATCCCCGGCAGAATCCAATCCCTCATTGGTAATTTTATCCAAAAGGTCTTTGAATGTTGTCCGGAGAAAATTTTAAAATGCTTTCAGAAGACTTTCAAAAGTTAAAATGGAATTATTAAAATAATTTTTTCCAGCCGAGAGCGTTCCGCAGCCTGGAGGGGAAAACATTGAGGAGGAGGAAGATGACGAGGAGATGAACGGACACTGATGATTGTAAGTTGGGCAGTGTCGGTTCCAAATTCATCTCTTTGACGCTGCCGCCTTTTTGTAAATAATTGTGTCGGATGTTGAGCCGTGTGAAAAGAACAGACACTTTACTTTCCACTTGTATTCGTAAAATAAAGAAATGGATGCGAAGTTTGTGCTTTGACCTAAGCCAAAGTGACTGAGAAAGCGCTTTTCCTCTCCAAAACTATTACATCTTGCCAAGTTGTTCTTTTAGTGCTGCTGAGCCAAAATCGGCCCAGGTAAAGAGAGACCCAAGCGGTGAGTATTGTTTGTTTTTTGATCAGAAAGGAAAGAAGATCAAAGTTGGTCTCTAAACACATTTTATTTTGCAACTGTACTGGAATGAGAGTAAACTTTGGCATAATTTCAAATCAACAAGAGGATAAATATTTCAACAGGTTACAATAAAAGGCACCAAAATCAACTGCCGTGATGACTTATTTCAATCCTAGTCTAATGAGAACAAAATCTATCAATCCTTGGGCCTGATCAGGCCCTGCAGCATGTCGAACGAGTTTCCGTCGGGGTGGACGCTGAACTGGGTGCCGTCTGCACCCCTCACCGCCAAGTACCCGAACGCGTCCAGGCCCTGGACTGTCACTCGCTGCTCCTTCCCGTCCTCCGTCTGCACAGTCACCTCAGAGTTGCTGAAAATTAGCAAAATTTTCATTTAGTTTTTAAATAAGCAAACTTCATTTTTTTTTTTTTTTTTAATATTTTTAAATTCTAAATTTGCGGCATAGAAACTCTATATGGATGGTATTTAATGTAGGATCAAGGTCTCATTGGAAAGGTTAGTTCACGAGAAAAATTTGTGGCCGAAAAATCAAGGTCACTTTGAGATTTGCTAAGAAAATAGGAATCAAACAATCTGATTGGTTAGAACGGTTCCCCCACCACTAATTCTAATTGGCTTAAAGGTACCAAGTGTGACACATCACTGGAAAGGTCAGGTCACAAGAAATCTTTTCGTAAAAGTTGATCAGAGGTTGGTGTACCTGTGGAGCCAGTAGGCGTGGTAGAAGGTCATGATCTCATCAAGGCCTTGCTCGGAGGTCTGCGCGAGGTCGATCAGAGCCTCGAGCCGGTTGAAGGTCAAGGCCAGGAACCTCTCCAGGGACATGGGCGCCGTCTTGGCCTTGAGTTCGAGCAGCAGGTCCTGCAGACAAGTGGTCGGCTCCGAGTTGGTCAGGTTGAAGCCTAGGCCAATGTTGCACACGACCTGGTCACCCTGGAAGCTCGAGGTGGCGATCAGGCCGCCCAGCTTGGCGTAGTCGCCCGCGTAAATGTCGTTGGGCCACTTGAGCCGCAGGTCGACGTCCTGCAAATCATTCCAAAGTCAATTTTCATCATAAAGGCCAATTTGTGATTATTAAAACCTAATTTAGAAGAGGCCAATGTCGATTTGAAAAGTCAACAAAATGACAAAAAATTATTAAACGCCAACCTCAAATCCTGGCGCCTCCCTGACGGCCACGCACACGGCCAGGGCAGCGATGTGCTGGACCAAGGACACTTTTTGTCCAAGCACGGAACTGGTAGGGAAGTGCAGCTGCAGGGAAAACATGGCGCAGCCCTCGGGACTCAGCCACTCGTTCTTGCTGCGACCTGAAAAGGTCAGAGTTCAGTGTCTCAAGTGGAGGGGAGGGTTTTAGAGCGACCTTTGCCCTTGAGCTGGACCCTGGGCACAGCGGCCAGTCCGTGCCACAGGGGGCCGCCGTTCAGCACGTCCATCGACGAGGACATGACGTCCGAGTAGATGAGCAGCCGCCCCAGGTGCTCCGTTTCAAGCGTCTGCAATAAATCCATTTCAAACCAAAATAGACAGGTCGAGAGAGTCTTCAAGAGGACGAAACCATCTCAGGGCAGCAAAATCTTTCTCAAAATTAATAGTTTATGCCATATAGATCATTTTGATGTCCAGAAAATAGGGGGTGAACGCATAAATTTAAAATAAAATTAAATAGAACGTATTTTTTTTTTATATCATTTTTTTGGTTTTATCAACAGGCAAATTTTAGAGCTCTTCCAATTTGTTATGCAATAAAATAAATCATAGTAAATTTTGCTTCTTACAATAAAGTTAAATGGCAATTTTCATATGTTTCAAATTCTACTAGATAACAAAAATAAAAAAAGAGATAGAAATTGAGGCTTTTTTCAACATATTTTGGTCACAGAGCAGATTTTATTGTACTCAATTCAAAAATGAAGGATTTGAATAATTAGGAAGGTGGTTTCATCAGTTTTCTAAAATAAAATGTTGACACCGAATTGCTGGACTCACGTCAAAGTATTCGACGGTGTTGAAGTGGGGCGGACAGGTGTGCAGGTAGCAGGGCAGCACCGTGTCCGAGGCGGCGCCGGCGGCCACGCCCTTTCCACAGAACTCGAGCCTGAGCGCGTCCCTCTGCAGGACGTTGCCCTCGGCCTTGACTTGCGCGAAAAACTCCATTTTGCACTGTGGAATTTGATACAGTTTTTCTTTTACAAACACAGAGAGACAAAATAAGAAAAGATTTAGGCATGAAAGCGTTTAATGAATCGCACAGAAATAAATGTAAAAGCTAAAAGAAAAGAATGTAAAACAACTGGGCAACGAATAAGTAAGAGGCGAGGGTGGAGAAGGCAAGGAAAAGCAAGACGAGAGAAGTGCAAACAATGAAGAGAGAAAGGACGAGCAGCGATCGCAGCAGCACCTCGTGTTTGCCGAGGAAGAAGGCGGCGGTGTGCGCGTCCTCCTTGCCCTCGGCGGCGCACTCGAGGCCCAGCTGGCCCGAAAGCAGGTCCCGAGCGATCTCAACTCGAATGGAATCGTTTTCCTTCAGAGGCGCAAACACGGCCGCGTTCGAGTTCTGCCGACTCTTTGCCTCAACCTCCAAATGCACCTGCAAATCAAAAATAAATTAATATATTGAACAATTGGAGCTTTCACAGAATAATAATTTACAATTATATTTCTTTAAAGATGAAAAATTGAATGTTTAATACAAATTCACTGATTTTATTAATTCCTGAAACTATGTAAAATGAAGTTTTAAATACATAAATTACTTGAAAGAAATTAAAATATGATGAAAACTAAAAAAAAGTTTTGAAAACTTTGACAATTTTGATTTTCCAAAATAAGGGTTGGTGATGGTAAATTAGCCGCTCAGATTAGCCGCAAAACACTGATGACCATTCAAAATTTTCATCTTTGTTTCTAACTAATTTTGATCGTACTTGCGAGAAGAGCAATTTGCCGCCGGATCCGACCATGCTGGCCACGAGCAGACTAGGCGAATCAGACTTGTCCTCGGTGCTCAAAATCGTGACGTTGAGCTTGTGGGAAAATCCGGCGTTGTCTTTGACCTCCAGACTGGGTGGCAAGCTCGGCGGCCTGATTACAAGGATATCACTATTATAGGCAAAAGCTGGCTTTGTTTTTGTACTTTGTGAAGATCTGGTGCAGCAGTCTGGTCTGTTTCCACTTCTGGTAGGAAAATGAGGCCAGTTGGTCCGGCTGCACCGGCACTGAGCGCAGTTCGGGGAACGGCACGAAAATCATGCTCGAGGCGATGCACAAGACCTTGCCCCCTGCAAACCAACCCTCGATTCAAGTACTTCATTCCTTACAAAGGTCGAACCTGTGACTAGGTAGGAGATGAGGAGTGGGGCCAGTTTTTCAGGGACGTTGCCGTGCACAACGACCAGGGCCGTCGACTTGAGCCACGCGCTGCTTTTCATCTGCTCGGCGTTCACGTTGTACATGGTGTACCTTCAATTTTCATGATTTAAGTAGTTTTGACTTTTGACCCAAAAAAATTTGACGAAAGCTGCATTTTGACAGTTAGTTAGCCAAAGTACGAGTAATGAGAATCGGATTGCTTCTGACAGGATCTAAATTTGTTTTAATGTTAGAATTATAATTTGAAATGGCTATAACTTTGGTGCTAATTGATCTAGACACGTTTTCTTTAGAAGTCTGAAAAGACAAAAAATATGACCACCTTCAATAAAGGAATTGCAAGAAGTTGCACTGACCCTGTTTTGGTACAAAACTTTAAAACTTAAATTGTAATATTTGTTGTAATGTTTTACTAGGCCCGAATTTAATTATCATCCATAAAAGGTAAGCATTGTGCATAACTTTGAATCTCAACAATCCTATCCATCTAGTGCGTTTCCTAATCAATTTGTAAGAAAGTAGTAAATACGTCAAATGTGCAAAATTAAATTTTTTACAAGTTATATGAGAAAGATTTTCTTGTCCAATAATTACCCTTGACAGAAAATCCATTTAAGTAAACATAATAATTATTTTGGTTTTTGATAATTCAAAATTATTAATATATATTTATTTTTTGTACCAAACCTGTGTCCCAACGATTTCACTTTATATCGCCCACCAAGAAAACGTTTCCAAGTATATTACAGCCAAAGGTATGACCGTGTAGAGTAAATTAAGAAATTAATTAAAAAAATTCATATAGAGATTCAAGCAGAAGAAATTAGGGTGAAATCTGGGTATGTTGTTTTGCAGCTTCTCATTTCATGTAATTTGACTCATAAAGAATTCAGCTTTCAGGAATTCAGGGATTTTGATTCTGGTCAGCCTACTTTTATTATTTATTTTGACTGGAAACCACAATAAGTGAATAGATTGAAAAGAACTACCTGTACTTCTTGAGCGTCTGCCTGAGCAGCGCCTTGATGCTTTCGTACACGTCGGTATTGTCGCAGTAGATGAGCACGTTGGGGCACTTGAGGGGCGTAGAGGGGGAGCGCGACTTGGGGGTGGGGGAGGGCAGGCTGGCCGTCGACCCTTTGAAGGCGGGCTTAGACAGGGTGGAAAATTTGCCTGCAATTAATTCAATAAATTGCAAGGTTATGAAAAAAATTTGAAATTCGTACTTATCGAGTTTGACCTGAGGGGAGGGAGGGGTGTGGGTTCCTCAGGGGGCTCGTCGGTGATGGAGGCGAGGGCCTTGTTGAGCTGCTCGAGACTCTCGGTCAGCCTGCCCATGTCTTGGCTGGCGCACGAGTAGAAACTGTCCGAGTGGGACGTGACGCCGGACACCACACTACCCCTGTCCGCCGTTTCATTCACCCCGTTCAAAGTGGGCACCAATTTTTTCTCCTCCATCCTAATTGAAAACAACATTGGTTTCTGAAAGAGCGTTTAAAAAAATTACACTCACACAACTTTGGCCTCTTCGCTGGTGGGGATGGAGCCGTTTCGGGGCGAGCTGGGGGGTGTGGGGGCATCGACGGGCACAAGGTTGGGCACGCGGTCGGCACTCAGCATCAACCCCATTGACCCATCTGCCTCATCAACTGCGGCGCTGAAGCTCCGAAGCAGGTCTACGTGTGACCTCCACTGAATAGGGGACATCAGAAGGCCTACAGAAAAGAAATTTACTTATTATATGACATTTTTTTTCTGTAACTGAAGATTTAGAATGCCCTTTTTATATTATAATGAGGTACCTTGGGCAGAAACGATTCAAACGATATCTTCCAAAGTCCATTTATAATCAAATTTGACGCAGATATGTGCAGTTTAAACAAAAGACGGCCTTTTTTTCCTCATAGATGGCCGCCAAAATGAAAACTTGCATAAAAAGGTCAATTTAGTCCCAAAATCGATTTAATAACCTTTGTTAGAATCATTTTGCCGAGATCTATCTATAAATGTCAACTTCTCAAAATGACCCATGCGCCCTTTAAATCTCACCTGCCATAGATTCGATCGAAAAGTCTGCGTCCGTCTGCTCAGCTTCAGCACTAGTTTCTCCTCCCAGTGGAAGAGAGCGGGGCGCAGGAATGGAGTCGGCGTTCAGCAAAGGACACGGCTTGCCCAGTACGTCAACGGCTGCAAATTGTAACAATTATTTTCAATTTAAATAAAGCAAAATGAAGAGGATCTAGTTCGGGCTGAGCTCACTCTGGATTCTCAAAACTTCCATGCCGTCGTCCAGACTGAGAGTGTTTTGCATGAAGCTGAGGCCCAGGCGGGTCAGGTGATTCGCGTCGGACTCGAGCAGGATTCCGAAAAACTCGCCCGCCTTCCACGCGCGCAGCAAGCCGAACTTTTCCAGCTGCATGCACGCCAGCCATTAAAGACACGGCGGTCGGACACACAAACCAGTACAAACCTTGACGAACTCGGCCTCGAGGCAGTGCTGGCCGGCCGTGAACTGGTAGTCGGCCTCGACCAGCACCAGCAGCCGCTCCTCCCCCAGCACCAGCTCCTCGCACCCCACAGAGATAGGGAACTCGCCGCCCTCCACCGAGAACTTGATCCATCGACTTACAGGAATGGATTGCTTCAGATGAAAGAAAATTAATTTTAAAATTTTTTAAGTAAAATTATACTTTTGGAAAGACGGAGCAGAGTCTTTTGGACCGGTAGCTCCATAGCAGGTCGCCCAACTTGGCGCAGTCGTTGTTTTCGCAGAACCTCGAGGTCACAGTTGGCACGTCCACCCCTCCACCTGCAAAAACCATTTCCGTGAAAATTAAAATAAACAGCTATTTAAAAGTTATGATTCTTTTTTTTCTTTCTAATTTTACATTTCAATTGGAACGATGGTATCAAGAGGAACTGATTGATTTCCAGAGAGGTCAAGGTCACCAAAAAATTAGCATAGAAAACATAACTCGAGCGATCTGATTGGTCCGAACGTTTCCCCCACCACCTAATTCTAATTAGGCTCAACACAATAATGTGCGACACATCCTTGGAAGGGTCAATGAAATGAATGAAAGATGACGAATCGATTGGTGACTAAAGAGGTCAAGGTCATCAGGAGATTTGATGTGAAAACTACGATTTAAGGAATCGAGCGATCTCATTGGCCCGAAAGGTTCTCCCACCACCACATTTAAATTTGCTTTTACATATTAAGTGTGACGTATCGTTGAAAAGGTCAGGTCACGAGGAATCGATTGATGACCAAAAAGGTCAAGGTCACAATATGATTTGAAGGGAATCAGCAATCTGATTTGCTCGATTGATTAAGCTAGCACGAGGTCTCAGAATTACTAAGTGTGGCACATTGTTGGAAAGGTCAGGTCTCAAGGAATTAATCTATGACCAAAAAGTGGTTACTGTGCGAGTCGTTTGAAAAATAAATTAATTTTTTGGTAAAATAAATGTTCAAATCCGCTTATTTTGAGATTGAATATAAATTTCAATAATAAAATAATTACCGTCGGCGGCGTCAGTGCGGCAAAGGTCGGGGACTTTGTAGAGCACCACACTACCGTTCTGGGCAGTGATTTGCAGAATTCGCGAGTGCAGGTCAGCGAGTCTGGACGACTGGACCCAGGTGGCGGCCGCGTAGAACAACGACAGGAACATATTTCGCCGCTCACTCTCACTCCATTGCTCTCTGCAACATCAAATAAATAATCGAGTTAAAATATAAAACACGAAAAACTTGAATCAATTAAAATTGCAGACGCAGATTTGGGGGTGCTTTCAGGTCAGCTGGGCCGACCACCCTGGCCGCTCACCAGCTCGTTCCGGCCTCGACCCTCGGACGCGCAGCAACCGGTCAGGGTTCGAGGGGTGCTGTCATTCACCCCTGCGCGACAATCGGGTCGTCTCGGGGCCGAACTTTCTGTCGTCGGCCGGATTCAAGTAAACTCGACGGCCAGACCGATGAGACCATGTGATCAGAATCGATTGGCCCACTTTTAGTCCGAGTGTGGCGCTGCGGTCGCCGCACCGAAAACGCGCTAATTCGTGCGTACGTGAATGGATTTGTATGTTATCTAAACTTGTATGATGTGTGCTAAGGAATTTCCGAGTTATTGGAATTCGTTTTGCTACACTTAATAATCGGTTTCACATTTCACACGGTGACAAACTGGATAGGAATGTATGTTGAGCCTCGGAAAATAACCACCTTTATTCAGCTTTTATTATAGAAAATTGAGCATTATCTTGCAAGAGAATAACAAGAGTTTGAGACTATTTAACTGCCCAGATTGGGAAATTATCTTAAGCATAAGAACGAAATTAATAATAATACCATGCCTATGAATAAAAACCTCACAATAAATTACAATACTACAAAAAAGAAAAGTTAGTTTATAAAAAATTTAATTAAAAAATCAGGCAATTTTATGCTCAAGTACTGACCTTATTTTAAAAGAAATCGCAGCACTTTGACAAAACCCGCTCTCACCTCTATAAATTTCAGTCCACAATTAAATAAGCGGCTGCAAAACACACTCAACACCTAAATAATGTTTGTTTTTACAGGCGCGCGTCACAATCAGATAAGAACTGGTAGGGGAGCATGTTTTTCTAATTATATTATAACTTAAAAGTGTAAGTTTATCTACAAGGACTGGCATTGTGTATAATTTATTTTACTGTATTTTTACAAAATTGCACATCCTTTTAAAAAGCAAATTTAATTTTTTTTAAATTATTACCTTATTTGCCATTTGAATATGAAATTTTATTGTTTGCAATGAAAATTTAGCACATCATTTGCACAACAAACAAAGCATGCAGTTCTTTAGCAAAACACAGAAGATTAGCAACAATTAGCAAATTAAAAAATAACTGCAAATCAGGCTATGGAAAAGCAATGCTGGCTAAAATGCGTTTTAAAAATTAATTACTTCAGCAAAATATCAAGAGCCAAAATTGAGTGTAAAACAAAAGGTTTGATCAAAAATTTGGAGCAAATAAAAAATTTTGCTTTTACAAAGCAGAAAATAAATGCTGTGAATCATGGAATCTTAATTTCAAATTCTATATTGAAATTCCATTTCGTCTCTGACAGAAATAAAAAACTTTGAACTTTACACTGAAATTAAAGAAGAAACGTTTTTTTTTTGCAAATATAAAACAGAAAAATTAGGGCAAGATCAAAAAGCATTATGAATGGTTACATAATGTTGTTGAACTGGAACTGCTGAGGGTGCATGTAGGCAAAAGGTTGTTTCAGTGGCTGCAAAAGGGAGTTGTAGAATGGGGGTTGCACCTGCACCTGCTGGAAGGGGACAAAGCCTTGGCTTGCGTTGAAACCAGCCCAAGGCATGCTGCCCATCACGCCTGGAATTTTCACATTTGGTGAAAAAAAAGGAAAGTTTCGTTTAGCTGCTTCAGGTGAATAAATAAATGTCAAACCTAGAGGAGGGCGCAGTGATGGGAAAAGGGGCTGCAGGCGCATCAAGGCTTCCCCCACCGCCCCACTGCCAAACCTCTTCGACAGTTCCGAGCAGGTAGCCTTTGCAAAAATTAAGAGTAAAGCAAATATGAAATTTAAAGCTATTGTTAAAAAGAAAATTTATTATTTTCATTTCTTATTTAACTTAAAAGATTTAATTTATTTTGTGTAACGAAAAAATTGATTTATTTTTTTTAATTATTAAAAAATTGCCTGGAGAGTGCGGAATGGCTGGTCAGCTTGAAGATTAGGAACCTGATCCATAACCTGCAGAATGTGCACTTCGTCTACTTCACTTAGGTTGTCGCAAGGGAGCACCCTGTCCGCCAAGCAGTCCTGGACAAGGGCCAGACCCACGTCCAACTCGCCTTCTCCCAGCAGGTCCACCTCGAAGCAATTCTGCAGGAATAAAAATTGGAAGTAGATAAAATTATAAAAAAAATCAGGGATGGACTGACTGGCGTCCTGGCCCTGAATCTGGCAGCCAGCGTTTCGTGATTTTTGGAAATCAGTTGGACGAACTTGTGCCGGGCCAGGGCGCTCCAGGTGGCGCAACCTGTGGGCTTCAGGTTGAACAGACAAGCCCTGACCGCCTGCTTCTTCATCCTGGTCAGGGGTGTGTCCACAAGCTGGAAGAGGTCGTCAATGTGCCGCTCTTGCACCACCCCCGTGTCCACAAACTTGACCTGTGAACCAATAAAAGATTTGAAAAATTTCCACAGCTTGAATAAATTGTCATTTGTTAATTTCTATAACTCTTGAATTTACATTAATCCGCATTAATCAATGTGGAAACTTGACTGTGTAATTTTTAGACACATTCTTTTGTGTACAGCATTATTTCATCAAGAGATAAATTCTAATATGATTTTAAATTTTCTTTCTAATTAAATTCAAATCACCATGAATCAACCCTCGATCGTGAAATTCTACCACAAATTAAATTCAGTTTCATGAATTAAATTAATTAGTGTGTCTTTAATATTTTATTAACTATAACTTTTCATTATAACTTGTTTCTTACAAGTTGGTTAATTTTTAATATCTTGAAATTTATAGATATTGGATTTTAGGAAAATATTCCGATAGATATAATTAATTAATGAAATTCATCAAAATGCGCAAATTTACAATCATTGACGAATGAAATTTTCGAAAAATTTGAACTTGTTTTCAAACCTCAGCCAGAGTGGGTGAAACTTCCCTGACAATCTGCCCTCGGAACCAAATTTGGCCACATTTGGCCGCCACCAGCAGCCGCTCTTGTACAAATTTTACCTGCTTTTGACACACTCCTTGGCCGTAATTGCACCTGTTAAAAAAAAACTAATAAAAATTAAGTTTTTAAAAACTGCAGAATAGGAAATGGCTTGAACCGTTTTCAAAATGCAAGTTTATCAAATTATCATTTTAATTCGCTTGCCAATTCAATTGATTTTGAGGAAAAAAACTTTTAAATCAAAGATTCTGTCTCAACTCTAATTCGTTGGCGAGTCTTTGGCACTGCTCGTGATTTCTCTTGAATTGGAGATGGAAGTTGGAGGGAGAGGTTTCTTCGCAAACAGTAACAGACATCAAGGGTTGGCAGTCAGTGAAAGGGTCCTCAGCCTCTGCCAGCTCAACGCCCAGGGGGATGAATGCAATTTGCACTTGCTCAGGTCTAACTTTGTCACCTGCACAAAATATAATCAACTTTTGATACTTTTTCTTAAATCTTCTGACCTTTTGCTGGAATCACGGTGCAATCATTTGAGTCACCAGGTTTTCTTTCCTCAGTCGCAATCTGCAAATTTCACAAACATAAAATAACTTGTTTAGTGTCCCATAACAATTTCCTTCATTATTTTAGTGAATCTGAGACAAAATTGAATCTCGGACAATTATTCTTCCTATATACTTCCAACAACAATGAATGTTATGTATTTAGATGGGCAAATGACCTAAAAATTTAAAAAAGTCACTAAAAAAATAATACAGGCATCTAATTACAGTCACATTATTACAAAGGTTAATTTGATGAACAGTCTCACGTTGAAAGATAAAAATTGATCACACAATTTATGCTCCCTCAAAGATGTGAATCTTCTGATTTTGAATATAATTTTTTTTTTTTTTTTTAAGTTTTAGATCAAAAATCCGCAGCTTCATAGTTAAGTACTTTACATTTTCAATACCACGTCTTTAGAAGCTGGAGGACCGCGGCCAGTCTTTGCAAGGGATTTGTCTTGCCAACTCTGCAAATTAACATCCGAAGGTTAAAAATCAAAATCATTATGTAAGAATTGAAGAAGCTTTACCGAAACTCTCTTTGCATGTTCAGCGAGCTGCATTTTAGAGGAGTTTTGAAAATTTAATAAATTTCAAAATTTGTGTAGCAATGTAATACCTTCCTGGCGAGGGCATCGTTCACCTGATTGTCCTGGGCCAAATCGGCCACCAAGTGGTCGAGTCGAACCTTGGTCGATCTACTCCAAGTCAGGACCTGATGGGGTGTGAACCGGACATGGTTGCGTTGGACAGAAACAGGTTGTCCAGGAACTCCAGGACGAGGCTTGGGCAAATCTGCGACCACCCTGTCCAACTCCATGTCCTCAAAAATGTCCACTTTGTTGTTATTGCCTCCGGACGAAAGCTTGGCCTTTTTCGCCGGCTTCATTTTTGCTGATTCGTTTACTCCTCCGAGTCCTCCGTCCTCGTCAGCACCGTCCGCTGTGTGTGCAGATGCAGATCATGAATTTCTTCACCAACAATGCAAAATGTGTACTTATTCGAAATTGTTATTCTCCTCGTTGGTGTCAACATAAAATTCTTAATTTGATATTTTATTACCGTTGAAAATCGGCAGGGGAGGCTCCAGCAGTGTATTAACTTTCTTCACCTCAAACGGAGTGATGAGCGCCGGTCGCTGCATCTGCTGCGGTCGGTTCATCTTGTCCGAATACATATACATATTCGAGAGACAAGAACCTTTTTGGAAATCGGACGCCTCCGCCCATTCAAAAGTCGAAAGTCTAGAGTGTGATTGTTTGACGGCGCAAGAATGTGAGAATAGCGTGTCTTGTTCCTGCGTCAAAAACACGAGACGAAACCTGTCAGAACATGTCCTGCCGCACTCCGGTGGCGCTGAAATTCGCCGGCCGGCAACTTGCCAAGGGGTGTAAACAAAGGAGATGATCTCGATTCCTTAGGCTAATTATTCTTGAACTACTCGTAACAAATTTATTTTATGCGCAACAATTAAATTTTTACATCAATTTCTTGCGCTTTATTTTTATCTTTCTATGCAGTTGTTGATCTCCAAATCCCAAATCCTAAAAAATGAAAAAAATAAACACTTGAATGCTTTGTCTCCTTCAGTTTACGCTACCTGAAATCATGTGGGCCGCTCCAGCCACGCCCTCTTTTCACTTTGATTTTGACAGACAGCTTTTTCGCGATACAATATTTGCATCTTATCACAGATTGAGTCGTGAGAAGAGGACATACCTCTGTCTGGTGCATCGCAAAACGACGAAGGATTTCTGCCCTTTCTCGTCCGTCCGATCGCAACCACGTGACGAATCCAGTCAGCTCGAATTTCGAAAGCAAAAGTCGACGAATAATAAACCTTTCTCTTTGCAGGCCTTTTTTTATCAAGATTTATTCGAAATGGCCAGAAACCAGGTGCTCAAGGAGTTGCGGCAGATCATGAAGGTCAAGGAGTTCGTCGGCCCCGAACCCATCCACGCCTACATCATCCCCTCGGGCGACGCTCACCAAGTACGATTTTTTTATGTACATATCAAAGTTAAAATCGAGATGCAATTTTTCTGATCGTACCCTGTGGTCCAGGATAACAATAGAACGATGTTCACTAAAATAATGAATTTTCAGAGCGAGTACCTGGCCGCGTGTGACAAACGAAGGGCATTCGTGTCGGGGTTCACCGGCTCGGCAGGCACGGCCATCGTGACCGAGGACCACGCGTGCATGTGGACTGACGGCCGCTACTTCCTTCAGGCCACCAAGGAGATGTCGCAGGACTGGACCCTCATGAAAGAAGGTTCGTGTCAAAAATGAGTCTCGGAGAAAAAAATTATATTAATTTAATAATTTGTCTCAGGCATTCCGTCGACACCTTCGCAAGGCACCTGGTTGTCAAAAACCCTGGCCAGAAACTCAAGGGTAGGTTTCGACCCTTATCTCATGTCCCAGTGCGAGTTCCGGCCGCTCAAGACGTTGCTCGAGTCGTCTGGAATTGACCTTGTGGCCGTTGACAAAAACCTGGTGGACATTGTGTGGGACAAGGAGAAGCCACAGAGGCCCAGGGGTCCGGCCATGCCCCTCGAACTCAAATACACAGGTGGAAGTTGTGATAAAGATCAAGAATTTGCAAAAGCTGTTTAAAATTAGCAACTAGTCTCATCAACAAGTTATGTGATGGCTTTTTTCAATCTCAAATCTTCCTATTTTTTAATAATTCTTCTTAACAAATTAAATTTTTGAAAAGATTTCTATATAAAGATTTTAAAAAGAGGCTTCTTAAAATAAATTTAATTTTACATGAGACCTCAATTGCAAAGTTTGGCCTATTTTAACGTTTTAATAATTTTTTTCAAATTTAATTTTGTTCCCAGGGGTAACGAGTGCGTCCAAGGTGTGTGACCTGAGGGAGCAGATGCTGGAGAAGAACGCAGTCCTCTTTGTCCTGACAGCCCTTGATGAAATTGCTTGTAAATAGTTAATTTATTTTCCCAAGATTGAAATAATATCAGGATTTTTGACAGGGCTGCTGAATTTGCGCGGGTCGGACATTTCGTACAACCCCGTCTTCTTCTCGTACGCGTCTGTCAGTCAGAAGGGCGTGACCCTGTTCATCGACGAGAGCAAAGTCACAGCTGCCGTCCATGAGCACTTCGAGGCTGAAGGTCTTCAGGTGGGCGTGGCCACGTATGACTCAATCCGGAGCCACATCGAGGCCACGCTCAACGAGCTGGTTGGTTTTATACAATTTTTTTCTGTAAAAACCTTTCTATAGTTCTTCTTGGACAGGGTCCGTTAGACAAGATTTGGATTTCGGAGAACTCGAGCGTGGCGCTGACGAGTCTGGTGCCGGATCAGAGTCTGTTGACCGAGGTGAGTCCTGTGGCCATCGCCAAGACCATCAAGAACCCGACCGAGGTCAACGGCATGATCAACGCGCACATAAAGGACGCGGCCGCCCTGTGCAGGTACTTTGCCTGGCTCGAGAAGGAGGTCGCCCTGGGCAACGCGGTCACCGAGATTTCCGGCGCCACCAAACTCGAGCAGTTCAGATCGTGAGTACGAACTTTAAAGACCCAGACTAGATTAAAAAAATTGAAAAAAATTATTTTATGTGTGGATGAATTTTGCAAGTTGATTCCAAAAATGTGTTGAACACCAATTTGGGGAATGATTGGCAAAGTTATGTTCAATTTTTCTCATTCAGGGAGCTGCCCGACTTTGTGGGTCTGAGTTTCGAGACAATTTCCTCAGTAGGCCCAAACGCCGCCATCATCCACTACTCACCAGATCCGTCCACTGACCGTCCCATCACGGACAAACACGTCTACCTGTGCGACTCTGGCGCCCAATTCAAGTAACGAGTTCAATTCTCGACCCTTTGATGGTAATGCAATTCCCTCCTCAGGGACGGCACGACAGACGTGACTCGCACAATCCACTTGGGGACCCCGACTGACTTTGAAAGAGAGGCCTTCACCAGGGTGTTCAAGGGCGCCTACGCAATACGCAGCTGCATCTTCCCCTCCAAAATTAAGGCAAAGAACCCTTTTGCACCCTGAGGCAGATTTGACCTTTGGTTTCAGGGCAACTATCTGGACACCCTGGCGAGGAAGCCGCTGTGGGACATCGGACTGGACTACCTGCATGGAACCAGTCACGGAATCGGGTCGTACCTGAACGTCCACGAAGGTCCCATCGGCATCACCTTCAAGAACAGGCCCAACGACCCTGGCATGCAGGCCAACATGTTCCTATCCAATGGTTGCTCTTTTTTTATTTATCGTGTTTAAATAAAATAATGGAAGAATTCACAGAGCCCGGTTACTACGAGGACGGCAGTTTCGGGATCCGCATCGAAAACATTGTGCGGACCGTTCCGGCCAAAGTGCGCTTCAACTTCAAGGACAGGGGCTTCCTCACCTTCGAGGACGTCACCGTGGTGCCTCTGCAGACCAAAATGTTCCTCAAGTCGCTGCTCACGCCTGAAGAGGTTTGTTTATTGACACAAATAAGGAATTTATAATAATTTATTGTTGGTCAGGTCTCTTATGTGAACGAGTACCACGCCAAGTGCCTGGAGCTGGTGGGCCCGTTGCTCAAGGGCGACGCCCTCCAGTGGCTGCAGAGGGAGACGCAGCCAATTTGAAATCAAAAAGTGATGCTTATTTTATTAATAAATCTCTATTTAATTGCTCTAAATATAGCTTGTTGGATACAAAAGTGTTTGACTTATTCAAAGTAAATTAATTCAGTGTCGTATTAAAATGGTAAAGGACTTCTTCTCTCTCACTACTCCTGGCTTGACACCAGCGAGTTTCCTGATCACATTGCGTCCAAGTCGAGTTAAGGCAGCGTTTTGAGGTAGACTTTAGTTGCTTCATTTGCGCTCCTGCAGCCTTCGTAGGATCGCCCTGCTCTGGGCGGCGCTGCTTTGCGCGTTCACCAGAAACTTGTGTGAAGTGTTCGCCGGCATCGTCAAGAGCGGCTGGAACGAAATTTAGTAGTAAGTGAAAAATGTAAAACACAATCATATTGAATAGTTGATAAATACAAGTTTTTATAATTGGCAAGAGGTAAAAATAGTAAAAATAAATTTTTAATTCCTTAAAAACTTTTTGTTAATGAAGTTAGTGTGAGAGCTGTGGAGAAAATTTTGAGCAATTATTAAATCTTTTGGTAAAAACTTTTTTAAAATGATCTTGACCTTTAAGGTCACCAATCGATTCCTTTTGACCTGAGCTTTCCAACAATGGGTCCCACTTGATGTGCAGAAGCCAATTTTAATTTAGTGGGGGGGGGGAACCTTTTTGACCAATGAGAATACTCAATTCATTAAATCATCGTTATCCTGATCTGACCTTCCAAATTTTGCTAAAACCCTACTCGATTCTGAGCATCCCCCCAATGCCTCCATTTGAAATTTGGTTGATTAAAAGGAGTGCCTCACAATGTCCTAACGGAAAATGTCCTAAAATTAAGAATTGAAAATGTGTCCTAACAGAAAATATCCTAACGCCAGAAAATTATGCAACGTCATGTGTCATGCGCGAAAAAAATTGAGAATTTATTCTTTCAAATTCGAATGCTTCAAAATATATTCTGATTCTAAATCAGCATAATCAAATTTCTTGAGCACACCTGCAGTACCACCTACAACCCTATGCGCCTATAACGCAAACTGAAGAAACAGCCCAGAATTACCATGCGACTGCCGAGTCCCAAGCTGACCGTGACTCTGATTCGGTGTTAAGAATATATTTATGCACATGTGAATTCATTTGATACAAAATGAAGATAAATTTGGTCCCTCGAAAACCTGAAATTTTTATAAAAAAAATTTAGGACATTTTCTTTAAATTCTCAGTTATAGGACCAAATTTTGAGGACAATATGCGATCGCAACTTTTAGGATATTATCTTTAGGAAATTTACTTTAGGACATTATTTTAAACCTCAAATTAGGACATTATCTTTAGGACATTATGATGGTACCTGGTACCCGATTAAAATAATTTTCAACCTGGTTTTGGCTGTCCTGGGAGTACGAAGAGTTGCCATGCCTGATCTTGGAGAGGTCAAGGGGCGGCACGAAGGTGGGGGCGGCGCTGAAGGGGCGCGGGGAGAGCAGCGAGATGGCCGCCCTCGACTCCAGCCGCTTGACCATCTGACCCTGACTGGCGTCCGCCCTGGCCAGGTCAAGTTTGGTCGGCCTGGCCTTGGGGTTGCGACACGGCTGCCACTGGAGGGGAGGCGGCGCCATTCTTCCCTCCTCCCCGCCATTTGTCTGCTTGGCCGTCCAGCGCTGCACCTTGGACAGCGAGTCCTCGGTGGGCAGGTCCTGCAGACAAGGGCCACTGATGGGCGTCGACGTCCGCCGGCTTGAGATCATGCTTTCAGATTTATTCTCCTGAAAATTTACAACATTTATTTTGTGAATTTAAAAAGATTTTAAGATTTTTACCAAGGTCCACACTTCTGATGGAACCGAGGAGGCCCTTTTCCCTTCAGGGACAGCAGTGGCTTGGACGGGCTCCTCGTTCCGTTTGGTCCAAAACTGAAATTAAATTTGTTATAAAAAAAACCTAATAAATTTTTTAGATGATAAATTCCGTTACTTCGATGAGGCTTTGGTCGTAGTCGTTGATTTCGGACTCGTCTTCGGACGCGTCCCTTTCAAGAAGACCTTCGCAGGAGTGCGACCGGATGAAGTGCAGTTTGAGCGGCTGGATGTTGAGCAGGGGGTCTTCGGCGGGGGCGGACGGCAGCACCACCCGCCTGCTGTGCGCGCCAAACTCCATCCGCAGGGTGTCCATTTCCATTTTTGTCTTGGTCAGTTCTCTCTTCAGGGCTTCGTTCTCGCTCTGCAATAAAAATTTACAACAGTGATTAATTTTCAGTTTTTATTGAAATGTGAAAATGCATTTTCTCTTTCTGAGAAATTAATAAAATTAAAACGCGTCAATATTAGATATATTTTATTTAACGTAAATATATTTTCAATATTGAAATAGAAATAATAAATTTTACTCACATTTTCTGTTGCAAAAATTGTCAAATAATTAAGAAATTGTAAATATCAATTAATTGCTCATGCTGTATTTTCACATCAATAAAATTTATTTATTACCAAAATGATTTAGATGAGGTTTTTAATTATTAAATTACTTAGAGAGAATCTAAAGACAATAAAATTTTATTTAATTAACTCTTTTTTGCTTCATGAAGCAAATAATCAATAGAAGAAATTTGTAAAAAAAATTACCTTGTAAAGGTCAAGGGCAATTTTGCAATGTTGGTGCGGGTCGAGGGGCTCGTCGAGGAGTTTGCGGGGGGAGTTTCTTCCGGCGGGGGCCTGTTTCCGCTGGGGGACGGTGGCGGGGCCGGCTCGGTTGGGGGCCGTGGAGGCGAGGGACGCGAGGCTGACGGAGCGCGAGATGCCCGAGTCGTGCGAGAGGGCGGCCATCGAAGCCCCCTGGGCCCCCGGGGGGGCCCCCGAGGCCCGTAGGTCGCCGAGGGAGCCGCGCTGCCGCGTGGGGATGCGCGACCGCCTCCGCGGGGGCGGCGGCCGCTGCATTTCGGACGCTTTTCTTTGCTGGGGTTGGCAGATTGTTGTGGTTTTTGGTGCTCGCTCGGTCGGAGGCTGCACCAGCTGCATGGGGCACACCACGTGCGCGCGCGCACCTTCAACTTTGCCCCGCCAAGGCCAGAACGAGCTGCAGTGAGCAGGTGCGAGGGGGTGCTTCGATTGATCACGTACGGCGGGGGTGCGCATTCAATCTTAATTAAATTGCTTTCGCTTCTTCACACGCCCGGCAGGCTTTGATTTTTTGATTAAAATTAATCGCATTTTTTTATTAATAAATTATTGAATTCTCATTTTTCTTAATTGATGCGTTTGTTTGATATCAATAAAGTGGACGCACTCTGCAAATTTAAATACAATTAATTTATTTTTGATAGTCTGCACAATGCAAAATTATGAAATTTCCAAACAAATATCAAATTGCAATTATAAATTACTTTCTAGCCTAGTAACTGATTGATTTCTTTGACTCAATCCAACCAACAAATGCATAAAGGATCAGTGCGTAAAACATTAATGGATTAAATTAAAATGCAGTTTTATTTTGGGCTATTTTAATTCCATAAATTACAAAAGCAGAAAATGTTGTGATTTTCGAACCAAATCCTTTTGGTCCTCGAGTTTTTCATTTGGGAATTGTGAATACAATTTCGCTTTGTAGCTTCCCTTTGAGCGAAAATTAAAATTTGAAAATGTTTATTTCCAGCTGAAATTTGAACAAATCCTGAATCAAATCAAATTATGGTGATTATTTAATAAGAAACAATTGTTTTACTAAAAAATATTTGAAGAAATGTCAATTAAATTTAATTGACATTTATGATGAATAATTAAATAAAAAGTATTGCGACGTAAAAATTGACATGAAAAGTATACGAAAAGCGACACCGCAGGCGGAAACGCTGAACCGCACGACACGCGTGGCGAGCCAGTTGCCTAACTTTTGTATTGCAGTTTTAATTTCAGAAAAATCAATCCCCGGTCCAAACATTTTGCTTTGGTGGACCGCCTTTCATCCGAAAGGAATTTGTCCGAAAATGCCTTTTCGGACTTCATCCAAAAATTTGGAAATAGTCCGAAAAAAATCGTAATTTATCCAAAAGGAAATAGGCAAAAAAAAATCGGAATTCATCCGAAAGGAAATAGGCCGAAAAATGCCTTTTCGGACTTCATCCGAGTAATCCGTCACTGGGGAATTGAATAAATTTTTGATATTTTCATATGTTCTTTTATTAATGTGATTAGAAAAGTATAAATTCTGTTCCATCTGATAAATTTGTGGCATAAAAAAGGTAATATATAAGATTCTTTTTAAATTATTCTTGCTGCTTGATGTTGGAAAAGTTTTAGTTTGATAATTAAAAATTATTTATTTTATAAAAATGCCAATTTCCTTAGGAATGACTTACTGAAAATTGAAAATTTCCACGTGTAACTTGTGTCCCAATATATGCTGAGAAAAATGTGTCACGTGACGTGCGCTTGTGTCGCTTTGTCCGGTAAGTTGTGTCTGCTGTAACTTGTTGCCGCATCACAAAACCACACAGTTTTTCCAAACGTTTTGCCAGGTATAAGAAGTGCCATTTTCGTTTATCTCAGCATTAAACTTGTTTATGTTCAAACTCCTAATACAATTGATTGATAAAAAAAAAAACGGTATATTATTTTCATAGCCAGTTTTCGGATTAATTCCGATTTTTTCGGCCTATTTCCTTTCGGATGAATTCCGATTTTTTTCGGACTATTTCCAAATTTTCGGATAAAGTCCAAAAAGGCACTTTCGGACTAATTCCTTTCGGACCAAGTCCGGCGACCCTTTGCTTTTCGGTCCCAAACCCGCCGTCAAAGTTGGTTTAAATTTCGATCCCACAAATTTAAAGACTGCACGAACCAGAAACGTGAAGCCTTTCGTCTTTTTGTTTTCAACATCGCATTGCATCGCATTTTTTTAATTTTTTTTTTATTTAAAACTCAAGTCAATACAATAAAAATCGGCTAACTCAAAGACCAGCACCGGTATAAAAAATTTTCTTTCGTTTCAATTGCATCAACAAAATTTCGTAGACCCGGCATTGGAAACTTTTCCTCCAATACGTTTGAAACTTTGAACATTTAATATTAATTTTAACAACTAAAACTCTGTCACGTTCTGGAAACTCGCACCAATGGGCGCGTCCGAAGTGATAAATGTGTGTGTTTTTTTTTGTTTTTTTTATTTTTTTTTTTTTTTAGGGTCAGGCCAAGACAAAGTCTTGTCAGCCTGTGCCCTTTATTGGTGGTACAGAAGGCACCACCCAATTAATTTTTTTTTATTTTTATTTTTGGGTTTATCTTTATTTAAAAAATCATCATTTTATCAATGTAATTAAAAAGGTTGCTCAAAAGTAAATTATTATACCTCTGAGAATTGGTTGTGCTTTCACGCAGCTTTTGCGTCTTTGTAACAACTAGAAAATTTAAAACACCTTTGTAAAATATTTTATAAATCCAGCACGCGTCAAAATGAATAATACATATCCCAAAAACAATTTTTAGATTTCCCCCTGCTGTATATTTGGAATCCGCGCCGGATTTTTGCTCTCGACTAAAGGAATTTATTTTATTTACAAGTTATACTGAAATTGTGAAAATTACTTGGTGTGTGTGAGTTTTCAAAATTTTTCCAACACATGCACGTGCAGCGGACGGAAAACGATAAGCAGCCCCCTTTGCGAGGAAATTGATTGTCTTCAACGAGGTCACGTTGGAACACTTGACAAGGAAAAGCTGGACACGAGAGAAAAAGCTCAATTTTTTTTAAGTGCCCATTTCTTCACCTTGGTAACGAAAGTCGTACGCAATTCATGGAAATTTTTTGATTTAAAAAACAATAATTTCAATGAAAAATGTGCATGTAGCTACCATGAAAAATTTCTTTTTCTTGAATGTTGACAATTCTGGACAAATCGCGACTTTTAGATTTCTTTTAGACAATAAGAAAATTAAAATTGTAATTCAAGAAATTAAAATACAAAAATAAAACGACCAAAAAACGATAAAATTTGCTTAACTTTCTTCATTATTGCGATCTGGACAGGCAAAATTGATTTTATAATAACAATCAATAACAATTAATGCTTCTTTAATTCAGATGCAATATTTTGTGATTTGTGACCATATTTTGGTTTGAAAAGTTTGTGACGCATAATTCTGGCAACATCCTTCAAAATGTGCTTATTTAAAAATATTAACTTGAAGTAAAAACTTTTGAAATTAATTGTATTTTACAGGCGTACAGGAAGTGAACGAGGTCGAGAGATAAAAATTCTTTTTCCAAAGAAAAAAGAGGCCTAAACGTTTGGTCGTCCATGGTCGTCCAAAGGTGTAATTCCGCGGGCGATAAGTTTTCACCAATTTTCGTCGTTGGCCATTTTTTCTGGAATTGCGTGTCGTCCTCGATTATATAGAGGAATTGCAATTTGCTAAAAGGCAACAAATTGAGATTAACTTTTCGCAAACATAGGTCTGAACGGTCAACTCGCGGTTCTCTTGGTGACGACCTGCTTTTCGGGTAGAGGTAAAGTTTTTCAATATTAATTTGAAAAGTTTCGATCCTTCCCAGAGAATTGAAAATTGCTCAAAAGTTCCTCATTGGTGCAGGAATTATTGAGGGCGATCCAAAAGCCTAACCTGGCCCAGGCTAACTTGACTTAGCCCCGGGCTAACTTCGCCCACCAGCAAAATTGAATGGCGGGTTAAATTAGCCCGGGCTAAGCTAATTTAGGCTGGGTCAAGTAAGCCTTTTGGATCGCCCTCATTAAATTTATTGAAGGCGATCCAAAAGCCTAACCTGGCCCAGGCTAACTTGACTTAGCCCTGGGCTAACTTCGCCCACCAGCAAAATTGAATGGCAGATTAAATTAGCCCGGACCAGGTTAATTTAGCCTGGGCCAAGTTAGCCTTTTGGATCACCCTCATTAATTATAATATAAACCATTTGATCTCTTCTCTGATCATGGACGTGCAGATGGAGTAATTAAATTCATTCCAATCTTATTTTGTTTCCCAAAAGTTAAACATATTGAGGGCGATCCAAAAGCCTATCCTGGCCCAGGTTAACTTGACTTAGGCCCGGGCTAACTTAACCCACCAGCAAAATTAATTAAATGGCGGGTTAAATTAGCCCAGGCCAGGTTAATTTAGCCTGGGTCAAATTAGCCTTTTGGATCGCCCTCAATATTTCATATCTATCCAAGTTCCTCACTTCAAGTTATTGATTATGCTTCAAAATTTGGTTTTGGACAAAAAAATACACTCGAATACATACAAAAATTAATTAAGACGAAATAAAAACTGAAATATGTCTAAAAACCATGTTTTTTTATTCTTAATTTTAAAATCCGCTAATATTTGCGTTTATACGGACTGAAATTTTGAGCTCACCGGAATTTAGAAGGAAGTAAATTGCTTGGTTTTCAAAATTTTCCAACACATGCAGGGATGTCGTGCAGCGGAAAACTCAAAACGATAACAAGCCCTATACTCTTTGTTTTTTTGCTTGAAAACAAAATAAATTGCCTTCCAGCTTGGCACGCAACTTCGAAAAGAAAAAGCCCCACTTGCGCATTTCAGTTTTAATTAAGCTCTAATTAAAATTTGCCATTTCATGCAAAAAAATAGTTCTACAATGGAATTCAAACGAAAAACTTGATTTTAACTATTTGCGTTAAATTCTCCTATTTTTTTCTAACACCAAAATAATAAGTATATAAATTGCAAACAAAAGTATCATTTACCAAAAACTCTCAACGTTAAAAAAATACTATCAACGAATGACTTTGTTTGGAAAATTAACCATCCCATCCCACGAAGCTCAAAGTTGTACGTTCGCCTATCTTGGAGGCACAATTAATTGCCTTTTACATGACGAAACAAAAGCAGGAAACAATGAAAAGCTCATTTTTGTCGCCCAGTTTGCAGCTTCAGAAACAGAAATCGTGGAATTTTTATGATTAAATAAAAGCTTTATACCTTCCATTACAATAAAATAAACTAATGACAGAAAAAAATGTTGGAAAATTCGTATTTTGACATGATTAATTGGTAATGATAACTCGCAATACATGATCTTCTTGCATGTACCTCCAACAAAGCAGCAAATTACACTCATGGTGTGTTTTCAGCAATGACCAAAACGATAGATTTTCTAATTTTTTAAACTCTTTCTCTAGGAAAGCTAATTCTTCTTCTTATTAATCTGAAGCTCCTATATTGAAAAGAGAGGAAGAACTGACGTAATTTACAATGATGATTTATTTCAGTTTGATTTTTTACTTTGCAACTCCTTCAATTCGTGCATCGTTAAGAATATTGAAGTAAATTATATACCGATTAAATTAATTGCAGTTTTCGACGAACAGGACGTGAACGTTGTCAGAGATAAAGTTTATTTTCCCGAGAGGGACAATTGGGGTCGTTCCCAGGGACAAAAAAGGTAATTAATTTTAAGGTGATAAAAGTTTCTCACTTTTCGTGCCTGCTTCCTATTGCCTTCAATTAGTTATTTGTCTCTAAAAAGTGCTCGTGTATGTCAAGCATTTCCGTATAAACAAAGCGTGAAAAATTTAAATCAAATATAAAATATTTTTGCTCTCCCAATGTCCCAATTCACTCATTTTCCTTTTCCTCAGAAAAATAAAATAAAATTAGCCTTGAAAAGTGTGTTCGGTGCAGTCCGGCATTTGCGTCACAAAAGAGTCTCGTTTTCAAATATTTCCGCTTTTAAAAACAGTTAAATTCTGATCTCCAAACTGAAAATTTCAAAAACTTGGTATGATTTTATTTTTTATTTTTGTAATTGGCGCGGTGAACCAACTTTTTTTACCAAAAACTCTCAACATGATAAAAAAAAATATTGTTAATGTTATTTATTTGGAAAATTGGAAAACATTTTCCATTTCACAAAGTTCAAAGTTGCGGAAGAAAAATTCATTGCCTTCGGCGAGCCCGCTTTCACGGTTGGCACGAACTTGATAAGGAAATAAGCGCAGGCAGGGAAGAAAATGTCATTATTTTTATTGCCTCCATTTTCACCTTTGGAAATCGTGCACGCCACATTATTTGTTGCATATTTTATAATTTAAAATAATAATAATTATAGTTCGATTGAAGAAATTGGCACTCAAGGAGACGATCATGAAATTGAAGAAAACAGACTTTGTCCCCGTTGAAAAATTGTTCCAACGATAACAATAAATATGCATGTACCTGTCAATGAAAAAGTAATAAAATTGCAATCATGTCGTGTTTCCATATCCATTATTTATTAAGTAAAAAAAGACATGACAACAATTATTGCACAACTTTTTGTCTAGGAATGCATTACTTTCTTCAGATTATTCTTTCCTAGTAGACGAAATTAAATTACATTTATCTAAATAAATGATGAATAAATGATGATAATTGATGACAATAAAGATAAAATAAAAATAAAATAAACAAATACCCAAATAATATAAGATTGGAGCTTGCCTTCCGCAAGCTCAATAAGGGCACAGGCCGACAAGACACTTTGTCTTGGCCTGACCCAAAAAAAAAAAAAAAAATATTCAGTTATGATATAATATATTTTGCAAATATGTCAGTTTGAATAATTTTTACCCACAATATCGGTAACTTTTTCAATTTGTGCTTGATTGACGATACTTGAAGTGAAAACCGTTGAAATTAATTGCAGTTGGCACCGGACGTGCACGAGTTCAGAGATAAAGTTTGTTTTTCCGAAAAGCAGAAATTGGGGTCGTTGTATTTTACGAAGTGATAAAAGCGGTTTTATCATTTGTTACGTGCCTGCTTCCCATTGGCTTGTTTTTCAAATTGCATGTCACCGTCGATCATTTAAAAGGAAGGCAAAATTTCAAAACTAGAAGTCTCAACAAACATGGGTCTGAACGGTCAACTCGCGGCTCTCCTGGTGACGACCTGCGTCTTGGGCAGAGGTAAAGTTTTAGTTGCAAAGTGTGTCTTTATTGATTTATCTTTTGGCAACTACTGCCCAAACAGATCAGACATTCAAGAATTATCAATTGAAAACATGCATTTTAATTTTGATAAGTTTCCATCCATCCTGGAGAATTGAATATTTCCCGTACTTAGAAATCAATGAGGGCGATCCAAAAGGCTAACTTGGCCCGGGCTAATTTAACCCGCCATTGAATTTTGCTGGAGGGCTAAGTTAGCCCGAGGCTAAGTTAACTTAACCTGGGCCAGGTTAGGCATTTGGATCGCCCTCAATAAATTTTTAATATATTTTTTAGATATACGCACATTTCAAACATGATTTTCATAATTGTTGAAAAAGTTGAGATTAAGTTTACTGGACGCGCATTATGGTGCTTAATTTTTTCTAGATGTAGTAATGTTTCTTCGATCCGTCCAAGGTCCTCCCCCCCCCCCCCCCCCTTCCAAATTTGGTTTTGGAAACGCAAAATCTCAGTGTCGTTTTTATAATTCACAATTCTCGCTTTACATGAACGTTGACACACTACTCAGACCAGGGGGTGAGAAAATGCACACCCAGAGGCTGGTGATTTTCTCACCCCCCTGGCCTCCGTGCGCAATTTTTAAATGATTCTGTTTTCTTTCCCACTCCCAGTTGCTGCTTCAAACGGACCAATCGTGCAACTCAACGCAGCAGATTACCCAAGCATGGTAAACACTATTTTTTGCCGTTTAAGTATGATTTTCCGGCCAAGAAAAAAAGCGACAATTGCTTTTTTTAATCAAAGATCATTAAAAAATCGTTCAAATAGTTTAAAAAAAACCGTTTTATTGACTTGTATTAACAATTTAATCAAGCTTATTGTACGAAAATATCACAGAAATAATGAGGGCGATCCAAAAGCCTAACCTGGCCCAGGCTAACTTGACTTAGCCCCGGGCTAACTTAGCCCACCAGCAAAATTGAATGGCGGGTTAAATTAGCCTGGGCCAAGGTGGCCTTTTGGATCGCCCTCAATGTCAATACAATGATGGTTGGGAATGAAATTATCAAATTAATTATTGATGAGAAACTTGGCGCAGGTAATGGTGAGAGGGGACGATGATGGGGATATTTACTATTCACCTGGCGTGTTCGTCTCTAAACGGATCGTCGTTACCAACAGGGAAATATCGTAAGATTTGATTCTCATTACGAGAGATGCTTTTATTTACTTTTGATTGCAATTGCAAGTTACGGTACTGCTACCGTTGCTGTGGGAGGCCAAATTATACCGGCGGTCTGGATTTCAGGCAACGGCAAAGTGGCCGTGCTTAAAATATGCTACAAGTTCCCGGGCCCGTTCGAGACGCTGATGTCCAACCACTTTGACTTCACCACCAACGTCACCGGCACCGTCGCGTTCTATTACCCAAACGGCGTAAGTTATTCCTCAATTAAAGAGGACACTGGCAATTTTTTTTAAATTCAGAATGTGAATGTAGACCAAATAAGGTGGAAATTGAATTTGAAAAATTTCTCACCACTTAAGCGTAAGAACAGGGAATAGCATTTTGGCGTCAAAAGCATTCACTCAGGACAGGGGGTGAGAAAATACCCAGACGCAGGCTGGTGATTTTCTCAACGGCCTCCGTCGGCTCCGTCTTTGATATGTTCGAATTCGAATCTCGGTCTTTGAGAATTATTGACTCTTTTGATTTAATTTGCAATCTGGAGGTTCAAATTCGTGTGGCGAGAAAAGGTGTGGTCCCTGGTTTCGATCTTGATTTCATGAAACTTGGCCTTTGTCACATATTTTCTGGAATATAAAAATCTCTTTTATTGAATTGAAATTTGCAGACGTTGTTCGGACACACGGCGACGGTGCTTGCCAACGCCAACTGTCCGCAGGAGTACACCGACACCGGTCTCGACTCTTCCTTTTTCGACACGGACGGTTCCTCAGCGTGCACGCAACTCGACGCCGCCGGTGATTGCTCGGTATACCAAATTTGTTAAAATGTTTTAATCTTTTAATGAAATCGTTGAACTTTTGTTTGCAGTACGCCAACCTGCCCGAATACATTGATACTGCTTTGGTGATCAATGGAGTGGTGGAGGGTTTTGTGAGCGACGTCAGGTGCCACCCGACAACCGGCTTGTACGAACAACCCTCGGGATTCAAATTGATACCGTTCAACAAGGACTACATTTTGACATTTGCACCCGACGCCATTCCTTAATGATTCGAAAATATTAAGCGTCTTATTTGTGTGCAAAAGCAATAAAATATCTGCATTTTGGAAAAACCTTTTTCAAAATTTCTCTGGCCCCAAGCATGCTTTCAAGTGTGACCGAACGTGTAAAAACACGTTCAAGGTCACTTTCAGCCAAATATTTTAACACTGAGTCAAATTTTCGAAATGAACACCCCTTTCGATTTTATTTTTATTTTTGAGGAATGAAACAAAATGTAGCCCATCTAATTTAGAATCGATATAGTGAAAATCAAGTTCGTTAAAATGTATTTTTTTATTTCACTTTACTTCAGTGAATTAAAACGTTACTTAAATCAACTATTTTTGCTGCCATTTGAAACCAAAAATCAATTTTTGGTTTCAATTTTCTAATAAAATTATATTAGTATGTAAAATATTTTACTATTGATATAACTAGACGACCAGGCTACTATTTTCCTATTCCTCCTCGAAAATCAAACAGGGTGTTCATTTTTAAAATGTGAGTGAAAAGTTGTTGGGCGTTGCAAGAAAGGTTTGTTTTGAAGATTTCGTCACGAACAGAAAAATAAAAAAAATCCATTTTTCAGTTTTTTTTAAAAGCATTTTTCAGTTTTTTTTTAAAAGAATTTTTAAAAAAAATTTAAAAAAAAAACTTTTGGAATTTTTTTTAACCTATCGACAAGAGGCCTTAATTTAAGCAAAAAAAGATGTACCGAGGAATAAAAAATATATTTTTTAACAAAATTCCAAATTCCTGTATTAAATTCATTGAAAGCCCGACCGGCGATTGCTCGGTACAAATTTGTTTGGTTCTCAACCGATTATCAAATAATACCGAACTTTTTTGCAGTCATGCAGTGTAAGCTAACGAGGTTTACTCTGCTTTGGTGATCAACGGGGTGTTGGAAGGGTTCATGAAAAATGCCCGGTGCTCGGCAAGCAACGTCTACAAGGGGCCCTCGGATTTCGCTTTGGCCCAGTTCAACAGGGATTTCATTTTGTCGGTGGTGCCCGACGCCATTCCTTGATTTCTTAAAAAAAATTAGTCGGCAAAAATAAGAGCAATGAAACACATGGTGCTTGATTGGAATTTTTATAAACACGCCTTCATTTATTTCACTCGGGCGCGCAATTAACCGTTTCTCAACTTACTCAATTGCGGACATATACGTGTGCTTATTTTTATTCACACCATTTGAAGTACGTGAGTTGAACATTAATACTTGATGTGAAATTGAAATAGTTCGTTGAATAAAAATGAAATATTAATAAAGTGTAAATGTCGACAGCAGACGCTACGCAGACCCGCACAGCACGCGTGGCTAGCCAGTTGCCTAACTTGTTTTATTTTTTTTTAACACTTTTTGTGTGCTAAGTGAGTTTATGCATCGCACATCGCATACATCCTTACAAAAAGCACTGCGTCGATTCTAAGCTTTTTGATTTAGCATGTTGTTTATTTTTTAATTCGATTTCAAAATGAAATTAAATATTTGCTATTAGCCTCAATTTTCTTGCAAAAGCGATAATGATCGAGTCGTAAAGTTACATTTAGAGACTTTTGTTCGGCAAATTTGTTTTTGTGCAAGAGTCTGAACCGAGTTGTGACTCAGACTTATCATTAAAATATATTGCAGCAAGTTACTTCTGACGGCGTTTTATCGCTTCGACGTTTGTTGTTTGTGCTCATAATTTTAAATTACTCCCTGTTTTTGCCGGGCATGTGGGCGAAATTAATTACATTTTTCTACTTTAATTGCTCTGCGTCACATAGTTTTTATTTATTTATTTTTAATGAGCTCTCGGGTCAAAAGAAGTCAAAAGGACGCGGCACGTGCGGAAAACGACACGAATTAAGCATATTGATGGCGATCCAAAAGCCTAACCTGGGTCAGGCTAACTTAACCTAACCTGGGCTAACTTAGCCCATCAGCAAAATTGAATGGCGGGTTAAATTAGCCTGGGCCAAGTTAGCCTTTTGGATCGCCCTCAATTATTTTCATGACAGTCCTATTGCCTATGACATATTCTGGCACATTTAAATTTTGAAATTTATTGCGATCACGATCAGGCAGCAAAATTTTATGCTGAGAGAATATAGGAATATAAAAGGGGGTCTGGCTCAGCTATATAGATACAAAAATGATTGAGTCGCGTGTTTTTATCTCATTTGCCTAGTAATTATTACAACTTAATTATGGCTTGCTGGCAAATTATCCGAATTCGAACAAAATTGTACTTGATTAAATTAATTATATAATGACGATGCGTCAATAAATCGATTTATAACTAGTGATGACGATTGTTGGCACAACTTGTGCATAAAAAAGATAATGAATCGCGGTAGGTTTTTCTAATTTGTCTTATTTTTTGATGTTCTGCTTTTCAATAATAAAGTTGATAATTTGACAGTGAAAATATATTGGTGAGTAAAATAACCATCCAAATAGTTCCTTCTTCAAAGCAGTTGTGCATTTATTTGGGTACGGAAAGTATAAATAAACCAGCAATTCCTTTTTCAGTTTGATTTTTTTTATGCTTTTTTTTTCATAAAATTTTATTAAAATTCTCATCAAATTCATTTTCGTGACATTTCAAGTGTTTTCTGTGGAAAGCGGATGCTCTTTAGATAATGATGTTTATGTCATTTTAATTACTTTTATAAAGAGGAAAGAGGGCAGCACATTTTAGCGATAGCGCGCGTGAACCAATTAACTTTGAAAGTGCTAGATGCTAGAATAAAAATATTACCAACAGCCATGAAAAATGTTGCATTTTAAATTTAAATGCAAATGTTCCTAAGAAAGATGTTTAAAAAATGTAAAAATTTCTTCAACCTTGTAATGACAATGACCAATAAGCTGGAAAAATGATTTTTTTTAGACCAAAAAAAATTTTTAAGCAAAAGATTTGTTTTTTAAAAGTTGCGCAACGAGAAACTCCAAAACGAGTTTTATTTAAGTGCCTATGCAAAAGATAGTCTGTCATGACTGTAATTTATTTCCCAATTGTAATTGTTATCGCAACAACAATCGAGCGCGATAAAAGATATAGATACGGTTTTAGGGTTTACAAAAACTCCTGTCAAATTAATTTTGGTATCTTGATTTTTTTAATTTTCTTGTGGCAAGGTTTAGAGCTTAATGTGCATCAAGGACCCTGGTGAAAGGTCAAAATATGATTATGAGTTTTTTTCTGTAAAATTGGGCTCTGAATATGTCGTTTACAATTTTTAAGCGTCAAATTTTTAAAGGAAAGAATTTCTCGATTTTCAAAAGTTTCTAATGGACGCTCAATGTTGAAACATTGAAAAATTCTCACCACACCAACGATTTTAATTTTAATTGTCGTTTTCTGACTCTGGACGTGCGCAAGATCAGAGATATAACTTATTTTTCGTAGGAAAAACTTCTAGAGAATCATTTTATAGTGAAATTTATAATCTTATTTTTCAAACAAAAAATGCTGTTTAGTTTCTCACTTTTAACTACATCGTTTAAAAGATGGCACAGCAATTTGTTGAGCGATAGCGCGCGTTTTAAATCTCAATTTAATTAAACATGCATCCGGATGAAAATATTTTTGATGAACAGAATCAATTTCATTTCCTTATTACTTAGAATTTGAATACTACATCATGTTCCTGAAGAGAAAAAATGATGATTGAAATTTCACCATGTTGTAGGTCAAATGCCAAAATTAGTAAAGAGTGGAGGAAAATAATAAAATGATATAAATTTACGTGCCACAAGTTAATTTTATACCAAAATTAAACAATTTACAATCAAAACTCATACTTTTTACATTAGTTATGATCGTTTACCGACACAGTTCACCATTTTTCAGACTCGGTGTGGTTAGCTCTTCTCGTTTCGTTTAATAAATTCACTGCTGAAACCGGAAACACTCAAGCCAAATCCACATTTTGCCCAAATGACAATCGTGGAGCCGGAGCAGACTTTATGTGCACAAGATTCGCCAATGGGTGCGATTGCCGACGCCCAGGTGGAAGGGCAACCTGTGCAGGTTGATGACCTTGTCGTTGACTGCAAAAAAAGACATTTACGAATAAAATTGAATTAAAAAAAAATGTGCATCCCTCACCATAGACGAAGAGCTCAAAAAGCTGTGGGTCTTCCGAGGGCTGCAGGTACCACAGCTGCTCAGGGGAGTTTCTCAGGGTGGACAACTCAGCTTGCTCAGGTCGCCGCAGCTGCAGGTGGAGGCCGTCGGCGTTGGTGAAGCGGGCGACGCCCCTCGCGTCCAGCGTCAGGCGCAACGCACCCTCCAAAAAGCATCTTTGCTCGGCCAATCGTCGCGCCCAAGATGGCGCCTCTGAAACCACCCGATCGCAATCCTCCGCAGCACCCTCAGGGTTTGCAAGTATAGCTATAAAACAGGAGGTATTTAAAATAAATGAAGGTGCAAATTTGAAAAATTAAACTCCAACTCTTATGTAAAGGATGAATTTTAGCAAAAAATTCTTCCTTATCAATTTTCCCATATATTAGATCAAAATTAAAAAAAATGCATGTTTCCTTGCAACTTGCTCTAACTATAATTATTATTTTAATAAATGATGTTGCTTTAATTGAAAAACGAGGCACCTCCTCAATGCGTTGCTTTGTGAGTCAGTAGTAGTTTTATATAGCAAAAGCAAATATCGAGGAGTGCAGAAAGCAAGAGTATTTTTCTATTTTAGACGTTATTGTTTTTGGAAAAAACTAACCAAAAAAATTCTCCCTACAAAGAATGTTTAAAATACATTAAATTTAAAACGAAAATTTAAGCATCAAAAAGCGGAAAAAACGAAACTAATAGTATTTACATAAAACATTAAATTATCAACAAAAAAAAAATAAAAAAGTTATAGTTATTTTTTAATTCATAATAACTATCTGAACCATCGAGGTATTTCAACTAAAACAACAATCAACTGTGTGAAAATTCCGTTTTTTTTTGTCTATATTGAAATGTCACGCATACCTTTACCCTGAACAAGTCTGACAAGGCTGGCGGCGCCATTTTGGAGGCCGAGTTCGCGCGTGGCTTGGGCGTCGACGGCCAGTCTGGCGCAGCGGGTGACGCCCAGCGAGCGGAAGAAGGCGAGCGTCGTCGCGTCGACGCTCAGTTGACGCTGCGCCAGAACGAGGGCCTTGAGCGCGGGCGGGTAGGCCGTGTCGACGGCGTCGGCCAACGACAGACGCACCGCCTCGAGCCACGCCCCCCGCAGACACGCCCCCATCGTTTCCGCGCTGGCCGACGCCCGGACGTCGTCGTAGGCGCGGGCGACGGCGTCGGCCAACGGGACGCAGTGCGTCCCAAAGTGCTGGGCGCTCGCGTGCTCCTTCACGTACGGCAACGCGTCCAGCGTGGACAGACGCATGGCCACGCGCTGGCAGACGGACGCGTCGGCGCCCAGCGCAGAGTGCAGCGTCAGCGCCGACTGGCAGTAAATCTCGAAGCGGTGCAGCAACAACGAGCTCAACCGCGTCACGCTCACCGCCCCACTGCAAAACAAGCAAAAAATGTATAATATTTTACTGACAGCGTGAAATAAAATTAAAAACCATTTTAAACTTGGATCGGGCTTTTGAGCCATTTGTTTTTGAATAAAAACAATTTTTCTGCAACGAGGAAAAGCCCGATCGCTTCATTTCCATGATCATCTCCTCGAGTGTCAACTTCTTATCAAACATTTTAAACTTCATCAGTTAAAATTACAGCATTTCTTGTACGTCGACTTTTATTCACTTTAATATTATTTTTGCATTTTACTTCTATTTATTATTGTTTATACCGGTTTTAGGACAAAAGAGGCAAAAGACAGGCCTGTGAAGCTTGGATTTTAATGTATATTGATTTTTAAATTTATTTAGACTCATTAAACTTTTACTACAATTTATTTTAAATTCTAGTTTGACCCCTTTTTTAAAGGAATATTAAAAAATGTAATCAGAATAAAATGCTTAATTGGTAATAAAAATTAGCAAAATTAATTGAAACTCCCATTTTATCAGCTAGCTGCTTTAATTTGATTCAACTTAAGGTTATACTTTAAATGATATTTACTTAAAAAAAAAGATTCAACTAAAATTAAATAATAAAAATAATTCAAAGCGATTCTAAAAGACAAGGAAGAAATATCGCCCTGGGGCTTTATTGGGTAAAAGTTAGCAAATTGAAATAAAACGACTATTTTATCAGATGCTTAAACTTGATTCAACTTTAGGTAATTTATAAATAAATAAATAAATAAATGCCTTGATATTTACTTTTGAATCTAGTTTTTTACTCAAATTAAATGAAAGTAATAATTAAAAGCGATTCGTAAAGCCGAGGAAGAATTTTCGCCCCGGGGCTTTATTGGAAAAAGTTAGCAAATTGAAATAAAACGACCTTTTTATCATCTGCGTTAACTTGATTCATCTTTGGATGCTGCTTTGATATTTACTTTAAATCAAGGATTTTACTCAAATTAAATAATTAAAATAATTAAAAGCGATTCTTAAAGCTGTGGAAGGTACGGCAAAAAGGATGTTTCTTTAAATAATTTTGCCAAATGTAATTTTATTTACTTAATTTATTTCCAGGATGATCTTTGACCTGTAATGCCTTTTAAGTTGTAATTAAAGGAGGTTTTCCTATAAAATAATAATCGAAATAAAATAGGTTTTTGTTGCATTTCAAGTTCTTTGACATTCTTTAAAAGCTACTGAACTAAAAATTGTCTGAAAATAAGTAAACCTTTTAACCGAAAATTCCAATGAAAAATAGAACTGAACCGGTGATTCATTAATAAACACATTTTGAAAATAAATTTTCTAATTATGCCCAAATAAATTTACCAATTTAATTAAATTTCTCAATTTTTGCCAAATAATTCGAGTTGTGAAAAATTCCGAATACAGTTTATTTTCTTACTATCGTTGCAGATTTGGGGTCACGCTCGAGTCCTTATAATTATATTTGAAAAGGGAATAATTTATAATTATTTTGTACCTCTTGATCTGTGGCACGAGTCGGTTGATGATCATGTCGACGGCCTCCTGTGACCTGCCGATCTGCTTGGCGACGAGCAGGGTTTGGTTTGTGACGCCGCCGTCGTGTTGGCGCTGCAGGTCGGCGACGAGCAGGTCAAGGAGGCGGGCCCGTTCGGCGCCAACGTTGGCAAGCAGCGTCAACAACGCGTCCTGCTCGGCGTCGACCATCGCGTGCACGCAGCAGCGCAGCATGTGACGCAAGACCTCGTGCACGCTGAACGCCAGGTACGGCTTCGTATCCAAGATGGCCGCTGCGCGCAGTTCCTGCCAAACGGCCGCCACCGCGCTCGCCGATCCGGCCGCCTGCCCAAACGCCAGCAACGCGCTCACGCTGCGTCCGTCCTTCACCCAGGGGTGCGGAAACAGACGACGCACCACGCACGACGCCACCAACGGCTGATCCTGCAACAGAAACAGAAATTATGAAAGTTTCAGAAATGGATTGCGTGAAATTGTGAAAACTTCTGCTCACAGAAATGTAAAAATGATTTAAAATGTTGTAATAAGTGCCACAATCTAACGCAGTGATGCTATTTTTCACTTGTTTCTTTTACATTACATTTATGCTAAAATTTCAAAAGAGAAACTGATAATTAGAAAATAAGCTGAGTTTCTATTACATAAAATAAAAAATAATCTAAAACTTCCATGAAAAGTTGCACAAATTTAAAAAGATTCTTATTTTTTCTGATGTTATTTTGTTCTATTTATTCGTTCTACGCACCTTGGTATTTATCAGTAATTATATAGCATGACACGTGAAATATTTAGACTTTGAAACACCATAATTATCGCGTTTAATAGCCACTTTTATGATATATCCAATATTTCATATTTCTCCAATTTTTTTATTGCAATGTGACGTTAATGCAGTTAACAACTTTTTTTTCAGCCACAACATAAGATTCAAAATATTTAAATACTTCGTTAATTATTGATAATTTTGGAGACGGAACGTGGAGTCTGGGCAATTTTTACCAAATTTGAGACTAGTTAATAGAAAAATAAAAAAGAAACAAGCCTGTTTTGGCACCGAGGCAAGAAGGAGTTTTGCGGCGTCTTCGATTTCAGGCGGGACGACGGTGAGGTCGGTGCCTGGCGTCGTCCACTTGGTGTTGGCCGTGCTGAGGAGGCGCTCGAGATCTGGCAAAGGACCGCAGCTTTGGGGTCGGCCAAGCGCCAAAATCGACAACATCACCACAAAAACTTTGCTCATTTTCTGCGAAAATCAATAATCAAATTAAAAAAGCAAGTTTCAATTAAATTAAAACATGGTGAATTTCAATGGCAAAAAAAAAATGTACATTTGTTCCCTATAAACTTGCTCCAAGGAAAATTAGCAATTCAAAATGTATTTTTATCTTGCATGTGAAATTTGTCCGTTTTTATTTATTTATTTTCTATTTTCCAAGGTGCTGATAAACATGCACAATTAAATTAACAAAAACTAAGTATATACCTATTTTTTAGTGCAGAATGAAGTTTCCTGGAGTCCTGCAAAGGTCGTTGTTGCCAAAAACGCTGAATAATTAAGGTTCCGTCTCTGATCGTTGATAGCTGTGGGGATTCCTGATGTGAATATTTTTTTGCGTCAGTTCCCTCAAACATCCTTTTTACTCAACGGCCTGTAAAAGAGTGACAAGTTCCACACACATTAATTTGCGCCTCTTAAAAAACGAAGAGGAGAAAAAACGGCAAAGAGAATCAAACCGGTTTTTCAGGTGCGACCTTCTGCCCTGCCAACTCAGGCACGCGCACGTTTTTTTTCCTCTTCTTTCCCGAGAGAACAGTTTAGATGCGTGCGTCGGATGGGTTGTTGTTGCTGTGGTGGTGCTCAGGGTGGACGGTGGTGGCCACCCTGACGGCCGAGTATGTGCTGCGGACCATTGGCAAGGACGAGTGCCAGGTGCCGGAAAACGAATTCCTCGCCCGCCCAGGTTCACAATTATTTGTTGGAAATTTTACATATTTTTTTGAAGACAGAAAATTTTTCAAGTTTTCAGCGACGGCGACAACCTGAGCTACGAGGGTTGCGGCCTGGTGGAGGGAGGTAGAGGAGGGGCGACGCCGCCCTGGCGAGTCGTCCTCGGCCGCGACGACTGCGACGGCCTTTTGCTCTCAAGACGCGCCATCCTCGTCCACCAAGGTATAAGTAAATGCACATAAATTAATTAAAAAATAAAACACACATACACGCACGCACACACACAAATTTAATGCACAAAAATAGCTGTTGAGCCATAGCAAAATATCTCTACTTCAAATAGTTCACGAATTCTAATTTAATCATTAAAAATAAAATAATATTTTTCTTCAAATAACTAAAACTTGATAAAAAAAAACTGCCTGAAAGCTGTAAATAGTGTTAAATTTACTGAAATAAACAACACAATTTATTCATCGCCTTCTTTTGTTTCTGCATTTAGATCTATAGAAAAGAAATGAAACTAACAATAAGAAAAGTAATACAAATAGAAATAAAAATGAGCAAATTGTAACATTGTTTGTTATTGAATTATTTGAGTTTTTAATTAAGTTTGAATTTTCATTTAATTCAATTTAATCTTAATAAATTTCAGAGCCATTCAGTCTGTGTTCGCTGGAGGCCCGCGCGAAGGGGGCCGTTTCGCGGCCGCTGGAGGCCCGGATGGGGAAGTGCGTCACGGAGAGGGGTGGGGAATGCGAGGGGTACGTGCGCAGGGTGGGGGCGGTGCGGCGGCTCGAGGCCTATCCCGCCGACCAGCTGTACCTGCTGCTGCTGGAGAAACCCCTACCCAAGGGCTTCGAAGTCCCATCGGTGCGGCCCCTCTGCCTCTTCAACCGCGACAACCTTGCAGACTCAAAGCTTCAATTCCTCGCCGGCCTCGTGAGCAGCACATTTTCAAAATTTGAATTTTTCTTTTTATAGCATGCAATTTCCTGACGTAAGAAACTTGAAATGCTGTTTTCAATTCTAAAATTAATACTAATTTTTGTTTCAACAGTCGCTAAAAATTAAGGAAAATTTGGAATTATAAATTTGTAAAGAAAAAAGGAAATATCCTAATCAAATATTATTGTTTCCAAAATCTCTTAATATAATCACACGAAAAGTTTGACACCAAACAAATCACCAGTTCTGAAGTACACCATATAAAAAAGCACTGCAAATGCCAACCAGTTTTCAATAGAAAATTCCTTTAAATCCCTGCTTTGCCAAAATAGAAGTTTTTTCTTATAAAAGGTGATTTATGACAATTTCTATTAAATAAAATTTGTGATTATGTAAATGAGGTGAAAAAGTGGTAATGTTATAGTACGCGCGACGTGTTTTTTCATAAGTTGGCAGCACTTATGCTCCCATGTAAAAGTATCACGTCGCGCGTTCGATAGTGGTTTTACGTCGCGCATACAATAATGGTTTTACGTCGCGCGTACAATACTGGTGGCGGTGTAATTTTTAAGGAAACCGATTTTATTTCCCGATCACCACGGAAACCTCTATAGCATGCGCGACGCAATTCTTTTCCTACAATCTTAATTAAGGGGACTGCTAGGAAGAATAGGGGCCCTTGGGATGGGTTCAGAATGGGGCAAGACGACCTCTGGAGGGCCGTGCGCACCCTTATAGCAGGCGCGACGTATCACTATGGGACGGTCGAAAAGCGAACTCTGGAGGGCGCTTTTCACCATCGTCAGAGGCGCGACGCATGGTTATAGGACGCGCGAAGTATGCTTATAGTACGCGCGACGCACGGTTATAGTACGCGCGACGCACGGCAAATTAATTAAAAGGTGTTGCACGCGGCCGGAGTTGTGGGCGCCCCACTAACCGGCAACTCGGAGGTGGGCAACCCCCAAGATTAATTTTTGCAGAAGCCGCGAGCGAGGGGTGGAGGCGCAGCGAGGTCGAGGACGTGGGGAAGGCCGTGCGGAGGGCGAGGACAAAAGGGCGGCTGTGTTCATGAGGGGGCTCCGCAGGAGCCCCCTCACGATCCCCGCCCTTTTGTCCCGCCCGGAGCCGGCCTTCACCATGTTCTCGGGCGAGCGCGCCTCCAGCCCGAAGCTCGCAAACCCACAACGGAGTTGCTTTCAAAAGGAATTGTCTGCAAAAAGGGCTTAGAATGCAAAAAATGTGGTGCCCACAACTCCCTTTGCAGACAACACCTTTTGTGGGCAGCTCCGTTGTGGGTTTGCGAGCTTCGGGCTGGAGGCGCGCTCGCCCGAGAACGTGGTGAAGGCCGGCTCCGGGCGGGACAAAAGGGCGGGGATCGTGAGGGGGCTCCGCAGGAGCCCCCTCATGAACACAGCCGCCCTTTTGTCCTCGCCCTCCGCACGGCCTTCCCCACGTCCTCGACCTCGCTGCGCCTCCACCCCTCGCTCGCGGCTTCTGCAAAAATTAATCTTGGGGGTTGCCCACCTCCGAGTTGCCGGTTCGTGGGGTGCCCACAACTCCGGCCGCGTGCAACACCTTTTAATTAATTTGCCGTGCGTCGCGCGTACTATAAGCATGCGTCGCGCGTACTATAAGCATGCGTCGCGCGTACTATAAGCATGCGTCGCGCCTCTGACGATGGTGAAAAGCGCCCTCCGGAGTTCGCTTTTTGACCGTCGCGCGTCCCATAGTGATACGTCGCGCCTGATATAAGGGTGCGCACGGCCCCCAGAGGTCGTCTTGCCCCATTCTGAACCCATCCCAAGGGCCCCTATTCTTCCTAGCAGTCCCCTTAATTACGATTGTAGGAAAAGAATTGCGTCGCGCGTGCTATACATGTTGCCGAGGTATCGATGGAATAATCGGTTTCCTTAACAATTTCACCGCCACCAGTACTGAGCGCGCGACGTAAAACCATTATTGTATGCGCGACGTAAAACCACTATTAAACGCGCGACGTAATGCAAGTGATGCCAACTGAAATCAGGGATTTTGGGAAACACGTCGCGCGTACATTACCGAAAAAGTTATATATTGTTGCCAAATATTGTGATTTTGCTGTCAATTTCGCACGGAAAAGACATTTTGTTAGCACTTATTTGTAGATATCATTTTTGATAGTCAATCAATTTAAGTGAAGTAAAAAATGATTTTGTGAAATTATGTCAGTTGGCAGGGTCTGGGAAGGAGGTTGGCGTGGTGGGAGTGCGCGAATGCATGCCCGAGCGGATGCTGCAGGATAAGTGCCGCCGCTATTTGTTTGCCCTCTGCGTCGCTGTCGATGAAGGTGACAAAGTTTTTTTTTAAACAGTTCCCACCCACCATTCGTGAAATTATGGATATTTCGTCTTTTAAGTTACAAAATCAGGAATTTAATTATCTTAAATTTTAATTAACTTTTGAGGTTTTCGCAGAATATAATTACTATACTATTATATTATATACTATATAATTAATAGTTGCATGATGCTTTCAATTCATAAAATGACTGTCAATTTCTCAATCTTTTTGTTATATTTTCATATTTGGAAGCTCAATAAAGAAACGCCATTTTTAGATAATATTTGGGGACCTAATTTTGTTAATATTAACAATTTTTTATATAAAATTAAATATTTCAGGTTTTTTGGAGGATCGCAGGGCTTTGGTGTGGGTGTCGTCCGAGGGTCGTCACTTTTTGAGGGCCGTGGCCTTCGCCAACAGCCGCGACGTCGTCCACTCGCGCGTCGCCTTCCACGACGTCCTCCGCCTTGTTGACCCCCTCGTCCGCCTCGCCCCCGACATCCACCGACAACCGGAAGCACCACCTGTCCACAACCAAGTCCAATTTGGTCAGTCAACATTTTTTTTTCTTAATTTCATATTCAATTCATTTCAATTCATTTATTCTCTCGCAACAAGTCGCATATTATTTGATTATATGCTGACAATATTGAGAAACAATTTAATTTGTTTGGTTGTTGAAAATTTTTACACAAAAAAGTGTTCTGAAAAACAAAAAACGTGGCTCAGCCTCTTGGTAAATATTTGAATTCAATGAACTTGGTTAGTTTTAATCAGGTTTTAATTCAAACTTAATATTTTCAAACAAAGAAATTTAGACGAATGTAAGACGGAGTCTCAACTACAGAATTTTGATTTTCTCAAAAGTTAACAGCTCTTTTAACGTTGAAGTTGTTAAATGAAAAAAATCCCTTCTTTAAAATTCGAGAAGTTGAGTCAACCTGCCTGTCTTACCAACCCCAACAATTCTTATATGGTGACACAATTGCTACTCATCCTACTTTAATGAAAATTCCTATGTATTAAAAAATTTAAATGTGTGCTTTAAATTGGAAAAATAAGTGTATCAATAGATTTATGAGATTTACAAAAACTGCCAGGAAATGCTCGCTATGATCATGCTCCTCATTATCCTGAATTAAAATCATCAATGATTTCCATGGATTTTCAACACAGTATAGGCTGAGCCATTTCTAGTTTTCGGAATATTTCGTCTTGTATTGAGGATCCAGAAAATCTTCTTCGCTAGCCATAAGAATAAAACTAATAAAAGTGTTGATTCAATTGCAGGTTAAATTAATTTCTTTTATATTTGAAAGGAAATAATGCCGATTCTTTATTAAATAAGTCCAATCGTCTTAAGTGCCAAAATCCTGTGATTTTATCGTTACTGGAACAATTTTTGCAGTCTTTTCCGGCGAGAAAGAGCATCTGAGTTTCGCGAACTGCGGCCTCGAAAGTGGCGCCATCCGATCGCGGCGGGACGTCGACGAAGTGGCGACGGTGGCGCACGTTTTCGGCGGACGCAACGCCGAGCGCGGGCGACACCCTTGGCACGCCCACCTCGCCCTGGGCCACGGCGATGGCCACGTTCTCAACTGCGGCGGCTCCCTCGTCTCAGACAGACACGTCGTCACAGGTCACTTCATTCCATCAACATTCTTAGTTTTATTAACTTATTTGCAACGCGACACAAAAACAGTACAGTATTCTTACTAACTTCAATTTCTCACTGATGGGAAAAAACTAAAACACAATTAATTGCAAAAATTATTTAATGTAAATCTAATTCATATAAAAAAGAGACTCGTATTATGTGTTTTTCAGAAGTAATTACAGTGTCAGGTTTACAATTAATTGGCAATTTTCTTCAAATTGTTTTTTTGCTTATCAAAGAATGTGCGGATATCTGAGTGGTCTCTCGCTTTCAGAAAATTTTAAAACACGTTTTTGATTTGTATTCAAGCTTTGCAAAATCAAAACAATACATTCACAATTATTAGTTTTAGCAAAAATTGTGCCAATAACGGACATGTTTGTTTTGCAGCTGCGCACTGCGTGTTCGTGGAGGGGGTGTTGGCGTCAGCGCGAGACCTGCACGTGACCCTGGGCATGTGGAACGCGAGCGACCCTGAGGAGGCGTGGCGTCAGGCGCAGGCTGCGTGGCGCGTCTTTGTCAGTGGCGGCTTCAACGCGTCGGCCGGCAACTTTGCGCACGACGTCACCGTCGTCGTCATGGCCACGCCCTTTCGCTTTACTGCCCACGTGCAGCCCGTGTGCCTATGGAACGACGTTGCAGACCTTGACCGCGTTGCCAACAAAACCGCTACGGTTCGGAAACAAAAACGCAATCTTTATCACTCGTATCTCAGGTTTCTTGAGAATCATTCAAATACCTTGGAACTTATTCCAAAAAGGGAAAAACCCGGCAGAGCCATATATATGCTATTGAATGTCTTCAAGTTAAAGTTGTAGCAGTTTAAGTGATCAAAGTTATGCAACCTGCTGGACCCACATGTCCAAAAAGTTGCATAGTTTGTGTATACAGCAATTTCTTGTGTTAAACGTTAGTTTCAGTTTCTTCAATTTAAAAAGACTTCAACGCCCAATTTTTTAGGAATAGTTTATATCCTGGAGGGGGAGTTTCAATCTCTTAGAGCAGTCTTAGAGTAACAAGAATTTCTCAATTTCAACCTTGATTTATTAAATAATGGTTGGTAATTAATTAAGATATTTCGATTGAATTTATTTTTTGTAGTCGTTGATCAATAAATGTCAAGAGTTTTCATTGCTTAAATCAAATCCAGCCCATATTGTATCCAAAGTAGCTACATTTGACTTTTTTCTGAATGCATTTGAATTTCAATTTGGACAAATGGCATAATATTCTTTAATTGCAGGTGGTTGGGTGGGGTCTTTCTGGAGACGGGGGAGAGCGTCCAGCGGTGCTGCAGAGGGCGGAGCTTGTGGTGCGGTCGCACCTAGACTGCTTCCTGCAAAACCGACCCTTCTTCTCGGGCAACCTGCAACCTGGGATCAACTTCTGCGCCGGCCACGCCAACGGTCAGTTTTTCCCAACATATTTATACTTTGCTGACTTTTTTCCAATCAGGGACGAGCGTGTGCAACGGGGACAGTGGTGGGGGGTTGTTGTTGCGTCGCGGCGCCCGCTGGTTCCTGAGGGGCGTGGTCAGCTTTGGAAAAGCGCGACCTTTGCTGACGGGCGACGAATATCACCTAGAGTGCGACCCCCGATTCTACTCCCTCTTCGCAGACATCGCCACCTACATACCCTGGATCGCCACCCTCATCAACAGCACTTGATCAACTTCACCCACTCCTCAAAAATTTTGAAAGCAAATAGCTAAAAATAAAAATATAATAATACATGTTTTTTTATGTGAATAAAAATATTGATTTAAAATTCCTTTGATTTACATTTTATTCTCCGATACAAACTGAATATTTCTTTCGTACGTACACCATTAAGAATGAAAATTAACTAATAAATTATTTTTCATCTTCAACCCACAGAGTTCTTGAATAATTATTTCCCACCTAACCAAAAAGGCTACTTTGGTTTTCAAACTTTGAGCTCCGAGCTAAGCGACTCGATCTTGCCCTTGTAAAGGGCGAGCACAGGGCGCACCTCCTCCTCCAGAAACTCGGTGACCTGCGCAGGAAATCATCATTAAAAGGGTTTCTCAGGGAAGGAGGTGGGGGTACCTGTTGAGGGGCGCGGCCGACGAAGGTGGAGGGGTCCAGCAGGGCGTCAAGTTGGGGCAGAATTGGGGCAAAGTAGGCGCACCCTTTGACCCTTTCGACCAAGTCATTGTCTCGCCCGTGCTGCTTCACCTCTGCGGCCGCCTCCTGAGAAAACACCCTGATCTGCTCGTGGCACTCCTATTTCAAATAAATTTCATATTTAATAATCTTATACCACACGCATCATCAATTTTAAATATAAAATGCTTAAAAATCTCATTTAATTCCTAGCGATTGTTCTTTTTCTTTAATTACTGCGAAAATTCCTAAAAATTCAACCTTAATGCACTTCCCCTACTTTTGAGGGCGAAAGAGGGGAGGGAGAACTGACCTGGCGGTCGGCGCCTGCGCGCACCATGGCCATGATGATGTTCTCGGTGGCCATGAAGGGCAACTCCTGTGCGATGTGGCGCTCGATGACCTTTGGGTACACCACCAGACCCTGGGTCACGTTCAGCAGGGTCAGCAGCACGGCGTCGGCGGTCAAGAAGGCCTCCGACAGGGTCAGCCGTCTGCGATTTAACCATTGAGAAAAATTTTCAATCTGGGTGTTCTCCGACTTGGATTGCGAATCCAAGATGGCGGCCGTTGTGCTCACCTGTTGGCGCTGTCGTCGAGGGTGCGCTCGAGCCACTGGACGGCGTGGGTGTTGAGGGCGTTGGCCGGCAGGGCCATCAGGTGCCTGGCCAGGGCGCAGCACCGCTCGCTGCGCATCGGGTTGCGTTTGTACGCCATGGCCGACGAGCCGATCTGGTCCTTCTCAAACGGCTCCTCCAACTCCTTCAGGTTCGCCAGCAGACGCAAATCCGTGCACATCTGCACAAAGTACCACAATCAACCAAATTAATACACATTTTCATAGTAAAATGAGGTTTATTTTGGTAATTAAAAACAAAATCGCAACATTTTTTTAACAGAAGCAATTATTGCGATTAATAACAAAAAATCAGGGGAAAAATATACAAATTCACTTTGGTTACAGAGAAAGAAATTATAATACTTTAGATTTTATCTGCGAATTATTCAAATTTTATAAGTGAAAATTTTAAAAAAACTGATAGATATTTTTCTTAAAATTCAATGTTTTGAAAAATAATATGACCTTGTGGACGGAGGCTCCTAGAGCGGCAAGGGCGTTGACCACCTCGACGTCCTGCTTGCGCGTGTAAGTTTGGCCGCAGATGAGGAAACTGCGCTCGAATCCCGCCAATCGACACACCAACTCGTCCAGCCGCTTCACCTTCTTACCGTCACCTGTAAAAACACAATTTTTAATTAAAAAGTAAACCAATATACATTTCAATAAATTTTGTTTCGTAAAAAAGTATGAAGAGATGTTTAATATGAATTCTAAAAAATAAGTTATTTTGAAACCCCCTATGACTCTATTACTGTTTTTATTTGCAAATTAAGTAAATATTTAATTTACTTCTCTCTAACATTTAAAAAAAACACACATATTAAGGTTTAACACTTGTGTGATTTTAAATGGAGGTTTAAAACTCCAACAAAGCAAATTTATTACTTTTACTATTACTTTTTTATTACTTTATATTATTTTTAATGTATTTCCAGAATTTCATTGAAAGGTACCACGTGGTTTTCCGTAGAATCACTTTGAAGATTTTTATTTTTTAAGTTAAAACGTAAAGAAAATTTTGAAAAAATACAAAGTAGTTTGTTACCATCAAAGAGTTGGAGGAAGGAGGCCTGGGTGCCAGTGGTGCCCTTGGCGCCGCGGAAGCGCAGCTCGGCCTGTACGCGCCTCAGGGTACGTTCGTCCATCAGCAAGTCCTGCAGCCAAAGACACGCCCTCTTGCCCACCGTCGTCATCTGCGCCGGTCTTCAAAAGGAATCAATTAAAAAAAAAAACAAAAGAAACTGAAATTTGGCTTTGGTACTGGAAGTGGGTGAAGCCGAGCGTGGGCAGCGTCCGGTGGGCGTCGGCGAAGCGCGCCAGCTGCGCCACGCAACCGGCCACGCGCACGCGCACCAACTCCAGCGCCTCGCGCATCACCAACAGGTCCTGGAGTTTTTCAAATTATTAATCATCGACTTTCTTTTTCATACAAAATTATTACTGAAAGTAAATTTGTTTCAAGCATCACGTTAGAGATTCAATTGTGGGTTTCAATTAAAAACTTCATAAATAATAAGTTAAAAGTGACATATTTTATTGTTAATTTAAATAAGAAGACCAGAAGGTAAAATTAAAATACAATTTTTTAAAATTTAAATTTAAGATTTCAAATTTTCATAAATTTCAGTTTGAATTTTCAGTTTTGCTAAAGCTTCTCTATATCTGAGTTGATTTAACAAAAAAGTGTGAGGCTCACGGTGTTGTCGGTGATGAAGCAGGAGGTGGCGCCGAGGTGGATGATGGGCGCCGCCAGGGGGCAGCACCGGGCGAACGTGTGCACATGCGCCATGACGTCGTGACGCACGCGTCGCTCCTCCTCCCGCGCAAAATCAAAGTCGATTGCGTCCACGTGCGCGCGCATCTCCGCAAGCTGCTGCTCGCTCACTGACAGGCCCAGCTCCTTCAAACAACATATTTCATAATTTTAATTTCAGATGAAACCACGCTTGGAATTTGACACCAAATGCTATAATCTGATGTTTTTGGTACAGACGCTTTGATAAGATTCAAGAATCAAATCCAATGATAACGATTTAGAAAAACTGTTGCAGCATCAAAGAATCTCATTAATTTACTATGCAGGGAGGACATAGTTTTAGTGAAAAAAATCGAATCGCAAGATATTAATTAATTTCTTTTCAAAGAATGGGAAATAAAGTCAGAAAAAATATACAAATCTTAAAAAGAATTTATTCTCAAATTAATACTCTTTATATTCTTTAGGTAAAAATTTAATTATCTGACCTAGTAATAAAAAATTTACTGTACTGGTTTAATTAAAAAAAATATAATAAAAAAGTTTAATGTCCCTAGTGTTGTTTGACTTAATTTGAAGATTTAGGATCAAAGAAAACATTGGAAAAATTGTATAAATCGTGAGAGAGTTCAATGATTTTTTGTCCACCGCAATTGCCAAAAACAAATCAAAATTTGTTGGAAAACATGCTCGGCGCGATAATGTGGAGGGGGTTGGGAGGGAGTGAGCGAAGCCCCGCGGGTGTCCGAGGCACTTCTGCGTTCTTTATCGACGCTTTATCGGTTCAGTTTGGGTTTGGCCACTGAGAGCGACTAGTGCCCGCGATTTCACTTCGCCTCGATGCCCGAGTACGCAGGTGAGTTTCGGCCAAAGGTGTCGCACCTTAAAGGTTACGACACTTTTGAACGTGAAATTAGATAGGGTTCTCTGGCCAATCGATGCAAATGTGCACGTGAGGGGATTCCTCATCGCGGCCTCTGTTTATTCGCGCACACTGACGTTTCATTTACTTTTGCATAACAATGAATTATTCATTTTGAAGGGAAAAATTCCAAGAATGATTTTTTTTTATCGATCTTGCTACTTTCGCTTGTTATTTTGATATTTTTTCAATTCGGAGGAAATATTTTAGAATAATAACGCAGGCTAGCTTCGATTAATAATGATTAAATAAATTATCCTTTCTCAAATTTTGCAGGGCTAAAATTAGTTGCTTTTTATGCAGCAGAAAATCTTGACTGACTATATTAAAATAAATATCAGACCTCAATATGTTATAAAAATATTTGATATTAGCAATTAATTTCCTTTGAATGACTTTAAAACTAATCAAAAGGCCCCGTGAATCATATTCTAGGTTTATTATCTAAATTTTTTTTTTGGATCATCTGTCGCTGGCGAACGTTTTTCTCAGAAAATAATGTTGATTCATAGTCTGAGTTGACCATAAAGGAGTGATTTCAGTGATAGGTTCATTGTTTACGCTGATTAATGAGAATTGATGAGGCAGGTGGGAGGGAGGGGGGCGCAGATAATTTACAACTCGAAGATAAGCAATTCGAGTTTCATCGCAGAGAGTGTCGAGGCGCAGGAGCAGCCGGTCGGTCCAATTCAAACCTTGTGTTGTTGCAGTCGGCGAGAAGGACATGGCGTCCAACATTCTAACGCAGCTCAAGTCGATCGTCTTCTGGTTTAAGGTGGCCGAACTGGTGAGTGCAGTTGACCTTGTATTCACACTCTCAAGGTCACGAGATTCAACGATTCGTCTTGACCGTTTACTGAAGGATTCAAATTTTTGCAGGTGTTGAACATCATCATTATCGCGTTGGTGACCGAGGGCGGCTACATCGCCGGCACGAGTCGAGCGTTCGTCGCCCTGGGCACGCCGTACGCCTTCATCATCATCAGCTCCCTCATGATCGCCGGCCTCCTGCTGGACGAAGCCCTCTCCAAGAGGATCGTATGTCCCCTTTCTAAATCACCAAAGACCAAAATCTAAAGATTCTCGCTTTGCAGACGATGGTGTTGTCGGCGATTGGCGGCCTCTTGTTCGTGACCGCCGGCGCGTTGATGATCGACTACTGGGTCAACTGGCCGCACTTAAACGATCTCACCATCGGCGGCGGCATCCTCAGCATCCTGCTGGGCCTCCTCTTCTTCGGCGACGCCGCCTTCACCCACTTCAAAGCCTGACCAAAGCACCCCCTCACCCCCTGTTGCCCCAACAACAATAAAAACTTTTCTTCTCGTCCGCCGATTGTTGAGTTTGACAAAATGACATTTTTCATTTCTCTTCAATTTTTCAATCACAAGTCGCCCTTCGCTCTTAGGAACCAAGTTGGAATTAGGTGGGATTAGCAAAGCGCACGAGATTCCTCACGGATGACGCGCCGTCCTTATCTTATCTGCACCGTGCGAGGCCATAAATCCTTTTGATCGGTTATCGGACTAAATAAATGCACCGGGACAAAATGATCCACTTGCCCGTGACTAACGATAAAGTACATATTCTGAGTAATTTACAAAAGGGTCGATTCTTCAATTGACTAAGAAATCTGATAAGATCGATATCAAATTTGAGCAAAGGGAGGAAATTTGCTTCACTGCTCGAAAACATTTTTATTTTCGGACAAACTAGAGAGTTGTGCCACATCGCGGCTATCGATGAACGACGTCAGCGATTTCGTTTCACCGGCCGCCCGCCCTCAAGATAAGATAAAACGCACAGCCCGACGCAGGTAGATTCTGCACTGACTCGGGAGAGAGAAACGCCGACTCGAGAGATGGAAAAGGAAACGAGTTTCACGACGGCCGTCGACGCTGCGCCCCTCGAGCCCAGCGAGCGGTGAGTTCAAAAGGAACACCCTGATCGCGAATCAATTTAATTGCAAGCACGTGATTGTACTAATTTTCGATCGATTTTACTGTTTGGGCTAATTAGTTGTTAAAAAGTGCCGGATGTAAACACTAAACACCTTTTCAATGGCAAATACATCGCTAAAACTAAAATAAAGATTTAGAACAAAATCTAGTGACTCTTCAGGTCAAACGCGCCACTGACCGTTGTCAAGGGATATTAAAATTAAATACTCTCCCCTATAACATAATATGCAACAGGATGAAGTTAACATCCAATTTAATTCACAAATTGAGGTGGTTTAGTGATGTGTAATTTTCTCTAATCCAATGTCTTTTGTTTTTTTAATAGACCGGTGTCGACGGCAGAGGCGACAACTGTGGTTGAACGCAAGACGCAGCAGCGCGTCAGCAAACAGAGCAGACCCTACGTCGCCTTCAAATTCGTCGAGACCGTGAGTTTCATCAATTCCTGAATCACACCAAATTTGTTTCCTTTCTTGCTGCAGGCGTTCTGCGTGATTTGCGTGGTGGCCGGAAGGGAGAACTGGCCGGCAATGCTGATCAGGGGCAACCTGCACTTGGCGCTGCAGCCGCTGATCGCCGGCGCCACCTTCCTCGTCTACTGCCCCCTGCTGCTCCTCTCCTACGCCCTCAACAGGCCGCCCAGTCCTCTCCTAGTCAGTTCAATTTGATTTTTAAGAATCTCGAAAGAATTTTCCCTCTCTGAAACTTATTTCAACCCTTTATTTTGGTTGAAAGCTAATTTGGTTCTGGTTGATTGGCGTCACAGATGGCGTGCATGTCGGCCCTGGGCAGCGTGTACTTTGTGTTCACGTCGGTGACAGCGGGCGTCTTCTGGACGGACCTGTGCTGGTTGCTCGAGCAGCCCGAGCCGCCGCCCATCCTGGACCTGGAGCGGCTGCAGCAGCTGCTGGGGGCCGTGGGGGCGGACCCGGACCCCCGACTCGCGGCCGACCGCCTCCTGCTGCACTGCATGCTGGCCACGCCCACCGCCGCCCTCTTCCTCGCCGACCTCATGCTCACCCTCAAGTACGCCATCCTGCGCAAGAACCCCCGGGACGCGCCGACCCTCCCCTCCGCCCCCCTCTTCTGACCCCAAAGACAATGAAAAAGAGTGGAAAAAAATTATAATTTTCTAACGAAATGATATTTTTCCAATTTGTATGAGCACAAATGTGACAAATAATATGCAAATAAAATTTAAAAATAAGGAATTTTTCTTTTGGTGTTGCAAAAACTATTGGGCAATGACGCGCATAAATCAACAATGAAAAATGACAAGACTTTGACGAAAATGGCTGGTGTTATCGCAGCGGCTAATCTGGGGCGATAAGACTTGTTCGATTGCAGCTTTCGAAGGCAGTCGTGGAGAGATGGCCGGTCGGCGCGCCACGCTGTCCGCCTTCAAGCGGCCGCTGCTTCTCTGCAAACTGCTCCTCCTCGTCCGTCCGTCCTCCTTTCTTAAAACCGTCAAAGTAATTTGTCCATTTTGCAGGCGCTGGTGGGGGCCGTGCTGGGTCTGCACGTCGACGTCTTCCCCTGGGTCTTCCAACTCGGCGGCCACCATCAGGCGCTCCTTGTACACGCGGCCGCCGGGGTCGTGACCGCATTGGCCGCCCTAGCCACAGTCGCACACCTTCTCCTCCAACCCCTACCACCTCTCCTCGTAAGTGCAAAAACTAGAATTTAAAAAAAAAATGACGTAATTGGCGAAACCAACAAAATTAGAGCGGTTAATTTTTATATCTTAAGTAGATTTTGAAATTTGTTAAATGGAGCTCAAAACGGCGGTGAAATATATAATCCCAGTTAATGGAAAAGATATTAAACAAAATATTTAATTCAGTCTTTGAATAAGGAGTTGAAAAAGAATCAACCTCTCTAATAGTTTTCATTAAAATTTTGTAAAGCGTAAACAAAACATCGTTCAATAAAAATTAAATTTCAACGCAATCATTCAAATATTTCAATATAGTAGGGAAATAGGTTCTTGAGCAATTCATTTGTGATCGAGACGATTGCATTGGTTTGATTTTGCCCAAAATTAATTTTACCAACTCGCAGGTTAGGCAACTTCAGGGCGTTCATATCCCTTACTTTCAGGAATAACATTGTTAGGATATTTATAGCGAGACAGATTCGATAAAAACATAAAAAGGGTCGTAATTTTTTTTTTCATTCCTAGGGTTGGAACGATATTTTCAGGTTGGCCAACCATCGGGAACGGTGGTGGGGGGTTAAAGGACTCCTTGTAAGCAACGTTTGCTACAATGTTGATTGAAATTTTCTATTGTCATTTATGTAATGTTGAAAAGACAAGAATTTATGACTTGACCTATCGTATTCGCAGGAGAGCGCGTTCGACGTGGTGGGGGGTTGCCTGATGTGCGGGGCGAGCGGCGTGTTGTTGTCGGCGTGGGTGCGCAGGGCGGACGCGTCTGCGCACGACGTACTGCCCGGACTTCACGCCGACGGATTCCTCGACGCAGACAAATTGGCCACCGCAGGATTCCTCGCGCTCGCCGCCGCCCTGCTCGAGTTCGCGCAACCCCCGCTCGCCCTCTGGCTCAGACCCTCCTAACCTGCGTTGACCTCCCCAAATCGTCGATCAGACTTTCTTGAAGACTTTGCTTACCTGAAAGCAAAAAAGTGATTTGTTGAACATTTCATTATTTCTTCTGTTTTAGTTATAAATTTGAATTTCTCTGCAACTGTTTTAATAGTTTTGTAATTTTACATATAAAAGTGTGTTTTACAAGAAGTTGTTTTGCCATATATTATGAACCATGATTTAAATGTGTACTAAAATATACAAAAAGAAAATCAATAAAACTTAAAAATTAAATTTTCAAAGCAACAAGAAATCATTTTGATGAAAAATGACAAAAATATTGTAATTTAATTTTTATTTATAGAGACAAAATTTCTTCAATGAGTCAACTCATGCTTTGTGAAGATTATGCAATAATGAGTATTCAAATTTTCAATGAAATTATCGCTTTGAAATAAATATAAAATGATAGGGGGGGGGGGGGGGGGGTGAAATTTGGTCACAGATTAATTTCTATTTCAAATTTTGAATTTTTGAAAAGCTTTTGTGTGTTCTCACAAGTAGGCCACCTCATCTGTCCGCCTCCAATTTGGTTGAAATTGGTACAATTAATGAGCTAGGCATGGGTGTGTAGAGGCCGAGTCTTACCGAATTTCGTGCTAATAGCCCCTTTTGGAACCGTTTCTGGAGTTTTTTTCTTTTGATATAGGCAGCCCGCGAATCCAATTTGTCAAGAAATTGCCTAGATTAACCCATTTCAGGTGTTTTATGCAAAATCTTGACGGACAGGACCCGCGGGTGGCCTACCTCAAAAAACTTTAGCCGCCTGTAAAGCGGCCAACAGGGGCTGTTAGAACGAAATTCCGTTAAAATTGATCATTACACGTCCCAGCCTAGCCCTTGTACCAGTTTCATCAAAATCGGAGGCGAACACATGAGGTGGTTCCCTGGTCAGTATTTTTCTACTGAAGATTATACCAGTATTAAAAATTTCATTATATGGATCCAAAATATCATCTCAAATTGAAAATATGCAGTAAAGATTCCGACGAGTTCATCGTTCTCTTGGCTCAGAATATCAGAAAATGCTCAATGCTGCAGATAATTTGTGTAATTATTTCCCTCTCACGCTATTTATTCTTCCCGTTTGTTTTTCTTCAAGACCAACAAATGCAAAGTCCACGAAAATTTTACAACATTAAACAGAGCCATTGAAATTTATTCTTAAATTTTACGCAATTTATTTCTTAATCTGGCTGTGCTGAACGCAAAGTGGGGCAACGACAACAACGTTGGAGAGGTCAGGTCACACACTTTGCGTACATCAGGGTCTCAACTGTGATAATGCGGGGGTGCCAATGCGGGGTTAAAATTGCTCTACAAAGTTCCATTCCGGAATGAAGCACAATTTTTTGAAATTGAATAATATTCAGAATATTGCCCAAGTTTCATTCCGCGTTTCGGGATAATCTATGCGAACGTTCGGCATTTTTTACCTTTTGTGCGTGGGCGAGGTGGGTCCAGAGGGTGCGCCAGGTGGAGAACCTCTTCTGGTCGCTGAAGAGGAACTGCATCTCCTTGGAGCAGTAGCGCGACGACAGCGGCGACTTGTACTCGTCCATCTCGTCCGCCGTCTCTGCACCGACTAACTGCCTCAACCAAGTCCCTCGGCAGAGGTCACCGACCGGGTCACGTGGCTCGGGGGCAAACAAGTCTCGCGAACCGACAAACAAGAAACAACACAAAAGAGAACGTAGCACGAAGCCGACTGAAAACAACAACACTGAACAACACGAACACACGTGGTGCCGAGGGTGGGCAGTAAGGGAGGGAGAGGGGCCGAGGAGGGCGGCCGGCCAATGGGACGCGCGGTGCCTTGATACCAATCGCGACTCCTTTTCTTCACCCCTAACACGGTGGCGCTGCCAAGTGGCCGATGTTTCGAACCAATTTCAAACCTCCAACCTTGCCTCCAACAGCGCGGCGCGATATCACGCCGTCCTCCCCCCACGAGCCCTCCCTCCGCCGCAGCCTTTTGTTAATTCTAATTGAATCGGTTTTGTCGGTGTCAAGTGGCACGACAACAAGCACAAGCCTGGGGTCAAAGGGCTTTAAGCCCACTTGGGAATCAAGTAGATAATCTAATGTTTTAATTCTGGCCATTATTACAAGCCGGCCCCTACGCAAATAAATTTTTCAGATTAAAATTTAATTCGGATATAAAAATTATGATATAATTTTTTTCCCTTTGCGCCGAATTATTGATCATTTTGACCTAATATTTGAAAAAAGGGCTTTTAAATAGATATCAAAGGAATAATTTAATATTCCAGTCAATGCTATTTTAAATTTAATTAAAACGTACTACTATTTATCTGAGCGCAAAAATTTTTAGCTTCGTAAACAAGACAATGTTGCTATCAATCACTTTTATTTAAGAACATGTTGCACATTCATTACTTTATATAATTATCGATAATTATACAAATTAATGTCCGTATTGTCTGTACAACGATTTTCTTTCTTAAAAAATCAAGTCTGCCGTCATATATCATATATCTTGAGAAATTCTGCGTCGTCTGCATTTAGGGCCTTTTTTAATTATTATTTCTATTTCTTATTCCAAGTTTTAAAATTATATCTGGAAAGACGCGTGTGCGAATTTTTACAAGATAAAAGGTTATTGCACCCATACATTTCTCAAATCTCATCTGCATTTATTACTGATTATTTTCCTAATCCAAAACGCAGTTATGCAATAAAAAAAAAACCAAAAAAGTAAATAGAAAGACAGAGAGTGAAAAATCGTCGTGTCGCTTTCCAGGTAGCGAGCGTGTGTCAGGTACGGTGCTCGCAGGTCGCAGGTCTATTGTCTATTAGGAGGAAGAAGGGACAACAGCTATGGGAGTGATAAGAGCGGCGAGGAATGCGCGGGCGCAGGTAAAAGTTTGGAAACTTCACTTTTCCCTGTGGCGGCGAGACAAAGGCTTCGCTCTCATTAGTGCTTACCTGAGAGTCACCTGAGCTGCAATACCGCCGCCCTGACAAAGGTGCTCCGACTATCATGGCCTGCGATGCCTGGATTTCCATCAAAATCCTCCTCTTTGTAAGTTTATTTTTCCACTATTTACTATTTGTAATTATGTATGAATTATTTTTATACATTAAAAAAAAATTATTAAAATGATACTTGTCTTGAAGCTGATTATTTTAATTTTTTCATTTTCTTTTATTATTAAAATAATTTGTGAAGGAAAGGGAGTCAGTGGGGCAGCACCTTGAAATCGCGCGTTTCGAGCGACTTTTGTTCTTTTTATAATTTTTTTCTTGAGCAACACGGCGAATTAAATGAGCGAGATAGATGCGAAAAAAGACAATGAGCCGCAATTCCCACGCGCGCTCGCGAGGACGAAACTTTTCTCGCGTTTCGAAATTCCCTCGTCGTTTTTACACAAATATATATTATACTTTCTTTGTTTGTTGCAGCTTAAAATGTAATGACGCACATCAAATCACTTTCCTACGATTTGATTTATGAGCTTTGCTGTCAAAAATTTTAAAGCTTCCGTTATTAAACCAATATCCGCCTTTCATTAGCATCAAGTCATTGCTTAAATTAAAATGAGCAAATGAAAACCAATAACCATGGAAATAACCAGGCCAGTCCGGTTTTAAACTGCAGAATTTTTAATATTTGTATAAATATGTTCACAATTGAAAGTGTAATTTTGAGCTCGGCCTTCACAAAAATGAAAATTTGTAAAGAAGAAATCATTTTGTAATTATGAGCACAAATTTATAAATTTACCAATTTAAATTTTTCGAAAAAAAAAACCTACGACTATCATATTCTTAATTTAATACAAAATTAATGTGCAACCAAACTTATATCTCTAGTCTTTTAAAAACGTACGGTAAAAATTTAAACAACTTTTCAAGAAGTCTATTACATCAAGAACAATTAAGCTCCTGATTAAAGCGCTATTTTTTCGTGCAAGTCTCTATTTTTCAACAAGGCATAATAAAAAAAGTTCGATTGTCTTGATTCATTTCGGAACAACTTAAAAAAAAATAATATAACTTTTGTTTCATCTGCAATTTTATTTTGCCATAATTAATTACTTTTTATGTCACATATAAATTAATAGTTTATGAAATAGAGCTTTTATTAAAAATGCCACTTTTTGATTAAACTTGCAATTTTTAACTAAGAAAAAGCAACACAAATTTTGAGTTTTGTGCCGCGTCGTTTGCAGTAAAGGGAGATAAGGATGAGCGGTTGTTGGCTTCCCTATCGCTCTCTGGCGGGTGGAAAATAAAAATCGAGCGCGACCCACTTTTTAATTTTTCTATCCACACTTCCGCACCCAAAGAATGAAAATAAAGTAAGACAAGACATTCTTTTTCTAACGGAGGTGCGAAAATTTTAAAGCAATCGCGAAAATATTTGGAACAATAGAGTTGATTATGTTTTCCTGCTTTCCAAGGATATATTTCAACGCGCGGACAAGAACACAATTTTTAACTCTTCATTACTACAAAAATGTATAGTTTTAGAGATTGTGTGTTGAAAAATGAATGCCATATGCTAATATAATTGAGAGCTGTGGAAATGCAACAAAGAAAAGTTAATTTGCAATTTTTATGCATTCAAATATCGAGACTTTGGCCTTTATTAAAATCTTAATGCTTACTTTATACATATAAGACCAAAATCAAATTACCAACTTTTGAATGCCAACCTTTGATGCACAAATTAGATCAAATAGCTTTAAATATTGCCATAATAGGATTTAGATAATAATTCAGATAATTAATTTAATTGAATTGGATAGATAAAATTTCAATTTTAAATTTACTTTGTATTTTCAAAAATGATGTTTGAAAATTAATTTTTAGTTGGTTTAGGTTAGGTGATCAAATTTGAGGATTTTTGGCTCAGCAGTAGCAAATGAAAAATCAGAAAGAAACAAAATATTAAAAAAAAAAAATTGCAGGTGATGAGCGTGGTGTGCATGTTGGTGAAGAAGGTGACGGACTACGACGCGAGCAGGTTGTTCTTCCTGCTGGAGAAGTTGTCGTACGAGTGGCCGCTGCTGACCAACGTGACCTGGGACGAACACGGCGCTGCCTTCGTCGACATCACCTTTGGCGGCTTCATCGTCATCACCGCCGGCCTCGTCGTCGCTGCCGCCGCAGGAGAGCTCAAACGCAAAAACTCTATGGTAATATAGAATGACCTTCAGTTTTTAATGAGAGGTCATTAAATACGTGGCCTCCGACCTTATTTCAAGATTCCTTTGGGACACAGACACAGCTCGATTTAGTCAAATACAAACTAATTTGAAGGTCACAGGCCATTGACCCCCCTTGGACCTCCAACCTTAAAAATATTTCATTTAAAATAAGAAAAGAACCACCAATCTTAACCGTAATTGTTTTGTAAAAAACGTATTTATGTTAATAATGTTGTAGAGGTCCTTTGTGACCTCTGACCTGAGAAAAGATAAAACATGCTTTGGAAATAATCAAAATTTTCCCCACAACTCTCATTGTTCCGGATATGAACCTCACTATGTGCTAGCGGTAGTAGCGGTCAAGGACCTCACCAACTTCACTGACCTTATGTATTGGTTTCATACTTGGTGGGAAAGAATTTCGTTTATTTACAAGTCTTCTGTAACAGAAGAATTTTTACTATCGCTGTTTATTAAATAAAGTTTCACTTTTTATCAAAATCTATGACCAATATAACGTTTTTGTACATTTTACCATTTTTAACTTTCCTTAGTCATTTTAATTATCATATATAATCAATAAATCAATGATGTATAATTTCTTGCCAAATTAAGTTATTACTTCATTTACAGGAAACGTTCTTCTTGTTTGTGGGGGCGCTGATGTTCGGGGCGGCGGGGGCGCTGGTGCTCGCGTCCATCGACCAGATCCCCCACCAGCTGATCGGCAACGCGGCCGGCCTCGGGGTCATCGCCCTCATCACCGCCCTGCTCTTCCTCGTCGACCTGCTGCTGGCGTCGCGCCGCCGCAAGAGGGCGCGCCCCCTGCCCAAGGCCTCCACCGCCTCGCAGACCTACCCCCAGCATCCCCCCGCTCCGCTCTTCGCCGCCCACGCCCCACAGAAACCACTCTACAGGTTTGTGAAGAAGTCAATAGTAAAAAGCTTTTTCATTTACTTTTCAAATCAACCCTTGAGATTTTTACCTGTTATTTTCCCTACATTAGGAATATTTCTATTCAAATATGTCACCCATTTGTTGAGGGCTAGATTTTTATTTAATTCAGTCAAAAGAGGCGTTCAAATTGCCTCGCGCACAATCACAAGCAAAATCGGAACATGATGAGATTTACAACAAAGTCATTCATAAAATTATCTAAAAAAGAAAGGTTTGCATTCACCGATTGTTCTCTTTGCAGGGTGACGTCCATGGACGGGCCGATGGAGCAGCAGACGCGGCCCAAGTGGCTCGAGAGCGGCCAAGACGAGTGGGGGCCGCCTCCGGGGGCGACCAACGGCGGCCGCGGGGGCTTCGTGATGCGCACGGCCCAGGGGTGGCCCAAAAACGGCCCGGTCGGGGGCGGTGGGTATGGCGGAGGCGGCCGAGGACTGGACACGGCGGACGCGGGGGACTCGGAGGTCGAGTTTGAACCGACGGCGCACCTCGAGGTCACCACCGAGGGCCCCAAGGCGCAGGTCATCAACACGCACGTGCTGCACAAGTGGCTGCGACGCCAGCGCCACCAGCAGGACCACCCCGCCGTCTGACCTCGCCCCCCACCCCTCTTGCAGGTGCCATACACTTCGCTCCCCTCCTTCCCCCCTCCGACGCTTAGGGCAACTCCGGCCAGTTGGCGCCCTCCCCTTCGTCCAGCTGAAATCAGAACGCATTTTAATTTTAGCAAAACGAAGAAAAAGATTTATTTTGTAATTTTCATTTACATTCTGATCCAGAAGGATTGAATTTTTTACTTCAAAATGTTGTATAATAATAATTATCTCAGTTAAAATGAGTTACTTCTAAAACCCACCCTTGTTTTTTTACGTTGGATGAAGCAGTATTTATTGTTTTGTTGCGTAGAATAAATCAAATAATAAATAATTTGAGGTTTTGTGATTTTCTTTACCTCGTCAGTGTCGCTGTTGTCGATGGCCTCCTCAACGTCAAGACTCATGTCGGCGTCCTCGGCACCAGGTGTCGAAAGGAAGCAGGGCGAGGGTTTGCTGGTGCTGGCCGGGTTGGCGCCTGCGCAGTCAATGTTGTCAATACCCGCCTGCGCCACGCGGTTCTTTGGGTCAAAACTGCAAAAATCACGATAAGAAATACTTTCACTCAAAAAAGTTTCTCCCTCAAAATCGGACCCCATGTGTCTGGTTAAGTCTGAACATTACACCTATGTAAATATTTGTTATTTAAAGCAGTGACCCATTGAACTGTGCTGCTCTTTGTTTTGGAATTCTAACTATATTGAGCACCACAAATGCGAAATATTAGAAATATATGGCACGAATGGCATGCGAGTATTTTTCACGTAGCGCGGCGCAGCAGTGTTGGTAGCACTTGTTTAACCTTGCTTCTGGACCAAGGTTTTGGTCCAAACGCGCTGGGAGATGGGTTTTTCACGCGAGCTTGCGTCTGGTCTAGACCGAATGCATTCGGATAACTCATGGCGTTTGGTCAACAACAGATATATATCTTAAAGAGAGAAACAGAGATTCCTGAAAATTACAATATTTTATGAATAAAATTTGCTTTCCATTGGCCTAATTAAGTGATCTGACACGAAAGTAAAACATAGAAGTTATTATATCAAGCGTTGATACATTTTCCCAATGCATCTGAACATGCATATTGGCAATTAAACTGTAAAAGTGGTATAAATCTTTTATTTGCAAATAAAAATCTTAATTCAATCTTTTCAGATGACCTTGGCCATTATAGCTGCATTACAGGGTCACCCCGGACTACTCACTTGAGGGCGAGCGTGAAGTGGTTGAGGGCCTTGTCGACGTTGCCTATGCGGCTGTGCAGGTCGCCGATCATGCTGTGCAGGGTGGCGTTGGGCGTTGCGTCTATGTGGCGCTGCAGCAGTGCTATGGCGTGGTCATACTTGTGCTCCTTTTCAAAGATCTCGGCCAGCAGGTAGGCGGCCGGCAGGAAGTGCGCGTCCTGGCTCAGGGCCTTCTCCAGGGCGCTCTTTGCCTTTGAACTCAGGCCCGGCTCGTTCATCAGCACCTCTGCATACAACTTGAATTTTTTTTTGTTAAAAATTTTACTTTGTTTAGTTCGCAAACAGACCGTGAGGGCGCGCGGTGCGTGCGCAAGTTTGCGGCACGCGGTCGCGGCCAGCGTGAACGCCTCGCGTTTTCGGTTCGGCGCTGCCAGGTAGCAGTTTATGAGGCCCTCGAACGCCTCGAACATTTTGGGGGCCACGTTGAGGACGTCACGGTAACACGCGATCGCCGCGTCCAGACGCTTCAGCTGACGCTGCGCGGCGCCACGCAACAGCAGCGCCTCCACGCTCGAGTCGCGCAAACACAAGTTCTTGGCGCGCGCCGCCAGGTGGTTCGCCCGCACCGGCTGGTTCCGCGCCAGGGCGTACCTGAAAACATTTCAAAATCATTAGAAAACTTTTACAAGAAATAAATCACAATCTAGTGATTAAAATGCATATGTAATTTTAAAAAGGCGTGGAAAAGATTAATCTAATGATAAGGAACAAAGATATAATTGACTCAAAATTAACACAATATATTAGCTACGAGCTACGTTAGTATTCAAGATTGCTGAAAATTGAAACATCATAATTTTGTTCGATTCACCAAAATCCATATTAAATTAGTCATTTTATGGTCTGACAATGAGATGATTAAAAAGAACATAGTATAAAAAGCAAATCAAAATGCCATTTAAGTTCAATTTTGATTGTAAAATAAGACAATTCATCAAAATAGTTTCAATGACACGCAACAAAGATATTTTCGGATGAATATTGACTGAGAAAAAAGAATTTTAAACACAAGATCGGGCGCCATTTTATCCAAGATGGCCGCCAAGTAAAACAACCAACATCTATGTCTCCTTAGTACTGAAATTCGCGCTCTATTTATATTAGGTTTCATCTAAAAGATTCCACGGGGAAAAAATGTTAACTGACTATAAAATGTCTAAGGTTGTGTAACTCCTTTAATTGAATTTGAATTTTTACCATCCAACGGCGACCCAGACCTCAGGGCCATGGACGCTGAGGGTAGCCTCGCTGAGGAGGGAGCGGTTGCAGGGCGAGACCATGGGGGCGGACACGCTGTCAGCCAACGGAGCTATCAGCCGCTCCAGTTCACGCGTCCGCTTCTCCCGAAACAGACAGTGCGCCCGGATGTCCAGTCCGGCGCTCACGGTTGGGTCGAAAATCTGAACCTGCGAATAAAATTGAGAATTTAAATAATTTTGGGAATTGATTGTTCAAAAAAGTACCTTCTGGAGGGCGTCGATGGCGCTGGCGTAGTCGCCCTTGAGGTAGTAAGCGCGGCCGATGGTGAGGGTTAGTTGCGAGCAGCCACGCAGGATCATCTTGTTGTCGAGCGACTTGAGGGCCGTGATGACGTCCGAGTACTCGCCCTGGTGCAGGTGGCCGAGCGCGCGCATCCACATCTGCACCCAGTCCAGCCCGCGCAGCTTGCAGTATCCGTTCACCATCAGGGTCATCACCTCGGCCCCGCTCACCCCCAGCCGCAGCAGCTGCTCCGCCGCCTCAATCGCCAGTGGCGCCTCCTATTAAAATAAGCCAAATTGAAAATGCATAAATATTTTAATGTATGAATTCGGCTTTTAAGTGGATTTAAAGTGAAATTCAAATAAACATGAAGTTGAAGTTACCCCGGAACATCTAAATTTTTAAAATTTGCTAGTTAAAAGAGAAAAAAAATTGAATTGCCAAAATTTAAAATTAATTTTATAATTTTCTTATAATTTTTTTTAAGTAGGATTGTTTTTCTTATCACAGGTCAATTCCTCATGACCTGAACCGACCTGAACTTTCCAACACACATAATAATTGTCGAGTCTTAAAAGTAATTTGGTGGTGGAGAAGGTTTTTGAACCAATCAGAACGCTCACATTTTTTACACAAATTACAGCCCTATCTTAAACTTTGAGTCACCAATCGATTAATTGTGACCTGACCCTTACAATAGTGTATCACGCAGTACAAATTGAAAAGCAAATTTGAAGTAAGTGGTGGGGGAACCGTACAGGTCAATGAGATCGCTCGATTCTTGCAGTGAATATTATATTGCTGTTTTTCATGTCTCATGATGACCTGGACCTTTCCTAGATGTCATAATTCTTACCCAGAACTCCTGGAAGCAACTCTTAATTTGGTGGAGGGGGAAACTCACAGACCAATGGGAATTTCTATAATATTCTTTTACTTCAAAATTCCCACATACTTATATGTTTACTTTTTAACCCACCTGCATTAGTGTTTTTTTCTCGTAATTACCATCAAATTTATACATTTTTACAAAAATTAACCAAATTCCTTATAATGACTACTGTAATAGCGTCACGATTTATATTTTCTCAATAATTTTTATATTAATTTGAATGATACGTATATTATCAGTTCTGTTCAAATCCACCTTCGGCTTTCCTACGCGTACTGATACTGACCTTGACGACCTCCTTGTAAGCAGTGATGGCAGACCTTTCGAGGCCCCTGGCGCCGTACAACTTGCCTAGAGCCATGTTGACCCTGGGGTTGCGTGCCTTGGCAGGGATGGTCTCGAGGGCGGCTATGGCGCCCGCCCCGTCGTGTTGGCACACGCGGCACTCGTGGATCAGGTACTTGATGTCTGCAAATCGCCCAATTAGAAAAATTTTGTTCGGAAAAAATTAAAAACTGACCAACGTCGGTCATGACCTCGTAGTCGCCGAGGGTGGCGCCCTTGGGCTTCAGGATGCACTTGCGCACGAGTAGGGCCTTCTCGAGGACGCTCTCGGCCTTCTTGGGATGGCCGGTGCGCAACAACGAGTCGCCGTACACCACTAGCGTCTGCGAGCGTTGGTGCGGAATGCCCAGCACCTCCGGGTTGTTGTCGCACGCCGGCACCGCGATGTTGCACTGAAACCGATGATTATTTATCTTTCCGATTCAATCCACGGATTAATTTACCAGGGCAACCACGTTCGAGTACAGCTTGGCGTCGTACAGGATTTTTATCTGCTCGGCCAGTCCGGTCATTTTTAAAAAATATGTAATAATTCTTTTCACGCCGGCAGCAAAACCAAGTTTCGTCACTAATCTGCTTTCATTTGCGTAAACCTGGTCTAGGAACACACAAACCCGAGGAGGGTTGCAGAATCGTTGCAAATTCAAATCCAAAACTAGAAAAATTTGCAAGAATCGGTGAATATTAAATTTGCCTGGATGAAAAAGTTGATGAAAAACAACAATGCCGCGAACATTATTGGGCAGTACAAGAAGGAGTTGCAATGCTGTCTAAAAACTATTTTTTTTATCTGGTTTAAAATAGCCAATATAGCAAATATTATATTAGAATTACATATGATAAGCGTATTTAATCAGTTTCACGTAAAACTATTGCTAAACGATTGAAAAAACTTATAAAGAATTTTAATATTCTTTACCTACACCCCACTTGAAATGATAGTTCGCCTAACCGCCACTAGGTGCTAGGTGTTCAAATTGATGGGCGTATCCCTGCTTCTTCACAAAATTCGCGAATTGATCTGTCAATTGCCGAAAACAATCGCTCGTCCCGCCGAATTGTCGATGGAAATCATATATCAGGAAATTAATTCGCCTTAAAAACAAAATGGCGGACGCGGCGACGTCCTCCGAAGGGCCCGAGGTGCCGGAGGTGGTGCTCGACGAGGTTCGTCTCCTCGGTTCTTCGCCGGTTTTATTTCATGATTTTGAAACTTTTCATTAATTTCGGCAGCTGGACGACGCCGAATTCGACATTCCGGCCGTGGATGCGGTGCCCTCGTTGGAGAGCATCATGAACGAGGACGCCGGCCGCGACAGCGACCCTGAGGAGGGCCCTTTCCTGCTCGTCCCAGAGGCGGTAACTTTTCTCTCAAAAGTCACAGCAAAATATTTTACAAAAACTTTCAGGGTGGACTGGAGACAGGCTCGGTGGCCTCGAAGGACTCCTCCGAGGGCCGCAGGAGTCGCAGAGCCAGTCCCATGGGCCGCTCCTCTTCGGGCAGCGTCCTCAGGCACGTCATCCTCAAAGGCCTCTCGACTCAAATCAATTCGGCCGCCGTAAGACTATTCAAAATAAATAAATTAAATGATCATTTAAATTTCACAATTTACCATTTCACTTGATTTGAGCAAATTGATAGAACAGGTTCATTAGTGGACTAATTTTATATTAAATCTTTTTTCAAATGACGTTTGGTCCGAAATTTACAAATATTTAATATGGAACCCAAAATAGTACATCAAGAGATGTGGACTAAATTTCATTAATTTATTCATGATATCGATTATGCGTCTCAATTTTTTCACAATAAAATAAAAGTATGAAATATTATTATTTCTTTTAAAAGGTAAATTTGAATAGATCAATTTTGAGTTGAACTTTTTCACAATTCTGGATATTGAATTATTTTCCTTTTCGCAGGAGCGTTCTGGAGCCGGAAGTGCAACTGCAGCGTGTGGGGGTGGGGGTTGCGTGTGCGTGGGGACCTCGCAAGGGGCCGTGCTGGTGTTCGACGCCACCCAGAAGTTGCGCTTCCTGCTGGAGGCGGCTGAAGGGGCGGGCGCTGTCAGCTGCCTGTCTGCCTCCGGGGACGGCAGCCGCCTCCTCGTCGGCCACGACAAAGGCCTCCTGCGAATGTTTGACCTTGGGGCCGGCCGCCTCCTGCGCACCCTGCCCGACGCCCACGCCCCCAACACCGCCCTCCTCCACATTAAGGTAAATTAGGAACCCTGGAAATTTTTTTCGTTCAAATAGTAATGCTAATTAATTGGATTGTTGTGTTTTTAGTTCCTGGACTCGAGTGCGATGGCGGTGTGTAGCGACTCGGGCGGCTCGGTGTTCGAGTTGTCGTTCAAGCGGGTGCTGGGGGTGCGGGGGTGCGACGCGCGTTGCGTGTTCTCGGGGGCGCGCGGCGAGGTGGTGGCACTGGAGCCGCTGCTGCTGGGCCAGTTCGGCGCCCCCCACCCCCTCGAGCCGATGGCGCTGCTCGCCATGGCCACCCTGAGCAAGGTCATCGTCGTGCAGACGCGCCCCCGCACCAAGGTCCTCCTCACGCAGCCCCTCGCCGCCGCCCCTGACTCGCTCCCCCTTCTCGCCTGGCAGATGGTCCTCATCCAGGTCGCGGACCACTCCAGGGTCGTCGACCCCGTCCTCGCGTTCGCGCGCGACCACGCCCTCTTCTTCTACCAGGTAAAAAAATTACAGCTGCTGAAATTTTTCAGCTTTAATTACGAAACTTTAAGAACGTTAAATTTTGTGATTCAAATTCTGATTTTAACGGTTTTCAAATTATTTTAACTTTTTATTTTGACTGAAATTTGATTCTGATAATCAACTCTCCTGACAAAAGAAAGATGGGGCTGCTTTCAGATAAACTTTATAAGTAAAAAATCAAATGGTTCATTTTATACATATCAAAGTTAATAGCCTGGAACTTGAAGATATTAAATTAATTGTTTGAAATAATATTGAAACATTTCTAGTATTTTTCATTTCATCTGTTTTATGAACAGTGTACATTTTTTAGAAGATACACTGTTAAACTTTTATAAACATTCTCATTTTTAGCATCGAAGCTTATGATTTATTTATTTCAAATATTGAGTAAAATCAGAAATATTTATTTTTATAACACTAAAGTCAATCTCTAAACCAATCTCATCAATATTGAAAAATAAACAGTTAATTAATGGATCAAAGATTCTATGTAATAAATTTTTTTTTTTTTTATAAATTCCAAATGAGTTCATGCAAATTACAAATCAATCGTTAAATTAAATTGTTCCTTGTTTTGGGTGATTTTTTACTTGAAAAATGTTGCTGTTGCAGGTGGGCGTTGACCCTGGAGGTCGGGTGCGGGCGGCGCTGCTGCACCGGACAGAGCTCAACTACCACGCGCTCAGTCTGCACTGGCTGAACGCGCGCACGCTGGCCGTGCTGGACACGCGAGAGCACACGCACGTCCTGGACGTACGTTCGCAGACTGAGGTCGAGGCCCTTGACGTGTCCTCGGCGCGCCTCGTCTTCGCCTCCAGCCACTTCAAGGCCATTGCCACCGGTGGCAACGTCAGCAAGGCCCTCGTGAGTCCTTTTCCTACCCTAAGAATGGACAAAAATACCCAGTTAAGGGAATTTTTTTTAACGTCTCCTTAATAACTTAATCTTTTGGCATATATTTAATTATTTTAATTACCATTGAATTTGTTGTGACCTGACCTTCCTAACGACATGTCACACCTAGCAACTGCAAAGCCATATTAAAGAGGTGGTTGGGGAACTCTTGAAGCCAATCAGATTGCTTAATACCTATTTGAGTCATGTTCGCAACAAATTTTTTGATGAATTTGACCTTTTTAGATACAAATTGACTTATCTTGACCTACCCCATTAAAAAAAAACACGCCCACCACCCAATTTAAGCGATTTTCACCTTCAATTAAAAAGCAATGCCATCACAAAAAAGATTTCCTCTAAAGTTTTTTCTTAAACTTAACAGGGTGGAATTAGAAACTTAACTGAATTGATTTTTTTGTAAAAAAATCTCTACAATTCAAGTAATTCACATGCCTACCCTTTTATAAATTCTGTTAGCAAGTCAAATTTTTTATTTTAAACTTCAACGAGTGTAAATAATAGAAATTTGGATTGTTTTTGCAGGCGTTGGCGGGGGAACGTGCGTGTTACAACACGGTGGTGAGCCTAGGCCAGCAACTGTTGCTGGTGGGCACGAGGTCGGTGCACGCGCTACACATGCGCACCTGGGCCGAGCGCATCGACCACCTGGCGCGCCACGGAAAACCTTTGGCGGCCCTCGAGCTGGGCCTCGCCTTTTTTGAAGAAAGGGCTCGCGCCGTCGTGGGCCTCAGGGGCCCCAAGGCCCACCGCAAGCTCCTCATAAAGCAAAAGGTCTGTTTCTTGCTTCCATATTAATTAATTCTAGTTTTCACTTGGGAATTTCAAGCTCCAAAAGTTCATTAATTTCCATCAAAAGGCGTTAATAGTTGTGCCAAATTTTCAATATCTCCAAAGAATTAATAGATTTTATTATTTGGTGTGAATTTGACCAAATATTCAGATTTTCAAAACTGAGAAAAAAACTACTTAAGTTTACTTATTTTTTTTAAAAACGATAATTCTTAAAATTTATTGAAGTGAAAGCTTTGCTCAACAATGCAGTCTATCAGCTCGGTTGATTGTTGTTTTCTTGCAGATTTTTGAGGTGTTGGACGCGTTCGTGGACAAGATGGTGGTGGGAGAAGCGTCCGCTGAGGAGTTGCGTGAAACTTTCGCCACGGCCGCTTCCCTTTGCATCCGACTACAGCAAACGGAGACGCTGTTCGGCCGCTACTGGGAGGCGGCCAGCGGTAGGCCGGCCGCCGAGGCCGCCTTTCTCGAGGTGCTCGAGCCGCACATCCTGAACGACGAATTGCCCAGACCGCCACCGGGACTCATGCAACGATTCGTCCTGCACTACGAGAGCGCCAGGAAGTTGCAGGTTTGATAAAAAAGATGATAAAATGAAATATTAAAGGTCCTCTTAATGGAAAAATTTTTAATTCTTGATTATGAAGAAGAGTGAAATTGAACGCTAGGCTTAAATTTTGGTACCTGAAAATTTGCCCTCTTTGATGATATTGCAGGGGCACCATGTTTTCCCACAAAAAATATTTGAATTTTTCATATTTTTTTCAAACAATTTAAAAATTGAGTACTTTTTGTGACTCGGAGCAGGCGTTGGAGGCGTGCCTTACGCACGTGGAGGTGTCCTGCCTGGACATCCACCAGACAATGACGCTGTGCTGGCAGCACAGCCTGTATGACGCCATCATCCACGTGCACACGCAGGGCATGCAGGACTTTGTGACGCCGCTGGTGGAGCTGCTGACGGTGGTGCAGGGCGCGCTGTCCACGGGCAAGCAGCTGTCCGAGGAGCAGGTCGCCCTCGGCAACAAGCTCCTGGTCTTCGTCAGCTGCTGCCTGGCCGGCCGCGCCTTCCCCAGGGGCGACGTGCCCCCCGACCTCCAGCCCCAGGTCAAGCACGAGGTCCTCAAGTGCCTCACCGCCCTCCACTCGCGCGCCCCCACCGACTCGGAGCCGCCCTACCCCTACCTCAGGTGAGCCGAGGCCTAGGTCAAAACCCAAAATGGAAATTACTTCTGATTCTCAACCTTTGGCAGGGCCCTGCTGCAGTTTGACACGAGAGAATTCCTGAACGTGCTCGCCCTGGCCTTCGAGGAACCCGAGTTCAGTTCCGAGCTGGGTCTTCGGCAGCGCCAACGCATCGTCGACATCCTCCTGCAGATCGTCGTCCCCGGCGACACCTTTTCCGTAAATGCCCTGACCCTGACTTGAACCTTTGACGACCTTTGTTTCTATGTGCAGGCGAGCCAGGTGGGCGCCCTGTTCACCTTCCTGGCGCGGCAGCTGGCGCGACCTGGCGCCAGCGTCATGGTCGAGACGCACCTCTTTGAGCACGTGGTCGACTTCTTGACGACGCCGCTCGAGGCGCCACCGTCCATGCCAGGAGGGCAGCACGAGGAGCGGCAGCAGGCGCTGCTCGAGCTGCTCGCCGCCCCCCAAGGCCTCCACTTCTGCGACGAGCACCGCCTCCTCCAGCGCGCCTATGACGCCCAATTGTATTTTTGTCTATTTTTGTTTTATGAAAAAACCAGCATTAAAATTTTGCAGCTACCGAGTGTGCGAATTTCTGCATCAGCGGCGTGGCGAGTTTGCCGAAATTGTCGAGTGCTACCTGCGCGACCCTTTGCGAAGGTCGCAGGTCTTCGCCTTTTTCAGAAACATGTTGGTCAATCCTGGCTACCTTGACCTAACGAAGACAACTGAACTTGTCCTCAAAAACATCAAGGTTCTTGTTAAAAATGCATAGATTTTTTTCCAATTATTTCTCTTGCCAACCAGGAATTGGTGGAGATCGACAGCAAGAAGGTGGGCCAGCTAATCTGGTGCCACCTGCCAGGGCTCATCAGGCCCATTCTGGACGCCCTGAAGGACGAACCTGAGGTGCTCTTCAGCTTCTTGCAGGGCCTTTTCCAATACAGGTCGGTTAACAGTTTTGAAAATATTTGGGCTAAATAAACTGATCTTTCAGGGAGGGTCACTCGGGAAAGGACGAGTCTCAGGTGGTGGACCCTGAGGTGCACGAGACCTTCCTGCGGCTCATGTGTCAGCTGCGGCCATCGGAAGTGGCCGCCTTTGTGCGCGCCAACAACGAATGCCGCCTCGAGCAGGCCCTGCAGGTTAGAAATTTTGTTATGATCTTTGACTTTTGTTGACCCTGACGTAGGCTGTGCGCGAGTTTGGACAGGTGGAGGCTGAAGCGCACCTGCTCGAGCGGACGGGCGATGTGGCCGCCGCCTTCGGCCTCCTCAGGAATCAGTTGGAGCTGCAGCTGACCAAGGTGCGTTGAGCGACCTTGCGGTGACCTTTGACCCTGAGTTCGGTTGCAGGCCCTGCAGGAAGGAGGCGACGCGGCGTGGGGCGTGGCGCAGGCGCGGCTGCTGCTGGTGGTGCAGCTCGGGCAGCGCGGGTTTGCCCTGCTGGACGAGGGGGCGCGCGAGGCCCTCTGGTTCCCCCTCCTCCGCCTCCTCATGCACCTCAGGGCTGACAATGCCCAACACGCCCACAACCACGAAGGTATTTCAAAATAAATGTTGATCAAATACATTCACTTAAGAGGCAACAATGAAAAAAAAAAGATTGAGATCATCCAGAACATGCATAGAAAATAATTTAAAACTAATTTAAAAAAAAAATCATTTCGGAAACTTTGATTATTTCTCTCCTTGTATTGTCTCATCAGCTAGATATACAATAATTTGAAACCTTTAATATCATATCTGATTGTTTGCAGAATAATTGATTAATACTTGTTGATATTGTGCAGTGTTGCGTGACATGTGTCAACACGTGTTGTCGAGCATGCTAGGCCACGTGGGTCTGCCGGCGGTGACGCAGTTGATGCTGCAGGAGCCGTCCTGTGCTCAGGGCCGCTTCGGCGAGATGCGCGACCTGCTACTCAGTGAGTGACCTTGACCTTAGCGTTGGCGTGGGCTTTCTTTGCAAATCTTGAAATTAAAAAATGTTTCAAAAATTATCCGCTATAAAAAAGTTGAAGTGAATATCATTTTTTTGAATCAACAGTTTTCAATGTTGTGCGGCTTAAATATTTTTTCCTAGGTTTGGTCTGGGTTTGGTTATTTTTTTGCATAGCATTCAATTCCCAAGATGCAAAAGATTCTAAAAATAACTATATTAAAAATACTTATACCTTTCTGAACAATTTAGCGTTCAATTCTTCAATAAAAGTTTTATTATCTTGTAAAAGGCATTAAAAACATTTATTTATAAAAACATTTAAATAGATAGAGTATTTATTGAACACAACTAGGTGTAAAACGGGTGTCTAAAGCTAATTTGTCTTCCTAAAATTAGTTTTACAATTAAGCTTGTTTCTATAATTATTACAAAGTACAAAATTAGTTAATTCTGATTTTTGCAGCCTCTCTTAGGCTTAGTTTGCGTTCATTACATTCAAGAATATGATATTGTGAACATTTCTTACCGCAGTGCTTGCATTCACAATCTATTGTCGCTTGAGAATGAAAATTTTTATTCTTACAAAATAAATAGTGGTACCCGTGACAGGCAAATCTCGTAAACACTTGGCGATCACTGAACATTGCACATTGCCAATTTTTATTCTTCAAAGTTTCTGTCTCGTAGAACTCATCACATATCTCAAGTTTGTTTAAATATTTAGACACAAAATTTCTGGAATGCTTCAGTTTCAGTTAGAGAATATTTTACCTGTAAGTCCGATACAAAGAGATCAGTGTCAACTAATTCATACACAAATCTAGATCTAATATACTTGGACAGTCCTAAAACATTTAAAAAGACTCCTTTTTTCTGTAGAATATCTGTCATATTGGCAGTTGAAATATATCTAGACAATAACTTAACCTTATCAACCTTATGAAAACAAAAGTTTTGTACCATAGAAGGTTGAAAAGGTGGATTTTTCCTTATCTTCTGTCTTTTTCAAACCAAACTGTGGTGCAATATTAATGATTGTCACGCTCAAATTCGCTCAAACTCCTAAACAGGATCATTTTGAACTATTTTGCTCAGGAATCCTTTGCCACTAATTTCTCCCTAATTGAGTTAAGGTTGTTTTTATTCATGATTAAATTATAGGCATGTTGCGGAGCTGCGAGCACGAGGAGCGCGTTTTGCGCGCCACCCAGCGCATCCTGAACGCCGACCTGCACGTGCGCCTCTCGCGGCAGCTGCGGGGGGCGCGCCGCCCCCTCGCCCCCCACCCTGCTGGCGCCCCCGTCCCGGCATCCGCGCCTCCCCTCTGCGTTAGATGCGACCGACCCCTCCTCACCTCCGCTACCGCCCCCTCCCCCGCCGTCGTCTTCGCGTAAGTAACCTTTGACCTTTTTTGACCTCTTAGTGCGACCTTTGACCTCTGCAGGTGCGGCCACGCCTTCCACTGCGCCTGCACCGCCGGAGCCTCGCCCGAGTGCCCCCTCTGCAACCCCGGTGCCGTCTCCGCCCCCCTCCACCGCGCTTCGCCCTCAAAGGTTAGTTTCAGGTTAAATTAAATTATTATTTTGTTTTCACTAAAAAAAAAAAAAAAAATGGGGGAAGATTTGCATTGAAAAAATCGTATTTAACATCATCAAATAAGAAGTAAAGAACCCGTTATCTCATCAGTAATTAAAATTTAAAGTAAAATTTGCACAAACTAAACAACTGTGGTATAAACGAGAAAAAACCAAAAGATGTTGGGCTAAAATCCTCGTAATCTGAAAAAAGTCTCTGGCAATGAGTATTAGTTGAAAGTTTCTTTGTAAGTAGTATATAAAATCGTATTTTATATACTACTTTTGTATGCTTGCGTAAAAATTAGATTGTGGGACTTGACAAGAGTCTTAATTTTTACTGCATGAGATGTAAAAGTCTTAAACTGAACAATTATGTTATGTTTTTTAATGACATGATTTCATTTCAGACGCAGGAATTTGTTAGTGGCAAAGAGTCGGCGCTTCAGCGGCGCCGCCGACAGCAGTTGTCGCCGCAGAGGGACTCCCTTGAACTGAACCTGGCGCCGCCGCCGGGCCACGCCCACCTGCAGGGCCTCTTCTAGTGAGCCTTTCGAGCCACTTCATGTCAATTCCGTTTTGCCAAAGAAGAAGTTTTGTTTTACTGTGATGCCTTAACAAGTCGTTAAGGGACTTTTGCTAAATGTTAAATATTTTTAGTTTTAATGCGCCAGCCAATGAAGCTAAAATAAATTTGAAAGATTATTTAATTTTGAAATTTCACATGTCAAGGATAAAGGCAGCACTTTAATTAAGATATAATTCTCATATATGGTTCTTGCTATTTGGAACGTATTGGAATATATTAATTGTTTCTGCTCTGTCATTTTTGCAGCTAAAAAAATGTTATGTATCTTGATGATTCCCCAGCAATTTTCATGTTTGTGTCGTCATGTGTTCTTATTACCAAAAATTAACTTTTTAATGATCAAATGTCAAAGTTTTGATTCATTTGAATTTAATAAAATATTAAATTGGAGGTGAATCTTAAATTTAGTATTGTTTGTTCCTAGGGGAGTGAGGAAAATTTTTTTTAACAGGTAAAATATTCGTAAAAAAAAATCACCTATATATTTGAAAAAAAATTTGTGTTGGCTGGATTAATCTTGCGACTGCAAAAATCTAGTGAATCAACCGAATCAACTACTGAAATAAAGTAAACACAGCTGTATCTGGAGGAAACTTCATATTTATTAATTAAAAAAATTAATCATAACTTCATTAAAATTAATGGGCAAACACGAACCGGAAATATTTTAATTTGATCAAAATTCATTAAACTTTGAAAGCAAACTCCGAATCGCAGCAAAAGGTGTTAAGGTGTACTCTCAAATTTTCACTAAATTTGTCAATATTCATAAATAATTGATTTTGAGACGAGTTAAAACTTTGAAGATAATTTTGGAAGATCTTGGGAAAGTTTACCCGATTATTCAACGATTTAATATTCATGCGTTCTCATTTCTTTGCATTTAAAGGCTGCTCTGCTCTAGTGTAGCCACACGTGCCGATTTCGCGCTCTTTTTCCTTCGCGCCTTTTTGCGCCAAAACTCTGAACGACCGCGCCCCCTTCCGCGTCGTCTCTCGACTTGTCTTGACTTGTCTCGACTCTCATCAGTCTCATCACAATTCACAACAAAGCGGAGCAAATCCACATCCAAAAGCAACCAGCTCTTCTCGGACAGTGTGTCTCGACTGTCTCGGAGCGTCCCACGCCGAGTCGGACACTTCGGACAGTGGAAAGACGAGGGTCGAGCGATGGAACTGTTCCCAATCGAGTTGAGGTTTGAATTTTTGATCATTTTTTCTCTTCTTTCTTCTGACTTTGGTTTTGTCCGGGACAGTCTGCAGCCGCGATTGCTAGACCCGCTGTGGTTCAGCGTGGACAGGCCGTGCGACGAGGAGGCAGAGATCGCACTCATGGAGCAGGAACTCCAAAACTCGGTGAGACCGAAATTAAATTTCAGAAACGATAATTTAAGTTGTGAAAATTCTGTCAGCTGGACGCGATCGCCTCGAAGGACAACGACTCGCCCGTCTTTGGCAAAAACACGTCTGACGTGAGAATCGACCAAAGTTTTTCGGCTTTTGTTCTTAAATTTGATTTTGCAGCCGTTGGAGGAGATGGAGGACGAGGACGAAGAGGAGGACAACGACGATGAGGATTCGGATAGCCGCGGCGAGGACGAGGAAGAGGAGGACCTTGACCTAGACCATGACCACATGGACCTCACCTACGAACATGCAGACTCGCCGGTACCAAAACAAACTCAAAACCAAATTTTTTCTCCCTCTGAATGAAAATTTATTGCTCGAGCGAGCTCAAAATTGATTGATTCTCAAAATCTCTAATCAGATTGAATTGAAAATATTTGAAGCAATTTTCTTTCAAACAAACCGAATCAAAATTTCAAGCATTGTTTTGAGTTTTATTAGTCAAACTAGATTTAAATAAAAATTGGTTTTTCGCTTTTTGTTAATTCTGTCCCAAAATAAGAAAATTTTTGTTTGAACACTTAATTTGATGTTAAGTGAAAGTATCCAAAGACACAATTTGATTATCAAAATATTTGACAATACATTTTGTAAAAATACTTGATTAATTTTCCGTATTAAAGAATAAAGCTATTTTAATCAAATTATAGCAAATTATTGATTGTACTTAATTTTCAGGAGGAGACTTGATGGAAGAGAGACCAAAGACTTGCTTTTTCTCTGTACTTTTTCTGCCCCTGAATTTTGTAAGTTAACATTTTCCTTTTTATCGGTTTTTGTTGAACTCGATCGGCTTTAAATAAATCTTTTTAATGTTAAAAGTGAAAAAAAGGTTTTGGCATCCATTTCGAATCCTCTGAAGCATAAAAATAGAGTTAAATTTTATCATAATATGGAGGAAAAAATTACATGAAACAAAATTTATTGAGCGCAGAAATAAATTCTTGCTTTGTAAAATATCTCAACTTTATGACAACAGCAGCTTTATGTTTTTGAACTCTATCCGAGTTGTATGTTTATTTTTTAAATTGATTACAAAATTTCCGTTTCCAACCCATGACTTGTCAGCTAGTCTTATTTTTTTTAATTCTCTGGTTCACAAAATTCATCACTTGGAAAATCTATTATAATCAGCTGGATTTTTTTAAACTGATACTAAAGATATCAGAACAATACTTCTCTTGGATATTAAGGTTTCTGCAAATCAATATATTTAGAATCTAGAATATTGATATGTAAAAGAAATAAGAAGATCAATAATTATCAATTAGGAAAGTGTATAATTTGTTGTTTAACTTTTATAAGTAGTTAAAAAAACTCCCTATTGATATGTTCAAATTGAGTCTTGACAACAATTATAGTTCAATTGTTCTAAAATAATTACAAAAAATGACTCCTTTTGTTGTGAAGACTCAACGTGAAGCAGCCATTAAGGAGTATTTAAAGGGTTGAATAATTTGAATTGCACAAAATTTCAATTATTTCTTTTTTCTTTCAATAATTCTCAACAGTGCTCATTTTTATATTAAAAAAATTATAAAACGTTCTTTTTCCCAATCGGTCCAGTGTCCAGTTCTCATCTCAAACACAAACCATCCCGGCCAAATTATAAAATTAATACGGAATGGGATCAAAATCAGAGTTTCTATTGAAATCAGAATAAATGTTCTTCATTGGAATTGATGCGAATTTTACTAATTTGTATGATTAATTATCCACATTATTGGCGACAGATTTAAAAGAATATTATTTAATTTTTAAATAATTCGCAGCAACGGGAAGTCGACTATATTGAAAAAAAAAGAATATGGAAATTAACTGTTGTACTTCTTAAGTTTAGACGAAGCTTGAAAAGTTTTTTTTTCAATTCTATTGGAACGCTGACTGACCAAACCTTTTCTTAAAAATGAGAAAATTTTTTTAAAGGAGTAAGCGATAAATAATTTCTGGAATGTCGGGAAATAAATAATCCCTGATGCTAAGATTAATTATTTAATTCATAATCATTTTGGTTGGGGTAATTAGAATTAATAGACACACAATTTTTACTTACTTTCAAAGGTTTGATGTAATTATTTGGCCTTATTCTTTGCACATATTACAAAACGCAACTGTGTCACTTGGCTTCACATAAAAGACTCATCTATCAATGTTGCTGCTCTGTCACCTGATGCCCTGTCTGTCTCTCAGCTGCGGCCACGAATGGTGCAGCAAGCACCATCAGTGGCCGCGCGAGGAAGTGCCGGGTTTACCCCGACACCTCCCCGGCTGAGAGGAGACAAGATCATCGGTGACATGAGGACAACTAAATTTTAAAGATACACATTTTCAATAGAACACAATTTAAAATTGGAAGTTACATTTTCAATTGAGCACAACTTAAAATTAAAGATACATTTTTCAATTGAGCACTGGAGGGTATTTGTGTCGAATTAATTTGAGAAGTTAATTTTTTGTTGTACAATTTAATTGGTTTATGAAATTAAAATTTTAATTGTCGAATTCTTGGGGTGCGTTGCGCAAGAAATAGGAGTTGTTTCTCAGCAGTTTTCTCTACTTCCGCTGCTACCCAGGGCAGGCATTGCTTAAATGGGGTGGACGAGGCCCCATAGCAAACTGGCTTTTCCCCCCCGGGACAACAGAAGCAGATATACCTACGAGTTGGAGAAGCATTTTTTTTTTTGTAGTGGAGGGATGAAATGTGGTTTTGAGAACCAAAATTGAGAAGGACTGAACTCCAATTTTGTGCGCAAAGCAATGATTTGAGCGAGTTGAAAATAAATTTGTTTCATGCACTTGTTTGTGTTGTGTTACATTTTAATTTTTTGATTTGCCGAAAGTACAGTTTGTTCGTGAATTTTGAATGATGGTTTTGTGTTTTATTGTGTATTGTGTGATTGATTTAATCTTAAAATATAATGTGTTTAAATCTAAAAAAGGGATTTAAAGTGCTCATAACCCTCAGACATATTAAGACGTTTAATTTAGGGGGAGCTCAGAGGGAGCCGTGGGCGCATAAGGCGCTATTGAGGCTGAAAGTTAGATTTTTTTATTAAAGGCACGCCAGTGCGGTATTGCGTGCGGCATCTCTGTCGAAGGGTCACAGTCATACAACGTCATTGGCAATTGGCAAAATTCTGGAATGAAAATTCGATTAGCAACAACGTATTTTTTTCTTGGGGATATTGTGGATAAGGAAGAATTTTTTTTTCTAAACCTAAATTTGCTACTCCCGGGACTATAATGGTAACTGCGGAAAACATCAGTTACAAGTTTTTTTTTTTTTTTTTTTTTTTTTTTTTTAATCATTTGATTGCATGGAGTTTTTGTTTTTTGTGTTCCTTTCTTTTTTTTTTTATTATTATTTTTTTTTTTTTGTTCTAGGATTGAGTTGCTACTGATTTTATTATTGAAAATGACTGATTAATTCTCAGGCAGCAATAAAATTCCCACTATTCTAATTGGAAATAAATCCAGCATTTATTTTCTTCTTGCATTCTCGTGAGGAGAAGGTGGTGGTCGATCAGTGGCACAAAACGGCCACGGCAAGCGCGCATCGGAGGCGCTGGAAGCTTGAGTGGAGCAGTAATCATTTTTCAGTTTGTCATTCATTAAGATCGCGGTTGTTGTTTGTTGTGAAATTGGAAGTGCACTTGTCTCAAGTATGCGTGGAGATGGCTTATCGGTGGCGTAAGAGTCATTTTTATTGCGGTGGTCAATGAGATGTGCACTTGGAGTCAAAATTTTGGGGGTTTTTTTGGCGGAGGGGGGAGGCCTATCGGTCGCCTCAAAGAAGCGCGGTATTGTGCGCTGCGGAGTTTCATTTGTGAGAGAATCATTCAGGTGGTCAATTTTTGGTATGGAAGTTTGGGAAATGTTGATAGGAAGTGAAACACAATTCAGGGCTGTATTGGCTGGAGATACATGGCAATTTTCAGCTGCCAGGGGTCCAGATTGATGCCCAAAAATTGATCGGTTGATTTTTGGTGATTTAGGGTATTGGTATTGGGTGGTTGCGTTCGGACGGTTAACCATACGGCGAGGAGTTTGTGACGGAGATACCAGACATTTTTGGCCAAATTGAGGTGTCTGGGGTCCGGATGATAAACTCGACGCAGTGGGGTGCACAGCATCCTCGGCAAGGAGAGGGGTAGGAGAAGGGGATAGGTAGAGTGATTTTTTACCCACTGATTCGTCGGGGGTAAGAAAAGAGGGTGTGACGGGTTGAGTTGACGTCATGATCAGAGAGGGTTGCTGATTTGGGAGGTCTGTCGTTGGGGGTTGATCGGCAGACCTCCTTATCAGTTTTCCAACATCGCGTGCAGCTTTTTATTTTCGTCTTGCATTGCTGCAAATTTTTTAGAAAAGCAGTGCTCTTCAGTGTGGCCGAATTGGGCGCAGAAGGCGCAAAGCTGAAAGTTTTGGCTGCTCTGGACCTGGAGCAAATTTTGGAGACTTGTCACTTGTTGAGTTAAAGTGGAAAGTTGAGCCGAAAATTCATTCGTCGGAGTTTCGGATTTTTGTGACGAATTTAAAGAAGTGTCATCCAGAGCTACTGAAGAGAGCTGCGCGTTGTGGGAGCAACGGGCTCGCTTTTTCTCGACGGGGTCAGGTTCCACCGGCTCGCACGGCTCGTCTTGAAAGTGAACCTTTTTCTTGTTGGGATTTCCGAATGTGCCATTGGCCAATTGATTTAAGCCATGAATAGTTGTGGTTCGGTCAAGCAATTCGGTAATCGTTTTCGGGAGTGGAGCGCCAAGTTGGCGGAGGAGACTTGGTTGCAAATTATGAATTATTCGCAGGACCAAGGCAGATTCGGGGAAATTCGGGTCAATTTTCTGAGCGTAGCGGACCATGTCATGGATGTAAAATTCCGGGCGTTCGTCTGGCTGATGTTTGCGGTTCGACAGGTAGTGCTCTGCGTGCAATTTTGAAGTGAGTGAAAAACGCGCAATAAAATCGGCGTAAATTTCGTCTAAAGTTTTGTTTGCATTGGCAGGATTGGCCAAATAGAAATCGGCCCAGTCGCCAGCATCGTCACGAAGTGTGAACAGGAAATACGCAAGAGCTTTACGGTCGGACCACTCAGCTATGTTTCGGCATTTTTTGAACATACTGACATGACCGCGAGCATTTTCATGTGGAGTGCCATGGAAATTATCGGGGAGCAGGGGTATCGTTGTCTTATTCGGTGGCATTGTGCAGCAGAAAAACCGTTGCAAGTACGGCTCACATTGCACATGCAAACAGGGGCGTCAAATGACCGACGCTTGGGCGTCTGGCTGATGGGCTAAATGGGACTATTCGGCGTAGAGGCGGATGATGGGGTTTCACGCGCGTCGCGGGGTGAACGGATAAAATGCATCCGATCAGCGGGGTTGTGGGGGATGACAAATCTACAGCATGGGTCACGGGGGATGAAGATAACTACATCATGGGTCGGGGGGGCTGTTAGTTGGGCGCCATTTGTCGGGAAACGAATAATCCCTGATGCTAAGATTAATTATTTAATTCATAATCATTTTGGTTGGGGTAATTAGAATTAATAGACACACAATTTTTACTTACTTTCAAAGGTTTGATGTAATTATTTGGCCTTATTCTTTGCACATATTACAAAACGCAACTGTGTCACTTGGCTTCACATAAAAGACTCATCTATCAATGTTGCTGCTCTGTCACCTGATGCCCTGTCTGTCTCTCAGCTGCGGCCACGAATGGTGCAGCAAGCACCATCAGTGGCCGCGCGAGGAAGTGCCGGGTTTACCCCGACAGGAAATTAAATTGTTTTTCAACGTCACAGTTGTTAAACATTTTATTTTTTGTCAAAACCAAATTTTGTTTGGAGAAAACTGCATCACCAGGAGGAATTTTACTCGGAGTGATAACAAAGTTAAAATGACACGTTCGTCGCTTCGCACGCAAAGTGTGATTAAAACTGAAATGCGGCGTAGCAACTATAAAAACATAGGGGTGTCCGTCAGACCATAATTTACTTGTACGACCAAAAAAGCTGTAATTACTCTCTTTCCACAAGTTGCGGCTGAAATAACCTGCTTTTAGGTCAAATTCTCATTAACAGTTTCTTTCGCGTGACAAGTACTATTATTTTTTTTTTTTTTTTACTTAAGAAAAATGTCAAATTATTTTTACGTAATCTATAACAGGCTGTTGTGAAAAAAAGTATTTTTTTTTAAGCATCTGGTTCTAACTAAGAAGCTAGTAATTTAAATTTACTCTCTAGTTTATAGGTTTATATGAAGGTTTTAAATTTGATTTTAATTTTCGTTTTTAAACACTGACCCATTTTGTCTTTTAATGAGGTTAAATCACCTTATTATCTGCAAATCGCTCATCTAGGCTTTTGCAAATTCATGCAAATGTTGAATAATTTTTGGTAATTATCGTTTTATTACTATTACTGTTGCTTATTAATCGCAATTTTATTGTTACAATCACATATTTTATTTTTGATAGAAAATACAAAACGTGTTTTTAATCAAACGCAAAAGGTGCTTCTAAAAATTTAGAAGAAAAATTATGAATTGTCAACGACGGCGCCGTCGACTCCGAGAATGGCGCTGCGGTAGGCGTCGAACTTGTAGAAAGTAGTTTCCTTAGTATTATCAAGACCGGGGTCACTGCATTGGGCCAACTTGATGGCGCCCTGCACACGGTTGTTGACCACCAGCGAGGGGCCGTGGATGTAGGTCGTGCCCGTGTTCCACGCGTCTCGAAGGTATGCCTGCCAAATTATCTTAATTAATGTCAGTTCAAAATTATGTATCGCAATTCGTGAATGGCGTGCAAAGTCGTCCTGTGACTAGTTTTCCAATTATTCAACGTTTTGAATTCTATTTCGTTTATTCCAACTCTCTCGCGATCAAGATTTGAATCAATAAAAATATCTTTAGAAAAAAAGCAAACCACTGAGAAACCTTCATTGACAGATTTTAAACAATCTAATGGAAAAAAATACTTATTTTTGAGCTAAAATCAATGATTAGGGCGCCTAAATCATAAAGTACTCGTTAAAAAATTATCAGAATTTGTGACCTAACACTTTTCGACATTTTGCAAATGCTGTAAATTCACACCCCTCGTAAAAATTTAAACTTTGAAGAGAAAATTTCATTTCTTTGATTTGAGTGTATGAAGGGGGTGACAAAAAAATCACTTTTCTTTGAATTGGTCAAGTTAATTGCCCTCTGTCATTTGAGGCACATTGAAAGTTTAATTCTCATGGTTTTGTCAATTTAAAAGTAAAAAAATTGCGAACCCTGCAAATTCCGGGGGTTGTGTCTCGTCGGATGCACGCTGTCGTTGGCGCCTTGCCCGGGTAAACGGCGTTGCAGTTGGTGTCGGACAAAACCTGCGTCGACATCGACTTGAGGGTCTGCGCGGAAAACAATCATGCGTATATCAAACACTTGCCATAAAAAGGGTCATTTTATTTTTCTTGCATACAACTATCAAGCTTATAATGTATAAATTAAATAATGAAAATGTACAAACTGATGGATAAAAAGTATATATCTAAGGGTAAATATATTTGAAAAAGAAAGATTAGGTGATTTTGGTATCGGGATCATCAAAATGAAACGCTCGCCTCAATTTCGCGAAAAATTCATAGTGAGAAATGGGAATGTATTGCTCTAAGTGCAATTTCTTCATAATATAGCAATGATGAATGAAAAAAATTGTAACGTACATTGAACTGGAAAAAGATGATGGCGGCGTTGTCCGAGTTGGCCGCGTAGTCGAAGAATTCTGCCTGCGTCAAGTTGAAACGCGCCGGGCCAAAAGGTTTGCAGACTTTGGTGACGAAGATGGCGGGCGACGCGAGCCCAATGATCCTGGCCATCGGCCGCTTCTCAAGGGTGTAGTCGGTCAGTACGTAGTCTTTTGGATCGTTTGTGCTGCGATTGCATAGGAAAATCTTCAAAAATTATTTTGCGGCGAGCGATTTGTCAAAGCTCCGCAAAACAAGGATGCATGTCACAAAAATACATTATTCGTTTTCATCCATCCCTCTTAAGTAAATTTATTATGATCTCATCAGCCCCCCAAGATCAAACTCACATTTGCGTCGAAAGAGCCCATTCGCCGATGATCACAATCTTGGCGCTGACAACCATACCCATACTGGTGTAATCTTTCGCAAAAGGAGGGGAATATCCAAGACGGACCTATGCGTTCACAAAACGCGTATAATTAAAAATTGAAACAAGAGTGACGTACGACGTAGGGGAAGGTGCCGGACCAATCTGCGTCCACGGTGGGGCCGAACGTGGCCAGCGATGCTGCAAATTCAAGAAATTTCATCAAGAATCCTCTTTGCAGTAAAATCTCAACAATGGAAAACACGATTGTTGTAAATGTTCAAAAATACGTTGAAATGAAAAAGGGAAACTTGCTTGGCCAGAGGAGGGCGAACGCGAAGAGCAGCGACAACATTTCGACCAAACACAAAACTTTTCCTTGCCGCGTCAGTTTCTTTCTGAAACGCTTTCACAGCTTTTGTTCTTTCTTATATACTCGGAGTGATAACAAATTAAATGTTCGTCGTTTCCCACGCAAAGCAATTAAAATTGAAACGCAACAACTACAAAAACATATAGGGGTGTCCATCCGACCACAATTTACTCGGACGACAAAAAAAAACTATAATTTCCTTTTCTACATAATGCAGGTCAAAGCGCCAGTTGGTTCCAAAGAAAAGTTTTTCTTCGACACCACGTACACGCATGTTTGTTATTTTTTTTCAGCAAAATCAAAGAAAGATGGGAAATAGTAAATTTTTGCTAAAATTTTATTTGATTGCGGGAAAATGACCTTTAACATCTCAGGGTCGAAGGAGAGGAGGTTTAAAAAAGTTTTGTCTAGAATTTATTAAATATTTTTTGCGTCTGAAATAATCCCGAGATTTATTTAACTTGAAAATACACTAGGAAAGCATTTATTTTGGAATTTAGTTTTTTTTCCATTTTCCAAGTCCAACAACTTTCGTGCAATCTAATTATGTATATATATTTTTTTTTTTAAGAATACAACAAATCAACAAACCGTTGCCAATTGACCAGTTGAAACCTTTTAATTTATGTAAACTCTTGGATAATCAAATAATTATTATTTCCAAAAAGCTCATTTTCTGTTCACGATTTTTAATATGTATAGATATTTGTTTTGTTCTTAAAAGTGGTTTAGGAATCATTTGCGTGCAATTTTCAAACACAATTCATACCTAATTAAGCTTTTTGCAGATCTGAGCACTTTTATTTTTATTTTGCGTTAAAATAAAATAATTAAAAAATGAAATCTAAAAATTAGTTCAATAGAAAGAGCGTGGTGTTGTTCTCATACATGTTTAGGCTCCAAGGAAAAGCAAACGTGGAGCGACGAGAAATTTAAAAACAGTTTGCCGTTGGACGTGCGTCATACTTTTTTCTAGAGCGCGTTTTTCCACCCGGCCCCATTGTTGGCCTTGTTATTTTTAGTCTGTTAAACTGATCTTAATAACGAGTTTTTCGCTGCGTATGCGGGCAACAAAAATGAGAAAATAAAATTGCTGCGAAACCATAAAAACGAGAATTCTTAGTATTTTTAACTGCTGGGAACTAATTAAAGGCTTGTTACTTTTCCGATGAAGGGAGAAAGACAAATAAAAACAAATCATCCTTAAGTCTAATGAGGTTTTCCACGGTTAATTTAAAAATCCAAGGGATAGAAATTTTTTATTGCTTCCCTCATTGATTTCGATCAGCGGAAAATCGTCATTTTTAAAGTTTCAATTTTAAATCTTATTAGAGGTCATTCAGTCTACGCAATCAATAACTTTCAGTACATTAGCCTGTTCAAAACATTTAAATTTAAACTGGCTATCACCAGATATCTCAACATTGGGCTGATGGAGAGAAATATCATCGCCTAAAATCTATAACACCCTTAACTTTTAATCACCTATTCTATTAACAATTAATTTAATTTAAATAAAATCGTTCAAAATAATTAGGTGCTTATTTGCCTAATAATCAAGGATATATATTATCTACAGGGCTATTGTTTTCCCATCCAGCTAATTTAATATATTCCATAACACGTCAGTTTTGACATCAAAAGTCACTCCTAAGCAATGAGCAGGTTAAGTACATTTTCGGATATAGAATTTACTGTTGAAACTCGAAATACGTATTTTTGCTTGTTAATTTATTGAGACCTCCATACAATTGGTGAATTAAATGGTTATTGATTTTTCTTTTCTTTTCCTTGATCTGCACAAGAAGCGATCTTGGGTGTATTAAATTTGGAGGAGGAGGGCGACGCCGGCCAGGGTCCACTTGGAGGGTTTGTCCTTGGTCTTGAGGTTAAAGGTCCACACGAAGGTGGGGCCCCTGAGGCGCGTCTTGTACACCGGACACTCGTACATGTTGCGCAGGTCCTGCTTGTCCTGCGTGATCGCCTTCCAACCAATTCGTTTATTAATTTCTCTAATTAAAATGGGAAAATTTTTGGCTCACCCTGATGTTGATGACGGGCATGGCGGGGAAGAGTTCCTTGAGTCGCGCGTCCACGATCACGCCGGCCTGCACGTCCCACCGCGCCCCCTCCATGAACAGCCCGTGCACGTACGCCCCGTCCCGCGGCGCACTCCTGCCGAACGATATAAAGAAAAAAAGAGGGTTGTTGCATAATATCGCCCAATTATACTGACGTGAAGTCCTCCTTGTGCTTCTTGGTGACCTCGCACTGGAGGCACATCTTGTCGAGGGGCAGCTCGTTCTTGCGGGCGGTGCTCTGCATGATGGCGGTGAGGAAGGACTGCGGGTTGAAGAAGCCCGCCAGCCACACGGTCGCCGGCAGCACAAAGTCCGAGGCCCACGCGTCCAGCTCGCGCAGCCGCAGCAGCAGGTCGGCGAACCATGCCCCCAGCGCCAGCAGCGACGGGTACGCCCGCTCGGTCCACACCTGCGGCACCTGGTCCAGGAACAGCGCCGTCTCCAACTTCTCCATGTCGCAAGTGATCGTCAACTCGCCCTGCGCCCGACAAAGTTAGCAAGGGTAAGAGACAGACATTGAAAAAAAAGTTGCTTTTGATTGATCAGCAAGGGATGATCAGGGTCAAACAATTAGATATTTTAGAGGGAGATCTCAGAAAATGAAGTATGATTGTATGATAGATTTCAGTGGTTTTCCAAGGTAGATTAGCACAACATTTTGAAATAACCTTTACGGTTTTGAGGGCTGAAAATGATATCAGGGCGTAATATACCTTTAGCCCGAGGTCGAGTTCCCTGAGCGAGCGTTTCATCTCGTTGGTCAGGTGGTTCATGCGTTCGCACTCCTGGAACGCGACGATCACATACGGGGTGCGTTCCTCCACCTTGCCCATGATCTCGCTCATGTTAAACTCGTCCGGCAGCTTCTCCAGAATCTCGTCGATCACTTGCTTCACCTTTTGGATCCAAATAATTAGAGAAAGGGCAGGCAGGTCAAGGGTAAACTAGGGCACCTTGTCCTCGCGGGTGACGGAGGTGCCCCCTGAGGCACCAGCGTCCCTGGGCTGCATCTCGAAGACCGTCCGCAACAGCGTGTCCGACGTGGCCGTCAAGAATCCGATTTCGGCGTTCGGGTGCAATCCGTACAGATACGGCGACTCGCCGGGCATCGCTTCGTCCACGTATTGGTGGTATCCCTGTTCAATCATGTCATTTGTAACAAACTGGCGTAAAAGGAAAAAATCGCAAGAAAAAGAGACTTGCCTGGTAGTCTAGATTAGGTGGCGCGGGGAAGGAGGGGGCGAGGAGGAGGTCGCCGTCGACGAGCTCCGGCTGCATCAGTTCCTCGAGGTAGGAGATGCAGAGGCGGCGGTCCCAGTCGTCGGTGATGTGGCCGCCGTACATGATCTCGCCGAACAGGTAGCGCAGGTCCTCCCAGGGCACCTTGCTTGCCGCCTCCAGGTAGTTGAAGAGCACGCTGACGCAGATGTTGAGGTCGCCCGCGTTGAACGGGTACACCCTGTTCCAGCCCTGGGCGCCGAACTTGCGCCGCTCGGCCACCACCGCGTGGAAGTAGCAGAGCGAGAACAGGATAGCCTTGAACTCTGCCTCCTTGCCGCTCATCTCCAGCGTCTCCTGGTTGAAGTTCTCCAGTGCCTTGTGCAGGTTCGCGTTCATCCCCGTCGGCGGCTCGTTCGTGATCTTAATCGAAGACTCCAGGATCCCCTGCAAAGTTCAAGATTCAGCCTTCACCACCAAAGATAATTCAGGAAATTGACCTGAGGAATGATGTGGGCGGAGGGGGTGTTGGCGGGCTCGGCGCTCAGGAAGAGGCGGAAGTCAGGGTGCGCACCCTCCGCCAGGTGCTCCAGACTCTTCTCCAGCTGCGGCAGCCACTTCTTCACCAGGTGGATGTTCTGCAGGTCGCGCGAAAAGGTTAAAATCGACCAAAAGGGTAAAAAGGTGCCCTGACCTGGAGGACGACCCAGTGGCCGTGCTTGGCGCCGATCTCCATGGCCTCCTCGGCCACCGCCTCCTGACCCTGCCCCAGAGAGATGTTGTGGAAGTTCTGCGTGTCCGCCCTGAAGCCCAAACGCCGCCCCAGGCTCTCCACGTCCTGCAATATATTCAAGTCGATTTTAACGAAAAAAAAAAAAAAAACAAGACCGTAAATTGCACTATCAGAAAATGAGATCGATTCCATGATTATTATCTTCATGTAACTCTGGGCCAAACATATGAAAAAAAAAATAGAACAGACCTAACTGAATTAATTTATGAGTTAATTATATGAAAATGTTGACCTTGACGGGGTTGACCCCTGGCGAGAGGATGAAGAAGATGGGCGTGCTGGGTGACGACTCTTCGAACGACTTGGCAAACTCAACAGTTCGTCCCTCAACGAAGCGCGGCCCCAACTTCTCCTCGATGAACGCCCTGAATGAAGTTTTTGGTTTAAATTAAATCTCGTCAAGATATAATGTAAGGTCACTTAAGGGCGTAGGTCATGCGGTCCGGGCGTAGCGCGCGCAGCATGCAGAGCTTCTGCAGCGGCGTCTTGTTTTTCCACTCCTGCGGAAACGGTTCCTTCTCCGGACACTCGGACTCGACCAGTTTCTTCCACCGCTTCGGAGAACTCTCAATGTCCCGGTCCAAATTCCTGCAAAAGCTCTGCTGTTGAAAACGACTGCATTAAAATTATTTGTAAAAATTTAACCTGAACTCGTCCCTGGCCGCAAGGCTCCTGATGGCGCCCCAGCTGTTGTTGGACAAAAACTCGACAGGGCTGTGGACGTGCGGAGTCACTGGGAAACGCAGCAGGAAGTCCAGCTCGGATGCGTTGATCTCCTCGTTTCGCAGCAGAATCTGAATTTTGCCGAGACTTAATTTGATAAAACTCAGATCAAAGGGTTCAAAAGGGGAACCTGAAAGGTCATCTGGGCGGCGAAGATGAGTTTGTCGCACTCGAACAAGCCCCTGGACGTGTACATGAAGACCGAGTGGGTGATGCAGTCGATCAGGTTGCGCACCCTGAGCGCCACCTCCGCAGCCGCCGGCGCCCTTTCGATCGCCTTCTGGAACACGATGCTGAACGCCTGCAATGTCACTTGCATGTGAGAGGAAAATGGTTTTTCATTTCGAATAAACCTTGAGGGAGAATTGGTAGATGGGGTTAATGGTGTTGAGATCGTTCAGGATGAAGTAGAGGAGGGAGGCGCGCGCGGCCGCAGGTCGGTAGTGCTCGCGCGCCTCATCGATCTGCGCAGACGTCACTCGCGCCTCCGCAACCTTTCATACATACAAATTATATTTTACTAGCAAAATTTGTCAACACCAACACTAGAGAATTAGAAAATGAAGAATCAAATAGTCTGAGTGGAAAAAATAATGGATCTTAAATTTTAATAGTGGATTTGAGGCCAATCTGCTATTGCAGGTGCATTTCCAACAGGGACATACATATTATAAACAATTTCAAAAGGCAATTTTTAAATGCATTATATTGTGTAAATTATTAAAACAATGTTAATTAAATGGTTTAAGACATTGAAACGATGTAATTTTAATTTTATTAAGTCATTGTAGAATATCTCTTTTATAATCTTAAATTTGTTCGTTGCAAACGGTACGTGCCAATAAATTTCATTCAATCTTTTATGATTTTTTTTGACCTGCTTTACAAGTCGCATTAAATCAAATTCGGTAAAGTGAAGTATGCAGCCTGTTAAGCATGTGTGCCCAGCAGGTTGCATTCACGCTCAAATATGAAATCAAATTTCTCTCTGCTGAAAAATTGATCAATCACCGTGTTAAATAAAGTAAATTACTTGAATTTACAGATTTTTCCTCTGCATAATCGAATAAGAGAGTCACTGCAACCAGATTGAAAAAACACAAATTCAGTTTTATGCAACCTGTTGAGCATGAATGTAGAGCAAGTTGCATCAAGCTAAAGTAAACTTGTTTGCAAAAAGGAATTTAAATCGAGGTGTAATTTTAAACATTTGAAGTGAAATTGGACCTTGCGCTCGATCTCGGCGGCGGTTTGCTTGGTGGTCTCGAGGTTTTCGACGAGGGCGGTGTCGCCGAGGATGTTGGCGCCGGCCGAGGAGAGGCGCGACAGCAGGTCGTCCTCCAGACTCTTGAGCATGATCTTGAAGTCGTTCTGCTGTTTGGTCAGCTCGGCCTTGAGCCGCTCGAGGTCGGGTCGCTCGGCCTTGACCACCTCGGCCAGCAGTTGATCCTCGAGGCCGTCGCGCGTCACCGTGAAGTTGATCAGGGTGGTCTGCGCCTGCATCTCGGGCTTGTAATGCGGGTTGGCCAGCTTGGTGTGCAGGATGAGCCGGAAGTGGGCGTGGTACTCGACCTCCTTGTCGCCCATCTTGATGGCTCGTCCCTTTTTGATGAGGTTCCGTCCCAGCAACGGCTCCAGCACCGGGTCGACGCTCTCATCGATGTTCTCCAGCAGCACCGTCCGCCCGGCCGTGATGGCCTTCTCGATGACCTCGAGGGCGCCCTTGTGACCTAGCCGGATGACCTCGAGCTCATCGCCAAACTTCTGCTTGATCCACTTGACGCCCTGCAGCTGCGGGTCGATCATCAGCGCCCACCGGTCCGAATTCTCCAAAATGGTCGCGTTCTCCGTCGACATGCGGTCGCTCGGCAGACCCTCGTTGTTCCATCGCGCCACCTGCGCGTCATCCGTCAGCAGACTCAGCACGTCCAGCCCGTCCGTCGTCAGAATCGGCGGCTGAAAAACACGTGGTACAGCAAATACAAAATTAAAATAATGCTTGGATTTGAAAATTATGGTTTATTTATTTGGTGATATAGCATGCTTAAAAGAAGAAAGTTAAAACATTATTTGAGGCACAAAAGATGAAAATAATGAAATTCTTTACAGTTGAAGTTAAATAGCAAAAATCTAACAAAACCATGACGAGATGAAGTTATAAAAAATAAAGTTAATCAATTGTACTATTTTTTGCTTTCTCAGAATGAAATTTTAAACCAATTCAGTATATAATATATAATGAATTGAATTTACCTTAAGTAATTACTTTTAATGAATTCTTTAGGCCCAAACGTTCAGAATTTTTTTTTATCTACAAATTTTTAGAAACGGATAAATTTGTTACCTCGAGGGTTTTGAGCGAGGGCAGCCAGAGTTTGTGGATGAGATCGTGGCGGTACTGCTTGGTGAAGCAGCCGACGTAGGAGACAAAGGCCGTCACCAGAAGGACGTCGCCGGGCAGCGTCGTGCCCTGCCGCAGGTAGCTGCTCGTCCAAATGGTCAATTTGGGCTTTTGGAAAAGGAAAAGGGACTGACCTGGTGACCGCCTCGGCCCAGCGCACGTTCTCGGACGCGAGGCCGCCGACGAGCCGGTTGGCCAGGGCGATGGTGCGGCTCGTCGCGTCCGCCTCCTCCTGACATTTGACCTTTTCGGCCGTCGCCTGCTCAAAGTCGGCCGTCAGCTTCGCCAGCTGCTCCTCCAGACTCTGCCAAAAAGCGCAAATCAAATTGAATTCCCATTTATGTTTTTATTCAAGCAAGCGATTTTTTCCTTTATAAAATGATAATTAAATTGATTCGGTGAGAACTTTTCATTTGTCAGCCTTTGAAATTACCATTTTTAGTTTTGAAATAATACTTTTCGAGTTCTTGAAACATATCTAAATAATTTCAACTTTGTTGGGTCAGCGGGTTTAAAAAAAAAAAAAATAACAATTTTCTTCTTCAAATTGTAAGATGTTATAGAAGGCCACTTTTGCTAATGGAGTAGATTTAGGTTTCTGATTCCAACGATACTAAAACTAGATAATTCTTTCTTTGCGTAAATATGGAAATTGCTAAAGTAAACAAGCATTCATTCAAGAGTTGAAACAGACGTAATATAACATTGGTTTAAATAGGAGATAAAATCACAAAATAACGCGAATTATGAAGTTTCTTGTCCTCACCGCGACTTTGCGTTTGATGACGCTCAGCTTGTCCTGGGCGACGGCCAACTCCGAGTTTGCCTGCGCCAGGGCCTTCCGCTTTGGCTCCACGTCGCAGTAAACCTCGTAAAACTTGATGATGTTGATCACCCACGCGCACAAACCTAACATTCAGATTCAAATTATCGCAAATAATTATAAAAAAATATTTCCACAATTTAGAAATGATCAAAATTCTCTCAATTTTCTTAAAAGTCACATTTTTAAAAATTTGAAGCACAAATTAGGTTCTGTTTTTAAATTTCTGTGATATAATTTTAATTTCACTTCATTAATGCCGCTTTTTTTAAATGTATATTTATTTTTTTATTTTTGACAATATCTGCACGTTGCAAAAGTATGAAACTCCTTGACATGCGAGTCCAACAGGTTGCATAACTCTGAATTGCAACGTCAGTTATAAATTTTAATGCAAGAAAAAATGTATTTTTTGAAATTTTTATTTACAATTTCTAGCGTGCAAAACTTAATTCCCTTAATCAAGGAGAGTTTTGAATAATCTCTTAATATGAACTCAGATTTTCAAATTATTTTTATACTTCAAATCAAATGTCCTTATAATATGTTTGTTGCGACATTATTTAAATGATTTTGAATAATATTTTTGTGCCTAGTATTATTTCGAAAACCTGCCTTTCTGCCAGCTTTCTGCAAAACATTATATAATTCCTATCAAAATTATATTTAATTTGAATTGACATGACGTTTTACATTTAAAAATGAAATCATTAATTCAGTTTATATTTTGTGGAATTTTGTTACAAATAAACTGACCTGCGGCGGCGGCAGATTTTGAGCGGACGAACTCGGGCTCGAACTCTGCGTCCTTGAGGTAGGGCTGGATGGCCTTGATGATCTCAGGGTGAATGTTCTGCTTGTCGTAGTTGATGAGGGCGTCGAGGAAGGCGTCGACCTTGGCCATGACGATCTTGGCCGCCTTCCAGCTGCGGTCCTTGGGGATTTTGCCGGCGGGCGCCAACAGCACCATCACGGCCGCCGTCACGTTCGTCACGGCCCCTGGCGGCGACCCGAACGACTTCAGCTCGGTCAGGTTCGCCTTGTTCAGGGTGTTCAGGGCCTCCTGCGCCGCCAGCAGCGCCGGCTCCGCCTTCACCAGGTCCTCCTCGCAGTCCTGCTGCTTCTTGCTCACCTCGTCCGCGATCAGACCCACCTGAGAATTTAATTACAAAAAGGTTTTTTAATGTACATAATAATATATTTACAATAGACGAGCCTGAAGGCTAATTGATTAACAAAATGTACACTTCAATTGACATTTGGAGGAAAAATGCAGACATGAAAGCTACTGCGGTTTAATGAGCTTTTCCGGAAACGAAAAACAATATTAGGACACGAACTTTGGCAGGAAAAAAATGCTTTAAACAATGAACGATAGGCGGAAAAGGAAATCACATGCAAATTTGCTTTTTACATTTTCAAAGAGAGTGACTTGCGCTGCTTCTAAAAACTAATAAGTCATTACTTTGTTATTATTATTATTGTAAATTCTTCACAAAGAGTTGCAGCAGTAATTTATAAGGGAAAAATAAATTAAAGGCTGGAAACTGATCAAATCTTATTCATTAAAAACCAAATTGTGAATAATGTGTTTTTTTTTCTTTTTAATTTATATCGGAGTTTTTTCTTATGTATGTAGAACCGGTTTAGATTTCAAATTAGCTCTTTATATAATAATATTGATTCTATAATCTTATTTCACCTTATTTATTTTAAACGTAATAAGCTTTTTACTGACCTTTCGCTCCTCCTCGTCGGCCAGGGTCTTCTCCTGGCTGACCTTGTCGGTCTCGACGCCGACGATCTCGATGAGGGCGTCGGCCGCCTCATTCTTGACCTTGAGCTGCACTTCCTGCACGGCCAGCTTGGCCTTGAGGTCGTCGACCTGCTCGGCGGTGCTCTTGAGCTTCTCGAGGCCGTTCTCAAGCCGCTCCACCTTGGCCTGCAGCTCGACGTTCTTCTGGCCCAGCAACTTGCCGTACAGGCTGATCTGCTCCAGGTACGACTTGGGCGTCGTGTAGTTGAAGCGCCGCTCGTTCTGCAGGTAAACGCGCGACATGTTGTTCACCGAGGTGTGCGCGAACGCCATGAATCGCGCCGCCGAGTCCCGGTTCGCCTCCTTAACCAACAAAAACATTCACTTGAGCCAACCCTGCCTTAAAATCTCCCAAGATTTTGCAAGAATATTTTGCCAGCGAAACACTTTTCTCATAGTTGTATTATTTAAAAAATATAAAAATCCTTAACAATTGTGCAGAAAAAGTCCCTTCTTTAATTAAAAACGTTGATAAGATTAAAAAGTTTGAATTGATTGAAATTCATAACAATATTAAGATCCTTCTGAAAAAGTGAAATTGATTTTAAGGAGATTTTTGTACCGGAAGAGAGGGTATTTCCTCAAGGAAGCGCCTTGACACGGAGACGAGCGCTTCCTGGGGCCACTCGTGGAACCAGTTGATGTTGGTCGAGTTGATGATGGCCGGAAACTTCCTGGACCGCACGCGCAGCGTTGATCCCACAGGCGAGAAGCAAAGCACAACCTGACATGACCCTGAGTAAGCCGAGAGTTTAAAAAGCACGGATTTTACCTTGAGCTGGCGGCGGACGCGGTCGATGAAGAACTTCCAGCAGTTCTCGCGCGTGTCCATCAGACCGGCGCCCTTGACCTCGTTGCGCACGCCCGCGATGATGTTCTCGACCTCGTCGTCGGGGAAAAGGTCGGGGATTTCGCCCGAGGCCAACATGTCGTTGATCAGCACCAGGAAGTTCTCGTGCGCCACCTGCGCGTCCGTCATCAGGAACATGATACCCACGTTCTTCAGACCTGCCTTCAGGTACAGCCCTGCCAGCTCAGACTGCAAAATTTTCATTTCATTTTGGTGCTTTTGGACATTCTTAATGAACGCTCAATCCAATCTCCCAAAAAAGATAGGTTCAAAAGATCTTTCAAAATATCAGACTTAAGATTACATTTTTCACTATATTTCTGTTTTAAAAAGTTCAATTCATGCCAAATTCCAATCACTTGCAGTTTCTGACCTCTGCATTGCAAATACACGTGACTTTAAAATTAATCAATCAGTATGGTAAGCTTCTTGGTGACCTGTGACCTTGTTACCTTGAGGTCCTGGACGGAGTAGCCCTTGCGGAGTTGGATCTGGGCGACCTCGAGCGAGGAGATGAAGGCGGCGAGGCGGGCGAGCGACTGTTTGCCAGAGCCGCCGACGCCGACCAAGAGGGCGCTGCCTCGCGGTGACTCGAGGATGCGGTTGATGCGGCACACGTGCGTCATGGCGTCCTCGAACAGCACGAGCCGCATCGCCGCCACCAGGTCGTTGTAGCTCAGCATGGCCTCCTGCAGGAGCCGGCTCAGGCCCTCCCACTTGCCGATCGACATGTACTTGGGCTCGCCGATGCCCTGCGCGAAGTGGCAGTAGATGTTCGGCTTCTCCCCCACCACTGTCTCGTCCACCTCCTTATAATTAAACACTAGATAATATTAGCAATAGCAAGAACCAGATAAGCCAGATGAGGATTGTACAATATAAGGGGCTGACTAAAGCGAGTTTCAATTTTTCAATCTGAAATTGAAATAAGCGAGTCCGTTGGCCCCGAATTCGACTCAATGACCTCCATGGACTCACTTTTGACCCACCGCAGGACAAGCTGGTTCAATGTTATCAAAATTGGAATCCTCAACGAGAAACACTGACCTCGAAGTTCTTCTTGACAATGTCGGTTTGTATCTTGGCGAAGAGCTCGATGTCCTTCTCGTCGGCCATCTTGTCTCCGTACACGCGCTGCGTCTCGTGCATCCAGAGGCGCACCAGGTCGGCTGGCGCCACTAGGCACTCGGCGCTGCTGAACAACAGACCCTGGAACACGCTCGTCAGGTCGCGCAGGTTGAAGATGTAGTGGAACTTGACGGCCGTTGGCAGAAACACCTGCGACACCTGCGTATGTGACACCAAACCAATAATTAGTGTATAACATCTTTTGTCAAATCTTTGAGCAGAGCAAAGCTCTGAATGTCAATTTGGTAAATTAGAGAAGAAAATTGTGGATATAAATGGCAGGGAATTAATTTTAAAAGAGCAAATTGGGAGCTTTTCAATAACCTTCTTTCTTCATCAAGTAAAATAATTTGTACACCTTCATTAAGTGATAGATTCAGATTCATCCTAAAGTTTGTGATTCAAATTCATTGATATTAATCAAGAACGGATATGATTGTGAGTGAGATTGTTTCATTACCTTTTGGTGGAGGTTGAGCGAGGCGGCGACGACGTTTGGCGTGAGTCTGGTGACGCAGTGGGGGAAGCGGTGCTCTAGGTTGCCCATGTGCTGGCTGAGGATTGAGTGGTAGATGGTGTGCAGGGACTCGGCGCACGGGAAGCTGATGGCGAACACGCAGAAGTGGCGCTGCAGTCGCGGGTTGATGGTGAAGCTGCCCGCGGTCGGGTTCATGCACGCCACGTACTGCGTGTTGTGGATCTCCTTGAGGCTCAGCCGCGTCCGGTCGTACCAGTGCGAGTAGTCCAGGTGCTGCCGGATCAGCGTGTGCGGCTGCACCGTCCCGTACGCGTCCACCTGGGCACACGAACAAGTTAACGTGCATTTTTTAAACTGAGAAATTATATAGACTGATTTGCCAATAAATTTAGACTGCATATTTTTGTTATTAAAAACAAATTATCATTGCTTTAAATAAAAAGGAAAACTGTTTAAGTCCCCAAATCATGTCATTGTTTATTGAATTGCAGCATTTTTGTACAAAATGAAAAGTCAACTTTTTGGAAAAATTACCTCTGGCATGTTGAAATCGTCGACGAAATAGACGAGCGTTTTGCTGCCCGGGGGTCCGTAGTTTCTCCCCGCCTTCTTCTCCAGCGGCTTCTCCAGAATTTTCTGCAGCATTTCTGAAATATTCAATTAAATACGCATAACCATTGCGGAGGGGGGTGACGCATACCGGAGGTTGTGTAAAAGTTGAAGGGGACGTTTGCGACGGCGTAGCTCTCGGGCAGGGAGGCGAGTTTTTCCTGCACGAGCACCGTCTTGCCGACGCCCGCCGGCCCCACCAGCATCACCGGGTGCCGCGGGCCCATCAGCAGGTCCAGGAAAAATCGGATCCGGATGCTCTCGGGCGTGTGCACCAGCATTGCCTACAATTTCATTTTCTCATTTCACTTTTCAGTAAGTATATATAATGTCAATGAAATTAGAATGGAGAATTAAAAAAAAATAATTATACCTACAGAATTAAATTCACAAAATAAAAAAATTTAAATATCAAAAATAAATGTCCATTTCTTCAAACAAAAATAAATCTGGTATCAAATAAATATTCAAATATTATCAGACTGAGGGTAATTTCTCTTTATACGTTTATACACTTAAAAAATGTATTTTAATTGATCATTAAGAAGTGCATCATTCTGATTAAAGCAAACATCTTTCTAAATTAATTAAAATATCTTTTAAAATTTCGTACTATTTAACTTTTGGAATATCGCTCAGAGAAATATCAATATTGACTTAATTTACTCGCAAATTCTTTAACAACAAATGGAAATAAATTTTACAAGGAACAAAATTACTAAAATCATTCAAAAGGCTAAACTAGGTTAAATCCTATAGCTTAACCCACAATGCAATTTGAATGGCGTGGGACTTAAGTGGCCTAGAATCTTTTATTTTGAAATAATCTTTGCTTATCTTCAAATTTAATGAATTAAAAAATTCCCATTTTCGCAATTTTTCTCAACACAAAAATTATTTCTTGAGTTCGCCTACATTAACTCGTGGATCGACAGCAGCACTTTTCCCAGAGTTTATTATAAGTAATTTAAGTGAACCTGGAGGGGCAGGTCGGGGTCGAGTTCGAAGCGGGGAAGGCGTTCGCTCCAGGGCACAAACTGCTTCGTCTCTTGGTCGATGAACACGTCAAAGACGGTGCAGTTGGCGGGAAACTTGACCGTCTTGTACTCATTGACCCACCACTTGGAGAACTCGACGCGGTAGTCGATCATCTGCAGATCGAGGGCTTGGAAAAATTACTATTAAGGGTGGAAAATATAAAAACCTGGTCCTGGAACATGGAGGCGCCGAACGCCCAGATGCACGCAAACACAAAGTAGATCTCGATCCACTCCTTGTTGCAGTCGGGGGGCGTGTTCTCGGGGGTCAGCAGGCACTGCAGCAGGTGACACAGCGTCTGGATGTGCGAAATCTCAGCGATCGGCGTCACCTAAATCAGTTCAACAGAAACTTACATAATTCATATTGCAAAAATGTAAGTAGGCAAACTTCTTCACACCGACGCCGTGCAGGTTGCATATACCTACTAATTTTGTACATTTAAGGTCAAACAAAGTTTCCTTGCAGCAAATCCAAATCTGCTAGATTTCTGATAAAATACTCTTACTTAAAGAAATTACGTAAATTAAAGAGAGAAAAAACCACACCGAACACAAGCATGTAAATCTTTGAAAAAATCTTGATTTATGTTGAAGCTGTATAATTAACTGTCTGATTGATTATTAAATACAGTCGCTCAAACTAATGAAAAATATATACGATTTGAGACATTACGTAGGTGTTTTTGCATTAGCATAAGAGGTCCTTATTTAAATTTAATTTTTCTAATTCTTGGCTACCTTTTTGAAGCGCGTGCGCATGGTCTCGACGCAGGAAGGGATGTATTTGTCGAACAGAATGACCAGATTGGTTTTCTCGGCCTGGTGCGCGCGACGTTCGATCCAGCTTGTCACGTACCTTTCCGAATTGAACATTTCACTCACTTTAAAAACCCAGGCAAAGATGTTTTGAAAAAATCAGGTTTCAGCAAACTCAAAATAATGAAACTCATTCAAATTTCAAGATGCTAAAGCAAAAACGTTTATCAATTTTGTATGACTTTCAAAAAAGAAGCGATCATGAAATTGGTTTTCTAGTAACTATCACAAAATTTCTTTGTCATCAAGAAAATTACTCTGAAAAATTAAACAAAATTCTGGCTAATGGTTGTTCCTTTTTGTCTAGCAATTCCTTCTCATTTTACATCAATTGTTTTCAACAATGACATGTAAACAATGAAGCAATGTGGAACAGTTTAAGTAAACAGCAATAAACTCAAATATTTTTAGGAATTTTTCCTAACAAAAAACCTTTGTTAAAATCTTATTTAAATTAAAGACAAAATAATTCACTCACGGGTTCCATCCGAGGTCCTGCGGGTTGATGTAGAGGATTCCGGCGCGCGACACAGTGGCAGGGGTGGCCGTTCGCAGGTTCGAGATTTCAAAGAGGAGGCGCATGTGCGGCGTTAGGGCGATCCGCTCGTTGCTCGCCAGCGTCAACACCTGTCACGCCAAAATTTCCGACATTTTTTATAATTATGTAGAAAATAAAAAAATTTTAATAAAAGTTACGATTTACACTTTATATAAAAAATAGAAAAAAACTAGTTCATTATTCTACAATGTCTTGCAATAAGTAATAAAATCAATTCATAGATGAACTATGGAAAAATAAAAAATTGCAACAGACTCGTGTTTATTAAAGATTGATCGAATTTTAAATAAAAGACCTTGTTGTCGTCCATGACGGTGTTGAGGGACTCAATCCACATGGGGTCGATGTCACCGTCAAGGACGATCCACTTGGGCGAGTCGTTGGTCAGGTTGGCCTGTTCGCGCATCAGCACTGACAGCAGCCCGTCCTTCCACTCCCTAATTTAACTTTTTGATTCTTCCTTTTTCCATAGAAATAAGTCAAATAAAGACCTGGTGGCGGGGTTGATGATGCCGAAGAGCTCGTCGTTGGTGACCGCCTTGGGGTTGAGGTCATTGTAGACCGGCCGCCGCTTGATGTTCTGGTATGTTCGGAACAGCGTCTTCCACACCTGCGTCTTGCCCGTGCCCGCGTTCCCCACTACGAACACCGAGTGCCGAACCTCCAGTAGCTCCTCCAACTGCACCACCTGATTCAGACGCACAACCTTGTTCACAATCCAAAATGGTGTTCAACAAGTCAAAAGATTCGTTTAGTGACCAGATGGCATAAGGTCAAATTCAAAAGCTATTACACATCTCCAAAACATTAATCAGGTCAATCTAGGACAATGTGACCTTTGCCGGTCACCTGAGGTCATGGTTTAAACCAAACTTGATAATAAAAATTATCTCCGTAACACAAATTTCCATAAATTTGTAAAATGTCTAGTTTAGGTTAATCTGGGACAATGACCTTTGACCTTTCAGTGACCAGAAGTCAAAATTTTCATTGTTTTGATATAAATAATATCAAATCTTCATTCCACGAGGCTAAAGATGGGTAAATTGATTACCTTTGGCGATCAGTGGTCAAAGGTCTGGCCAAAGTGGCGACTAATTTATTAATCTTTCTTTGACCTCGGGTCACTATGAGAATCTTTGGTTAACGAGAGAATGGAATGTGTGACCTTGAGGATGAAGTTGTCCTCTGGCTGGAGGTGGAGGTCAGCGGCCGCCTGCTTGACGGTGCGCTCAAAGTCAAGGTCGCGCTTGCGGGGCACGTCAAGGGCGGGGAAGAGGTCGCCGATGAGGCCCATGAAGACGGGCACGTCGTCAGTGACCACTTTGGGGATGTTGAAGTCCCTGAGGGCGCGCATGAGGACCTCCTCCTCGGGGCGGCAGGGGTCGCCGCGCTTGAGCGAGCCGGCCACCACCAGCACCGACTTGATGGCCCTGAGGCCCCAGTCGTAGTGGTCCTGCTTGGACAGCAGCTCCTTGCACAGGGTGTACAGGGTGATGAACTTGCGCGCCAACACGCGCGCCTCCTGGAAACCCTCGGCCACTAGCATGATCTCGCAGATCAGCTCAAAGTCCGGCACCACCATCGCGCACGGCCTGCGTGCCAAATTCAAATGAAACGACTTTCACATCGAAACTTCACCAATGAATTTAGCTTCAAGTATTATGAATTCATGCATGGACTGACGAGGTATATATAAATAATGAGTAACACATTTCACTAAATGTAAATTTATGCTTATTAAAAAAAAATCATGACCGCAGCAGGATAAAAAAATAAATTGTCAAAGTTGTGTTGCATAAAATATGACAAAGGAAAGGTTGATATGATGTTTACCTCTTTATTACATAAGAAATAAAAAATGTGGAAAAATAAAGCCATTCCCTATGAAGACGGATAAATTATGGCAAAGATTGATAAATTTTCCTAGAAAAAGTCTACTTCGTATAACTATTTTTATACCATAGGTCAAAATTACAAACTGACCTGAAGAGGGCCTTGAGATTTTCAGGGAGTTCGGTGCGACCTGCGTAGCCAGGGTTCATGGTGATGAAGATGCCGACGGTGGGCACGAGGGGGATGGTCTCGCCCATGAAGTTGAAGGTCTGCTTGCGCTCGCGGATCGCGTCCTGCACCGACTTGACCTGCACCGCCACCACCGACAAAACCTCCACCGAGATGCGGTTGAACTCGTCGAAACAACCCCACGCCCCCGTCTGCGCCAACCCCTTGTAGATCGCCCCGCACGACTGAAACACACACCCCAAAGCACATTTTTTTCCAATTTTTTGTTAAGTTTTTAAATTATCCTATTAAAGAGGAGATAAATTCAGAAAATCATATCTTCGTTGTGAGAACATTTTATTGAACGGAGCAAAAGATACAAAAAAATATCTGTTTTGGCAATACCTGATCACTTTGGCAGAAGAAACAATTACATTTACACTATCCCTCCATGATAAAAAATATAATATGTAGGAAAAAGCAAAAATTAATTTGTTTCAAGCTGGCCAAATTAAAAATAATCTAAAAACAAGACACTTTTTCAGTATCTCTGGCCCCGTTCGAGTTTCCAGAACGCATAAAAAGTCATCAGCCGAGAAGAATTTGACATTTGAACTTCATTGTCAGATGTGATAATAAGGTTTCTTAAATTTTATGGTTTCAGAAAGGCCATTTAATGGCATTCGTGCTTTCCTTGCGTAGAATCTGCATTAGGGCCTGGTCCAATTGAAGGACAAAATCCAACAGTGCCGAACTATCCAGTTGCGAGCGCGTGTTATGTCAAATTTGAAAAAAAAAAGTTCAAACTGAATGAAAAGTGAAAAGAGGTTAAGATAATAAAGAGCTAGCAGTAGAAAAGATGTAAACTTTGCTACCGACCTTGTAGTCCATCTGCTCGGAGCAGTTGAAGACGTAGACCATGACCCCGAGGGCGCGTCCGAGGTCCTTAGTGGTTTCGGTCTTGCCTGTACCGGCGGGCCCTGCAGGGCCGCCGCCCATCACCAGGTGCAGCGACTGCGTCAGGGTGATGTAGCAGCGGTCGGTCAGCGGCGTGATCACCAGCCGCGGCGTGTTGCCCAAGTACTCGTAGCAGTACCTGAACTCGGCGTCACAAATGTTGGCGAAACACTCACGCGCCTTCTCGTCCCACCTGAAAATACCAAAATCATACTCAATTTTAAACAAAATATTAAAAAGTCTTATAGAAATGCACAAACCACAGCAATTTAGAATTACATCTTTTTTAAATTAACCGCTGATTTTGGATCTTGTACAAACAAATTATAAAAAAAAAAATGCAACGCTCCATTAGCAGTCGATCTTGATATTAACAAATTAAAATGACAAATGCGCCACCTGTGTCTGAGCTGGGACTGCCATTGGAAGGCGGAGGCGGCCTCAACCTTGGCCTGGATGAGTTTGGCGACGACGTCACGCGAGTGCACGTCGATGGTGCAGATGGTCATGATCTTCTGGCGGTCCTGCTTGCTCAGCTCACCTAGCAGCAGCGAGATCAGCGTGCTCAGCTGCGCGATCTGCTTCTTCTGGTAGTCCTTCAGCGCGTTGTCGTACCCCTCTTCCAGCCTGGCGAACGCCATGTTCACCTCTGACGTCCACCAAATCTTGAAAAATTTTCAATCTCATTTGAAACGGATGTTTTTACAAGGTTCAAACGGAAAAGGTAAGTTTCATTTTTTTTTTTACGTTTCATGCAGATACCTTGGTACATTTTGTTTAAAATAAAGTAATAAAAACTGTAGGAGAGGGATTTAAAGGGTGCATACCTGAGTGCCGCAGAGGGAGACCTGGGCGGGGTAGTCGAAGAGCCACTGCTCGCGCGGCTTCTCCTCATACGCGACCACAGCCTCGGTGAAGTTGGCCTTGATGGTGGAGCGCATGGCCGCCTGCACCCTGTTCAGCCACACCTCGACCTTTGCCAGGGTAGCGAGTCAGTTTGGCAAAGCATGAGAATGAAAAGGGTACTGACCGCGCCGGTGCAGTCGCAGGCCGAAGCAAACGCCACGAACTCGCCGTCCTTTGCGAACATGCCCTCCGCACGCAGCCCCTCCTGCTCGCCCCTCCCCTCCTTCCCCTCTGCCGCCCACTTCAGCCGCGCAATTGAGTCAAACAGCTTCGTCAGGTGCCTGGAACGAATTGTGTCATTTTAAAAGTTTTTCTTTTAATTACAAATTTAAAAAGAAAAAATAAACTTTATTCTTGACACTCATGTTAAGCTGGTTGCATTAAAATTAAGATTTTTTTACTTTTTTTATATATTTGTAGCGGTCAGCGGTTTCCCGCTGCCCACTACAAATCGTTTAGTCAAGACTAAACCACTCCACCACCCTGTGCTGCACCCTACAGCATTTACCCTGCAGCACTCCCATGCAATGTGAGCCCCACCCAACCACGTTTATTCTCGCGCCCCAAGCCAGCCATGGAGCGCGCGTCTCAATCGCTCACTCAACAAACCTTCGCCTGAACCCAACTTATGGGGTAAGAACCTTTCTGTGCAATTTCCCTCGACGGCAAAATGACCCGCCCAGTGAATAAGTGCATAATCACCGGCCCCGCCAGTGAATTTAACCCAAAACGCCGAACCTAAAACTGTTCGCCGGCTGAGCAATGCCGGCGCCTCCACTCAATTTACCAATACTCAAATAACATGTTTGTAATTCATTGTACTGATTGTATTATGTTTTTACAGTTCGAATTTCAACTTCCGATTCTAATACCAACACATCCTGAATGTACAACACCGCCTTACTACAATATACGAATTAAAAGAATCTTCTGGAGTTTAATTTAATTATTATTCTCCCTTTGTGTTGGCCAACCTGGCCCGTACAAAATGGTGACCCCGAACAAGATACCGAACGCGATGCTTCAACGCAGAATCGCCTTCAACACGATGCTTCAACGCAAAATCGCTTTCAACAAGATGCTTCAACGCAGAATCGCCTTCAACAAATCAAGCCATCGAGTGACAGAACCAACATACACATTCGGCAGACCGCCGAACGACGAGCTTTCGCCATGATGCCGTCACAACACCGCCAACACCAATGCTGTCAGCAGCCACGCCTCCTCACATGCAAGCAACCGTGGCCGCCGCCAAGGCCAAATCTTTGGACAGCAGCTGTCCTTCGAACCTACACTTACCAAGGATCGAACCTCTCCACAGAAGCCGTCAGACAACACTGCACCGCGCTTCCAAAAACTGTCGCTGCACCTACTCACAATTTTGCTCCACACGAGTTTTATGCAGAACTCTCGTCTGAATCAGAGCATACATCAGCGACGCCGACACGAGCCTTCAAACTCGGACCGACACGGCAAGTATGTGACCTGCAACCCACCGCGCAAACGAGACATAGCTATTTCTCGTCACCTTTGGGGACACACCCTGTCGGACACACCTGAAAGAGCTGATCGGACCAACGACCTTCCAGCACGCCAAGTTCCCCCGGCTGGAATCAACCAACATACAGAACTTCCAAGTTCTCCTGTTTTTGGACTCAGCAAAAGTCCAACGCCTCAAATTCCTCGTTCACTCCAGCCTATACAAGAGTGACCTTCTCGCCAAGAGACAACTTCTCGCCAAGAGACACCTTCTCGCCAAGAGACACCTTCTCGCCCAGAGACACCTCACCAAGAGAAACATACTGAGAGTGACCTCCGGTCTCCAAGTGGGGGCCTATGTAGCGGTCAGCGGTTTCCCGCTGCCCACTACAAATCGTTTAGTCAAGACTAAACCACTCCACCACCCTGTGCTGCACCCTACAGCATTTACCCTGCAGCACTCCCATGCAATGTGAGCCCCACCCAACCACGTTTATTCTCGCGCCCCAAGCCAGCCATGGAGCGCGCGTCTCAATCGCTCACTCAACAAACCTTCGCCTGAACCCAACTTATGGGGTAAGAACCTTTCTGTGCAATTTCCCTCGACGGCAAAATGACCCGCCCAGTGAATAAGTGCATAATCACCGGCCCCGCCAGTGAATTTAACCCAAAACGCCGAACCTAAAACTGTTCGCCGGCTGAGCAATGCCGGCGCCTCCACTCAATTTACCAATACTCAAATAACATGTTTGTAATTCATTGTACTGATTGTATTATGTTTTTACAGTTCGAATTTCAACTTCCGATTCTAATACCAACACATCCTGAATGTACAACACCGCCTTACTACAATATACGAATTAAAAGAATCTTCTGGAGTTTAATTTAATTATTATTCTCCCTTTGTGTTGGCCAACCTGGCCCGTACATATTTATTCTTCTAGAGAGAATTAAACAGACATAATTTTAACTTTGATTTCATAAAATCGTTGATAGATTCCTAAGATAGCTAGAGTGGGTGCCAACTGAAAATTCAGTTTTATGCAACCTGTCAAGCATGACTGTTAAGCAGGTTACATTCTGAAACAGCCCTGAATCCTGCCTTCTGTTATGGTTTAGGGCAATGAAATTTAGGGGAAATGGAGTTTAGGGGAAATAAAAAAAAGATTTTAGGGATAATAATTTAGGGGAAATAATTTAGGGGAAATACAGAAAAAATCCATTAGGGGAAATAAATTTAGGGACAAAAGGGGGCTCCCTTCTGAAGATATAAATAATAATAAAAACACGCTGAAAACCACTTATTTGGAAGCTCATTTAGAAACAAAATCTGATTAATTTTGACTTGAACAAATACAATCACGACACTAAAAAAAGGGTACGTTAAATTTAAATACAAAGCAAATATCAGGTATCTAGATTATATAAAAGAGATTACCTTTGAAAGAAATTTTAGAAAAGGTGATGGTAAATTGTATTAAAAGTAATTCGTTTGAAGTGTATACCTGACGACGAGTTTGGCGTTGGCGCCGTTGGAGAGGATGTCGAGGAGGTCGGCGCTGGAGACGAAGTAGAAGCGGGGGAAGGCGAGGCGCTTGGTCTCGAGGTACTCGGCCAGGGCCTTCTCGCACAGGGTGAGCTGGGCCTGCAGGGCGGCCAGCTGGAGCGAGAGGCCGGGCTGGTTGGTGGCGTGGACGACCCTGGGCGTGGCCGCCAACCTTTGCAGGAGCGCCCTGAACTCGGCGTCGATGCGATCGAAGCGGTGCGCGTCCTCGGGCAGCTGCCGCCGGATGTCCTCGGAACTCATGAAGATGGACTCGAGGTGCGTCCACGTGCGCTGCACCTCGAACCACAGCGTCATCACCTGGTCGGCCACGCTCAGCCGCTGCTGCCACGTCGACACCTCCTCCAGGAAGTGCGCGATGAACTTGGACGTGATCAGATTCTGCAGCTGCACCTGCAAAATTTACGCCCACCACAGACTTCAACCTTCATCTTAGACCCCAATCACTGCACAAATTGTAATAACATATTTTATGCAAAAGAGAAAGAGAAACGGTTTTTTTTTACTATAGATTTATCTTGAACTTATTAAGGCAAACTTGAAATAAAAATATTTAAAAACTTTCTCGCATCTTCTTACAAATTACTTCAAAAGATGTTCTACTTTCTTACTGAAATTAGTATAATCAAAATTATGTAATTTATTATTGAAAACAGATAAAGGTGATAACAAGAGTCACAGATGATATCATGAGACTTTTTAATGCCCATGAGACTGTAAATATTTTCTAAATATTTTAATAAAAAGAATTTAATGACCTAAGATGGAAATAAATTATTGAATTTATGTTAGGGGTGGAGCTAGTGGACAAGACGGGGTGCCTCACAATGTCCTAAAGACAATGTCCTAACAGAAAATGTCCTAACGGATAATATCCTAAAGAAAATGTCCTACAGAAAATATCCTAAAGAAAATGCCCTAAAATTAAGAATTGAAAATGTCCTAACATACAATATCCTAACGCCTGAAAATTATGAAAAGTCATGTGTCATGTGAAAAAAAATTTAATTTCATCCTTTCAAGTAATTTTGTTTCAAAATTTATCCAGATTCAACATATTTTACGCTTCATACGACTAGAGTCTTTATCGGAAAATATACATATTTAGACCTTTGACTAATTTTAGTAATTTTAGGCTTTTGTAATGACTCGAATATTTTTTTCAATATTATTTTCTTCGCTTTTGCTACGGGTAGTTGAGAAATGTAGCTATTAATCTTTCTTCTAGACAATAGTTTCAAAGAATTTCGTACAAATCTTCAGGCAATTGTATTTTTGTTTCCTACGAAAAAGTTTACTTAAAAATATCATTCGATTTTTTTTCAAGACAAAAAATATGAAAAATTCTAATTGAAAATATTTGTTAAATTTATTTTCAATATAAGTTGTAGTAATAATATTATTATTAACAATAATTTGTATTTGTGGAAAATAATATGATTGTTTCAAACTTTTATACACATTTATTTTTTGAATTATTTGATCAACTATCTTTTGAAATGTGACAGAGAAGCTCAACAATTAGCATCATTCTTTCTGCTTTTAAGTGAATTCATTTTGGATGTTAGTCCCTGTTGAAAAAACTAAATTTTTTAGAATAAATCAACCACTTTTCCGAAATTTAGGACATTTTCTTGAAATTCAATTAGGACAAAGTTTTTAGGACAATGTGCGACCATAGCTTTTAGGACATTATCTTTAGGACATTTTCTTTAGGACATTCTCTGTTAGGACATTGTCTTTAACCTCAATTTAGGACATTTTCTTTAGGACATTATGATGGTACCCGACAAGACTTTGTGGTTTTGCAGACCTGGTTCTCCTCGAGGGTCTCGATGAGCTCCTCGGAGGCCTTGAGCAGGAGGCAGCCGGTGCGCGCGTGTCGCTCCTGCTCGAACTCCATCGTGCTCCACGTGGCGTTGAGTTCGCGCAAAATCTTCTCCATGGACATCTCCTTGACGGCCTTGTCCACGATGTTCTTGACCTCCTCCTCGCACTCGTGCAGGTTCAGCGCCAGCAGGTCGGCCAGCGTCGTGCTCGTGTCCATCACGAACCGAACCTTAACCCGGCGCCAACATCAACTTAGCAACAACGGCCCCCAACCAAACAACCTCAAAAGTTATGGTGCTCTTCTACAAATATTATGTAACTTTTGGTGCAGTGAATCATAAGATAACGTTTTTATAAAATCAATTGAAACAATAAAACGCTGTTCTGAATGTTCGCAGCTGTAGATTGAAAATTCCACTTCAATTAAAAGATAATCAGGACTATTTGCCAAAATAAAAAGATACATGTTTGGATGGGATACTTGGACGCTTTTAACCATTAAAATAGTCGGTTAAGATGAATTTCCCAGAATTATTTACTTTGTTAAGCTGAGTTTAACAGAATCTAGTCATAAAAAAAATAATTTTTCACTGGTATTAACACTGAAAGCACCATTATTTTCCTTATCAATTATTTTTTCATTAATTTCTTAAAGTCTGAAAAATATCAATTTACGAAACAATCACTTTCACTATCCACCTGTCTAAGAGCTTCCTGATGCTTAGACAACATGAATAAAATTCATATTATTTACTCTAGTCTCAAGAAGCTAAAAAAGTAAGCAGGAAGGATTTTAAGAATTTTTAGCAAAATTTGCCGTTCGCAAGACCGCGCTTACAGTGATGATTTCCAACCAACTTGAGAAAGATAACTTAAACTAGAACACATAACTTGGTAAATAATCAATTTTTTTCACTTCTGCGATTAAATTGAAATGAAAAAACTGTCCGCAATGAAATTAACACTTGATTTTTACATTCAAGTTTTAATTTAAGATTTCAGCTTTGAATAATGTTTACGCTCAACTATCTAAAAATTGGTTTTGATTTATTTAGTTTTTTAACTTAAAATGGTATCGCAATAGTAGGAAATGTAGCTAAAAAATATTTAACCGCTCATGTTTATCATCCCTTTATGTTTGAAGTAAATAGAGGCTGGTTTGCCAATCCAAATTCTAATTTTTGAGCCTCTTGATTAATCTGTTCAGAATATATATTTCTTAGAGAAGTGCTTTTGAGCTATTGAGTTGTGGTAATAAAAGTGCAGAGAAGAAAAGCGAGTGCGTAGAGAAGGAGAGCGAAAGAAGAGTGTTTGAATATTTCGAGTTGAAGAGTTTCTTTGTTGGGTGTGTTGTCGGGACTCACCGTGTACTCGGGCGGCAGGGCGGCGAGATTCTGGATGGAACAGTAGAAGTTTTGGTGTTACACGGCTCGGCAGCTTTTGCTGAGAGACAAACGGACGGACACAGACAAAGAGCCGAACAAGGACAGAGACACGGAAGAAACGGACGGACGAGGACGGACGCACGCACACGGACCTACCTTGGTGGAGGTCATCAGCTGGTGCCAGTGGCGCTCGCGGATCGCCGGGTTCTGCAGTTCGCCGACAGCCCGCAGCGACGTCAGCATATTCTTCACGGTCGCCTCCAGCTGCACGTAAGTGTCCCACGTCCGCATCTCCTTGTCCAAAGCTGAAATCCACAAATTACAAAGGTCAAGTTTCCAAGAATCCAGAGATTAAATTTTTGTTTAGAATTAATCTACAATTTTTATCTCTACATAATTGGATTTTAGTGAGTTCCAAATATAACAATAACAAAAAACTCTAAATTTACTATAAAATGGATTCATTTAGTAAAAAAAAATGTTGATAAAAATGTTAGTTTTCGACCAAGAAGAAGCTTTATAAACGACAATGTGTAGATAATTAAAAAAATTATTTATACAAAAATGCAGTATTTTTTTCTGAATAAAATTACAGCAAACTCATTTTTGAATAAAGTAACCTACCAAAATTTAAAAATCCTAATTTAAAAAAAAAAAAAAATAAGTTGAGAAACAAAAATGAAAATTAAATTAAATACTGACCGCGGACCTCCTTGGCGAACTTCTTGCACTCAATGTCCATGTTCTCAACGTCGATTTGGCGCCACGGCGTCGTCTTCCAGTCCTCGATGCTGGTGCGCACAATCAGCACGTAGTCCCACAGTTGCTGGCCACGCAAATTAGCACTTAAAATGAGACTAAAATAACGTACAACAGACCTTGAGCATGCGCAGCTCGCGGCGGCTCTGCTTGAGGTGCTTGAAGTCGGGCATGTTGACCTCGAAGAGCGAGGCCGAGTCGTGCAGCCGCCCCATGTCCGCCTCCATGCCCCCGATCTCCCCGTCCTTCTCGTCCATCTGCTCGTACGGCGTCTCGCAACTGAACCTGATACACAAAACCATTCCTACTTGAAAAAAGAGCAACTGATTTATTGCAAGCCAATTCTTCAAATTATAAAATATAATGAGGGCGATCCAAAAGGCTAACTTGGCCCAGGCTAAATTAGCCTGGCCAGGGCTACTTTAACCCGCCATTGAATTTTGCTGGAGGGCTAAGTTAGCCCGGGGCTGAGTTAACTTAACCTGGGCGAGGTTAGGCTTTTGGATCGCCCTCATTAACATTAAAATAGAACAAAAATATATTATTAGCACTTAAAAAATTTATTCCTAATTTGCGAAACACAATGCGATGCATTTTAAATAAAAGTTCCTTTAAAAAACATAATTTAGCTATAGTTTAAAAAAAAGTTGATTTTTTTTAACCTTATTTCCAGGAACCAACCTATTTTAAAATCTCCAATGTTATTTGCTCTCTCAAACATATCGGGGCAATACCAAAAATTATCAATTTTTTTTTAATGGTGGAAAAATTTGAATCATATTTGCTTACGAATCGCAAAATAAAGTAATGGATTTCAATATAGACACAGAACGAATTTTGTTAAAAGAGGAAAACTGACTTGAGGAAGTGGCTGCGACGAAAGGAGTCCCGATAGTGCGACTGGTGCGCGTCGAAGGCCAGGATGCGTTTTCTGATGCAGGCGACCTCGTTGGCCTGCATCGGCGCCACCAATTGCTTCACCGTCGTCGCGTTCTTCTTCGTGTTCTGCCACTGCTCCGGCAGCTCCTGATTCAAAAGGATTCATTTCGTGACTCGAATTGGCCAAGAATCAGCAAACACAACAATCGGAGCAGGTTTCGATTGTTGCCAAATGCCAAATGTTCTTACATAAGAAAAAAAATGTACTTGCGCAGAGAGAGCTCAAACAACAATCAAATTATGTATCATTGATCATTGTTCATTGATGTGATACGTGAACCTAAAGTCTGGTGTAGAAATTTGAAAAACCGGCAAGTGTCACATTTTAAGCTCTAAAAAGCAAATAGCTGATTTACATATTTGATTAAATTAAAAAATTATTATTACCTGTGTTTGGAAAATGGTTTTTAACAAGAAAAGGTGAAGATTTTTGTATATTAAAATGGTCACTTACAAGCAATATGTATGGTGTTTGAAATTATTCTCTGATTTATTCACTATTTGATTCAAATGTAATTCAATATTAACTTTCACCAAAACCTGGGTATTTTATTTCAAAAATACATCTATTGTCAAAAAATAAAAATAAAAACGGCACATCATGCACATTCTAGCGACTGAATAAAAGTGGAAAAAATAGAAATGGGAAAAATATAGGTGATCACATTTTTATTTTTCACCGATTTGCTGCAATTAAGTAAACTAAAATGTGTTTATAAAGACAAAATATTACCATTATATGTAAAAATAGGCAGTTTAGAATCACCTAAAGCCCAAATCAGTAATAAATACTATTTCCACCTACAATAATCAAAATAATCTATTTTGAGATTTTTCACCCATTTCAGCCAAAACCTCAGTATAGGCGCCCCCGGCCTTTTGCCAATAAAAATCACCCATTTTTCCCAATTCTGGTGAACAAAGGATCGAATTTTGTACCTGAAGGAGGACGTGGACCTCCTCGGGCAGCTCCTGGTCGTAGAGCTTGAGCAGGTCTATGGTGCGCTGGAGCGGCTCGAAGAGCAGGTCGGTGCTGGTCTGGCGCTCCTTGACCTTGAGCAGGTAGCCCATGGTGAGGACGAGGCCATCGTAGTCGCCGTCGCCGATCGGCCGCATCAGGCCCTCGTCGGCCTCGCGGATGAACTCGGCCAGCGAGGTCAGGCTGCTGACCACGTGCTGGGCCAGGTGCTGCTGGAACATGTTGCCCCACCGCCGCGCCAGGTTCTCCAGGGTCTGCTTCAAAGGACGCACGTCCACCTGTTCACAATCATCCTCAATCAACTTTCATGTAGTTTTTAAATCTTAAAAAAAAAAAACCTAATGAAATCCAGCAGGGATAAAAACAAATCAAAACGACTTTAAGAAGAGCACAGTTAATTTGCAATTTTGTAACGTCAGATATCTTCTTTTTAATAATAAAAGAAAAAAAATCATGCTGACTTATTGAAGACAGATCTGGTTGAACATTATTTTATTGAAAATTTAAACTAAAATTAATTATTTGAAGATCCTGAATCGTTTAGTTTTCATCTCCAACTGATTGTGATATAAAATTCAGAGACAAACCGAGCTTTGAAAGTCATGAACATGAATAATTTTGAAATGATTAAGATTTGAGACCTGGAACCAGGAGTGGAAGACCTCTTTGCAGGGCAGCGCGGTGATCTCAAGGTAGACGGACTCGAAGTGGTCGAGCTGCTGCTTGAAGAGGTCAAGCGAGGGCGGCGCCAGCGGCGGCGCCATGGCGTCGCCGAGCGCCACGAGATCCATCTCCTCGCCGCTCAGCTGCCGGCCGTAGTTGAGAAACTGGTCCATGTACATCTGCCGGTCGTCCAGCCACAGGTACGCCCACCGGTCGAACTTGCCGCTCAGCTCTTGCGCCTGAGCAAAAACAACCAACAGGTTACGCATCAGTGGTCGTTTTTAATTTTAATTAAAAAATTTTACTTGTGGATTGAAAAAGCACAAAATGTAAAATTGGTTGCTTATAGTTTTTAATAATACCAAAAAATATAAAATAATGAACACATACTGGTTGGCTTACAATTAAAAAAATCATGGCGTTATATGTATTATTTGTTCAGTTTAACTTTTAAATTATGTATGAAACTAATGTAAATTAATTTTGTGAAAATATCATCTTTGCTAGAGGGTTGTTAATTTTAAAATTGTCTGCTTCAATTTAATATTACTTAAAAAGCTGAGAATTGAAATTTTTCCAAGGTTGATTGATGCGGCAATACCAGAAGTGATTTTCCACATAACGAAAGTGCGGTTGCCGCTGTTGTAGAAAGAGTTTTGTGCATTCATAAACACAAGCATTAAAGAAGGTATCGCTGCTAACAATAAGTTTTGGGCTTTAACCTAGAAAATACAGCAAGCAAATATTTTAAAAGAAATAATTTAATCTCCCATTATATCTTTTTTCGGTGGCGAAAATATTTATTTACTTTTTAATTCGTTAAACACGTTCATGTTCTGTAAAATGATAAAAAAAAAAAAAATGTTTGTTTTCATTCAAATGATTTTGCCTGGAATGTGAGAATCGCATTAAGAGTGAGAAATGAGACCTGCTTGGTGACGAGTTTGACCTGGGCCATGATCTCGGCGTTCATCTCGTTGATGTCTTCGTGGCCTTTGAGGTGGTCGGCGTAGGCGGGGGCGTGGGGGCGACGCGACACCCTGGGCACGAGGCGGGCCATGCCGAGCACGTGGTCGACGAGGCCAGAAAAGATGGCGGCGAGGGAGTCTGGCGCGGCGTCGTCGAGCGGCGGCACGAACACGAGCGTCGGCTCGTGCAGCTCGAGGCGCGCCTCGAAGAAGGGCGCCGCCGTCTTGGACGACGACGTGACGCCGTCCATGTTGTCGGCGAGGTAGGCGAGCGAGCAGCCGACGGTGCGTTGCAGCGCGTCCAGCACCACCTCGTCCACGTGCTCGACGTAGCTCAGCCAGCGCGGCTCGTCCGGCTGCATGTGGAACAGCGACAGGTTCGCCTCCACCAGCCGACCCGTCTCCGCAGAAACCTCCACAATTTCTGCGTACCTTTCATCAAATTCATTCAAATGATTGAAACAAGCTTTGAATATTTTTTATGTATAAATGTTTGTCTGAAATATATGGAATGCGCTCTGAGATAAGCAGAACGTTAAATTTTGGATGGTAGAATTTATAATGTTACAGAATAAAATTAATTTATTTCCAGTTTTTTGGAATGCAAACCTTGATGAAGTTGAATCAAAGAAATCTTAAGTTCATTGTAATTCTATAAGACTCTTCCTCTTCAATCTGTTTAATTAAGGCTAATTTAATGGGATTAGGAAATTTTCATTCCTAACGAAGAAGATACTTGGAGAAAATCCATAATTATAACATTTTTATGACAATTTCAATTTTGGGTTGGGTCTCTGAGGGCCTGAAAGTGGGAATTTCGATGATGGATCTGTCAGGAAGAGAGACTAGAATTGTATAAATACCTTTTTTGAGTGCGGTCGAGCTGTTCGGCGGGCACAAGGAGGCCGTCCCTGCGGCCGTCCTTCCTCTCGAAAAGGGGCACGCGACACCACGCGCACATGAGTTGGTGCACCCTGTTCAGGTTGTCCTTGCTCTGCTTGAGCCGCTGGTGCAGGTCGCACACCAGGTCGTGCAGTCGCTCGATGAAAGACCACAATTCTGGGCATTTTCAAATTCATCATTCAAATAATTCAACAGAAAGAGTTGCAAACGAAAATTGTCCCAAAATTAACAAAATTTTATTTTTGTATTTCTCTCACTGTGAATTGTGTACATCTCTTCTACATTTCCTTTTACACTCGCAAAGATAAAAAAGCCCCAGTACTCGAAATTTCCTTGTTCTGCGAAAACTTAGATAATCATTACTTTATTTCTGATATTAAAATAAAATTGACTTAAATTATGAAAATAAATGCGCCTTTTCATCCAATAATCATAAATCTCGACGTGACTCGCACATGTAATTCACAGAAAGAAAAAAGTTTTACCTAAGTTCAACACGCGTGTTGAAAGAAATCGCCTGTCATTCTGATTAAGGCAATTTTTCTGACACGCAAGGCTAGCAGCAGGTTGCATAACTACGTGATGACGCGATAATCTGACATCTTGATTTTTCATTTTTTTCTAGCTTCTCCACACGTGTCAGAAGTGGAAGAAAAATGAGTGAGACTCTTTTGTGCTCTCACGGATTGTTTGACGGCAATTTTTTAAGTGGCACATGTTGCCTTTTGTCCTTTCTAATATTAATTGAGGCGAATGATTGTACGATTTTTATTAATAAAAAGCATATTTGCAATTCTCTCTAGAAGACACAAAAGCTTCCTTATTCAAAATTCTGGAAAAATCAAAGTGTCTCAACTTAAATATTAATTTAGAAATAAAATCCACACAGCAGATATTATTAATAAATGATGTAAATAATAAAAAGGTGCCAGCTTGGTTTCAATTTATAGTTCGATAAAGTTTTGTCCAAAGCCATAATTTTAAATATAAATCAAATTATTTGTGTAAAATTCACATGAAATGAACGAAATTGATTTCAGGAATAAAAAAAAAATATTATAAAATAATTACTAATAGAGTTTTGTAACAATTAAATGTACTGACCAGGAGATGTCCAGTGGTAGGTTGTCTGGCCGAGGCAGACAAGCTCGTTGATTTTATCGACGTCCTCCTTGACAAGCGCAAACTCTACCGGCTTGCTGAAGTTGTGAATTTGGTTGTACCTGAGGCAAGATTGATTTTTTTAAGAAACATTACAATTGGGCGAAAACCCAACTTGATGATGGTGATCTTGAGGTTGCAGCAGAACTTGCGGAAGGTCTCGATGTCCTCGTAGGTTTGCATCGCCACCTCCGGGACCTCCGCCTCAGCGCCCAACAGCTGCAGGTACCGCACCTCGCGCAACATGCTCTCCAGCTGAACAAACAAACGCACCCCAATCAACCCAAAATTTGAATGTAAGCGCAATTTTCATAAGTTTCAAATTTTAAAAGCAGACAAAATTTGATTATCTTTATTTTACATGCTTGCAGGAGTTGATAAAAGGATCAACACAGATTATCTTGCTAAGTAAGTGTATCTGAATCTCAAAGGAAGTTAGTCCCGACTGACTGCAGGTTAAATATGCTTTTAACCTAAGACAGGGCAATAATCTTGAATATCTTTGTAACATTTTATTCCGGAAAATAATTATCTTCAAAGGCAAAGTTATATTAGTTTACGTGAATTCAATGGTCAAGGAATAAAGTTTTTTTTTAAATTAATTTATATTGTACCTGCGGGTCGAAGTTGAGGGCGAGTTCCTTGTTGGGCTTGGTGCTGAAGAGGGGTTTTTGAAGGTTCTGCTCGCATCTGGCCTCGCAATCAAGCCTCCAGGCGGCCAGTTTGTCGCGTCGCAAGGCGGCCAACCTGGCCAGCAGGTCGTCGCACCGCCCAAGCACTACCTTGGCCTGTTCCGACTGAACCACCCTGCGATGAAGAGGGGCAAAGTAAAGTAAGGGTGGAAGGGTCGGGAGGAGATTCATACGGGTGTTCGAGGGACCTGAAGTTGGTCACCGGGGTCGACACGCGTTGTTCCATGTGCGCGGACCACTTCAGGGCCGCGGCCAACGGCGGCAGGTTTTTCTCTGCGGGGAAAACGTCGCTCTCCACGCACTTGTCCACCACCCTCTACCCAAATTAAGAATCCAGGCATTATTTTGGATGCGTTCAACGTCTCAAGTGTAAAAGGACAAAATAATGATATTCCTATCAATTCTTGAAATTCTGAATAAAAAATTAAAAAACAGAAATAATTATCAAATAGTCTATTAGATTTTGCACCTGAATCTGGTCGACCTCTTGCTGGAGAAGGGCGACGATGTTGTCGTACTTGCTGGTGAAACGCTGCTTGATGAGCGGCCGCTGCAGCACCGAGCCAACAATGTTGATCAGCTGCAGGATTTTTTTTTAAATTACATTCATATACAAACGAAAGAATATGTTCAACCTTGAAGATTGAGTCAAGTTCGTGGGCGTCGTCGAAGGCCTGGCACAGGATGGACGCCAGTCTGCGGTCTAGGTCAGTGACCTTGACCTGGAAGGTCGCAAGGTCACCGATGAAAGCCTCCTCCTCAGGGTCCAGCGCGTCATACGTTTTGCATGCAAACACCGCAAAGCACTCGTTGAAGTCGCGGAAAACCTGGTTGAAAAGTTTTTTTTTTTTTGGTTAAAACAAAGCAAATAAAAACATTAGCTTTGATTGCCTGGGTAATTTTGGCGGAGAGGCCTCTGCCCTTGAGCCCTCCGATCTCCACCTTTTCCAGTTTCAGGAACTCCAGCACCGTCTCAAAAAACCCCTGCGCGTTTGATTTGGAACGTTCATCGTTTAAAATAAAACAACTCAATACCGCGGTTGAAAAAAAACAGACCTGTACGAGGAGGAGTCGCTCGAGAAAAGAGTCAAAGCGTTCGAATACCATGCTGGGGTGAAACGTCCACAGAACGGGCGGACGGTCTCCGAAGTAGCGGGGCAGCAACTCGCGGAACTCGTCAAAGGTTGACCGGAAATACCGCAGCACCTACGGAGGATTGCATCCAATTTGATAATATGCAATAATTTCAGAGGTACGGAAGGGAAAGAGGTGGAGGAAATTCAATAACTCCTCGAAATAGGGGGAGTAAAAGGTATGGAGGCTCTTTGGAAGGGAGACAGATGGGAAGGTAGAGTCAGGAGGAAGAAAAGAGGGGTGTGGAGTGAATTTGATATTTATTTGGGATATAGGGGAGATTGAAAAGGGTACAGAGTCTAATGATGAGAGTTTTAGGCAACGTTTTAGGGGAGTCTAGAGTTATAGGAGTGAGAATAGGGGAGAGAAAGAGAGGAATTAAATAAGTACAAGAGGGGAGGGTCGAGAGGAGTGTTAAAAGGGAATTTAGAACGGTAGGAACCTGGATGGAGAGCTGGAGTCGTTGCTTGGCCTCGTCAACGTCACTCTGGAAGATGGAGGAGGGGTCGAGGAAGCGTTTGGCCTGCAGGACGAGCAGGTTGGCCAACTGGCGGAGGAGGACGACGAGCTTGGAGTTGTGGCGGTAGTAGTGGGAGTGGGCCCAGACAAGACACACAACATGGAGGAGGGGGCGGACAAGGGGTGCTGCCTCGGCCAGGTCGGCCGCCTCCTCGAGCAGCGCCACCTGGCGCTGCAGGGGCCGCAGGTGCAGGGCGACGTCCCTCGCCTCGGTCAGGGCGGCCACGACGCCGCGGAACACGGTCTTAAAGCAGGGCAGGTATGCGCTGTCCGTCTTCTCCAGGATCACTGCCATCTTGCGCACCCTCTCCTCGCGCAGCTGCCCGTACAGGTTCTCCAGGTTGGCCAAGCGGCCCGTCCAGAAGGCCACTTCGGCCGCCGGTGTTGCGTCCCAGCCGCCCCCACCTCCCTCCTCCGCCAGCACGTCGTTCACCTGGGCGGCCCACTTGGTCACCACCGCCTCGATAGCGCTCTTCAGGTACATGTCCACCTGCTCGCCGTTGCTGCAAAAATAAATATGCCATTTGATAGTATTAATTTTTCATATATCATTCTAATATTTAATTTTTGGCAATTATTATGCGATTTAATTTTACGAAAATGAAGCATTCACTAGGATTTTCAAATTTTGCCAATAAAAACTATTTGAGGTTAGGCATAAGAAATAAAAAAAGAAAAAAATTATAATTTTATAATTAATTTTCAATCTTCTCTTTATGAACTTGAAAGAAGCAGATTTTGAGATATATTTTATAAATAGCTGAAGATATCTGAAATACATATATTTTTAAATTACTTAAGATAAATGAATAAAATATTCACATGAGCTGATGTTGAAAATTTGTATTTATACTGGATTTTATTTCAAATTAGGTCAGCACGTCCAAGTGAATGAGTTTTATTAAACTGCCAAATGAATGTTAAATCCATTGCCAAATTGAAACTCCATATAAATATATTTTTTAAAATTAATTGATTATTAAAAATTATTTAACCGAGCAACTAAATTAAAGTTCCTAAAAGAGCTTTACAGTGAATGGGAATTTCACTTTTGAAAATGATTTTGTCTATGGTTACCTGCTGGTGAGTTTCGCCTCAGCCTCGTGGACGCGCTCAACGCCGACGGGCATGGGCAGGATGGTCTGGCCGCTGACCTGACCCTTGACCTGGTACACGGTGCTCTTGAGGGCGTGCACGTGGCGCTTGACGTCCTGGCCGACGGCGATCGGCCATGCCTCGTGGTTCTGCGGGTTCGACAGCAGCGGCACGAAAACCTGAATTTGAAAAAAATTTAATTTCGGAAAAAATTTTGTTACTGATTCGAACCTCATCAACGAGCGCCGCGAGTTGCTCAATGGGGCGCAGGGCGAGGTCGCCGAGGATGAGGAGGCGGCGCAGGTCGTCGGCGGAGGCGGCGGGGGCGGCGCCGAGGGGGTGTACGCGCGCGAAGAAGGCGGCCTTGCTCTTAAGGGCGAGCGGGAAGCCGAGCGCGGGCACGAGTTGCGCGGCCCCGTTCACCGTCACCAGCAACACGCCGTGCTCGCCCCGCTCCACAAACTCCTGCAGCAACCCCCGGTACTCCTCCTGCAACCGAACCAGAATCGCGAGGTTTGAAAAGTAATTCTTGCAATGATAAGAGAAAAATCAGAAAAATCAGATGCGGTGCAGCCGAGATTTTTTTCTAAATCGCTCAATGCAAAACTATCCGAAGGAACGATATTGTTGTGCAAAAATAACTAGGAAAAAAGTTATTGAATTTTTTTCATTAAAAAGCTGAAATGCGAGGCTAAATTTTCAACTATAAACATAAATTAACAATGATTAATAAACATAACAAGCTGTGAATTTGGCTTTTGCCTGAGGATTAAACCTGCATAAAGAATAAGGGAAGTGGCAATCAAAAGTTTGAGACGTCCTTAAGCGCAAAACACGTTATATATTATATATTTGTTTATTTTTTTTTCTTTCAGGGTCAGGCCAAGACAAAGTCTTTTCGGCCTGTGCCCTTTATTGGTGGCTCAGAAGGCACTACCCAAATTAAATTTTTTTCTTTCTATTTTTGGGTTCAACTTGTTAAAAAATATCATAATTTTTTGCTGGCATATCCTTAATTTGGTCCACGCGATGATGAAAACTTTAGTTTTAAATTTTCTTATTTGTTTATGAAATGATTAAAATGTTGTAACTTTCTAATATATCTGTGAAAAAATATTGATTATAATCTCTCTGATTGATTATCATATTATTGGAATTGTCTGACCATTTGAAAAGTATTAATTAAGTTTTAAACCTGGAGGCAGCAACTCCTCATGAACTTGACATTTAATACCCAAATAACAATTATTAAACTAATTTTGACTCAATAGAGAGCGTGTCTGAAGTCAACAAATTTCACTTATTGCATTGTTGCTGTGATTTGGTTAAAAGATTTTCAATTAATATATCTGCAAGTCAGTTTAAAGTTTTCAGACACTCGATTGTTTTCCCACTCTAGGAATTAAAATATAACATCTAAAAGTAGAGAGTCCATATAATAAGAATCTTAATAAACATTGTAGACTTTTTGTTTTGTTTCCTATTATGTACATAATTGTGCTATATTTAAATATTGACAAATGCACGCCATCAATGTTTTATTAGATTTTAAATGTAAAAATGAGTTTAATGGAAACGGACACTTCTGCATTCCTAAATTCTTGTTGAGCTCTCTATTGCGCCAAACAGTGCAAAATTTTTAACAGAAAAAATGACAAATAAAATGTTTGAAAATAAAAATCAAAATTTGTAGTAAGCTGACGTGAGTATAAATAGAGAAGAGCTGTTTTGTTTAGTATCGGAAGTCGGTTTGTGTGGCGGCGGTCGCGTGTCTGCTATTTTGTGTGTCTGTTGCTTTTGCCCTTTTGGGTTTGATGTGGCGAGGCGAGGGGGTCGCGTGCGCGCCGACCGAGGGATGCGACTCGCTTGCGTGGGAATTCATTAGAGACAATGCGAGCGAATGTCGTTTTAAACGGGGTCGCTCCGGCCAGGCCTGGCACCGAAACAAGGGAGGCACCAAGCGGCACCGCAATTACAACAATATTTTGTCCGCAAACGGAAAAAGCCCGCGCCGCGCGCGCGACTGGCACACACGCGCAATTATTCTTTCCCCAAATCGTTTTTCCTTTCAGAAATCGATCAAAAATTATTTTCTTTAATAACATCTGCAAGCCCTTTTTGCATCAACGCTTAATAATCAAATTGCTATTTTTATTAATATATTATAATTTATAAAAGATAAAAATCAATTCTTTGCTATGAATTTGGTAATATCTAATAATATTTCCACAATAATGAACTCTAAACTTATTAACTTATTAAACTTTTAAACATGTTCAATTCTCTTTTAGATTTATTTAAATATTTGTGACTTTGAGGTTTGCATCTAATTCAATATTATGTTGGCAGGAAATTTATTGGTCAATAATGAAGGAAATCCAGAATTCCACGTCGGAAGGTATCGCAGCTGCTTAAAAATCAAAAGAAATTGGTCGTTATATTAGTACCTGAGCCATCATCTTGGTCCATTTCTCGGGCTTGAGTTTGAGCGTCTTTTGCACATAAGCGCTGATGATGTCGAGCCGCTCGTCCGGCTGTCCGACGTCCATGTCCGTCCAATCTCAAACGAGAGCACGTGTTGCCCGCTCGAGGGCTCAGTGCCGACTGACTCCTTACGTGCGACAAACACGCTCCCCTTTTTCTAGCTTCTCAGCAGTGATCATTGCGCTGCGGCGCACTAAAAAGAAATGCTAGTAAACACAGCTTTAATTTTGAAATGCTAACACAAATAATCAGTTGTTCTGCCTGATTTGAAGCAATTCTAAATTACGCCACGCTGATAATTGAAGCAGACGAATGTCCTTTCTTCGATGAAAATTGATCGTTACTTTTTAATTTTAGACATTGATCAAAATTTCTTTAAATGATACATTTTATTCACGATTATTATTCAAATAAAAGCCAATTATCTAGCAATGTGAAGCATTGCCGGCGTAAAAATTTAAGCAATCGCTAAATTTTGAATCACGCATGATTGATAAATATTCGTTCAGAGAAGAGAATCAACTTGGCTTCATATATGACTATATAGTCTTAAAAGAAACGGTCGAAAAAAATTGTGTTTGAAAATATAAAGCTTTTGGTATAGATATGGTTTTAAAATGAAATTCTAATATGCAAATGGTGCAACTTAATACGCATATAGCAATCGTTAACTTGACTAACTAGAATTAAAAATATAATATATGCATGAAGAAGAGAAACTATTTTATGTATTTAAATAAATAAATAAGTATAGGGCTATGGTTGAAAAATATAATATATAGTGTTTGAAAATATGAACCTATTTTTTCATAGAGTGATATTCCCTTTTTAAATTTTATTAAATCTTTGCCCTAAAACACTGATCATAAAAAATAAGTTGGTTGATCCGCCTGTTAGTTGAAAACTTATTACTGCAGCGAATTTCTTATGTGGGTCATAATCGAAAGAAACGACTTTTTAAATGATTCTCGAAAGGATCTTGTTCTTTTTTCGAGACGTTTTGAGAATAATTTCGCGTAATATGGAGAACGGCTCACCTTATATTATAAGATGCGCCACTCTAATCCAAATTTAAGCGTGTCCAGTGTCAAAGACACTCTTTTGTGGAGATATTGAGGGCGATCCAAAAGACAAACCTGGTCCAGGCTAACTTGACTTAGCCCCGGGCTAACTTCGCCCACCAGCAAAATTGAATGGCGGGTTAAATTAGCCCGGGCTAAGCTAATTTAGCCTGGGTCAAGTAAGCCTTTTGGATCGCCCTCATTTTAAATTACGAGTGTAATGGAATTATTCATATTTTTTTCTTCATTAACAGAATATAAAGCATTGTTGAATGGATTAAAAATAATTTGTCTAACAAAACGTTGCCGAAAATACTGTTCAGCGCTTCAAACGTCTTCTTAGCAACGCCAATTATCAACGAAATTTAGTTGCCTAGAAGAAGAATAAAAACATTTATAGGTGCACACGGTTCATTGAACTGTGAGAATAAAATCAGCAAGAAATATCGAAATTATTATGAAGGCTGATCGTGATACATTTTCCGGCGCCTAAATTATTGTAATCTTTTTTTATGATGGAGGAAAAGGTTGCTTTGCTGAGTACAGGTTTTTTTTACATCCAATTAACAAATTTTTGCATGGAGCTATCGCACCTCCATCCTTAGCATGTATAAAAGGCACAGAGTTGAATTAACTGGGGTTGGTTTCAAACTTTGATGTGGGCATGATGAGTTTTCTCCTGCTGCTGTGTCTTCTGCTAATCTCACCAACTCAGGTGTGTCAAGTTATCTTTAATGTTGGTATCATGTTAATAGTCCGAAAAGTATGAAGCGTTAAAATAATTACGAATTTGCCTTAAATTGTTGATATTACTCTATTCCACTTCATTTTCTCTGGCAAAATGAAAGTAACTTGGGGATTTTTTAAGTGCTTATAAAATAATTTGTGCTTGGATTTTAATTCCAATTACATTTTACTATTTTTCTAAAAAAAAAACCTAAAAACACGTAATCAACAATCTTGTGTCTTCGCAAGCTCTCATTCTATTAGAGCGCCATAAACTTGCATAAATCGTGAATAATGAATTGAATTAAAATTCGTATGATACTAAGAAAAATGAGCCATAGTGACGCTTATATTTTGGTATTTAGCAAACTTTCTTGCTATATTGGTGGTGTTGTTCGCAAATAGCGCTGGAATCATGTATCCTTCTTTACTACGAGTTTTTTTTTTTAAGTTTGAGTGTAACTAATGCGTTCTTAAAATTTGGCAATTAATCAGTAATTATAATAATACAGTATAATTCACAATTATAAAGAAATTACTTTAAAGATAAATATGTTTTTGAAGATTAAATTGTTCTTGAGCAAGCTGCAGAGAAAATTTTTATTTACCAACATACAAATTAAATATCTTGTTTCTCTAGATTTTGGCATTGGCATTCGCATCCTTTTTGCCCAACGTGCGAACCCTTCAAGTCTCTCCTTTTTCAAATTAACGTTAAGTACATTACTTATTTAAAGGAAATGAATTAAAAACAATTTAAAAATGAGTTTTGAATAATTTGAACATTTTTATATTTATTTATTAAAATTATTTATTCTAATGAAGTCGTACAAGGAAAATATTAAAATTAGCAAAATGAGCAGAAAGGGTTTCACAACTAGCAGAGGTCTGCTAAAACGCCCGACGTCAAAAGAGACGCGGCCTCCGCGGTGCAATTAATGCGAATATCAAATGATATATTGAATTGAACAGGAAAATTGCCATATTTTACACCAGGCATACCGATATTCTACCCATGACTCAACTCTCAACCTCTTTAAGTCTATATTGGTTATAATTCTTGTACATTTCCTATCAGTCGATACAATAATATCCTATATCGATTGACATTTTTTGTGAATTGCTTGTACCACAATAGGCACGTAGTGAGAACCTTGTAATCCCAGGATACTCAAATACGAGCATCGCAGTGAAATTATCAAACCCTCTAATTTCAAATTTTATTTTCCGCAGATCTTTTTTTGCAACGAAAAGAGGCCCTTCCCAAAATTTTATGTAGACCTTTTTCTTTGTGATCTTTTAAATCAGCACCGAATTTCCACAGATTTGACAGATTCTGGATCAGCTTCTTCTCCCAGTCCTACCATTACTTCAGAGTCAACAACTATCGGAAATACCACGGAATCTACTACTAAAACTCCTGCTTCTACCATCACTTCTACAACTGTATCTTCAATCCAACCAAATAATTGCCGTTTCAAGAACTACGCGGTAATTTAATTCTTTAGCCACTGCAATTTTTTTTTATTCTTTGAGCCTGCGACTGTCAAGTTTAGTTTATATATTTTGCCTTCTGATAAGTAAAAAATGACACTTTGCAACTATTTTGTTATCAATATTCTTACTTGTAATTTCACAACAAGAATGTGGCCAAATGCTGTGCAAACCCACCAAGTGCTCTTGTGGCCTTCCAAGGATTTGAGAAGACCTGCAGGGTCACCAAAGGAGCTCTAAACGCGTTCAATATTTTCTCGCTCAACAAACAGCAGAGCGCTTCGAATTCACCTGCCAACTCGACTCCTTCCAAAATCGCCAGGTCAAAAAGGCCTTTGGCAAGAACGCTGTTCGTGTTCAATTCAGATATTTTCACACAGCAAATTAATTCAAATATTTCAGTGCTTCGTCAACTGCTACTTGGAAGCCAATGGGGCCGTACGAAAAAAAGCGTAATTTTTTCATTGGTGTCTAAAATAAAATTTTATTAATTGCAGCTGTCGGCAGCTAACGAAATCGACGAAGTTGCGCTGACCGACCTCTTGACTGCCACGCAGACTGACGACACGTGGATTTCAACGATTTCGTCAGCAGTACCCGAATGCATTTGCACGGCTGAAGGTGAAATAAACTCTATTTGGCCCCGCAAACGTTTAATCTCAAATGCAAACTTCAGCTCTAAACGTTCCCGACTTTGTCGCGGGGAAATTGTCATGCTCTGGCAAAGCTTTCGTGGTGGTGCAGTGTGTTCTCCTTAAAATGATCAATGTAATTTAAAAATTTTAGATTTCATTTATTCTAAAATCCACTTCCAAACGGGTTTTTCTTTTTATTCGCAGAGCTGCCCTAGCACAGGTAAACAAATTCAATGGATTTTAACTCGTGGAGCCAGCGGATGAATTTATAAAAAATAACTTAACAGTGGCAACAACGACATGCACAAAAACGTACGAGACTTGTTTGACAAGTGTTCCGGAAACATTTTGGCCGCGCCGTCAAGATTTTTCAATGGGTTAAAAAAGATTAAAATAAGTGTTGATCAGTCGCTGAAAAATGACAACCACACGGAATCTCCCTGCCCCTTCTGCACTGCGGAGATGAAAAAGGGTGAGAAAAAATCGAGGAAGGAGAAAAAAGAAAAGCGAGTGCAAAAGGGGAAATATGAGTCGAATGGGCTGAAAAAATATAAACTTGGAGGAAGACGATAGGGAGAATAGAAGAAGAACGTTCAGAAAGGCGAAACCTATATGTTCAGTTCAGAACGTTTGTAATATACCAATGCTTTCCAAGCATATAAAATTAATTCGATTTTACGTTAAATAAAATTAATCCAGGTTAATGAATTTGATAGAAAATTTTACAAACTAAATTTAATTTCGAGAGCACAAAATACAAAAAGTAATTTATTATTTTAGTACACGTTCAATACAGGTTCAATAGAGAAAAGAGCAATGGTCATGAGCATTAATTTATTTATGAGTGAGAAAAGAATGCCAATAACTCCTGCGAAAGGCTGCAGGTAGCCTATGGATAACAAAAGGCGACCCAAGCGCTGCATCCCAAGTGGCCACCAAAAGTGCATGAAGAAAAAAGCCTCTAAAGTGAATTCGCCGCATAAGCGCGAGTGCAGTAAAAGGTTTCTCGTCTGGCGCCGGATTATTTTCGTTCTCACGAAAACAATAGAAATTTCTTGTGGTTGAAAATTTAGGCCTGACATGGGACGATCTTTTATGTAAAAGTATTTCTTTGATTTCGCATCTTTACCAACTTTATGACAGGACGCGCGGAAAAAGAAAAGCCGTGCGACCTCCGAGATTTTGTAAACAAGTTCAGGGTCACTCAAGAGGGACAACCCACTCTCTGGAGACTGGCCAATAAGATTTATCTTTAATTTTGTATTTGCCAATGTTGCACGGAGCAACCCTGTGTGATTTTATATTTGTGAAAATGCATGAATTTATTGCATCCCTTTAATTGATTTATCTCTCTGCAGGCCTGCCCAACCATAGGTAAAAAGATGATTTTTTTGTTTTCTTATTAAGATTGAAATCACTTGAGGTAGCAATTAATTAGTATAAAAAATTACAGTGGCAACAACGTCATGCACCAAAACGTATGACTTGTTTGACAAGTGCTTGGGAAACATTTTGGCTCCATCGTCAAGATTGACGCAAGGGGTTAAGGTGAAGAAGGTTAAAAAGGTCAAGCAGTCGCTGGGAAATGACAACGGGATGCAGAAGGGAGAAAAGAAAACAAAGAGGAAAAAAGTGAAAACGGAACAAAAAAAGAAAGGCGGGATGAAGAAGGTTGAAAGAGTTGCTAAGGAAGGAACCGAAAAAATCAAGAAGAGCGAAAAACTTTAAAAAGAAGTGGAAAAAAATAAGAAGGAAACTAAAAATGGAATAAAAGTGGAGAAGAATGAGAGGGGTGAAATTTTGAAAGGGTCGAAAAACAAAAACCAAGAGATGGGCAAGAAGGAGAAAGGATTTGGAAAAATAAACAAGAGCAAAAAATACAGCAAAAAGCAAGATCAGAAAGTTGAAAAGAAAATTAACAAAGTAGCTCAAGGGAGAGAATATAAAAATGATATGGGTGAAGAGAACATGAGAGTGGAGAGTAATGGTGAAGAAGCAAAGGAGGGCTAAAATAAGGAAGAAAAAGTTTAAAACAGACACCGCAGTTTTCACTTTTGCTCTTATTTGCTTCACACATACTCTATAGTTTTGGCTTTTTCTGGGCTTATTTGATACATTTGCATTTTGTGGCATCAATAAAAATGAGCCAGACTTGTCTCCTTAGATTGACTCCGTGCTATTTTTTTCTAGTCACATAATTGCTTATCATTTAAAAATTTAAATATAATTGTTTGTGATATATGGTGATATATGCTTTGGCTTCAATTTTTAAGCACAATTCTGACTCATATTCAAGTTTCACAGCCGAGATTTGCTTTCCCATTAAATTTGCACTGCAATTGGTGAGTAAAATTTTTTTTGAGCAATTTGAAAACCTCCAAGCAAAGTAAAAAAGAAGCCATTTAAAATTAAATCTAGTGTGAATGTTGCTACATAGAAATAAAAGGGAAAAAGGCAAATTGCAAGAGTTTTCAGAACTTTCAAAGCTTTAGGGCGATATTTTTTGAGAAAAAAAAAATATAATTAAAATTTAAACTTTATGATAATATTACTATTTATTCCTTAAAAACAATCAACTTTTTGCCTCTCGACTTGACACTTTGCAAACTTTGTACACAGGACAAAAATAGGTAAATGAATAAAAACGGGCGCCTCTCTCGGAGAAAAGAAGGAAAAACACTGAAAACAAGCGATTGAGTCTTTGGGTTCCTTGGGGTCCGTCTGGGCCCCCCAGCGGACCTCACAGGCGGCCCAGCTGCTTTTTCATGACCGGTGAGAGGTAGGTGCGGCGGCCGTCATCGCCGCCCCCGGAGGCCGTCGGGGGCCGCCGCTTGGAGGGGTACGTCCGCTGCACGCGGCTCCGCATCACCCGCACCCCCTCCACCTTCCCCTCCTCCGGCTCTGCCCCTGTTTCTGCCGGGGTCGTCGCTTCCGCCGACGCCTCAGTTGCCCCTGTTGCAAAATTAACTTGATTCAGTTTTTCAAGGATTAAAAATTATGGAAAACACGTTCAGGGGGAGCAAAATTAAGTTCATTGTCCTATCCAAACTTGCGGAATTATCAAGGGTTCCAGTATTGACATAGTTAGTTGAGGTCTTCAGAATAATGGTGGTGGAAATATCCAATCGTTTACGATTAATTGCAAAAAATGACTCCCATTGTTTTTAAGACTTGATTGGACTAGGCCAATAAGGTAAACTTAACAATTTCAAGTGCTAAGTAAAAAAAAAATGAAGAAATTTGGCCTTATTTTAATGAATTAACAAATTTCCAGGTCAAAAAGAAAAGAAACTTCTATCCAAATTAATGAGGGCGATCCAAAAGCCTAACCTGGCCCAGGCTAACTTGACTTAGCCCCGGGCTAACTTAGCCCACCAGTAAAATTGAATGGCGGGTTAAATTAGCCCGGCCCAGGTTAATTTAGCCTGGGCCAAGTTAGCCTTTTGGATCACCCTCAATGACTTCTTAAAATAGTCTTTTTGCTGAAACCATTCACTTTCGAGGCTAAAGTATTCCCATTATTAATGAGGGCGATCCAAAAGGCTAACTTGACCCAGGCTAAATTAACCCGCCATTCAATTTTGTCGATGGGCTAAGTTAGCCCAGGCTAGGCTAAGTTAGCCTGAGCCATGTTAGGCTTTTGGGTCGCCCTCAATTAATATAGATGAAATGGATATTAATCTAATTCATATTTTTGGTCTTTAGGTGGAGGAAATATTTCAAATTTAAGGATCATTAATTGATCAGAAACATTTAATCAAAATCGCAAAGAAGAAACTTGTCCTGTTGTGAGAGAATTGAATTGAAGAAAATTTGGCCACTAAAATAAAATCCGAATGAAGCAATGGGGCATGGATTGCAAAGCGGGGACTGACCTGCGAGGGGGGAGGGAGGTTTCGGGTCGTCGGGGTCCGAGTCGTCGTCGCTGGTCGAGTGGCGGCGGATGATCCTGGAGGCGGTTGGCCGGAAGAGACACGCCTCCTCGGGGGCGGCCTCGAGGGCGTCTGCGGGCCCCTCGAGGCCCACGGGGGCCCCGAGCCGCTCCAGGGCTGACTGCAGGTCTTGTGGCTTCAGCAGCAGGGCCGAGTGGCGCGCCGATCGCTGCACCGACCTCTTCAGGTTTTGCAGCACCTGGCCAAAAATCAAATATCAGTCAAAAATTGTGACCAGAGGCTGGAATCTGGAATATAAATTTTTTTCCGCTCAGTTCTTCTCTTTAATTTAGTTTGGATCATTTGTGAAACAGACCAGAGAAAAATGATTCATAAATTTCATACAAAGCGTCAAATTTAAATTGAATCAAAAAGATCAAATTAAATATTAAAATTCCTGCATTAATTTGCAACATCACAATTATTAAATCTTTTTACATACATTGTGCTCATTAATATTCATAAACCAAGGAAATAATTTGAAATTCAAAATCCTGCCAAAGATAAAGTTCAAATGCAAAATTTGTTTACACCACTTATGATTGTTCGCTTTAGATTTTTAAAAATACAAGAAACGTCACTTGTTAAATAAAGCCTGGTATTTTTTCAAAGATTTACATGAAATTAATTTTATTTGCTACAAAATAATTATCTTAAATAAAGATAAATTTATTAAATAAGTTTATTTTGGATTCATAGAAAACCTCGAGTGATAAAAATGCCGAAATTATAATAATTAATTAATGTTTTGCGTTTACTGAACCTTCTCGTTAAACACGCTGGGGGCGGGGGGCTGCTCGGGGGCGGCGTCGTTCTTCTTGCGGCGCTTCAGGGTGGGCAGCTCGCTTAGCTGCTTCAGGGCAAGTTCCTTCTCGAGCTTGGGATCGAGGCGATGGCCGGGGCGGCCGCCGCCGTTCTCGCCCTCGACCGCCGCCCCCTCACCCTTGCGCTTGTCTGCGTGCGTCCTGAGGAAGTCCTCGTTGCTGGGGTCAATCTTGCGGACGAACTGCGCGTCAAACTTGAGCGCCAGCAGCGCCTCCTGAAGAACCCGCTTGTCCACGAACGGCCTGAAAAAACAAAAACTCGGTCAGGACCACATTCAAAGGACTCAAAAGAGTGCGGCCCGTTTCTGGGCCACCCTGGCAAAGGACCTGGTGGTGTCTGCGGCGCTCTTCTTGAAGCGGTTCGCGATTTCCTCGGCGATCTCGTCCTTGGACACGATCTGGCTGCTCAGCTGTCGATAGGGTGTCCGACAGCCGAGCCGCGAGCCCGTGCCACCCCCGTCCGCCTCCTGGGCCGCCTCCGACATCCTCAACCGTTCACACCACTAGGTCACGCCCACAGTTTCGGCCGTACAATTCGGACGCCCTGTCCAACCGCCGCCTTGTCCGATCCACGCTTCGAATCTTCCTCGTTCGATTCGACGTCGCGATTCGGTCCCAAGTCGAACGAAATCCCTATCTCGGCAACCCACAATCGAAAGCGCAACAGGCTTTTTTCTTCTGCTTTCGTAGTTTCGTATTCGCTTCGCCCCGCTTCGCCCCGTTATCGCGGAGTCAAAGCGGTATTACGGGCAAGTGCATTCTGATTGGTTGATTCGGCTGAATGGATCCCTGCCATTGGCCGCCTCCGTCATAATTTCACATGACGCGCGTCATATGAATTAAACCGGTTCCGGATGAATGTTGTTGTTGACAAAGAATTTTGCTGTTTGTCTATTTAAAAATAATTATTTCATCAATAACCGCGATTTTATAGTTTTTAGTGCTGAAAATGTTATGAAATATTAAAAGTAATTAAATATTATTATCAGAAAATGGAAAGCTACCAACATATTAATCAGAAATAACCGAAAATACCGGATTTTTAAGTGCAAACTTAGATGGCGCTACTTTGCGGGTGTGCCTCTTCTACACTGCACTTAAGATAGCTATCTTAAGACAAAAATTGGCTTGAGACACCGGTGGAGAGTGAAGTATGGTTTGCTGAGACAGCAAGCTCCCTCAGCGAGCTCGCGAGCTGTCTTGGCAGCACTTTTTGCTTAGCACATGCGCACTTGGAGGGACGAGTTGTAAACAAACCCAAGTTTTGCTTACGAGTGGTGTCCTCAAATTAGTGTTTTTCTGACAAATTACTGACCTTTTGCTCAAAAAAATTAAGTAGATAAACATCTCAAACTAAAGAGGCATTAGATTAACATGGAGGCCATCACTACAACCTGTTTCAAGCGGTGAAAATAATTTTTTACATCACCAACATGGAATTTTTAAAAATTTTTTTAAATTAATAAATGTTTTGTTAATTAATAAAAATTCAAATAAAAAATTATATTTCAAAAGCAAAAAATATATTATAAGAATTTTCCCCCTAAAATCATTTTGTCTTTAAAATTAAAATTTTTCAATTTATTTAATTAATTTCATTTAAAACTTAAGATACCTATCTCTTACAAAATAAAAATTAAAATTTACAATAAAACTCTTCGACAGGTGATGTGGATCACTAAAATAAGTATATAATAAAGATCGTGATCCTGAAACAATTTTATTACTAGATTTTATAATTTAACTTACATAAATGGTGAAGTGAAATTATTGCTATTTATAAATTGATTACACTGTTTTTAATTTACAAGATTTTTTCATCAAATGTGCAATTAGCAAATTTTAATTGGAAATTAATATTATAAAATGAATGACAGAGCAGAAATAATAATTGTTTTGCGTTAAAAAAATTAATCTATTAGTTAGTCAATTATAATTATATTAATTTAAATCTTTACAAAAAAATTTCATAATAAATATTGCGAAATTTGAAAATTTTATGTTTTTAATATAGTTTTCTGCCCGAGTGATTGGCTGGTCCGACCGCAAAAATAATTGGCGCTTCGATCGATTTAAGTGCAGTGTAAAATACAGTAATTTTGGCTTAGCATGCCCTAAGACAGCAATTGCTCAGCACTATCTTAAGTGAGCGTTTGATGTAGAGCCAGCAGTGGCTATTTTTCAAATAAGGGGTGTGCAAAAAAGAGCTAAGGTCCTTTCTAAGAACTCTTCCATTTTCGTCGTTCAATTACTTCAACATCATTGTTAATTACAAATTAAATGACTAAGCAATTTTTAAACTTTTAATCTAGATCTATATCTATTTAAAACATACCAATATCCTAATTATGACCATTGAGACCTTCACTCCCTTATCAAACTCCTCTCCCACGTTTGATTGTTTTTGTGTTGGTTTTTGTTTTTCAGAGAAAAGCAGACGAAAATAATCAGACCAACAAAATCAGACTTTGGCCGTGCTCTGGCCCTCGCCGGACAATATTTTCGTACATTCCAGAGTGACACTTGATGTGAGTGAAATGTTTTTAGTAGAGATCGATTGGTGATAATCGTTTTTGTTTTTTCAGGCGAAAAAGTGGAGGCGCAAAATGCGGCGGCAGGCGTTCGAGTGTTCGAAGGCGCTGATCGTGTCCAAGTTGTCTCGCTACGAGTTCGAGCGGTTTCGGCAGCCAAGCCTGTCGGCGGCGCAGCTCGAGAAGGAGTTGCGGCGCCGCGGCTCCGACTACGAGTTGCTGCTGCACCACCACCACGTCCACAAGTCGTGCGAGGCGGCCGTCGACGCCGCCCTAAAGGCCCGCAACGTCCAGACCCGCGTCGTCAACAGGTCTTCAAATTATAACCTTTATTGAACCTGACGAAGGTCGCTATCAGTCACATGATGTCGTTCCTCCACACGATCTGTGTTGACCTTTGGCCACCCGTCAACTCTTATTAGCTCAACCTTTATATCGGCGTTTTATTCATTTATGTACTTGTGGCCATTCTTTACAAGTCGTATTGTCCATTTAAAAGGAATAACAAAGCAATTATTCTTTAAATGTGTCTTGTTGACCTTGAAATTATGCCACCAAAAGATTCCTCGTGACCTGACCAATTTCCAATGATGTGTCACACCTAATGTTTAAAGTCAATTTGAATTTGGTGGTTGGGCAGATTGTTCGAAATTTGGAATCTACCTTTTTAAAGCAAATCGCTATATGACCTTGACCTTTCTGTGACTGAAATTGTGGATGCTTTGTTTTAGACTGACGCTGAAGGAGGGGAGCGTGGAGTGGGCGGACGGGGTGTTCACGGCGGGTGGCGACGGGACGTTCCTGCTGGCGGCGAGCAGGGTGCCGGACAACCGGACGCCGGTCATTGGCTTCAACTCGGACCCGACGCGCTCCGAGGGCTTCCTCTGCCTGCCCAGCCACTTTTCGCGCAACATCTCCGAGGCCGTCGAGCGCCTCTTCGCCGGACACTTCCACTGGACCTTCCGGACGCGCGTCCGCATCACCCTCGTCGGCTCGGACGTCTTCCAGCCCCCCATCGAACTCCACGACCAGCAGCTCCTTCACCCTGAGTTCAGGTGCAACTTTTCTTCAAATCAACCAATTGATTTTGATGCCTGAAGTAACAAATCTCGCGGTGAAGAATTTTTTTATAAAGAAAAGAAAACTTTGATTTAATTTAAAATAAGAGAGTGTAAATTAAATAACTTTTTATCTTAATCGGTTTAAAGGCCTTTTTAATTTTTTAAGTATCCCATAAAAATTAAAGAGTAATCTTCATACAAATGTTATAAAAGTAAAGCAGATAATCATACAAAGTGGCTCTCTTCAATTTAAAACCAAACTCTAGTTTTTGTTTTTCCCTTATTCATTCAAAATCGCAAGAAAATTCATCGCAATTTATTAAAAAACCGATTGGTACTCAAAATTAAATTTGCAATGTTTTTTTGTGTGCTTGCGAAATGCGTCAGGAGGCATGGGTATGTAGGCTGGTGATGTTTTGCTCAACTCCTGTGACTGTTTTTTTATTAGTTTTTTTTTTTTCAGATTCTTTGACTGTCTGCAGGAGCAGCTGCCGAGCGCCAAGTCTGACAAGCGGAGCGACGAGCAGAAGCGCGTTCTGCCCGTTTTGGCACTTAATGAGGTCTGGATATTTTCCTTGCGAGTTGAAATTTTAGTTAATTCTTATTTTCCAGGTGTTCATGGGCGAGCGGCTGTCGGCGCGCGTTTCGTACCACGAGGTGCGGCTGAACGGGGGCGCCAGGGTCAAGGTCAAGAGCTCGGGTGTTTGTGTTTCCACAGGCACGGGCTCAACCTCGTGGGCGCACTCAATCGGCCGCCTCTCCTCTGACGGCGCCCACGAACTCCTGCGCGCCCTCCTTGCCGAGCGACCCGACCTTGACCTCGACCTCGACGACCAGAACCTCCTCCAAAACGTCACCAACAGATACAACAACGCTCTTGTCTTCGGACCAGGTACAACAATTTTTCAAATAAAAGAGGATTTCTTGGGCAGATCAGATTTGTCTTCTGATGGGCAGTAGTTATTATGGGCATACTCCTGACCCCAGGTCAACCTTGCCAAATTTTCAGCATTGCCCACTGCATTGGCTATAAGATTGACATGGACAATAAGATCAAGACTGGGGCGCTATCACCTGTCGTACAAAATAAAGAAATTAATTTACCATTTTCCTATTAGAATTAACATTAATACCCCACTGATTTTCCAGAATTGGGGCTCGAACCAAGCTCTAGGTATGTAGATGACCAGAGCACAAATGAGCATTTTAAAAAGCAGTTCTGGGCGATCGCGCACGGCAAAATTACCTGCGCTTTATTGATATTAATTATGTTATGAATAATTTCGTCTAATTTGACATATTTTGTGTAGCCAATATTAATGTTTTATATCTTCAACTCAAGCTTCGAACATTCCAAGTTTGAATGGAGGGGAAGTAGCACCCAGTGAGAGGCATTGTGTAAATCGAACTAGCAGCGAGAAAAAGAGACTCGTAAACGTTGCGCTGCAAATCAACTCCAGGGTGAAATCAGTTACTTCATCTGTAATAATTTTAATGATTTTACTAAAAGAAACGGCAATTTATGAGTTATTTATAAAAAATCAACCCCTAAACGAGAATCAATCCATTAAAACGGGAACCAAAATTAAAAACGAATAAAGAGACGCAAGATACTGAGACAATTCTAAAAAAAAAAAAATCGACGATGGAAAAAACTGGGAAAAAAAAACGAGAGAAACAAAACAAAAATCATTACTTAAAAGGAAAAAAATTGTTATTATTTACTTAAATATTTCTTTTTAACAAACATTTCCACCTTTATTACTAAATAAAATTAGTAACACCGAGGGCCAGGGCCCAGGGGATTAATGTTCATTCTATTAGGAAAATGGTTGATTAATTTCTTTATTTCGTACGCCAGGTGAGAGCGTCCCAGTCTCGATCTTATCATCCATGAAGTTATAAAAATATAGGGGAAATAATGAGGGCGATCCAAAAGCCTAACCTGGCCCGGGCTAACTTAGCCCCCCGGCAAAATTGAATGGCGAGTTAAATAAGCCCGGGCCAGGTTAATTTAGACCGGGCCAAGTTAGCCTTTTGGATCGCCCTCATTAATGCCTTTGTCCAAAGCAAAAGAGATTTTGAGGAAATATAATTTAAAAAAATGTGTTTTTGTGTTTGCAGAGGAGAGTCGTCTGACGTATGTGATCCGGGACATGATCAGCGGGGGTGTGTGGCCGTCGCCGCGGGGGGTGATTTCGCCGAGGGGGTTCGCGCACCACCTCGAGGTCAAGTCGCGGTGCGGCGACGCGGCCCTGGTCGTCGACGGCGGCGTCTCCTTTGACTTCAACGACGGCACCGTCGCCCTCCTCGAACTCCACCCCGACGACGCCCTCCGCACCGTCACCCTCGCCCCGCCCTGACCAAAGGCAAACGCGGAACTAACGGTCCAAAATTAATTGAAAACAGAATTGTTTTCCCCTTTTTTCATAAGCATATTTGATGAAAATTTTAAGAAATTTTGTATCCGTCTTCAAAGTTGGCAACAATTCAATCTATTTTGGCGAAGATTTTTAATTTTCCTTAACAAAATTATGTAAGTCCAGTTCAAAAATCATTGTAATGATAATGATCATTGGCAGCTTGTTTTTCTTTTTTGTAATAATAACCGATCTGAAAAGTCTATGTTAACACAAAAGGTTGCTTCGAAATTTGTGACATTCGTGGTGCCATAACATATAATGTAAAGAAGGATCAGGCAGAGTTTAGTGAAAGAGAATGGGTGAATGAAGAAGTGAAGAAGAAATTTGTAGCTCCGGTGATACAATATTTTGTACCAAATCCAAAAGTTTAATTATGCGTGTACATATATATATTTGTTGTTGGCGTCCCGCGAGGGACATTAAAAATTTTACCCCAATCTCAACTGTGGCGTCTAATTAATTTGGTCTCCGGCCGGGTCGCTCGGGAGGGGCTGAATTATGCATTGGTGGCGCCGCGGCGGCGCCACCGTCGCCGTCCGTCGGTCGCCGAGCAACGAGTCGCGGCCAAACAGCGACGGACGGACTTTGCTGCTGCCCCTTGCACCGACACGTGAGTCTGCAAATCTTCCTTCCCACCTCGGGAAAAGCAAAACTTTTTCCTTCTTCTGGCCTCTCGATTTGTTGATTTCCGAAAGTTTTGCTTTCGATTTCCGTCATCGCGAGACTCGTTAGCGAAAACAAACAAACCGCGGCTAAAAATAAAAAGAAAGGGTGGCTGGAGCTAGAGCGGCACAGCACAATCGGCATCCTCTCAGCCTCACCGCCAATCAAGTCTATTCGAGAAAAACCTCTTATTTTTTCTATCTATTTGTCCATTTTTTCAAGTATATACGCAAAAACTCGTTTTTGCTCTGGAAGTTTTCATTCCTTATAAAGTAATTGCAATTATCTTACACACCGCTTCATCCAAACGTAATTTTATAGTAAAAACTTGACTTTATTTTAATCCAACATAGTCTGTAACGGTGAGTACAGGAATTAGAGGCTTGGATTATTTGTAACAATATCTTTTAAGTATTAAAATGTGTGCAGTGATATTGAGGGCGATCCAAAAGCGGCCTAACCTGTCCCAGGCTACCTTGACCTAGCCCAGGGCTAACTTCGCCCCCCAGCAAAATTGAATGGCGGGTTAAATAAGACCGGGCCAGGTTACTTTGGACCGCGGGCCAAGTTAGCCTTTTGGATCGCCCTCATTATGTTGAAGTGGCAATATTTTCATACTTTTTTTATTTTATATGCAGTCTTATTCCTTTCTTTCATATAATTGAACTTCTATAATTTTGAATGTCCTGTCGAGAAGGAAAACCTTTTAACTTTATAAGTTCATGAAAACGATTTTGTTGTGGGTCGGCGTCAGGAGTTCGATCGGCCGTTGTTGCTTTTCTCGAGGTGTGTGTTCGCGTCCCCGTTGTATGCAAACACTCACACGCGAGCGAGCGAGCAAACGACCCCTGTATAGTTGAAGGGCGGAAAGCGGCCTAATTGCACTTTGGCCCTCCTCGCGCTCCCTTGGGGAAATCTGCCCCGCCGATTAATTATTTGCCGCTCTCCGGCCGCCCTTGCTAATTGATTTTTTTTCTTTTGCACCAAAAATTGAATAAAGACCAAAGTTTGCAGGTTGATGGACGGCTGGCGATGGCGACGACCTGGCTGACGTGGCTGCTGCTCCTATCAACGGCCGGTCTGAAATTTTCCATTTAAAATGGAAAAATTAACAAAATTGTCCGCAGGAATCGTGGCGGGGATCGACTGCTTCAAGTGCGTGTCGGTGGCGGGCAACAACCCCGAGTGCGACGACCCCTTCCACAACAACTACTCCACCTCGATCCTCGAGTCGCCGTGCCTGGGCGGCCGCAAGGGCAGGAACGGCCTCTTCCCCGCCACCGCCTGCGTCAAACTCGCCGGCGTCTACGGTTCTCGCTTCACTTTTTATTTTTGCAATTATTTGCATCCAAAAAAGGGGGCCCGATTCGGAGAATTAATTTAATTTTTAATGAATTAAGAAAATTTCCAGGGCTGCTTAGGGAAAGGATACAAAACAAAATGAGATTCTTCTTGAGCGCCAAATCCTCAATTTGACATAAAAAAAAAAAACTACCACCAATATAAGTAATAGTCCACGAAAGAAACGTTTCAACCCAAACAAAGTCATGCCACTCTGAAATTTTCACCATTCTATTGAGGTTCTTTTGAGACGCTATCCTTTCAAGGCAAAAAAAGTACCTTTTGAAAAATGGCGTTTTTTTTAGTAATTTTATTTCTTGTACAGACTTTTGACCATCGTTGATAGGTAGAAAATTTAATTAGCATCCTTACTAACATTTACAGAAATTAGAAAATTCTTGGCACCATAATTTTAGATTGTTTGAACAAAGGTCACTTATTTTTCCAATTTTTTAAACGGTTTTTTTAAGAGCTCTAGCGCTTGTGGAAAATATTTGAGAGAAAAAAGTTATAATCAAACCTAGAAGGCTCAAAACAACTGAGGTGTTGCCCTTATACATAATTTAGGATGCATCGTGCAAATAGACATTTCCTCTCTACCGTTCAATTTTGGGAAACATAAATTGAAAGGTAGAATTCTGATTCAGAAAAAATTCAGTTGCAGCCCCTCATATTTGACCGGCTGAGAGGAAATGACTATAAATTTGCGCGATTCATCCAGAAAATTTAAACTAGCTTGAATTTTTTGCAGGTTACACAATGCTTCTGATTCCTGGACCAAAAGCAAATTTGTTATTTTAGAGAATTTCGCACATCAGTCACCCATTTTGTAAAAATTGAAGCCCACTCTTAAATTGGGGCCCTGTGGTGTTGGACTCCTTTTGCAGCCATTTACCTATAGGCCTGGCACTTTTCTCATATCTTTAATTGAACTATTAGAAATGAAATGTCTGTTTTCTGCAAAAGTCAGTTCTGCTTTCGTTTATTGCAACATAAATAGTAGAAAGGCAGCAGAAGGGAAACAATAATGGTTTAATTAAAACAACACGGTTAAACAAAAGTGAACGAACGAACGGAAATGAAAAGAAAAATCACTCTCGCGCACCAAATCTGTTCCGCACATTTGTGTGTGTCTCTCTCAGAAATAAATAAAGTTTTGTTGTTTGTTTTCGGCTGCAGACGACAACGGGGTGCAGGTGACGGTGCGGGGGTGCGCCCTGGACAGCGGCACCCTCACCACGGACACTGAGATCATCCGCATGTCCCACTGCGGCGGCTTCTACCTCGACGACAGGTCAGTGTCTGCGCGATGACCTCGGTCGTGACCTCAGTGACCTTTTGCCCCCGCAGGTACATCCGCGGCTGTCTGCAGAGCTGCTCGGACGTGGACGCGTGCAACTCGGCGCCCCCTGTCCACGGGCCCGCCCCCCTCGCCCTCCTCTTGTGGGGGGCGTGGCTGGCTAGGGCCGCCTGCTGAGGTCCTGCTTGTCGTCCTTGCGCGGCACCAACAGCACCGACCCGTCGGCCGCCTGCTGCAGGCTGAACTCGTACGGCGAGTACGGACGACCCTCCGCGTCCCGCAGCGCCTGCGAATCAAAATCATTTAAATAAAACTCTCTCTTTGCATAAAGCGCGCCTTTTTTATTTGAAAGAGCTCAAACCTGGAAGACGTGGCGGTAGAGCTGCGCGAACTTGTCCTTGAGCCGCTGCCGCTCGGACAACATGCACTCTTTGTCCCTGAGCAGTCGGTGTTTCCGGTGCCGCATGATCTTCACCTCGTCGGCCAGACTCATGATTTGGTCCAGTTTCCGCTTCCGGCAGTTTTGCGCCGCCACCTGTTCCAATTTCAATCAACTTTAATTTTCACCAAGCACCACTGCCAAAGTTAATTGTCTTAAATTGATTCTTACTTTAAGTCATAACATTTTTTTAGCGAAATTATATAATTGTACTTAGGAAAAAAACCAGCCCGATTATTTTGATGTCAATTTTTCTCTACATGAGCAGTTCAAAGTGGACTTAATTTAATTCCTTGAGAACCAAATTATTTAAGTTAAACATTTTTATCTTATTGGACTTTTCTATAACTTTTTTCTTTTTTCTCATTGCCGGACCAAAATTGATAAAAAATTTCACCAAATCATGTTCATCTTACCCCATTTAACAGGGAGCTAATGATCTACACTAACTTCTAAACCTTTTCCCACAAGATCAATTTCAATTTTTGATGTCGGGGATACAAACGTGATTTTGTGAAACGTTTTTCAATTTTGAGTCAGATCAGGATTGATAAAAATGCTAAATTTAAAAATGCAGTTCTCCAAATAGATTGAAATTTTCTTACTGTCTCCAAACCAATGCTAAAATGTAAAGAAAGATTACCATCATAATTATTAGAGCCGTTTTTTGCAAAAGCCTCTCCTCAATAGCGTTTTCAAAAAAAAAAAAAAAAAAAAAAAAAATATTGTAACTTCAATTTTAAACTAATTTAATTCAGGCAGATTGTGGGCAATAAATGGTTTTGAATAATCAATTCACCACACAAACATTGTGTAAAAGCAATTTTGCCCATTAATAAAATCTATTTGTCAGAAAATTAGTGAAAAACAATGTTTTCTTTTAAAAGTTTGAATTTTTCAAATGTGAGAATCGTCAACCTTGTTCTTGCCGCGGCGGCGGATGTCCCTGATGAGGGAGAGCTGCGCCTCGGTGAGGTCAAACTTGGAGAGGCGTTCGTTGAACTCGTCCATGGGCAGGTTGATGATTTCCTCGACGCTGATGGGCACCTGCATGGCGCGCGCCCTCTTTTCGTCGCGCGTCAGGTGCTCATCCTCTGCGCAAATTTCGCTCCGATCAGTCAAATCTGCTTTTCACAGTGCCAAGGTCAAACCGAATCCCATCCACCCCGAAAGGTCATATAAAAATCAAGGTCAATCAACTCACTTGAGTGCTTGTTCTTGTCGCGCGTGGGGCGGCGCGGGTGCGGTTCCGGCAGGCCTCCGGGCAGCCCGTACGTGTGGTTGTGCGCCACGTGCTCGGCCAGCGGCCCCGCCGGGGTTCCTGCGGCCCCCACGGGGGCCCCCGAGGGACCCTCGCGGAAGTCGACGCACTTAGGCTCGTTGGTCTCGTTGAAGTAGCGCTTTGCGAACATGTGGTGCTTCTTCTGCGCCCCGTTGCCGCCCCCGCCGCCGCCCCCTCCGCCTCCAGACCCCCGCGGTCCGCCTCCTGCGTACGCACTCCCGCTGTAGTCGTACGGACGGTACTTGCAGCCGTTCTGGCCGCTTGAGCTGCAAATCAAAATGATTACAATGAGTGAATAAATTAAACTGCTCTAATCATTTCAAAAAGTTATAACCAAGCAAATGTGACAGCGAAAGAGAATATTTTGATGAAAACATTTATTCATTCTAACAGGCTTCTTATCTGCTTTTATCCTGTCAGTAAGAAATATCAAGATTTGTTTTTTTTTTTCAGTAGAGTCTTAAGTTATGAATTTGTAAAAATTTGACATGAAAATAATATTATATAAAGAGGCTCAACAGTACTCCTGATTTTAGAAAAAGGTTAGATTTATAATCACCATAAAATATTAAAAATAGGCACCCCTTTATGACCCAGGGGTTCATCAGAGATAAAACTTTCTCTGCTGCATGAAATGTAATTAGTCCCAATTGTAAAATTCTACTACCGGTTTCGAGCAGTAAAATCCTCATGGAGGTTCAAATACTTTTGGCTGGAAAACGCGAGTAATATTCAGGAAAAAAATAGTGTTGTGTCCCTCTATAAGGTTTTAACAAGAAAATATGTATTTTTGTTTAGTAATTCTTTCAGAGCACTGTTGGAAAGATTTGGGGAAAGCAAAGGTTGTATACCAGTAGTCAAGGTATGAGCTGGAGGTGCTGGGTTCGGTTCCCCACGCGCGTTCCGAGCCCATCGAGCTGACGGCGCTGTCGCTCGAGCCGTCGGCGTCGCCAGCCGGCGCTGCAGCGGCGCCCACGCCTGTTGAGTTGTCCAGCAGCCGCATTGTGTACATGCCTGTCCATTTTTCATTATTTTCTTTTAACCAAATTTGATTTCTTTTTTACTCACCCTCATTCATGGCCATGTCGACAAGTTGCAGCTCCTCGTCGTTGAGGATCGAGTTGAAAAAGCCCTCGGAGGAGGTGTGGTTGAGCGACTCACCGCCAGAGGCGTTCTGAAAGGTCAAAGGTCAGAGCAGTGTAAGACAAGGGTGGGGGAGGGCACTCGCCTGGTAATACATGGCGTCGTTGTCGAGCTTGAAGGGGGGCTCGGAGGGGGGCGGGAGACCCTCGGGGGCGCTCAGATTCATGGAGGCGGCCACGGCCGACCCTAGGTGCGAACCCGCCCCCGCCACACCCCCACAACCGCCTCCGCCACGCACGCCGCAGAAACTGGCATTGCCTCCTGCAAATAAAATTCAATAGTTCATAAGTTATGAAACCTGCAAAGCTTTGCAACAAGGCCCGTTGCATAACTAAAGAAAGATCTATCCAAATAAGTTCTAGGTTCAAAAATAAAAAAATAACCAGTGAAAAAAAAGTTAGCTGATAAATTAGTGCTCCTGTCGAAATTTCATGTATTTGCAGCAATTTAGACAAGGATACTGACCAAAGAGAGGTGCGGAGGCGTTGAACTCTGGCAGGGGTGGGGGCGGCGCGAGGGTTGCGTTGTGCAGCAGCACCGACCTGGGGTCGGGCAGGTACGTGGAGGTGAACTGGTGGTGGTGGTGGTGGTGCGGGGGCGGCGGCCCCAGGGCGTCGCCCACGCCCTCGAAGCCGCCCCCGCCCACGTCGGCCCACCCGCCCCCGCCGCGAACCACCATCGGCATTCGGCCCTGTCAACAAAGACAAGAAAATTAGAACAAAATTTGAATCAAACATTGCAACAATGAAATTAATTGTCATTTGCGTTGCAGAGGAACAACAAATTGTTCGGAACGCTTTCTTTCATGGTCTCAATTTTTTGCTTCTTTTCTGCGATCTTAAGCAGTCACTTGAACGGAAATTTGATATTTTTGGAAATGATAAAAAGAAATCTGTGTATTTATTAACTTTATCATAATTATTTAAATAGATGCAATATTAATATGAGTACAGTGAAATGTGGTCAAATTGGAAATACAGTATATGATTGTTGATGAGAAAAATGTTTACTGAAACTCGCAGTTTCCCATAAGATCTTGATGAAAATTTTAAGGCCAAGCATTGATTTTATTTTGAAAAAAATTTATTCCAGTCGTGTTAAGTTTCTTTATATTAAAACACTAGAAATTTTCATTGGACCTATGAAGAAAAAAATTTCGAAATAAATTAGTAAATATCGCATAAGAGACGATGAACGTTAATTTTCAATAGTCTGTTTTCAACTAATGTTGTAAGCCAAATCTACAAATATATTTGTATAAAATTTGTAAGGAAAAAATTATCTCCCCCTCATATAAAGGTATTAGTTGAAAAGTTAGCCTCTTCAATGCCATTTCTATAATTTGATATGTTTCGCGGGTTGCATAAATTTATATAAAAAGACGGTTTTTGAGGAATCGTGATGTGGTGCCCAATTTTTGCCAACGTGACACGAATTCCGTATTGCTCGCATAAGAGGAGATTAGTATGTATAAAATTGGTTATGAAAGAGTTGTGGGAGGGGAGAGTTAGCGTGTTTGTCAGCACAAGGAAGAGAACTATATAGAAAGAGATCTGTGGAGAGCAAACAACGGTGGATTTATGTTTTCATTTCTCTGTGCGGGCGCACACAATGCAGCGAAGAAGGTGACAACTCGTAAAACCGCTTTTACGACGCGCGTTGTGTCGAAGAAAAAAGAAGAAGCTGCAACGCGGTGGTCTTTCGATTTTTTCACTCGGAATTTACGAGGCGCGGAGAGAAAAGCCTGGCCTTGCAGCTTAGGTTGTGAAGAAAGCTGCGGCTCGGGTGCCATATGGCGAAAATTGCATTGTGACGCACGTCGGTGCAATCGCGCCAGCATGGCCGCCGCTAATGAGCCTTTCCCACGCCCCCCCCCCCGCCAGCAGCAAGTGCGCGAATTTCAAAATTTTGCCAGGAGAGAAAAAAGACAATGCAGCGATTTGAAGAGGCAAAAAGTTGGGTCATTAGGCGCGCAAATGCGACGACGAGTGCTGGCCGGCCGGTAACTGTGTTGCCGCGATTATTGAATTGAGCCGCCGCTTTTTTTGGCGCTGCAATTTGCAAAGTGCAACTCACGCCGTTCATTCGCCGGTTTGCATTCGAGGTCGCCAACAACAAAGAAGCAGGAAAAACCAAAAAATTATTTTCTCTTTTCCTTTTGTCTGCGCATGCACGAGAGAAATCTGCGTTTTCAAAGTTTGTTTTCTTTCTTTGGATCGGGGACGCGTAACGACCAATTGATTCTAATGAGCTGGCCCGCGGCACACCGAGACGATTAAGCGACTATTAATTCGGACGCGCAGACTCCCAAATTACGCTTCACAGCCGCCGAGAATTATCGTTTCTTTTTTACCTCGCACGAAATTGAATTAAACTCGCTTCCATCACTTACAAAACAATTATACTAAATAAATTCTCACACGTTTTTCTTTACCGTCAAAGTTTTTTCAAGATTTTGAATAAATAAATGATTCTGAATGAAATAAAAATAAAATTTGATAATATTATACAAATATTGATCCAAAAGCCTAACCTGGCCCCGGGCTAACTTAGCCCACCAGCAAAATTGAATGGCGGGTTAAATTAGCCCAGGCCAGGTTAATTTAGCCTGGGCCAAATTTTCCTTTTGGATCGCCCTCATTAATTTGAATAAATTTAAATTTTGACTGTAAAGGATAGCTCAGAATGGTAAAATTGCGTCAAAAAATTCGGGCTATAATTTAATTACATAATAATTAGTTAATTCGACTTGAGTGGAATAAATAATGAGGGCGATCCAAAAGCCTAACCTGGCCCAGGCTAACTTGACTTAGCCCAGGGCTAACTTAGCCCACCAGCAAAATTGAATGGCGGGTCAAATTAGCCCAGGCCAGGTTAATTTAGCCTGGGCCAAGTTAGCCTTTTGGATCGCCCTCAATATAAAAATAATTAATTGAAAGAGGGACATTTCTTGGAAAGTAATTTGAAAAGTATAATCTTGTAAGCTCAAATAAAAATATGATATGTTTTGGTGAAGAAAAGAGTTTGGAAAGAAAGGGATAAAATACGTAAAGACTTGCTTGGTCGTTTTGGATGCTGCGGAGGCTGTCGAAGGAGCGCGCGAGGAGAGACGCGGCCGCCGACTGAACGACCGGCCGAGCAAACTCAGCCGAGCCCGCGCTCCCCGCCAGCCCGTCCTTCCGAGATAAACCAAAACAAATTGGAAGTGAACCGCAAAGGCTTTAACATTTTAACAGCAATTTACATTCTTTTCATTCTGCTCAAGTAGATTATTTCCGAATTAATTAATTGCATAGATCTATTTAAAAAAATAATATGAAATTAAATAAAGAATTATTGTTAAATCTCTGTGGTTTCAAATGTGGCTCAAGTTGAAGCAAATGGATGGATTTTTCTATTATGTTAGGAACAAAAACCATCAAATTAAATTTCTCTTGAAGATTGTGCCAAGAATTGATTAATTTTGTTACTGTAAACATTGCGTCACGCGCGCGCTTTTTTTTGACTGTTTTCGCTTTCTTGTCGCTTTTCCGCTCTCATAATCGCGCGCGACGCCATCTGCGTTAATTGCACTTTCGGCGCTGCATTCAAACATTTCAAGCTCTGCTGCTCGCCAAAACAAACAAACCGATCGACGCATTTCCTATTTCGGTCTGATGCGAATTCGCCAATTCAAAAAAGGCTCCCGCGCGCGATTGAGCAATTTGCAGGCGACAGGGACAAACGGATTTGACTTTTATTACCTTCGCAGGCGCATTAAGAGTAAAAATAATAACAATTTGCAGAACTGCGGGCGACCGACGCGCGGAGCAAGAAAAAGCAGAGACTTTAATGGCCGCACTTTTTGCACCCATTGTTTCTCTCTCTCTTTATTTCTTTCTTTGCTTCGCCGCTTTGATGCACTTCCGTGCCCGCCGGCCCAGCACCTTCAATTCATCTCCCTTTTTGCAGCCAAAACATCTCGGGAAAACATGAAGACTATTAAAATCTTTGTCTTGCATGCTTTGAAAGGCCAAACTTCTTTTGAAGAAAGTCTAGCGCGAAGTTTGTAATAACTATTTTGGAAACCACGAGACATTTTAATTAAAGGAAGCAGCTTTTTCGGTGTATGAAGATTGTATGTCCGCGCCAGTTTCCCAATGTTTTCATATATAATTTCGCGGAACAATCGCTGCATTTTTTTATCTCAATAATTTCGTTGCTTTTGATGCTCTCATTCAGATCATATGGCAAGTTGCATTTTATAATTGGATGTTAATATTATGTATTTGTAAAGCCTTATTAAAAAGAATTGGGCATAAAAAAAATTATCCACAAAATCTTACTTCATAGACCATGCATGATATAAGAATCATTTAGAAAATTAGGGGTCTCATTAAATTTTAGAAGGAAGTTTAATTGAAGGTAGAAAAAAGTTAATTTTTTATTAGTTTATACTTCCTTGTTTCTGTGCAAATCAAGCTTTGTTTTGAGCACTTTGATTTAATTGATTTCTGCAAACAAATATCATAAATGCGATAGTTTATATTTCGATTCATAAAACCCATAAAAAATTCACTTTTTTAAGTCCAATTGCAGCCAACAGAGATGCATAAGGGTTCACAAAAACTGAAATTAATTACTTACATTAATTACGGTAGAGGTTTTTTATTTTCACAGCCGGAGATTTAAGCTACTGGACCAAGGCATCATTATTATTACTATATTTTTCTTAACAGTGACCGAACTTTTAGGTTTCATGAGGTTATTTTGCTGGCACAAAAGGCGCTCCTTAAAAATACGCAACAAAATTAACAAAAAATCCAAAGTATAGCCAAAAGTTGCGCCTTATTGTCCTTTTGCACCAGAATACAAAATTTTGAGCCAGCTGTTGATTTAAAATAGCTGAAAATGTTACGTTTCGATGAGTTTACTTCTAGAAAATGAGTTTTTTCACATAAAAATTTGCGTTATATTTTATGGAGTTTTTGATTCATTTGAAAGTGAAGAATTTGATAAATAAATTAGAGGTTCCATTCTTTACTTCAAGAATTAGGTTAATTGTGTGAGACTCAATTTTATGTTTGTATTGCAGAAAAACTTTAAATTAGTGGCAATGACTTTTATTAAATCAAAATTGTATTCAATGAGAAATAATTTAGGGATTTGAGAACATTGGAAAGCGTTTATTTATTAATCTGATCAATTTAGTGCGCTCTAGATGGCTGAATGAATAAGTGATAATAGAATATCAATCGTCTGAAAATCTGACTTCTGCGGATATATTTTTAGTCGAGTCTGCTTTTGGAGGGATAAAAAGTCGAAGCTTGAGTTTGGTCCTAGGGCAAGGCGGATGAAACAGCGAAATCAGTTTTCGTCTCGTCACCCCGTTCGCTTTTTTCAACAAACAAAAGTGGATCATCGAGTTTTGTACCTGCATCACGATGACGCGGCTCAAAACAAGACACACTGACTCCGATATCGCGCGCTGCAGCAATTAAAAGCACCGATTTTGCCAAATAATTCTTAAAAAAAAAAGAAGACTGACCTCGGCGGAGAGGTGGTGCGGCTTGGGCGCGTACAGGTGGTGGTGGTGGGGATGCAGGGGGTGCTGCCCCGCCGCAGGGTGGCCCCCGCCGCTCATCGCACCCAACTCCTCTTCCTCCTCCTCCTGCAATCAATTAAAGCACAAAACTTTAATCTTTAAACCTCTAAATGTGCAATTGACGGTGTTGATGGATTTTTCATGGTATTAAACAGAACCGACAAAGCATGAAACAAATCCATTTTTTAAATTCTTTTAGCAATAACACTTTTAGGGATAAACAATTAAAAAATAATAATAATAATGAGGGCGATCCAAAAGGCTAACTTGGCCCAGGCTAAATTAACCTGGCCTGGGCTAATTTAACCCGCCATTCAATTTTGCTGGGTGGGATAAGTTAGCCCGGGCCAGGTTAGGCTTTTGGATCGCCCTCAATAATTCTAAGAATCATTTGATCAAGCAATAATCTTCAGAATCATACCAACGTATGCAACCAGCAGACCAAACATAAGTTTCAAATCTCTGCCAAATTGGAAGAAAATTCTTAGAATTTAAAAGGTATATCAAAAAATCCCCAACCTTTATGATGGTAATTTGGAGATTAATTGAGAAGGATTATTTAAATTCATTAAAAATTCCAGTATCATTCAGTTTTCTAACTTCTGATCATCCATTCAGAAACTTTGGAAATAAGAAGGGAAAAAAATTAGTCAACCGATGCTCACTGCGACGGATGGGGTCTTTTTTACTTCAGAAGTTTGAGCAAAATATTTATGCTAGTCCAACATTTTTTTTTTTTTTTAATTAATTGTTCTCAACAATTGAATGTAAATCCGAAATAATAATAATTAAGAAAATAGATTTATTTTTCATTCGCTTTGCTAATATTGGTCTCCACAATGTTAAAAATACATTGCCTCTTCATTCAATAGTTGAAAACAATTTATTTCAAAAAAGGAATTGTTGGACAAACCCGCACCAAACAACAGAAAGTTTTCATGTAAACCAATTTAAATACGTGAATAATTTTGTTAGCTTTGAATTTAGTATTTTTGGAACAAACTTTGGCGCTAGCCAAGAAATAATTGATCAAATAAACACCAATTTGGTTTTTAATTAGATTTTTAAGGCGAGGTATGCAGCCGTGAGGGTCTCTGGCGTCGCGCGGGTTGCCTACCCAAGTGAAGATTCGGAAGAATTTTTGGTGATGGTGCTACTGACCTTGACTGGGTCGTGCTGCGAGTCGTCGAGCGAGGCGATTTTGAGCGCGTCCTCGAGCGAGAAGGCGTCGAGGGCGGTCGGCAGGTCAAACTCGACGTCGTCGGCGCCGCCACTCAGCAAGTCGACGCCCTCGGCGCCGCCGACGCCACTTTCTTCCTCGCTCTTGCACAATTCATACTCACCTGCAAATCAATTAAAGCAAAACAAAATTAGTGAGTGACCCAGTGCGCCGCCTTTTCCCTGAGTCAGCGCAAATTCCGCCTGCATCATCCTGCCGCCGCGCAAGTCTCAAATAATCGCTGATTTTTTTGTTTTCCAAAAGGTAATTGGGTTGGAGGAGACCCAAATTCAGCAGGAATCGAGTTTAGTGAATATTTAAGATATTCTGGCAAAAATGAAGCACAAATTGTCAAGAAAAAGTTTTATTATTCTGAAGAAATTCATCTGCACTAAAAGGAAAGAAAATTCCAGAATTCGGTTGACATTGCGATTAACCAAAATTATATTGAATTGTTAGCGTTGTTCACCAAAAACATCAATTAAGGAGGAAGTAATTATTTGCTTTTCCAGAATAAATACTTAACATAATCGAGGGGCGGAAAATATGTTTTTAATAAAATTATCAAGACTCTCGACTTACTTCCAAAGAAAAATATATGAGATGATTTTACATTGTTCTTTATATTTGTCCAAATTGTTACATCACTTTGTTTACATTCAATTTTCAGCCTCAAAGTTTTGGTAACATTTCGAGTTAAATAAAAAAGCCTCTCGATATGCGCGTAAAACAAAAATTGAATGTAAAAACAATTGTATATTTGTAACAATGTGGACAAAAAAAAAACAACAATAATTAAGTATTGATTGATTTTGGAAGGAGCGTGCCTATGCCTATCAATTATTGAAGAGCCAACAAATGTTCATTTATTCTTGGGGAACAAAAATATCTGTTTTTCGCCATTTGACTACATTATATATCTTTTCTCATAATAATAATCCAATTATTTGTGTTTTTAAAGTCTTGATTTGACTGGGTGCAACAAAATTATTGACCACTCTGCTTTGATTTATAGAAAGTGAAACAAATAACTATAAAACCATCGCACACACTGTACATGACACATTTTTCTTGGCATTTTATAACTTTTCATCACTGATGGTATCTATTTTTATTTTCATTTTTCGTTCTGAAATTGAGGAGCGGCGTGGAGAAAATGGCGGCGGTGGCGGCAGATGAAATTGTTTCTCGGTTTCATTAATCGTGCTTCGAGAGCGCCGAGGGAAGGGAGCGAAAAACCATCAATCTCCGTCCGACCGTCCGCCCGCCCGCCCGAACGAACCAAACTCGAATCCCTCTCTCAATAAACGAATGTTTCGAGTTGTGAAGGAAACAAAGAGTCGCGATTAATTGCCTCGAATCCGAAGCGCCCAAGGCCTCGACGTTTCAAAATCTGCTTTTGTGTCACTGCAAAGTGGAGCGCAGAGTTTATTCCCGCTGCAATGCACCGGGCCAAACACTCAAACTCATTCTGCAGGAAAATCATTCCAAGTAACGCTGTAAATAAATATTTTAACTAAAATTTAGGTCTTTTAATTTTTGTTTGTTGTTTAATTTCTGAAGTAACAAAAAGAAAGATATTTGATAAATGTTTTTTCATAAATATTTTTCAATTATTCATATTATTTGACTTGAGAGTTTGGAATTTGAGAAAATTTTCCTACACATTTGCGATTAAACATGATTTTTTTTCCCACAGAGACGCAGACGTGAAAAGTTTATGAGGATTTTGAACATGGCTGCGCGTCTGTCTTAGATGAAAAGTTATCTGACTGGAATTTGCAAGTGTGGAGATTTCGTGTGCGCGTTGATTTGGGTGAAGAGGCGGACGTGCAGCTTCTCTTGAGATTAACTGTAAACGCGCGCGGTGCTTTATTTGAATTATCATTTGTATGAATATAATTTTTTGCTTCCTGCGCGGCGCGAGTTTTTGCTGCGTCGCTCGTCAGTAATTGTCTCTTTCTCTCAACATCTGCCAGCACATTCGAAATCTCGTGAATTAAATATACAGCACAAAAGTGTCGTCGCCGCTTTTCACAAAAAGCTGCAGCGTCGACGCACAATGGCGAAATTTTCCTCCCAGCCAAAATGGCCGCCGCCGCTTTTTCCCTTTTCCTCGCTCTGCGACTCGAAAATTCAGAGGAGGAAAAAAATTTTGTTGCTCGGCGCGCGCGTTATTATATTATGATCAAATTTTTTCCGTCCATCGCGCCTCGAGAGTTGGGGGGCGGAGAGAACAAAGCACGAATTCCCTCCGACCGTCCGTCCGATCGAAATAACAAAACGCGCGCCGAGCTCTCAGAGAAGAAAATAAGAGACCTTGACGCCAGCACCGAGAAAACCCTTCCCTCTCTCTCCGAAGCCACCTTATAAATATATAAAATAAAACTCGAGTCGCCGCGTGTTTTGTTAAGGAAGACGCCCAGCACTCCACAATCAAAACCAACAAAATAAAAATAGAAATATTGAAGATTTATTCAATCGAATTACATCAAGAAATCAACCTCGCACCAAAAGAATTTATATGTTTTTAATTCCTCCCACCGCCATCAGTTTTAATATCAGTTTCAAACTGTCTCTAAATCCAAATCAACGCAAGAAAGAATTTGGTCAAAATCACAAAAAAAAATATATCTATATTTTATATGCGTGTTGGATGATAAAAATGTTTTTCTATGCCAAACATCACTTTGAAAACTGAATAGATTGAATTAACGCAAATTTTCCCAACACAAATTTGAAACAAAAAGTTTCTTTCTTTGCTAACATTAATTTATATATACACATATAATATAATTAGGCGAAAATATGTAAAAGGAATTTGTTAGGCGCAGAAAATTCTCCGCCATTTTCCCCTATGATAAAGTGATAAATTATAAATTACCTTTTTATAAACAGAAATTTAGACAATTGCGGCTAGTGAATTCATAATTTTTTTTTAGCATTATTAACTCGCTTAAAAAATTAGAAAACAAAAAAATTATGGTGCGCACAAGTTGATATTTATTGTGAGCGATTTTGGCGTTGACTGTTTTGAGATGCAGCTCCAAGATTGTTGCGCGCGTTGGCTTTTTTATCGCGTCGACCAATCGGCCGCCGCTCTCGTCGCGCTTTTAATACATTTTTTTTTCTTTTTGCAGCCCTAAAAGCAGCACTTTTCTCGCACCCAGCCAGGAAAAACAAACCCTACGCTTATTCGACCCAGCATCGAGATCCATCTCTCTTACGCCAGGAGCAAAGGAGAGCACTTAAGGAAAAGACTGAATATTCTTTGAAGGCAAAATCGGCTGTCAAGATAAAAGTGCGCGACGAGCCCTCGACGAAAAGGCAATTGGATTTATTGTGCGCGCACGAGATCCTCCTCAATTCCAACCAGCTTATTTATAGATCTCGGTCCCTTTCATTTTCTTTATAATTTTAATTTTTAATTCATTCCATCAACCGAACTTCATCAAAATCAAAAGGGAGATTAACGCACCGCATTTATGAAAATTATTCCTCAATAAGTGCATCTTTAATTTCTCTACATGAAATTCTCGTTTTTTTTTTTTTTTTTTACAGAAAAGTATAATATTTTATTTGGTAGATTTTACAAGTTTAACGTTTTTTCGCAGTTCATTTTTCCATTTTTGCAACATTGTCTGCGCTGACTTTAAATTTCCTTTTGATGTATTGCTAACAATTGATAGAAAATAAAATAAAATTTACAATTATTTTACTGCGAAATGCTACTGGGTATTTGAATTTGCAACTTCAAAATGAAAACAATTTGTGGTATAATATAAAATTTTAAGACACGATCAGAATAAATAATGACAAGACATTTAAAAATTCATGATGATATATCATACATATATAACAAATGAAAATTTGATTATTTTAATCTGCAAGCTCAGATCTCTCGGTTGGAGGAGAATTTAATGCTTTAAACAAAGAGAGACAAAGACATTCTCACACTTTTGACAATTACCAGAAAAATAGGATTAACCCTCTTTTTGGACAGCAGCATATTTTATTCCTAACCGAATTAAATTTGTACCCAAACAACACGAGAAGCAGAATATTCAAATGAAATGCAATATAACAATAAAATGAGGATTTCACGAATAAATTATTGAAAATGAGCAAACCTCGATCGTTGCAAAAAGATAAGATCAAAAAAATCATATAATAAGGAACAAAAACTTGATGCAAGCGGCCTGCTGCGGTATCCTTAAAAAACGGTTTGTTGCGTCCAACTGAGGATAAAAACGAACTTAAATGAACTACTAAAACTAATAAAAATTTAATTAATTGGGATAATTTTGTGAGTTTGTCAGAAAAATCTTTGGATTTATTGCCATATAGAAATTTCTGGCTAAGTGTTGTTTGAAGCTAAAATTTTTTCTGACTCCCTTGCTTAATAAATTTTTAAAATATCTGATCAACTGAATTTTTTTTTTTTTTTTAATTGTCTCTTATAAATTTTAGTTGGGATACGACAAAACTTGGGTTTTTTAAGTACTGCAGCAAAGATCGCATGCAGGTCATCTTCAGAGGGTCAGTTGTCCTTTTTATATTTTTCTCTTGCAATACGAAAAACCCGCGGTTTCAAATTTTCAAGCAATATGTCTATGAATGTATTATTTAGAAGAACATTTTAAACGTTTGCATGTTTTGGCTGCAAATTAAATTAAAATGAACCGCTCATAAGATGACGCGCAATGCTTTTGGGCCAAAATAAATTGCAAACGTCGCGGATACAAACTTCTCAAGGGGGCGACTGTAAAGTAGGCAACAATAGCGTCCCAGGTGTCGAGATTTTGCCTACCTCACAAAAAATATCTCTGTACCAAAAATATCTCTTCTAGGGAGAGGAACTCAAATAGGAAAAAGTTGGTTCGTCGCCCGCATAATATCTCCTGAGAAGAACTCGTTTTTTCGTTTTAATGAAATCGATTGGGCAATTTTGAAACGTGCAGCTGGGGACGATATTAGGAATTAAAATGGAACTCACCGTCGGGTTCGCTTCACTGGGAAAAGGTGCGCTGCAGGAAAAACTTATTGGAAAAGAAGAATCAAATAAATCCCTGTTTGTGCAGCGGAGGCCGCGGCTCGACTGAGTCGGGCGGGCCGGCGGCGCTCGCAACAACATGGCCGCCGCCCAAGCGCCGCCCACCGCCCCCTCCCCGCCGAGGCCCCTGAAGGCACCCCTAAGGGGCCCTGCACGGAGCCCAAAGACCCACGTCGGTCCCAAAAGGGCTCCAAACTGCGAGCAAAGGAATTTCGGCGACGGAATTTGGAACCTTTTTTGCAGGTTGTTTGCTTTGGCGGCTCCGCTTTCAGTTTGAACAGGAAAAAGAGAAATAACATTCACAAGCGAGAGGGCTGCGGCGGCGTTTCGGGGTCGAAGCTCTTGACCCACACCAAGTTCGGCTGAACAAACAACAAAGCACCTGTGCGTGCCCTGCCACTTTTCCCAACCTTGCAACTTAAAATAATATAGTTTTCTTGATCAAATCGATTTCTACAATCTTCACACGACTGAACCTGCATTGCAGCAAATGTGTGAAATATTGACCCGCATCTGCGATTTCTTTATTCATATTATTGAGCACTCAAAATAACAATTACCAGGTCAAATTTTATCTTCATTGTGTTGTGTGCTTGAAGAATGCATTATTTGTTGATTGAGATTGTTTTATTATTTAATTATATTATACTTTCCACAAAAAATATCTTTTTTAAATTATTGAACTTCACACAAAATTATATGGTTGCAATTTTATTGAGGGCGATCCAAAAGCTAAATCTGGCCCAGGCTAACTTGACTTAGCCCCGGAATAACTTAACCCACCAGCAAAATTGAATGGCGGGTTAAATTAGCCCAGGCCAGGATAATTTAGCCTGGACCAAGTTTGCCTTTTGGATCGCCCTCATTGTTTAATGGCATGGGCTAAATAATTTTTATACCAAGTTTTTTTAAAAGTTTTGCATATTATATAAATATTTTGCAGATATATTATAACAATATATTGGGCATATAAAAAACAACAACAACAACAATATAATAATAGAGTAAAAATGTTTGAAGGAAAAGTTTGATTGCTCGAGAAAATAATGCAGAATAAACGAAAGAAGGGGACTTGTGAATGTTATATTATAATCATGGGTCATTGCCTCGAGTAAAATAACTTAATAAGCAACACATTATTAATATAGATAAAAATAAAATATTCTCTCAATGAACAAACAATAAGTTAATAAATTGGCAAATGCCTTACATCTTCTATAAGGGAAACCAATTTTCCGCTTTAATGAATTTTTTGCATGCATTTGGATTGAAAATTAAAGATGAGAGTGAGTGATGGGAAACAAAAAAAATTGATTTTAGCTGAAAGGGCATTTATATGAGCACCTTATAATAAACAATATAAGACCTCTGATAACATAAAAGTTTAACCTATATTTTTGTATATCCAGAGTAACCAACTATTTCAAAATTGCTGAGGCCTGTGCCTACATTCAGGTTTACTTTAGTACTCCTGTTTATTCTTCATTGAAAAGTTTCATCGATCTATGAGAAAAAAAAATAAACTTTATACTCTGTAACGATTGAAATTGAATATATCTTATTAGCTTCACAATCTGCAGCAGCAGCAATTTTTTAGAATAAAACGTTGCACACAAGTGCAGTCAATCAGTTGATGCTAGTTTTGATTTAAATTAATTATGCTAAATCGTACCGTGAAGCTTAAAGAATTATTATTGTTGTTTATGTGTCCACATTGTTACAAATACGATTTATTTACATTCAATTTTTGAAAAACAATTATTTAAGAAAAAGTGATTGTTTGACATAAAGGCATCACCGCACCAGCAAAACTTTTGCTAAAAACTTCCGAGATCAAAAAGACCCCATCCGCCGCAGTGAGCCTTGGTTGACTGAGTTTTTGTTCTTATCACAAATTCTGCCACAGGTAGGCCTTCCAGAGAATGGGAAACTGCTCCATCTGGGCAGGTTTTCAGAACGTCCGGAAGGTCATTAACATGGCCCGTAAAGTAAAAAAAATAATTACAAAATTTTGAATTGCCAATGTTCTTTGAAAAAAAAATTATTTCATGCACTCGCTTGGGAGTTTTGTTTTTAATTAAATTCCACAAAATGCATTTCATGCATACATAGAATTGCTTTTGGTCCAAGATATTTGCGTTCAAGCTGTGTTTGAATTTAAATAAGAGATCAGGAGTTTTTCAAATAAAAAGTTTAAGTTGTATATAGATTTTGTTGTTTTTATAGAAAAATTGTTGGTGCAGCGTTGAAGGGGTGGAAAAGGAAGCGAGTCTCGAGGGGATAGAGAGATTGTAAAAATTTTTCTTTGAGAGCTGCAGAGGCTAAAAATTGGCCTAATGAAGGTGGAAGCATTTTATTTGTGCTTGCTGGGAAAAATGCTTGGCGCTGCGCATTGAAAAGCTCTTAATCTGAAGGTCCGTCTGAAGCCGGGTCGGTCTCGGGGAAATAATTAATGACAGCCGCGTGACCAAGCGAAAAATCCACTCTTTTTTAATTCGGACCCCTCGCTCGCTCGATCGCTTCCCCCGCGCCATCCCGTAGGGGCGCGACTCGCCCCCTGTTAACTCAACGACCAAAAAGATGAAATTTCCACTTTCGCCGCTTTCCAACTCCGTTTCAGTTCGCTCCGTTTCCCGCTCAAAGCCCCGCAAATCAATTATTTAAAATTCTCTCATTTCCTTCAGTTGAGAGACTTTTACAACATTCATTGCTTTTTTCAACATTTTTTTAATTCCCATATTATTCTGGTTTAACATATTATTAAGTTTGTAACCGCTAAAATTTTTTTTATAAATTAATGACCGCGAATTAAATTACATGCAATCTGGATTTGGATTGTCTGTGCCCTTTTACTTTGAGTTTGCTTTTACTTTCAAAAATCTATATATTTGGGAGAGCAAAAAAATAAAACTGCATGAAAGCCGGTTTTGCGCATATTAGCGAGAGCAGGCACATTGAGGGCGATCCAAAAGGCTAACTTGGCCCAGGCTAAAATAACCTGGCCCGGGCTAATTTAACCCGCCATTCAATTTTGCTGGTGGGCTAAGTTAGCCCGGGGCTAAGTCAGGTTACTCTGGGCCAGGTTAGGCTTTTGGATCGCCCTCATTAACTTCAAGAAAATAAAATTGAGTTAGTCAAGTGCAGAAGTGCATTGTGCCATATTAAATAATTTGTGTGCCTTTTGCAAGAATTTTCAATCCATGGCCTTGGAAGTTCAAAACTGGATACATCTGCTGAATAAATCGCCGGATTAATTCTTCAAAAAGGACTATGGCGCTATTCAATTCATATATTTTTTCTGTATAGGTTCATGAAGTTGTTGTTGTGGAACCTTTTGGCACTCGAGGTGGTCATATTTGTTGAAATAAAATCCGGCTTCCTCGGTGGAGATGAGCAACTTTATTGTTTCTGTACCATGCAGAAACAATAAAGTTGCTCATCTCCACCGAGGAAGCCGGATTTTATTTCATTATATATATATTTCTTGAAACAAGTCATTTTCTGCAGCGAAGCTTATAGTTTTGCCAATTTTATATTTTTATATAAATTACCAGAAGACAATGATAAGTGACATTTTATCTATCTTATAGAGAATTAAAATTATGCAAGAATAGAATCAAATCCCCAGTGTTTGACCTGTCACAGCGAAATGGGATGACTCAAGTTGGCAAAAACCCTAGCTGCTGTGTCACGGAAACTGTAGTGCAGTAAAAAAAATTTAATGAAAGTTTTATTGCATCTCAGAACGTCATTGAGTTATTTTTAATAAGATTACGTATTGATTCCAAATATTGAACTTGTTCTAGATCTAAATTATAGCTGCAGTTATCTTCCTGAAGAAAAAATATTTAAAAATATAATCATATACACGCAGAAATTTTTTGTCCGACCTAACTACTAGTCTGTCTGTTTCAAACTGCTAAAAAATGACTTATGAAAAAAAGCGGAAACTCTGTCTGTATTGAGAATCGGAAAATGTTTACGCCGAAAAACATATGAGATAGGAGACCGCGCTCAGAAGCTCTGTACGCTTTCAACTCTCCTATTTTGTCCGAGTTGGGTTGCCTGGATTAAATGAGAGGAGAACGCAACGCGCTTACGACCCAACTCAGACAAATTGTCCGACTTCACTATTCTGTTCTTTTCGTTTATTATTTCTTGCTCTTTGCGTTTTCTTAATTGTATATAGGTACAAGTAAATAATGCATGGATAATTTCAGTATAGAAATATTTATTTACACAGAAATTCACAAAGTACAAAATAACACAAGGAAATAGCAAAATACAAGTAACAAACTGCAAAAGTTGTTGAAATTAAGTTTTGATATGCATATTTGAAAGAGAAAATAGCACAGCACTTTTGAGACAATTATCAATAAAAAATTGCTTTAGAGCTATTGAAAAATCAAGCATTTGAAAACGACAACCACAGAAAATTTTGCTTCACACATTGATTAAAAGAATGTACATGTTATTTTCTTTTTACTGATAAAATGAAACCGGATTGCCGGGTCCTACTTAACGTTCTGAGGCAAAGTTCATCTTCTTGCACTCGCGCTTTTCCAGAGATGTGCCCAAGCTATAGAGATGATTTTGATTGCTTGATTTTCTCAGATTTCATGTCAAACTCTAGTGGTTTTTTCTGGTAGTAAATATCCACGGTGAAGCCGAGCAGCTCACTGCAGCTCTTTCTGAAACAATGCATTCCTCGCGTTAAAATTTATGCTTTGAAGTTTGAAGGAAAGAAAATTATATAATATAAATTAATATTCTAAATTTATTGAAAAAAAAAAAATTAAAATAAAATAAAACGGAGAGAAAAATTTGAAAAATATTACCTGGCAGTTGATGTTCATTTCTAGTTCTTCTATAATAACTTGCGCCAGCTAGGAGACGTATTTTCATTTTGCGAGCGTTGCAGTTGAGGCCAGAATGTGGAAATTTTCTGCAAGTCAGAAAGTCAAAATTATTTCAACATACTTTTTTATATTCATTTTACTAAATTTCTTACCAATTATAGAAGTTTTTCCTTGAGTTTTCAATTTTTCTCTCCGCAACACAGATCTTTCCTTGTGAAGAGAGCTCTCTCAACTGACGCTAAAGTGACCGTTGGTGTTTTCAAACCTGAGAAATGCCTGGGATATCGGAAAATGTCGAAAATTCCCAGACCCTGAGTGCTTGCCTGTCGCCGAAACCTCCCCCCGAGAGGCTATCCTTTGTTCTCGAGAAGCGCGGTTACAGGTTTCTTGGATAGCCTGTCCGTTTCCAACTCGGACATTCTAGCAGTTTTGAAATTGGCTGCAGTAGCAGCGCAAAGCCGTACACTGTATCAGATCTTACAGCGTTTGGAAAAATCTGTCCGACTGAAACGGACAGGGCATACGTTTTGTTTTTAGAAGTTCTAAAACTACAATTTTATCTGACCAAATCGTACAGACTAGTAGAGACATCGGATAAAATTCGTCCAGACGTTTTCAGTCGGACAAAAAATTTCTGCGTGTATGCATTAGGCATGAATTTAAATTTAAAACGGGTTTACTTATATTTTCAACACATATGTGACATCTTGTGCTTTAAAAAAAACTTATTCATATAATACGAAAACGAAGATTGAATTAACCAAACTTGAAGTCAAATAAATATGTATTTGATATCTCTGAATTTGACATTATGAAAGCCAAATGGTGTAAAAAACTAAAATCATTTTTTTTTTATATAATTATGGTAAATTGTAAAATAATTAATTATTAAGGACGTACGCACGTTTTTTTTTTTTTTTTTAAATCGTTTTTCGTTTTTGCAAGGTGAAACCAATCGCTAAAAGAAACAAAAAGCGTCTTGTTGAGTCTTATGTGGCATTGCAAGCAAGCGCAGGGGATGCAGGTAATATAAGTTAATATTTTTCCCAAATAAGAAGCGGAAATTTTTTGAAAACGCACCTGTTTCTAAGTCGATGGTGTAAGGGAGGCCAGCCCAGGGGTCGAGGGCGGTGAGAGGCCCCTCGTCGGGGTCGTCGGCCTCCACCTTGACGTCCGGGGGCGGCTTGACGGCTTCCGGGGGCGTCTCGTCGCCGCCCCCGAGGGGCGGCACCCCCAGGTCCACGTCCTGCTTCCACAGCACCTCGATCAGGTTCATGTCCTGCCAAAAACACCAAAAACATCCAATTCCGATCAAGACAAAATTCAAAATTACATTCGTTAGTTCACATAAGGGCAGAGCAACCCGAGTTTTTTTCTTTATAAGAACCATCCATGGAAATATATATTATTAAAAAATTAATTTTAATTATAAATTTTGTCCATAATTTTACCTTCAGCATGTGGAAAGCAAAACAAATTTGAAGAGGCCAAAATAAATTGATTCTGAAGATTTTTCACGCTCAAATTAAAATTAAAATAAGAGTTTGAATGAATTAGCGCCGAAGCAGCACGAGTTTTGTTTCGCACGCAATTATTTCTTATCTGCTATCGCGCGCGGGGGGCCAAAGTGCACTTCTCGATATTATTTTTCTCTCTCCGTGGGAGCAGAATTATAAGGGATGGAGGGAGGGTGAGGCGAGGGTGCGCGTCAGGTGCGCGCCTTTGTTGTGGAAAGAAAACACAAAATCTTACTGCAACGATCATGTCGAGTGTTTTGCTTGGGAATTCCTGTGCGCTGGTGACGGGAGACCCGACTTTTCGCCCCGACCGCTCTTCAAAAACTACAAAACTCGCGCCGGCCCCAGCTTCACACTTTATCTTATCTAATCAGGGTACTTCGTGTTCTCTCCGCATCCGAAGGTGACATTTTGGCGCCCCAACCCAAAAATAAAAACTAATTCTGCGAGAATGAAAAGACTAAATTTTTATAAAAAGTTTGAATAAAGGAAATAATTTAATTATTAAATAATGGAAATTGGAAAAAGTGTTTTTGTAACAAAGGTTTCGGTGCGTCTCAGAAAGGTGCAGAGAGCGGATCGTTTGTCACGCGGCCGGCGTTTGTGAAATTGGCGGCGGCTGTCGGCAGGCGATAAATCACCCTGAGCACCCTGAGCGCGCGTTCATTTGTCACTGCCGCACCGCAACCTTGCGCGCCGAATTCCAACCCTTTTCTTCTCCCCCGCCAAGCAGGTGCATTTTCGCTTTCAAAACAACTTTTGGCTTCTCTCGATTTTCTCTTTATATCAATCAAAATTATATTTGACAATAATTATACAAACAAGCTATCAAGAAAATAAGAAAAAACGGCCCATCAAATAATTGCTCAACATTAATTTTAACCGCATGGAAACATTAAAACTATTTTTTTTTTTTTTTTGGAAATTTCACGAAAAATACAACTATAAGAAATTTGATTATTTATTTGAGAGTGAAAATTTGAAGCACTAAATTTTCTGGAGATTATTATACATTTTAAACTTTTACAGCAAAAAAAAAATGAAATTGTCAAGACCGATCTGTTTGTTTTGTTCCATAAATATACAAAATAATGTTATTTTTGCGCACTAGAATTTGAATAAAACATTTAAAAGTTATAAAATTTGGATGATCAATGAAAAAACTTGAATATCTAAATTCTTATATCGCTTGAGTAGGCATTTAGAAAGAAACCGATTATTTTCAAACCACCAAACCATGTCAAACGAGCCAGAGAAATATTAGAAATAAAATTGAGATGGCGGCGTGTGTGCGCTGCACAATGAGAGAAACAAAATTAATCGAAGCGATTGTTTGGGCCGTCAAAAACCATTTCTTTTGTTTTGTCAGGGCGCGCGTCGTTTATCATTTTATTTTCCTTGGCTGCAAAACAAATGCGCAAAACAATGCCGAGAGGAAAAAGAGAGCGGCGATGCTCAAACCGAGCCGACTCTCCACAGTTTCAAACAAGAATTTTTATTCTTCAATGGTTATTTGCTGGATACTTATAGTGTGCGTATATTTGTGTTGATTCGCATTTTCATTTTTGAGAGGCTTAAAAAAAGGTTTTTCAATGCCCAAAAAAAGCCTTAAATATAATGAGGGCAATCCAAAAGCCTAACCTGGCCCAGGTTAGGCTTTTGGATCGCCCTCAATATTTTCTCAGCAGTATATAGCATCCAGTAAAACCGCACCACGTAAAAGCCTCTCAAAAGAATTTACTTATCGAATTTTGCTTTTTGAAAAGAAAATTTCTATCAAAACCATTGTAAGAGCAGGACAATCGCGCAAGAACTCTCGTTTTTCACTCTTGGACTCTTTTGTACTTTTTGTGGGGAAAAATTGAAGCTTCAGGGAGGTCGCGCGCCCCTTTGAGATTTTGCTGTCGCCACCTTCACCCTTTTAAAAGGCGCAACCGCAACAATCTCTCACTTTCAGCCTAACTATTAAGCACGCCACACAAAAAAACTGACCGCGACAAAACACACAATACCCAGCACTTTTCACTAAAAAAAATCGCTTTCTGCGTGACCCAACGGAGCCGCGCGGAATTTTAATTTTTGTATTTTTCTTACCAAAGTTTATAAATTACTGAATGCCAGCGGTAGAAAAGCTGTAATTAGGATCCTTTTCAGTAAAAATGTGAGATGTAATTTATAAAATTGTAAAAAAATGTTAAATAAAAAAAATTAAATTTAAATGCATCATTCTTTTTTGTAATTTTTTGCAGCTTTGAATAAAGATGAATTATTTTAAATCCTATTATAGATTTATTATTATTTTTATGTCAAAATAATAAGAACATAAAATAATAAAATGCCACACTAAAATCTAAATTTATTTGTATACTTCAATTTTATTAAAGTTAAAATAACGCCAACTTTTGCTTGAAAAAATTCATCTTTAAAAATCAAATTCTAGAAAAGAATTAATTCATAGATTGAGCTAAAATTTTGTGTCAATACAAAATAATCAAAGGTTGCAATAACAGTAAAAATTTGAACAGAAAAAAAAACAAGATCTTTTTGAAGTTCATTCTTCAGATAACATAATCTCATAATCATTTCTATTAATTCAGTGAAAGTACTCTTAAAACAATAAGATTCAACTTTTTGAGGGATCAAGTTATATCTTGAAAATTCACATTGAAATATAAAACTTAGACATGTTAAATGCAATTAAACAATAATTTTTAGAACTTTTCCTGAACCATTCAAGCCTAAAAGTCAATAATAAGTATGGCTTCTTAATCTATAAATTATTCCCAAAGTATGTAGCAAAATCTTTGAAACAGCTTCAAGGATCGCATCAAAATTTCCTAAACAAAAAACACAAAAGAGGCAAAATGACGCAAAAGTTGAATACATAAAGCAGAATGTTCGTGAAAAGGGGCGGCGAGTCGGCGCGGGGGGAGTGTCGCGCCGCCTCCGCCCCGCCCCCGACCTGAAGGCCTCCAGCTGACGCAAAAGAAAAAAAAACGGAGAAGACAATTAGCAGAAGAAAAGCAGCTTTTGCGTCACTCTTGCGTCACCGAATTTGCCAGCTTTGGCCGACGGAAAAAATAAAAGAAAATAACAGGAAAAATCAAAGCGGCAGGAAAATGGAACAAAATATGGATCGAAAACCTGAAAGATTGGAATAAAGAGAGAAATTTACCTCGTCGGAGAGGTCGTGCGCGGCGGTTGTGTTTTGCAGCAGGAGATCCTCTGGAGGCTGCGGCGGCGGTGGCGGCTGAGCCGGGGGCGGGGCCTCGGCGGGGGCCTCTCCGCCCCCCTCCCCCGGCGACAACTCTGTCAGCAGGTAAGTGGCCACCGACGCCTGTGGCCACTCAAACTCGTCCTCGATCATCCGGCTGCAATATTTAAAAATTATTTTCATTTTTTAAAATCAAAATCAAATTTTGATTTCTGGCAGCGAAAGAAGGAAATAAAATTAGTTTCATAAAAGCTAGATTGGCTAGATTTGGGGAGCTTCCAGCGGCGGCCGTCTGGTGGCGCCACCGGCCAGTGCCGCTCTTTAAAGGGCACCTGTTAAATTACCTTGAATGACACCTGCTCGACTTTGCACAAAAATCAAAACAAATTCTGTATAAACAGCAAAACAGAGAATTAAATTGACTGGTCTTGCCGTGAAATGTAAATGAACGCTATAAAAAAAGCTACGAACCCTCCAGTTGCTGATTTATACAAAATTTGCACGAATTGACAATGCCCTCCAGTTTAAAATCAAATTGAAATGTAATAAATTGCAAATGTTTATTGAAATAAAAGCGATGGTTGAAAAGAAGATGGATCTTGTACCAAAATCAAATTGTGGGAGGCAAGATTTTGATTATATTGTGGGAGACGGACAACTGATAGATTAGCAATGTTTTAGTTACATAAATTTTTATTCAAATACATTTTCTTTGTATATTATTTGTTTATTATTTTATTAGGAGCATTTGATTTCAAATTTTACTGTTGCTTGATATTTGCATGCAACATTAGTTTTCATTGCGTTTTTTTGTTTACAATTTCAATTAATGTTTAAATTTAAGTTGAAAATTATAAATAATTAAATTTTCAAGTTTTGTTTATATTTTATTTAATGGTGGTAAGTGGAACGAAGACTTGCCTGGGTGGTCTGGCGAGGGTGGCGAGTTCGGAGAGGAGCGAGTGGTAGCGGTTGTGGACGTCCTCGTCGTTCAGCAGCAGGTTCTTGAGGGTGGAGCGGGGCGCGGGGCCGGTGGGGAGGCCCCACAGGGCCCGCGCCAGGCCCCCGAGGCCCAGCTGCACGCCCGAGCGGGCGAGTGGGGGCGGCCAGGGGGGCGGCACCGCCTCCGGCCGCAGCAGACTCAGCAGCAGCGCCAATGTTAGCAGCTCGCTGTTGCTCTGCTTCTTGGCCGCGATCATCGCTCAAATAATTATTCCCACCTGCGAATCACCATTTCAATTAGAGATAAAATCAACAAATTAACAATCGACCACTCGATAACACAATCGGACCCCGGGTTCAACAAACGCCGCAATCTACCTCCCGAGACCCTAGTGATAACAATCTAAAAGTTACTGAGTTACTCAGAGTCCGAAAGGGTCCGAGTGGTGCGAAATGGACTTACGCAAGATTGGAAATTGCTGGCTCTGTTGTTTGAGGAAAGTCTTGTGAATTGAAGTTGTGTCTTTGAATAGGCCGTTTGTGGCCGGAGTGAATTCGCAGTGGGGTGTCGGGAAAAGAGACGCAAATTGGTGTGGCAACCGAGCGGGGTCGTCGTCCGACCGTGCGTCCCAACTACGCACTTCCGCCCTGTCCGAACGCCGTCCGTCCGGGCGTTCAATCGAACGATTTGTGTTGACTCAGGTCGCCAGCTGACTCGTTTCGCGTCGTGCTCGCCGTGCGGTGTGCACAAAGGAGACGCATGTTTGGCAGATACTCAACGCTCGGCATGTCTCGCTAGGCGTTCCCAACTGTCCAAAGTCCAAATAAACAGAGAAGATCGCACTACTGTTCTGACGCAGAGCTGAACTCGGCCAGCAACTCTGTCGCCGAACGTAACGCCATTTGCGTCATTGCTCCCACTCGCACACCCCTACGTTCGCCACCGGTTTTCTACTCTGTTCACTACGTTCACTACCTAGGGTTGGAATCGAATTCTTTCCTGGCAGATCCTAGGGTCCGGTGTGTCCTCGGCGTCCTTTTGATGCGTGGGTCAGACGACGACCCACTTTTAAAAACTCTTTTTTGATTCTGTTCTCCTTTAGATGTCTTTCACTCGCAATAACTTTCCCACTTAAACTTTTGTGAATCGATCACTGCATATCGGTTTTTCTGTCATAACCGGTTTAACTTGAAACACGACTTTGAACTTAAAACTGACAAATTTTATTTTATTTTGCTTTAACGAGTCCACGACAATCAATTCGGGTAATTTTAAGCTAATTGTGAAAATCGCGCTTTCCTTGCGTCACATTTTGCACACCTTGTCAAAAAACCGGTTAGTATCGAAACGGTGTTGCCCGCGGTTGGGCCAAGGGCGCCGGGCGGGTTGCGTCAGCCCGCGAAAGAAATTTAGTGCGAGATAAATAAGCGCAAGTATTGAGTCAGCACGCTCGGATCGCGCAACGACCCGTTCTAGCCAATTCGAGCGAGTACAAACTTGTTTCTCGGTTGCTCTGCCCTTGCTCAGGAAAAGTATTCAATTCAATTACCTGCTCCTCGGCGGCGTCGTCGTCGAACATTTTCGGCGCCCGCGGTTGGCTCGCTTGGCCGGCGACTCGATCTTACAGCGATCGCGCGCGACCGGCCAACCTCATTTGCATGCCTAGGGAAACTCGCTGCCCCTCATTGTCTTGCATGGGAAATTCATTTACATTGAATTGATCCAACCCAATTTACTGTCGCCTGCTACATTTTTTTTCTTTTGCTCTTTCCATCGCAGCGCCTATTTACGTGCGCGCACTTCACCATTTAATACATTTAGAAAATTCCCGCGTTATAAATATTTATTATTATTCACATTTCCCATGCTTGGCAAACTTTGTGCCTGATTTTGTGGTAAAAGCTAGATTGCTATTTTCTGCTAAAATGGTTTGTTTTTTTCCGTTTTTTTCTTAATAATCCAGTGGCTCCACTACAACTACACTATTGCGAGGGTCATACTTTTTCCGAAAAATCTTCACAATTTGAATAATTATTTAAGATTATAAATAAATGCTTCATATTGATAATATACATAAATTACATTATTATTTGAACTTTGAAAGTGATAAAAAATCTTTTTTATTCTTTTTTTTTTTTACTTTTTTTCCCTCTAAGTTTTAACAGATGTAGCAAAAGTCTTGTTAATTGTTTTGTTAATAATTGAGTTTCATAATATATTATTCTATTTTACAAAAATGTTATTAATCTATTATATAATGCAACAATTGTATTTTTAGTGAGCACACAAACAGGAGTACTTAAATTGTCCTAAGTTTTCTGTGACTTCTATGATATTTTCAAATTTTTAATCGAAGTAAAAGAAAAAATAAAACAACAGGATTGGTCTCGTTTTGGCTTGAAAGTAAAAATTTAATTCTTTTAAAAAGGTTCCAGCTCCTCGAGGGTCTCTTCAATCGCACTTCAATTGAAAAATTGAAGTTTTCGTATCTTTGTATCTACTGTGAATTTATTTCCTTTCATTTTGTCGAAAATGCATTCAATTAATAATTTTTTTTCTACATTCAATCCATTACAAAAAAAAATCTTCAATAAAGCCAAGTGTTTCTCGCATAGCTTCAGTACATCCATGTAAAAATCTCTTAAAAAAAATCATTTACTCTTAAAAAACAAATGAAATATCTTTTTTTGTCGATATGCCATGCACGATTTTCACAACCAAATCTGTAGCATATATTAGTTCCGAGCGACAACAGTGCTTCGATGAAAGTGATTCATTGCTGTGTTTGCTATGCGGTGAAAAATGCACCCAGTACCACCTGGCCGAGTGCAAAAATTGCATCCTTAGTATTAATGACTATTCAAAAATAAAGTGAAGGATCACTTTGATTTTATTTTATTTTTTTTCGCGCACCACATTGAAAATTGCTATGTAAAATTATCTAAGTTAAGTTGAAGTTGAACTCAAATGAGTTTCAAATAAAAGAATATATATCTTTTTCTTTCTTTCAATAATTCATGGTAAAAATGATTGCGAATGACAATGTGGATATATGAACTGCATGAGAAATATTGTTAACTTTTTAACAATTGTATGAAATAGAACAAAAATAACAAAAAGTAAATCATTAATGATCACCACTGATATTTATTGCAATAAAAGAAATGCTATTTTATTTTATATTATTTCAACAGGAAATGGGACACGGAATTTCCAGGCCAGAGTTCCACCTGAAAAAATTCTTTCTTATGGAGTTATGGGAGTTATAAATTGCTTGAAATTGATTAAACCCCGAATTTCATTTCAGCAAGACGAACGGGGTCTTGCCGCCTTATTCTTTGGTTCAGACAGTGGTGGCAGCACCGGTCCCATCGACGCACGCCACCCAAGTGAGGTGTGAGAAGCGGAGAAGCCGCCATTTCGCTGCTTCTCAATTTCTCCGCTCGTCTTGCTACGCTAGAAAGACTGCGCGGCGCTGCAGTCGCGAGTGCGTCTCGGTGACGACGACGGTGCTCCTCTGCGGACTCTCCTGCCACAATCAAATTTTGTAAAATTATTTTATTTTCTGATCTGATTCGAGTCGAAAGCCAAAGCCTAGCGTATTTTCTCGGTTTCGAATACGCCATCGTTCGGTTTCGGGCCGAAAACGGGCGTCGAGTGGCGCGGCGCCGATCGAATCCGATGGCGCCGGCGATCACCGCCGCCAGCGACTCCTCGCACTCTCTCAAGCTGGACGACGGCCAGACGCACGAGGCGGCCGCCCCCGGGGCCCCCGCCGAGGCCCACGCGCCCCAGCCCAAGATGCGGCCCCCCCACGACTCCGAGCCTGAGCCGCTCATTTCCGAGGACGACCTTCTGCAGGTCCGTGCCGAATCTTCCTCCTCCAAACGACGAATCCGCCCCCACGATCCTCAAAGGCCCCGTCGGGTCCACTGAGGGCGTTTGCTGAAACCTCTGCTTTCAAATCCTCTCCCAGTTGTGGCTGATTTGAAATTCTGGCCACAAAAATTATGTATTACCAAAACGATCATTTTTGGGTTGCGAGTTTCGCTGAAGGGAAACAGATTTTGTTTATTTATTGGATTACAGATTTGTGACCTTTTGTTTGTTTGTTTTGGAGCAGCAAGTGCTGAAGACGATGGAGGAGAACAAGGGCGAGGTGTTGGGCCAGTTGCTGAACCTGGAGCTGCTGGAGGGTGTCGGCGGTGGTAGCGGTGAGGCCGAGGGGCGGCTGGCGGAGGTGGCTGCGCGCCAGCACCACCTCCAGCGCCGCCTGGACCGCCTTCGCCGCCTCCTGCGCAAGAAGCAGGCGAGGAACCTTGGCTTCCACGCCTCCCTCCAGATCTACGGTAGGTTTTTCACATCTGACCTGCCTGCCAATCAAATATAATATGGCGATTTTGCAGAAATGGTGACCACGACCAAGGCCCTTCTGAAGGCGCGTGGCCTGCGGCTGCACGCGGCCGCCGCCTCAGATGACCTCCTTGACCCTGACCACGTCAACGGGTGAGGCCCCATCCCTGTGACTTGAGCTGGCTTATTAAATTTGCCTAAATTGTGTTTCATCACAAATGTTCCAATTTGACGCTCTTTTAAATCATTTCTCGTCAAAGTAATATTCTCATGCTGAGCTTATAAAATTTAATTGTACTAATTTCACATTAATCATTTTGGCATTTGTGTATTCTTTTTTGATGAATTTGGTCCCTACTCAGCCAGTTTAAACTCAACTTGCTTTTTATTGGAGGAGAATTGACTAAATTTTGTTGCAGGATGTCTCCGCGAGCGTTGGCCTCGTTGGTGAAGCAGCTGTCGAGCGGTGGGGGCGGCGGGGGCGGACTGACGGCCACACTGGGTGGCGCCCTGAGCCACGAGCAGGCGGCCGCGCTGGCCGGTGGCAGTGGTCAATTGGGCCAGCGGCTGCAACACGTTGAGGCTGCCTTTGACTCGGACGTGACCGCCTCCAGCAGCGGCGGCGACTCGGCCGATGAGGCCGCCTCGTTCCCCTCACACAACCAGGCCAAGGCCCCAATGTGAGCTATGATCAATCTCTGCTTTTCGTCCTTTCTTTTTACTCAATCACCAGCAAATTAAAAAAACTGCAATTTGTGTTGTGCTTACTTGAAATGAAACAACTGATTCTGTCTTAAAAAGTTGGAACTATTGTGGAACAATAATTTCAGCGTGGAGCCTTTGTGCTTCACCACTTTGCTTTTGGACACTGAATTTTGTTCACACGTAAAAAAAAGAAAGAAAAAAATAGTAAATCCAATTTGATTAAGTTTGTAACTGAAATGTTGTTTGGTTTGATAAGTCACATTTATTTTTCCATGTTGCTTTTAATTCTTAAACAAGGATACCTGTTTAATGGTTTTTTTATGAAATAAATTCTTAACCATTATTCAACTTTAATTGTACCACATTGTGATAAAACAGTGGTTGCAGTTTCTTTGTTTTTTCCCATAATTTTTTTCATTTTGGGAAATTTAAGCTACCTAGAAAACAATAGAGCAAAAGTTAGAAGCTATTTTGTCCCTCGGTCCAAAGCTAACTGTTCTTTGGCACAATGACATTTTTTGTATGTTAAAAATTTTATGCAGCAATAGCAGAACTCTGTTAAAACAGGATCATTTTTAAATTACTGCCCATTGAAATCTTTTTTGATCTACATTGCATTTTTTTTACTGTACATTGAATTCCAATCTTATTTTAAAATTGGAAGATGTCAAACTGGATAAATTTGATTTGGCCAAAATTGAAACCAAATCAATTCTTACCATAAAAATGAGGCTGATCCAGAAGCCTCCATTTACACTGGTGGGTTTCTGGATCTCCCCCAGTGACAGACTAAACTATAATCTCAAAACATTTGCAAGCTCTTACTAAACTTGCTTGTTTTCAGTCAAAAGAGGGCCGCGTGGCGGTTCGCGCGAGAACGAGCGTCGGCTGCGAGCAGGTGGGCGTGGCTGACGGCCAACATCGCTGAACTCGAGTACCGCATCCGGCAACTGGGCGACTATCAGCGGCAGGTGCGCGGCAACAAGGGTGCTGTCGCCCTCCTGCCCCGTGTGGGCCCCTCTGAGGAGCCCCCCGCCGCCAGCAGGGTCGCCCCCCTCGACCTCGCCACCTTCCGCAAGAGGAAACTCTTCGTGCCCGGCATGCTCACCCCCAAGGCGGCCAAAAGGTTTCTTTTTCCTTTCGTCGCCTTTCTTTAAGCAAACGGCCTGATCAAATTTTCTCATTTCATTTTCATTTAATTGAAAATTGGTATTGAATTTGAGAAATTACTTGCAATAACAAAAAATTTGAAATTTGCTATGTGCAGTTTAAAAATATACTAACGATACCAATTTACTAGAAATTTACCAGACCTGCCCAATTTGCACAATTCATGATTATAAAGAACATTACCTCATCATTTGGATTTTGATGATATTTTGTCACTTAATGACCTAAAATTCTTCCTCACTCCAAATTGCTTTTGAAATGAATTGTGGTTTTTTTTCATACAAATTGATTACAAATTGATTAATGTTTTTTATTTTTCTTAATTAGGATATACATTTCCTATTGAATGAAAAGCAATTGTTGGAGAGAAAACTTCAAGTAATTTTGTTTTTAATTTTATGAAATTTTCTGAGTTTCCAAATGGCATCGTCATTTAATCAAGTGGAAAATGTATCGTTTAAGAAAAAATATGATCAAGCTTGTAATGGACCTTGGCCTGGGCCTGAGCAAGGACTGGTTCAGGGTTTTGTGAACTTCTATTAACCAAGTTTTGTTTTTCAGGGTATGTCCAAGCGCAACGCAGCCGCCTTGTTGCCGCGACTCTTGTTCGATGCCGTGCGTGCTGTGCTTCCCGAAGAAGGGGGCGGCCGTGGCGGGGGTGACAGAGGTGGGTGGCCGCGAGTCTGTGCGCGAGCGGGCGGCCAGACTAGACCCTGCCGTACACCCTGTGCTATCTGCCAACGCGGACGTCGGCCGCTCCCTGCACATGGCCGCCCTCCTGCGGCAGCCCGGCTGGCAGCAGGCCCAGCTTCGCACCCGCGGCGGCCTCTCCGCCGCCGCCGTCAAGAAGGCCACCCAAGCGGCGGCCTCCGCGGCCGCCCTCACAGTCCCCGCCGGCCCCAAGCGCAAGTACAGCAAAAACAGTTCCCACGCCAGCGCCATCTCGGCCAGTGAGTCTCAAAATTTACTAAATCACTCAAAATTTCATTGTGTTCCTTTGTTCCATAAATAATTTTACCTCTGCCAAGTATTTCAAATAACATGACCATGTGAGACGCGGCTAAATATTCCAAGATTGGCTAGATTTAACTACCTTTTGTTATTTATGCTTGTCGACCGAAAGCCACCACCCTAGGTCCGAGACCTACCAAGTCGCACACTAGTCTGCAGCCACTGGCCGCTAAAGATCACCTGCTTGCATTCACACATCACACACATGAACTGAAGACATATGCCAAAAAAATTAATTGCGTTTCCTTTTTGCCACCTCCTATTTTGGAATTTGTTTGGAATTAGCTCATCGGCCTTGGAATAGTTACATTTCGGATTATTTCGGAACAATTCATCGATAACGAAATCACATGCTTGGAAAAATTTCTACGTAATTTCATAGACTTTGAATAGTTGAAATTTAATAAGTCAAAAATTTTACTACTTTTTAACACCAAATTTTAACTTGAAAATAGACAGCTTAATTTACAAAACAAGGGGTTTTAAAAATGCTTATCTTTCCCAAGCCTTTGTTAAAATCTTTCTGATCTACTTTGCGTTGCTGATCCTTCTCACACTAGCAGTTAATTATTTTAATGTCACAATGTCATGATATTTTGGATAAGACTCGTAATTTGGTAAAATTATGTATCTTGGTAAATTTTCCATAACCTTTAAGTATCTAATTTAATGCTGATAAGGTTTTGCTACTTTGGGACTTTGTTGTAGCCGTTTGATCCATCTTATGTGATTTGAATTTAAGTCGCCTTGGTAGCCTAGAATATGCTATGGAAATTAGTATGTGGATTGGACCACAGATTTAATGTTAATTTCTGTGCCGACAACAACGGTTTGTCCAATCTACACTCTCAATATCCATTGAATGTGCAAATCTTCTGACAAAATGGAAATGTCATTTTTCCCCCCTTTTGAAATAATACAACAATGGAAACAAGAATGAAATTTTAATTCATTGCGAGGAGTTTCAACGTTGTCAAGACATTTGTTGACTTAGACCTGGGTTAACTTAGCCCACCAGCAAAATTGAATGGTGGGTTAAATAAGCCCAGGCCAGGTTAAATTAGCCTGGGCCAAGTTAGCCATTTGGATCGCCCTCATTGTGATTTGAATTTAAAATCGGCTTTTCCTCGATGGGTTTTTGTGAGTTGTTTATTGTTTGAGAAAAACAATGAGGGCGATCCAAAAGCCTAACCTGGCCCGGGCTAACTTGACTTAGCCCCGGGTTAACTTGGCCCACTAGCAAAATTGAATGGTGGGTTAAATTAGCCCAGGCCAGGTTAATTTAGCCTGGGCCAAGTTAGCCTTTTGGATCGCCCTCAATATCCTGCTCTACATGTTTCGGCTGATTGCGAGTCTTCTCTCGACCACCGCCGGGAAAGCTCATGAATTATGGCTGCAGCCCGCAGCCGTAACATGTAGAGCACGATAATGAGGGCGATCCAAAAGGCTAACTTGGCCCAGGCTAAATTAGCCTGGCCCGGGCTACTTTAACCCGCCATTGAATTTTGCTGGAGGGCTAAGTTAGCCCGGGGCTAAGTTAACTTAACCTGGGCCAGGTTAGGCTTTTGGATCGCCCTCATTGTGTTTCTGAAGCAACAAAAAACTCACAAAAACCCATCAATGGAAAGCCTAATTTAAATTCAAATCACCAGGAATCAACCCTCGATGGTGAAATTCTACCACAAAATTCTACAAAAATTGTGCAAAATGTTCCAGAGTTGCGGAAAAAGGCAAAGGCGCGCAAAAAGCTGAAGCAGCAGCGGATGGCGGCGGCGGCCGCGGACAACAAGAAGCGCGTCAAGAAGGTGTCGTGCAGCGCGGCGGGGGCGGAAGAGGCCCCCGGGGGCGGAGGAGGCCTGCTGCACGAGCTGCGCCAGGTGCGCAGAAAGCGTGAGAGTTCTTACGACATTGACAACATAGTCATTCCGTACTCGATGGCCGCCCTCACGCGCGTCGAGAAGCTCGAGTACAAGGAAATCCTCACGCCCAAGTGAGTCTTCAAATTTAAGCAAAAAAATTTTCAATTTAATAAAAATAATTTTTGCCAAGGTGGCGCGTGGCTCAAATTTTGTCGGCAGTCTGCAAGGGCAAAGCGCGGCCCTCGACGGACGAGAGCGAGGTGAGTGGCCTTGTTGACCTTTCGCTGACCTCAGCTAACCTTTGATTGCCCGCAGGTGGAGGACATTAGTGACGAGGCGGTCGGGTCGCGCCACGAGCCACTCGAGCTCGAGGAGCGCCGCAAGTTCCGGTGTGTGCCGCAGCGTGGCGCTGTCCGCGGCCGCCGCACAGACAGCCGTGCCGAGAGTTCCGGCGCAAACACTCCTGGTACGAAATCTACTCCAGCATTATGTCAATTCCAAAAGCACCATCTTTCCTCTTTTCTTGGAAGATCTCTTCTAGTTTAAATTATTAAAATCAAAACTTCCTTTCCTGGTTTAAAAATTAAATTATGTCCCAGCTTCGCCTGTCTTGAATGTGAGCATTTTTAGTCCCACAGAGTGCTATTTTGGGAACTCTTTAAAATGGAAGTGTCACAATGAACAATTTTTTTTTATCTTGCTAATGATGTGGAAATTGCAAAACTGGCATCTATAAATTACAAATTTCATTAATTTAAAACTTTTACAGCAAGTGATTAAACTTCCTTTTGTCTCAAGTTCCGCATTAATGATTTGATGACATTTTCTTAAAACAGATTTCAGTAATGTGTCTTAAATGTTAAGTGAGACTTCGTTCAGCCACGTTTTTAACAGTTCTGATTTTGATAGGAAACTTTCATTTTTGATAACTTCGTAATAATCTGGGCTTTTTTCAACGAGTTCTGCTATTTTTTATAATGTTAATTTGTAGCTGCGGGAAAACTAGTGATTAAGTTTTGGAGAAAAATTAAACTATTACGTCTTCAGCTGTCTGATTAAATAGGCCAATCAAAATCTGATCGGTTTGTAATTCAAGGGTTGTTTGTGTTTGCAGACCCGATGTCCCCGAGTGGGGTGCCTGAGGGCGTGGACTCTCCGCTGACCTCGCCCCGCGCCACCCCTCTGCCCCTGGAGGAACTGGGACGCAGCAAGGGCCGGCGCAGGACCGCCTCCCTCCTCCTCCTCCCGGAGGCGCCACCCCTGCCCTTCCTCGAAGTGAGTGCTAATTTTTCTTTCCACACTTATTCTTTTGGCCTCAAACGGAATTTGCCAAAGTAATCATTTGGCGCAGTTCCTTTGTTATAAAATTGCATTTTTATAATCAAAAAATGGTGCTTTTATGTTTCCCCTTTTTTATCTCCAGCTCGACAAGTAGGTTTCATTTGAAAACTCTTGCGTTCAAAATACGAGTTTTAGCAAATTGCTAACTGGAGCTGATTGCCAATTCCTTTGAAATGAGATTTTTCCTCTTATAACCTTTTTTGATCTGTTCTAAGTGAAGAAACTAAAATTACTTTTTGATAGTGCATGTAAAAATTATTACCTCAATTTTTAAACTACTTATTGGTAAATCCCAAGGAGGTGTGCCTTAATTGTGATAATTTAAGAAAGAATCGGATTTGAGTATCTGTATTTAAATTTGGAGTCACATTTTCTATAACGTTATAAAATCCACATTTTACCGTTTGACCTTCAATCGAGAGGGTAAATTGACCTGTTGAAATAAAATTCAGACATTTTTGCCTGAAATGAGGACCTGAATTATGTTTAATTTTTCAAAATTTTAACGTGGATTAATAAAATTTACCAAGTCTTTGCACATCTGATTGAAATCTGATAAAAAAAAAAAATAGAGTGAAATTTGGTTTTGTTGTTTGTTTTGCAGGAAGTGGCGCGTCCCTTTGAGCCGCGCGTGTTTCCCTTGTCGGAGGAGCAGTGCCAGAAAATCCTGAGCGAGGAGGCCGACGAGGTGGTGACCCTGCCGCCTCCAAGCACTGCCCCCGCCCCCCAGGTGAGCCCCTCTACAAATCCTTGTCTATTTTTAGCTTGCGGCGTCGTGTGCGGCGCGTCGCCTGAAAAATAAATGCGCCTTTGACACTTTTACGGCTAAACAAATATTTAAAAGCGTGCAATTATATTCTTTCTTTTGACGGCCGCTCCTGAACTTTGTCTGATTTTCAGCGAAACGCACTTTATTATGCTCGGATAAATCAAATTAATTGCTCGAGTTCGCTGTTGATGGAAAACCAAGCATTCAAAGTTTTCAGTCAACCAGAAACTTCTTCGTTTTTTAGTGCATTCCTGAGCACTGCGGCATTTATATTTACTCACTTTTTCCATCTGGCTGCAGCCTAATGTGAAACACATTGAAATGACAAATAGCATCTTTCAATTATAAATTCAGTAACCAATTGCTTCTAGTTTTATACTATCAAAGTATTCTATTAAAATGGGACGTGATGGTTTCAGAAATGCTGACGGCGTCTTTTTGTGTTTTCCTTTTTGACGAAAAGATTTATTCATTTCTCAGGCTTTTGATTCAAGGCAAAAAGTTGGTTCAATATTTAAATAACAGGATCTTATATTTTTTAAGCCGTGAAATGTAACTCTAAAAAATCTCAGGAGTATTATGAGAGTAGAGTGAAGACGCGTAACTGAAGAAATCTTAGGTCTTTTGATAATTTTCACTCAAGGCAGCAAAGTTCTGCCTTTCAATATCTTTAGCACTTAATTAGTATCCTCTTTGGTAAGAAAACTTAGCGAACAAAAAAGTAAATTTTAATTTCAATTCGAAATCAAACTGTGTTTTGTTTTTGCTTATTTTTTTTGGCTTAATTGATGTTTGTGTTGCAGTTGGTGGCAGAGGAGGCGGTGCCGGAGGCGGCGGGGGCGGCCGTGGGGCCGGCGTCTCCGTGCAGCAGCGACTCGACTGAATCGGCGCTGCCCGAGGACGACCCCGAGTGGACGCTTCCAGACGACGACGACAGATCTCAGTGAAGACGTCCCCACTAAACTTTACAGTTACGAGTTTGTAGTTCTACAATTAAGTTTAAAAAGAATGAAAGAAAGAGTCAAACAAATAAACGTGGAATATAATTTGAAAATGCGTGTTGGTTTCATTTTTTTGCTGCTAATGGACTCGGCGGCGGCGGCGCAAGATAAAATTTACGAGCGTCAAAATGTTAACGACTTGTTGGGGGGGGGGGGGGGAGGGGAGGTCGGAGAGGAATTTGGAATCGGACCGAAATAACAAGTTGTCATAATTCACTCGCCCAACTTCAATTTAGGCCCCAGCGCGGTGACAACACTTTTCATAATCGCTGGCGTGCCGAGGAAAGCTTCGAGCGAGGTGCTGGTCAAAGACCGCAAGCGTTAATTAATCTAGAGCGCCCTCCCTCGCCCATCAAATCTTCAATGTGTCTCTTTCAATTTGTTCGGGCTGATTTCTTTAAAAAAAACCTTGTCCGTATTACAATTGTGTGGCAAAGCCAATCAATTGGGTTTGGAATGAAAAATGAGGAAGCTGCAAGAAATTTGTGGGAAAGAAAAGGTCTTGGTGGCGCGACTGGCGTGTTAAAAGTCATAACTGCAGACGAGCAGCTAAAGTGGAGGAGATTAAAAATTATTTTCATGTGTATGAGAGAGAGCGAGGGGGGCGCACACAAAAGAGGAATTAACGGGGGGTTCGTGCGCGGGCACTCGGCGCGGCGCTGATTCGGACGCGCGGGCCGCACCTGGACGTGACGGATAATCCTGCGGAAGGGATTAAAATTAAACGGGCCCTTCGCATCGAGAAGGAGAGACGACGAGTCTGTGCCTGTGGCTGCGTTGGCAAGTCGCGCCGCCGAAGGCTGGGGAGGGGCGCGACCGCAGCGCTGCCAGCGGGGCAACCAGAAAATGACAACGGAAACCGGTTAACCGGCAGCGCCGCGGGCCCCGCGAGGCCTCGAGAGGTCAGGGGTCGAGGTCAGCCTCAGGTCTACGATCGCCCTCGCCTTGGGTGCACGGGGGGGTCCGCTCGGCCGGGGAGGGTGCGGAGGGAAGGAACGGTGAGCGGGGGAAAACCGGTTGTGGGCTGGCGGTGTTGTTTTTGATTTTCACTGTTTTTTGCTGTTTCAGTCTTCAGTCGAGCGAGTGAGTGAAGCGAGTCGTGTCCTCGAAGTCTGTTTGGTTGACAGTCGGTGGCTGCGATGTGAGAGTGGCGATGGCGTTTGCGTTCGCAATGCTGTTGGTGGCGGCGGGGGCTGCGTCGGCCGCCCCCGGCTGTCCCGCCGAGTGCTCGTGCGTGGCCAGCGTGGTGGACTGCGCGAGACGAGGCCTCCTGCAGGTGCCCCCCGACCTGCCCTCGGACGCCCACCGAATGTGAGTATAAAATACCTTGGCCAGCCCACCTGCCCTGCCCCCGCCACCAAACGCGATCAGGTCGAAGGTCGACCCACGTCCGAAAAAAAGCACGGATACAGAGCCGAAATTATTTCCTTGCATCACATTTATTTCGAGTTTGAATTATTTTTAATAATGATAAATAATTTTGGATGCTGGTATGGGGTCGTGAGCGTGTTCTCCGGTGTTTTTTTGGTTATAATTCTAAGCTATTAATTTTTCATATTTGATCGACAGTTGCAGTTTTTTTGAGAGGGTGCGAGGTGAAAAACAATCAAATTGTGGCGGAGGGACTGACGGGGGCGGCGCCGCCGCCGCGACGATCGATTCCGAGACGCACGCAAATTAAATTTTTCTCGTCTGGTTTGTGAGTGGGTCTGGCAGGCGAGGGGGCGAAAAGTTGCTCTGCATAAAAAAGGAGATGGGCCCACGGCCAACGAAGAAAGAATGAAAGTCTCGAGAGGACGCTTCCTGCTCATCGGCCTTCTAATTGATTGTTGAGAGCGCAACAATGCGCCAACAATCGACGCGACGGGGGTCGCGCCCCTGCAAATTGAACCATCCGGCCGTCACCCCCCCCCCCCCCCATGGACGCCGTGACAAAAAGGAAAAAGCAAACAATGGAAAATGACCTGTTGGTCGCGCGCCACACCAGACGAAGCTTTTCGATTTTGTTCAATTTCAAAGTCTCTTAATTCTTAGTAACCCCAAACAACGGAGCGTGAAAAATTTGTTTTGCTCTGATCTGTCAACACGAGTCAACAACAATTAATGTTATGATCGCCACATTTGACTTCAAAATATAGTGGGCTGAGGACAAAGCAATTTATCGGATTAATACTACTGCAGGAAAAACGTCAAAGATTAACTTTGAATTAAACCTTTTATAAATCTGTGAGGAATTTTGAAACAAAACAATTTGATCAGAAGCCTTTAAGCGGAAGGAGCTTTCAAGAAAAGCACAGCCACTCCAAGTTTTGAAAACTCAGGCAATGGAATTTCTCATGCAAAAATTTAATATTAGATATAAGCATTTTTTGTTCAGTGGCAAGACGATTGGATTGATTTTAGCAGTTACAAAAACACTCTTTATTTTAATGTATAATGAGGACGATCCAAAAGGCTAACTTGGCCCAGGCTAAATTAACCTTGCCTGGGCTAATTGAACCCGCCATTCAATTTTGCTGGTGGGCTAAATTAGCCCGGGGCCAAGTTAAGTTAGCCTGGACCAGGTTAGGCTTGTGGATCGCCCTCAATGTTGTTAATTTACGAATGACATTTTTTTTTTAAATAAATTAATAATATTTATAAAACTTATTATTTGAATATTGAATCACTTGAAATAAATATTTCGTCCTGAGCTGAAATTGATTGGATTTGAGCGCAAATTGTGTGTCCGGTTGCGTCAATTAAGGCGGCCCCTGCCCGGCTCCAAGGGGCCCCTTTCGTTGATCACGCATTGAGAAATTCTCTCGCTCCGACGCGCCAGATCGATTGTTTGATTCCAAAGTTAATTATTGGCCGAGCTGCAACTCGACGTTGGTCCGTTCGCCGCGAGAATCGATTCTGCTTTTTGGGCCTTGTAAAAAAGGGCCCATGCATTCACGTCACCAGCAGCGTTTTCCACATTTTTCCCCTTCGGTTATAATAAAAATAGTCGCGCGTTACCAGAAACTCTGATATAGTCTATCATAAAAAAATTTTCGGCTTTCATTTGCTATCCAGAACGCAGCAAGTTCTTTTGACTGAACGAAAATTTATTCGGCCAAGCTTTTTTTTTGCCGCAGTTATTTTAACTGCTCATTTTTTAACCTTTCAATCTTTTTGATGTATTAAAATAAATAATCTACATCGGCTTTCAAAAATATTTTGATCAGCTTGTTTGGGAGATTCTATTGTCTGGCGGGAATGGAGGGTCTGTTAGTTTTTAGACCCAATAAAATTGAAGGAGATTGGACTGAAGAAGAGGAAGAATTGAGGAATTGTTCCGATTGACCGAACCGTCTTTTTATTGAAATTCTTGCCGTTAATTTTGGGTTTTTGTGTTTTGAGGAAGGCAGAATTTGGCCGATTTTTCCACGCGACGTTGGTCGTGGGCGCGTCGTCGTCGCTCGGCATTCCTTCCGCACAGAAATTTCTCTTCGCTGCAACGTGGCCCTCGATCTCTCTCTCTTTTATTTTTTCTTTCTCCGGCGAGCGGCCGAGCAGCTTAGGGTGTCTCGAGAGTTGAAACGCGACACGCACTGCACGCCGTCTCGATCGAAAATCAAATCTCCATCAAAAAACGACCCGTCACTCCAAACACCCTAAATTTGAATTATTTCCCATTTCGTCTTTTACTTTTCAGTTTTCAATCTTATTCATCGCTGCGAGAAATATTGAACAGAAAATACGACTTCACCGTCAAGTAGAATCGATTTTAAATCAAGACAAAAAATGACCTGGGATATATTTTCAAAATATAGATTTTATTCTGGTATATTAATTCTGAATATTTATTTTCGGAAATGAAAAACGGCTTGAGATGAATTTCATTAGGGACAAGTGATAAATGCAGATGCAAATATAAATTCCAATAATTTTTCAATGATAAGCTCCTAGCGTTATTAGCATGAGATTAAAAAAATTTCATTTTTTTTCTTTAAAATTTTCAATTTTTGTTTCTCAAAACTTGAAAACCAGTTTTTGTATTTCTGTTTGCGATATAAACTTCTAAACAACATTTTTTTTTTTACAAATTTTCGACGCTCAACATTTCGAAATCGTAGGTCAACGTTCAAGATCAGCTTTTGGCATAACTTCAACATAAAATTTTTAAGACGAAAACCCTATACGATTTAATGGGAAGTGTAAGAAATAAATGTGGCTTGTCTGATTTTGGATTGATTTGGTAAATATCAATCAATAGTAAAATATTTGTCATTTGAATGTAATATATATCATGAAAATTATAAAAAAAGGCTTTTGATGCTGTTAATGGAAACATAAACTAGATAAGCTAAGCAGCGTTTTCATTATTGCATGAAGTTTCATTTAAATGAAAACAAAATACAACTGAATTTTTTTTTCGCCATTCCCGATTTTAAATAAGAAATGCGGCTGCATTTTCCCTGTACATTAAAAAATAATCGAAGAGGGAGTTCATTCGGAAAATTTTTAAATTTTACTTAAAGTCAAACTTAGGCTGATAATGACCTTGAAACGTATTTGTTCACGTTTTGCCACTTTTGTTGGACGTCGCTAAATTAGTTGTTAAGAAGTTTTCATCTCACGCGGAGAAAGGTTATAAGTTATAACTAATTTTTTGAGTAGTTGGTATATAAACGAATTAAAATCGGAAAAAACTTCGGATAATTTTTTTAACCTTATTTGTACAACATATGGGCAGGTGCAATTTATCATTGAAAAAATTATCTATACCGACATCATTTTTCAATCTGCAGTTTTCACGCGTCCCTGTATTAAATCAATTTCATGCGAAATTTGGCTTACACGTTGACAGTGTTCATAAAAAAAAAATTTTTGATTTATTTAAGTGCATGTCGAATTAGCCAATTGAAGGGTAAATTGAATTACGCGCAATTGAAAGCAATTGTGGCGCTGCATGTTGAATGGCTTTTGTTCGAGGCAAGCGAGGAAAAAAGTTTCGCGCGGCGGAAATTAGTTTTTCTGCTCGAGCGCAGGCGTTGATAAGGAAAATATTAATTGCTCTTTTCTTTTGCCCGCAGCGACTTGCAGGGGAACAACTTGACGGTGATTTTGGAGTCAGACTTTGAGGGCCTGGCCCACCTGCGGATTCTGTGAGTTTCCTTTTGATCTGATCCCTTATAAAGCTTGGAACTCCCCGGGCGGAAAGATAAAAAGTTTTGCTCCCCTGCCGCCGGCGCAATTATTTCCCGATTCGCTTCCACTCGGGTGCTCGCTCGCGTCAAAGGGAAAAATAAAATTCTTTTGGCTGCAGGAATCTGGTCAACAACCAAATCCACACGGTCGAGAAGGACGCCTTCCAGGACTTGGCCGCCCTCGAGAGACTGTGAGTGACACACCCTTAAATAAATCACCCCCTCTGCGAGCGCAGTGCGAAAACATAAAAACCTGTTCTTTTCCTCGCACATTTTCTTTTATCACGATCAATTCCAGCCGCGAGGTAGAAATCTTTGGAACCCCATCTAAGGGAAACCTCAATTATAACGGATTAATATATTTAATTTCAAATTTAATTTTCATGGGCACAACCACGAGTACCCTCAAGGCCTTTTGAGGAATTTGCTCTATATGGAACTGATTATATTCTAGTTTCATGCGGGTTAAAGGGCTTTCAAAAAAGAACTTTACCAAAATTGTCGATTTCCAGATTTTTCAGGACATTTCGAAAAACATTAATACTTTTAAGTCTGTTCTCTAATTGTGGTGAGCGATAACAATTTCAAGTACTACAAACTTAATTTTTCATGCCGAACAACCTTTTTCTGTTGACACTGCTGCCTGATGTAGGTCACAAGTCAAGGTCAACTTTAAGCTTGAAAAAATTCCAATTTTTTGGGGCTGATGGTCTCTTTGGAATTTTTGCAGGTTAGGAAATAATGAGGGCGATCCAAAAGCCTAACCTGGCCCAGGCTAACTTGACTTAGCCCTGGGCTAACTTAGTCCACCAGCAAAATTGAATGGCGGGTTAAATTAGCCAAGGCCAGGTCAAATTAGCCTGGGCCAAGTTGGCCTTTTGGATCGCCCTCATTATGTGGCTTGTGTTATTTTACATAATATGTGTGTTTTCCAGAACAGTTAAATTCTAGGGTTTCTTACTACAAACCATGCCTGAAGTAAAAAACATAACTAAAAACATATTTTACCGTAAAAAAGCTCTCAAATAAAAACCACTTCAGTTCAAATTGGTCAAAGTGCTTCTTACTTGCATTAAAATAAACCAAATTGGTTCATGTTTTCATTCACTTCACGTCAAATTAGTGGCATTTTAACCCGTTGTTTTTATAACTTCAGACGCGGTTTATCATTAAATCGCTTGAGTGACTTTGACCTACAGCTTTGGTGTCAGCAAGAAAGTTTTTCGGCATCAAAAATTGAGTCAAGAAAAGTAATTTTTTTCTCTAGCATTCGCTGTTGCAGAGTTATTGCACGTTTTAGTTATCTGTGTCAATATAAGTTCTCCAAAAAATCGGGGAGGTCAATAATTTTGATATCCAAAATTTTGGAACATGATTCCATTATATATAATTTATGAGAGCCTTTATAAAGGCTCTCAAACATATGTGAATCTCAAAATGAATAGTTTCCTAAAACAAAATCCTCCAAAGGCCCTGCTATTGCTCAACAAAATGCCGTACATTTAAGCAAGAAAATTCACATTTTGAATGTTGAATATTATAATAATCAACACTCAAAATATCCAGTGAGAAATTTCTGCGCATCATGGAATATTCCTTTTGAAAGCCGAGAAATTCTGTTGGGCCGCTCGCTCTAATGGAAAGCAGCAAATTGGCAGCTCGCGCGTCCAGATTAAATCTCGGCCGGTCGAGAAATTCTTGCTTTTTGGTATTCGTTGGGAGGTCGCGACCTGAAAGGTGATCGGGGGAGGCGCTCGCTCGCTCTGGGGGCTGCGTATAAACCTATATACCTGAGCTGCTTTTCGTCTTGTTAATTCGTCTCGTCGTTTTGGAGAAAAACAAATTGTGATTTTGCTTTCAGGCGGCTGAGCCACAACCGGCTGCGCCACCTGCCCGACCTGCTCTTCGCCAGCGCGCCCAACTTGCACCGCCTGTGAGTTTTAATTAATCCAACCTTTGCTCTCAAACGCCAGCTCATTTACCCTTCCAAACGTCATAATACTTAAACCAAAATATAATGAGGGCGATCCAAAAGGCTAACTTGGCCCAGGCCAAATTAACCTGGCCTGGGCTAATTAAACCCGCCATTCAATTTTGCTGGTGGGCTAACTTAGCCTCCCAGCAAAATTGAATGGCGGGTTAAATAAGCCCGGGCCAGGTTAATTTAGACCGGGCCAAGTTAGCCTTTTGGATCGCCCGGCCTCAATACTTTTTTTGTATCACTTTCATTTTATTCAATGTGCGCTCTTGCTATTGCATTATTTTGTCTACTCATTGAAAACTTGTGAAATACGTTCAAAACAATAATTTGGACAAATTTCACTCATAAGATACTTAAATTTATACTTGTTTTATTATTTCTTTTTTAATCGTTTTCTTTGCGCTTGATGACTCAAAATGTCTGACCACGGTCTTATTTTAACCGGCTTTTAATGAAATGAATTTGAGAACTTTCATTTCATTTTCTTATTTATTTAGCATTTTTCTCTCTTATTAGTTTTATAATTTTAGCAGCAATATTAATTGTACTAATTGTGAAGCAGAAATTCAATTTACTAATAAATAATTTTTCTTCATTGCTTGAAATTTCATTTTTCTCAAAAATTTCATTTCCAACGAGTTTGTCTCCAAAACTTTATTCAAACTTGCCACTTTCTATGATAAAATTTAATTAAATTTACACACTGAAAAAATCGCAAAGTGACTCACTCAGGTCAAATAAGCCCGCCCGAGATAGGGCATTTAACGTTGGCGGCCAAAGATCCGGCGTAATCGGGTCTATGATTGAGATTCTTTTTTATATCAGTGATAAATCTGCGGTAGCATGAATTTGTCAGTATTTTTCTCCGAAAGTGCAAAATCATAATTTTAATTGAAATGGGGCTATTGATTTCGCTTTTGGAATTCACCTTTGAAATTTGATTTTGGCAACTTCAGTGACCTGAGCCACAACCAGCTGGTCAGCGTGGGCCGCAAGTTGCTGCGTGGCCTCACCTCTCTGAAGAATCTGTGAGTTTCCCCGCACTTAAAAAGTTGCAACCGAAATTTCATTTTCCCCTTTGCAAACAGACAACTCGAGTTCAACCAGCTGACGTGCGTGGACGAGGCGGCCATAAAGGGTCTCAAAGACCTCGAGATTTTGTGAGTGTTGCTACATTTTCCTCTTTCCAACTTTTTTTCTGGCTCTCATTGTAGCAAGACTTTTATTTCATTGTTTTTTGTTTTTTTTTTTCATATATTTCTAAAAAAACGTTTTTATTTTTGCCAAAATATTGTTCAGCTCTTTTTGCATTGTTTTATTGTTTAACAACATAAGCATATGATATATTATTGCGTTCCAATAAAAAACTTCGTTTGCCGTCTCAAATTTTCACATAATATTCTTACTTTTTGTTAATGCATGGAACGAATTTTAAACTAATGACGGTGGAAAAAGAATACTTTTACTTTCCAATAAATTTGAAATTATGCTGTATAAAGTTTATTTTCAAATTGGAATGAGCTTAAGACGTGCAGTTTTGAGTGAATTTATGTGGTTGTTGGCAGGACGCTGAACAACAACAACCTGACGACGCTGGCCAAGGACGTGTTTGAGCCGCTGTTCCGGCTGCGCAGCCTCAAGCTGAGCGACAACAACCTGATTTGTGACTGCCACCTGTCGTGGCTCGCGCGCTGGCTCAAACGTAACCCGCAACTCGCCCCCTACGCCCGCTGCTTCGCCCCCAACCCCCTCAAGGGACAGCCCCTCGTCGAGCTCCACGACAGGGTAAAGTCGCCTTTAATTACAATGAGGGCGATCCAAGCTTGTAATATGGAACATGCCGCATCGCTTGTCCTTTCAATATTTCTTTTTCAAAGACGCTAATTATGCTAAAAAGCAAAAGCCGGACAGTTTAAGAAACAATGAGGGCGATCCAAAAGCCTAACCTGGCCCAGACTAACTTGACTTAGCCCCGGGCTAACTTAGCCCACCAGCAAAATTGAATGGCGGGCTAAATTAGCCCGGGCCAGGTTAATTTAGCCTGGGCCAAGTTAGCCTTTTGGATCGCCCTCATTCATTTTTATCATTCTGCGTCTCAATATCTTTGGTTTGAGCATATGTATTTCAAAAGTCAGTTGAATTTCTTGATTGAATTGGCACTTTTATCATTTGGAAAACAAAATCTTTCAAAGGTTTGTTCGACCTGAAAACTTGGAAATTCGCAGGCAAAATGTGAACCTCGCTCCATGCAAGCTGAACTAAGACTGTCACTAAATGTTTATTGTATAGTATTTTAATTTAATTAGCATGTGTATGTGCTACAAGGTCGATGGCGTGATTTCCGTGGTGCCTCAAAATTTTACAGGGAGACAACTGTGACAATTTTATTGCAATTTTAGATTAAACTGGCCAAGCCGAGCATAAAATTTGCATTGATTCCATTGATTCCATCTTTTAATATAATATTATTTATTTTGTTGACAGGAACTGAAGTGCAGCGGATTGGTGGAGCGGCCGAGTGGTGGGGGTGAGTGCGTTGGGGAGGTGCAGTGTCCCCACCTGTGCCGCTGCGATCAGGGCATTGTTGACTGCCGCGAAAAGGGCCTCGCCAAGGTGCCCACCCACCTGCCGGACGCCGTCACAGAGCTGTGAGTGCCAAGTTCTTTTCCAGCCACTAAAACCTTCTTTGTAAAGCTCAAGGGGGGGGGGGGGAGTAACAATGAGAGTTCTTTATCTATTGTACAAAATAGTCATTTTAATGCAGAAGATTTGCCACAATTTGCATTTCTTGTCTCCTCTGTTCAGAGTTTTGTTGTGGGGCCTCTGGAGGTGTGAATTTATTGAGGGCGATCCAAAAGCCTAACCTGGCCCAGGCTAGCTTGACTTAGCCCCGGGCTAATTTAGCCCACCAGCAAAATTGAATGGCGGGTTAAATTAGCCCGGGCCAGATTAATTTAGCCTGGGCCAAGTTAGCCTTTTGGATCGCCCTCATTGACTTTTAATTTTTGCTGGCAGGCGATTGGAGCAGAACGCGATCACGGAGATCCCAGCGCGCGCTTTCACGCCCTACAAGCGGCTCAGCCAAATGTGAGTTTTCTGCATTTTCTAAAATTCCGTTGCAAAACTTATTATCGCACTTAATTTGCAGTGACCTGAGCAACAACAAGATTGCGCGCATCGCCCCTGACGCCTTCCAGGGTCTCAAAGGCCTCACCTCACTGTGAGTTCTCCTCACTCCTTTTCCCCCGCTCTCCCTAACCGCCTCTTTTTCCAACAGGGTGCTTTACGGCAACAAGATCTCCGAGCTGCCCGCCGGACTTTTCCACGGTCTTTCCAATCTCCAGCTGCTGTCAGTTTTTTTAAATTTCCGAAAGTATGATTTTTAAAAATTGGCAATATTTTGCAGGTTGCTGAACGCCAATGAGATCTCGTGCATCCGGCAAGACGCCTTCAAGGACCTGCACGCGCTCAACTTGCTGTGAGCTTCTTTTTCTGTGTCTTGCGTTTACATTGCTTTTTTTTCTTTTGACAGGTCTCTGTACGACAACAAAATCAGTTCGCTGCGCAACGGCACCTTCGTCTCCCTTCGCAACATCCAGACACTGTGAGTTCCCTCTTTTCCTTTGGATTCCAAAAATCAGTGAGGCTGCATTTTCCACTGAATAATTCATTCTTTAAAAATAATTCAAAAATTCCAGATTGAACGAAATAGCAAAGTTGCTCTCTAATTGAACTGGTAAACCTAAGCTTTAAATTTCATTTGTCAATTCATTATTACTGAAAAGCACATTCCTTAATAGACACCATCATAATTTGCGCCAGATGTTAAGTTTCCTCAAATTGAAGACAATTATCAAAGTCATTCTGTTTGAACAGTTCTTGTTGACCTTGGCTATTTCCATTTTAGTTTGGAAGCAAACATTACCTACTCTGAATATCGTCCAAACGAGGCATCTGATCATCTCACTATGAAGTCTGCGATTTCAAAAAAAAAAAAAAATTTATCCTTTTTAAATTGAGCAAAATTGAATCTTCCTAATTGTTGAGGATTAAGATTCTGGATCTGATAATAGTCGAAAGAATTTTTTTTTAAACGACTAAGATCATTGAAAGTTTCAAAGTCTTAGAGTAGATTAAAAAAGCATGATTCGAGATTTTATAATGGGAAAGTGATTGCCCAAATCCTGATGGTGCATTTTGATAAGTAACGTGGAACGTCGGCAATGATGGGCAACCGAATTTTGTCTAATAAGCTTCAATTGATGTTAAGAAAGATGACCTAATTAAGGAGCTATGCCTATACTTTCCAAAGCCCACCCTCGGAATAAAAAATAATATATGGAGACTTTTCTGAAGTCTAAAATATTCAATAATTGCAAACTTGCTTATATTAAACAATGTGAACTTTCAACTTACATTACTTACCAATTTGGTTGTTATTATTTTTAATATTATTACTTTAAACACTCTATGCAACCAAAATGATTTCAAATGATAATTTTTGTATTTCCAGTTTCTCTATAAAAATAAATAGTTGGGAAAATTCAATGAGGGCGATCCAAAAGGCTAACTTGGCCCAGGCTAAATTAACCTGGCCCGGGCTAATTTAACCCGCCATTCAATTTTGCTGGTGGGCTAAGTTGGACCGGGGCTAAGTCAAGTTAGCCTGGGCCAGGTTAGGCTTTTGGATCGCCCTCAATATAATTTCGAAAGCTAATTTATGCTAAGGGCCTACCTAATGTATCAAACTTGTCTAAATTTTTACTCTTTCCAAGGTCTCGAAATAAGTTTTGTGCCTTATTCTTGAAAGTAGTTGTCAACTTTTAATCAGAAAAATTGTCATCGCTCCCCATTAATGTGTCCAATTGGGGCGCGGTTGATAAGTTTTTGTGTTTGCCACAGGCACCTGGCGCGGAACCCGTTCGTGTGCGACTGCCGGCTGCTGTGGCTGGCCGACTACCTGCGCAAGAACCCGATCGAGACATCGGGGGCGCGCTGCGACTCGCCCAAGAAGATGCAGCGACGCCGCCTCGAGACCATGACCGAGGACAAGATGAAGTGCAGCGAGGCGGCCAAAAAGGCGCTGGCCGACGAGTGCTCAGCCGATGTGCTTGGCTGTCCGGCCGGCTGCAGCTGCCTCGGCACCGTCGTCGACTGCTCTGGCATGCGCCTCACCTCCGTCCCCGCCGACGTCCCCCAGCACACCACCGAACTGTGAGTCTTGTAATTAGGTCATATTTGTTTTTGTTTTAAATAAATTTCCACCAAACGCCTTTTCGCCCTTCCCTGTTGAGATAAAAATTCGATTTCATACTGAACAGGATCAAACATTTTTTTACGTGCCTGCAATTTTTTTTTTTTTTTTTTTAATTGAAAATATAATGAGGGCGATCCAAAAGCCTAACCTGGCCCAGGCTAACTTGACTTAGCCCCGGGCTAACTTAGCCCACCAGCAAAAGTGAATGGCGGGTAAAATATAACCCGGGCCAGATTAATTTAGCCCGGGCCAAGTTAGCCTTATGGATTGCCCTAATTATTTTTGTGAAGTTAAATTTAAACATCCCGTGTAAGCGTCTACTATACAGATTGAAAATCTTTTATCTTGCATAACTTTTGCCATTAAAAAAAAAATATTGAGGGCGATCCAAAAGGCTAACTTGGCCCATGCTAAATCAACCTGGCCCGGGTTAATTTAACCCCCCATTCAATTTTGCTGATGAGCTAAGTTAGCCCAGGCTAGGTTAAGTTAGCCTGGGCCAGGTTAGGCTTTTGGATCGCCCTCAATAATTTTGGCCTCAACAAATTTTAGCCTGACTAAAAAGACAGTGAGTGATTGTGTCAGAGTTGACAGAATTGAGAATTGATAAAATTTCAGGCTGCTGAACGACAACGAGATCTCGGGGGTGGTGGCGGATGGGCTGTTTGGGGGGTTGCCTCATTTGCGCCGCCTCGACCTCAGCCGCAACCGCATAGACGCCGTCGAGCCCAACACCTTCGAAGGTTGCGCCAAACTGCATGAACTGTGAGTACCTGAAGCTGCCCTGAGCGCCCCTCCATTGACCCCCATCCCCTTCGCAGGCTGCTTTCCGGCAACAAGCTGAGCGTGGTCAACAAGAAGTCCTTCCTGGGGCTGAACACCTTGAAGAGGCTCGCCCTGGACGACAACCGCATCTCCTGCGTCGCCCCAGGGTCCTTCGACCACCTCGACGCCCTCCAGACCTTGTGAGTGGCAATTTTCTCTCAAACTTAAGCAGTTTCAAATCCTGCAACTTTCACAAAATCAAAATTTCATAATGTCAAATATCTATCCAAAATTGATGGTGGTTAAAATAGCGTTCAATCTACTTGAAAATGGTATGTTCTGAGAAAACAAAAATTGGAAAATGAGAAAGGGTATTTTAGGGATGGATATATTTGTGTATTCATAATTTTGATTAAATACATTCCTCATCATTAAAATTGCTTTAAAAATTCTATTTATGAACAGGTCACGTTAATTTGATGGTGTTGTTGTGATCGCATTGGTGTTTGTTTGCAGGGAGCTGAAGGGAAACGCGTTCAACTGCAACTGCCACCTGGCGTGGCTGGGCGAGTGGGTGCGGCGCCGCTGGGGCGCCGAGGGCGGCGCCACGGTGCCGACGTGTGCGTCCCCGGCGCGTCTGCGTGGGTCGGCGCTGTCGCAGGTGGCTCCGCACGAGTTCAAGTGTGGAGGCGGCGCCGACGGCGACGCCGGCTGCCTGGGCGCTGACTACTGCCCGCCCAAGTGCGCATGCGCGGGAACCGTGGTGCGGTGCTCGCGCGCCAACCTCACTGTCGTGCCAGACAACCTCCCCCCGGAGACCACCGAACTGTCAGTCCTCACTCTTGCCCGTGCCCTTTCTCACCCTATCTGTTTGCCCTTTCAGGTACTTGGACGCCAACGAGATTCAGACGGTTGAAATCGAAAAGATCAAGCACCTGAAGCACCTCACCAGGCTGTGAGTCTGCTTTTATTTCTAATACACAAACACAAACCTACTTACAAGCGAAAAAGATTGAAAATGGAAACTTTTGTTTAACTTTGGTCTAAAACGCAAAAGTTTGTAGGAATACTTTAATATATTGGAGGAAAGTTGGCATTTTGTGCTCTAATCCAGCCAATTAATCGTAGAAAGGGCTGAAATTCAAATTTTTCACATCGGCCTACATGAAATCAAAATTTATTTAAATTTTTTGATATGAAGTTATTAGAAGAATTTGATCAATTTTATACTTTTTGCTCTTTTGTGCATTTAAATAATAACAAACTTATTCCATACTCCATACTCTAAGTAGTAATAAATTTTTGTCTAAATATCAAAGTCTCAATGCTCTGAATTAATATTTCCAAACAAATTGCTTTAGGTGATTTTCCATTTTAATAGAAATTTAAACGTTTTCAACTTGTTCACAAATTTTGAACGCTTGCAAGTGGTTTAATTTCGGTCAATTATTGCAACACGTGATTTATTTTAATTTCATAAGTTCCACGGCACCATTAATGCAGTGCAACAACTCAAAATTAATAAAAATTTTATCTTTTTGGGTTTGGGGTAAAACAACAGGGGAGAGGAACCTTTTAACACTTAACTATGTTGGTTTCTGCAGTGACCTTAGCAACAACCACATCTCGGTGCTGCCCGACTACGCGTTTGCGTCGCTCTCCAAACTGGCTACATTGTGAGTTTCACTTGCTTTGATTCAAAATTGCCAATCTGAAAACGTTTGCCTAGGATTGTGAGCTACAACAAGCTGCAGTGCATCGAGCCAAACGCACTCAAGGGCCTCAAGTCTCTGCGCATCATGTAAGTAGAGTTGTAAATTGTTCTACAAAAAACTACTCCATGGTCAAACCTTCATTGGTATGGTCATGCTCGGAAGCTATACCATCGGAGAAGTTTGCTGTGGAACAATTTACAAAAGGTCGTGATTGTTTAATTATTATGACCTTTCGCAGATCTCTGCACGGCAACGACATCTCTCTGCTGCAGAACGGCACCTTCGACGACCTCCACTCGCTCACCCACATGTGAGTTTTTAAATTTAAATAGCAACATCGTCTCAGTTTTGAGTCTTCTGCAAATTCAGAGATGTCTTAAACTGTGACCTGCACTCTGGAATTCGGTGGTTAGGTTGTTTCTAATTAAAAAAGTCTTCAGAGTTTCATCTGTTTCGTAAAAGTCACTGATCACTTCAGGGCAGTTGCAACCATCTGAAATCTAGCCTTTTGTAAAAGCGTGTGTTCAATTAATGATTTTTTGTGTTTGTCAATTGCAGCGCGCTGGGGTCAAACCCGTGGTACTGCGATTGCTCTCTGCGCTGGTTGTCCGAGTGGATCAAGCGCGACTTTGTCGAGCCAGGGATCGCGCGGTGCGCCGAGCCTGCGCATGCGCGGCACGAGTTGCTGCTGACTGCGCCTGCGGAGGCGTTTGCTTGCGGTGCGGCGCCGGTGGCGCCGTCTGTGCTGGCCAAGTGCGACGCGTGCTTCCGGTTCCCGTGCGCGAACGGGGGCACGTGTCGGCGCGTCACAGGGCGCGCTTTCGAGTGCGGCTGCGCGCCAGGCTTCCACGGACGCCGCTGCGAGCACATGGTGGACGCGTGCTTCGGCAACCCTTGCGGCAACGCGGCTTCGTGCGTCGTCCTCGAGGAGGGCCGCTTCAGCTGCCAGTGTCCGCCCGGCTTCACCGGCGAGCGCTGCGAGTCCAACATCGATGAGTGCCTCGCCCACAAGTGCCACAACGGCGCCACCTGTCTCGACCTTGTGCAGGCGTACCAGTGCCTCTGCCAGCCAGGATTCACAGGTTCACATTTTGTTATCAAATCTGTTCTTAAGTCGTGCGCATCCAAACTCCAAATATTTAACAATCTTCTTTACCGCACCATCTGTAATTTTTTTACTCTTATTATTTGGATAACCAATTTTTCAGGCAAGTACTGTGAGAAGAAGATCGACTTCTGCACCAAGGAGATGAACCCGTGCAAGAACGGCGCCAAGTGCGTTGACAAGGTAAGAAAAAGTTTCAATAATCTGCCAATCCTACGTTTTGGTTTTTTAACAATCTTGACAGAAGTTTCATTACGATTATTTTTGCATTCAGCGCTGAACTTACTTTTTCATCTTAAAAAGGACAACAGTGCATTATAATTACGTAAGGTTTGTCACAATGATTTGTTTGGAATCAGAATCTCACCATACCAAATACAATTCTTATACGGCTTATACAATACTTATCTTTTATTGATTCTATTAAATTTCTTAGGAATCTTATATTTTGCAAAAACATACATTACAAATGAAATTGTTGTTTGTTGCTTCCGGTTTTGAATTTTCTTGTGACCAGAAAAGTATCAAAACATTTGTTTATTTGTCATAATCAGATATAGCTCTTCATAAAAGAGTTGTATTAATTTGGCTGAAAAACTTCAGAAATCCATATCCTGTAAAAAGCTAAAAAAGTTAAAATTGATATAAAAGCAACATTGATCGTTTTACAGAAATTCCAAAATTGAAACAAATAATCGTATTGAATGGGATAATGAAAGAAGTTGTAATTTATTTAATTTTTGTGTACTCTCTATTCCAAAACCATTTTCAAGATAACAAACCCCCATAACATTCTTGAGGCACAAACTTGTAAGAAACGGGGGGGGGGGGGGAACATATGGAATAAACTGTTGTCATAAACAGGATAGAAAATTGGCACTCGTTTATTTCCATGTTTATTCCAGCTTCTAGACAAGGATGTTTATAGCCAAGTTTATTCCGTGTTTGTTTCCAAGTTTATGCCATATGGTTTGTACACCAGTTTATGTTCACCCTCCCCTTTGTGATCCTCTTGTTTATTCCCTAGTTTATGTGAAAGCTTACCTCCCCTTATTTTAGTTTATGACCATGTTTATGCTTTTTGCGGGTTGCATAAATTCAAATCAGCTCACATTTTTTAATTAGTAATAAATGGTCTTTATTTCATAACAAAATAAAAATACAAAGTGCAATAAAAAAAATCATAATATTAATTAACAGGTAACATATTAATCTTTTTCTCAGCATTTCCTTAAATTTCATGACGTACGACATAATTTTTAAATTGAGATAATTAAGCAACACTCGGTCAGTTATATTGAGGGCGATCCAAAAGGCAAACTTGGCCCAGGCTAAAATAACCTGGCCCGGGCTAATTTAACCTGCCATTCAATTTTGCTGGTGGGCTAAGTTAGCCCGGAGCTAAGTCAGGTTAGCCTGGGCCAGGTTAGGCTTTTGGATCGCCCTCATTAACTTTGGAATTAAGCTCACTGCTCACCTCAAAAGATAAAACGATTCGATCAATCCGGTCCTCACGTTATGCTTCTTCTGAATCAAGTTTATTATCGAATATTCCCGTTCGTCTTTGATGCAATCAAGTTGTTGAATTAATTCACATGTTAATGTGAAGAAAAAAAGAATGGCGGGCGAAAAGTTTCATCGTCAAACTTTTTACTTTTGTTGATGACCACCTTAGCTGATGAGTTACGAAGCTATTTTGGTTTGTTTTCTTGCCATAGTCAAGCGCGTTGACACATTTACGCAAACAAACCTGAATTCCAGTTGGGGGGCTTTTGTAGTTGTTTGGTAGGGCTCATATGGGCCCTCTCCCCCCTTGAGACCAATTTTAGTAATGCCCCGACCTTGCTGCGAAAAGCTCTTACAATAAGACGCAGGCATGATGTGTTGTGACCTCTCTTTCTCTCTCTCTATTTGAGTTTTCCTAAATTTTTCTTTTTTTTCATTTTGCCTGTTACTTTAAAATATAATGAAACTTCTCATCAATAATGAATTTTTACGAAATGATAAAGACAATTTGAGCCGTGTGAATTTGTTATGAAACTTCGTCGTTGTTGCAGGGAACGAGCTACAGCTGTGAGTGCCTGGCGGGCTTCAGTGGGTCCAACTGCAGCGTGGACGTGGACGACTGCGTGAACCATATGTGCCAGAACGGGGGCACGTGCGTGGACCAGGTGTCGGGCTACACGTGCGCGTGTCCCAGCGACTTCTCGGGAAAGTTCTGCGAGGTGAGTCCGATGGTGGCGATGTTGTACCCGGCGACGTCGCCGTGCCAGCAGCACGACTGCAAGCACGGCATTTGCCACCAGCCCAACATGGAGTCGAATGAGTACCTGTGCCGGTGCGCGCCAGGCTACTCGGGCAAGCGGTGCGAGTACCTGACGTCGGTGTCGCTGCGCCACAACGCCAGCTTCGTCGAACTCGAGCCGCTGAGCACGCGGCCGGCGGCCAACGTCACCGTCCGCTTCTCCACTGCCCAGCAAAGCGGCGTCCTCCTCTACGACGGCGAACATCAACACCTCGCCGTCGAGCTCTTCCACGGCAGAATCAGGGTCAGTATATCATTCAAACCAAGGATCTCGTTCATTTACAATTCGATTTGTTTATTCATATCGAATATCCTTAACAATTAAAAAGCCAAGCACTCACTTGACGTGTTGTTTGTAGGTGAGTTTTGACGTTGGCAACTACCCGGTGTCGACGATGTACAGCTTCGAGCAGCTGGCCGACGGGCGGGTGCACACGGCCGAGTTCCTGCTCGAGGGCAAGAACTTTACTTTGCGCGTGGACCAGGGCAGGGCGCGCTCGATCATCAACGCCGGCGACAAGGACTTCTTGCGACTCACATCGCCGCTGTTTCTGGGGGGCGTGCCCGCCGAGGTGGGCGGGGCCGCCTTCCAGCAGTGGCACCTGCGCAACCTGAGCAGCTTCAGCGGCTGCCTGCTCGACGTCTGGGTCAACCGCAAGCCTGTCGACTTCGGCAACGCCGCCCGCATGCACAAGGTCACGCCGGGCTGCGCCCACCTGCTGCCTCCCGAGTTTGACGCCGCCCCAGACGCCCACCTTCAGCCGCGCGCACAGCCCGATGACCTCCTCAAGGCAAAGAAAACCAGGTCTGTATACAATCGTACTTCACTTTTTTCGATTGCAAACGAAATTTGGGACCTTTCACCATTGATCTAACAATAAGATGAATCGGCCAGTTTTTTTTTTAAAGCACTACTCTGATTTTTAGATTAATACTAAAAATAGCGCCATTCTGATTTTCTGAGACTATATGTAGAATTTAATATCGGCAACTCGGCAACATTTTGTCCAATTCCACGGAAAAAAATCCAAGTTACGATTCTGAAAGAAAAATGGCATTGAAAACCAAAAAGGCATTTTATACTGACCTTTTTATCCTAGGTGTTTTTGGTCAATATTAAAGTTGTTCGGGATGAAAAATTAAAGGTCTAGCGGTGAAAACTGAATTGATCAAGCAAGACCCCTTAAAAATAATGAGGGCGATCCAAAAGCCTAACCTGGCCCAGGCTAACTTGACTTAGCCCTGGGCTAACTTCGCCCACCAGCAAAATTGAATGGCGGGTTAAATTAGCCCAGGCCAGGTTAATTTAGCCTGGGCCAAGTTAGCCTTTTGGATCGCCCTCAATATCCAAAAAATGTATTGCGATCAGCAAAAACGCATCATGTTAATTTCAAACGATAACATCTCTCAAACTAAAAATAATTCCATCGCAAAATTAACTGACCCAGATGTAGAACTTCACAGCCTTAATTTTTTTGCCTGAACGCTAACAATTGTTAATATTGATATAAATAAATCTACTTTTTTGGAGGAAATTTGCCTTGAAAACAAAACACATTTTAATTAACTTGATGACCTTTGACCAACGTCAATTTGGTCAACAGCAGGCTGTCCAGAACAAAAAGTTACCTCCATGGGTGAAAATTTCATGGCTCTTAAATTGATACGAGCAAAGTTGTAAGCATTTTAGAGTTTAATTAGCTTACTCTTTTTGACAAAAAGTTTCTAAAAGTATTTAAAATTATGGTCTCAAAATTTGGTCAAAGTTTCTCATGAACTCTAAACATATCTAAAAATCAGAGTGGTTCTCGTAACAAAAAATCTGTCCAATTCATCTTAAATCATTCGCAAAGTGAAGTCTCTTGACTAAATTTTGAAAAAAAAAATTTCGAGTACTTTTTAAAATATCCGGGAATTTCGAAAAAACCCAAAATTGCGTTTATCTTTGCTCCTATTGAGTTTAGAGCAATGCACAGTAGGCAACTTTTTATTCCGAACAACTTTTCTATTGGTCAAAATGTTCTAGGTCAAAGGTCAAGGTCACTAAAATGCATTTTAAATTTTATAAGCAATTTTTCTCAGAGAAGCATACCTTGGATTTTTCCGTGTTATATATATAGGAAAAAATGAAGCCCATGAAATTCAGCATCTGGTCGGTGAAAATCATGATGGCGTTTTTTTTTTTTGCCTTAAATATTTTTTAACTGCGTTCTCGTCAAAACGCGTTATTTTGAATTGTGATAGTTTTGATGTAAATAATGGAGTAAGAAAAATGCGGTCTTCACTATCCACCCTAATTTTTTATTTTGATCATCAATTGACCAAAAACCAAAATGACCTAGGTCCAAGGTCATGGTCACTTAAATGCATTTTTAGTTTTTTAAAGCCATTTTTCTCAAAGAAATTCAGAATGGCGTTATTTTTAGTTTTGAAGGTATGTAAATATGAATTAAAAAAGTGCGCTCTCGACCGTATACTTTTATTGTAAAACATGCCTTTTTAAATACTTATTTACATACCATTCAAACTAAATATATCGCCATTGAGATTTTCACCGACCAAATGCAAAATTTCATGGACTACATTATTCCTATACCACGGAAAAAATCCAAGGTATGCTTCTTTGAGAAAAATTGCTTTAAAAATTTAAAATGCATTTTAGTGACCTAGAACTTTGACCTAGGTCATTTTGGCCAACAGAAAAGTTGTTCAGAATAAAAAGTTGCTGATTATGGTGAAAACCGCATTGCTCTCAACTCAATAGGAGCAAAGTTCAACGCAATATTGGGTTTTTCAAAATTCCCGGATATTTCAAAAAGTACGCAAAATTTTTATTATAAATTTAGTCAGAGACTCCTCTCATTGACCCCAATAACATTCGTGAAAACTTTGATGATCGCGGCAACAAAGAAGTTTTTAACAATTAGGGGTCAATTATTCTCCATTTTCTTGATTTAATTACCTGCCGATTGATTGACCTTTTGTGGCAGCTTCGACCGGGCGGCGTCCAAACTGGCATCAGCGGGCGGTTGTGAGGTCAGCCGGTGTCGTCATGGCAAGTGCGTGGCGCCGCGCGGCGCCGCCGACTACTCTTGCGTTTGCGACAAGGGATGGACTGGCGTCTTCTGCGATCAAAGTGAGAATTGAAATTTTTATTAAACCTTGCGATTTCTTCAACTAAATCACGTCTTATTGTGGCGTTTCTTTTTTTGACCATCAACGCCCAAATGAACTGCTACGAGTACTTGTTTAAGTCTCTCAATTTTTCACCAATTAATGTGCAAATTTTGACACCAGAGTTTCTGTTTTGTGCAATTCAATGTGCTGATTTCACATTGATTTGACTAATTTAAGGGTTACAGCATAATTATATTTCACTCCCAAGTGTCTTTAAATATTCCTGAATGAATATTGAGGGCGATCCAAAAGCCTAACCTGGCCCAGGCTAGCTTGACTTAGCCCCGGGCTAATTTAGCCCACCAGCAAAATTGAATGGCGGGTTAAATTAGCCCGGGCCAGATTAATTTAGCCTGGGCCAAGTTAGCCTTTTGGATCGCCCTCATTGAAAATTTCCATGAATTACCAAAATGTAATAATCGCATTGATGTTAAATTAGACGTGTCGGATTTTTTTTTCAGCAACGGCAGGTGCGGCGGCGGCAGGTTCTGGAGGCGGTGGGGGCGGCACGTGTCGTAAGGAGATGTCGCGCGACTATTACGTGGAGAACGGGTGCCGGTCGCGCAAGCCGCTCAAGCTGGCGCGGTGCGAGGGAGGGGGCTGCGTGGGCGGTGGTGGGGGGTGCTGCCGACCGCGCAAGAGCAAGCGGCGCAAGGTGCGGCTCATCTGCAATGACGGCACCCGCTACATCCGGGATGTCGACATGGTGCGCAAGTGCGGCTGCGCCAAAAAGTGCTTTTGAATCCCCTTGCTCGCCCCGACCCCGCGCAGTACAAACCCCGCCCTCAGCCACTGCCCGCGAAAGACTGCCCTCAAGGTTCGGCCTCGCATTTTCTCTTTGCCAAGCTTCCCATCGCGCTTTAAGTTTCGATTCATGTAAATATCTGATGAATACTCCGGCGAAAGCAACTGAAGGCAAAAGTATTAATTACCTCACGACGATGATTTAGATGCATAACGAGCTAATATATTATATATATATAAATAAATATAAAAACGTATAATATAAATATATATAACTATGTATACACACATATATTATAAACACATTTATACATTCGCGTATCTCTCTTGTATGTGTTCCAATCTGATATAAACATTGTTGTCTCGAGTCTTGGCCCTAATCAATTACCGTGTTGTTAAGTTGTTGATTGTTTCCGTCTCATAGAAATAACCAAATTTTGTACCAATTCACTATGGTCAGAAACATTCGATACAGAAAAAACATTTCTTTATTCTTGCTCCCCGCCGATAACGTTTAGCTTCATTTGTTTCATATTCATCACTTTTCGTCATAAAAAGCAGCTAAAATACTTAATGAATGTTGGTCCGTCTCGTCCCAGACAATCAAATGTTATCTTTGCACACCTTCAATGTGATTTCAGGTTATTTTTCTTTTCGACCCCATTTTCCCATTTTATGATTATTTTCAGTTCAATTTTACTCTCTGATTTGATGGCGTCCATGAGTGAATTTCACTACGATATATTAATGTTAATGTGAAATTTCAATGCAAATTGTCTCCTATTGTATGGCGAAACAAATAAATATATAGTAAGTAAAACTAACTCTCAACTGCGGCGCGTTTTCATTTTTTCAAACCCGGCCGTGCGCACTTCCTGATGGAGCGGAAATTTGGTGCTGGTGACGCGGGGCCGTCACTGCTCTGCACATCCACTTGAAGAGAAGTTCTTCAAGCGAAAAATAACATGGGCTAAAGGTACCGTTTTTGCTTCAGCGAAGTGGAAAGATGCGTCTGCTTTTTAGCAACCCCCTGCTGCTGCCACTGCTATGTCTGGTGCGTACCCTTGAAAGGTTGGCTCACTGATGACCTTGTCCTCAATTTACCTACCTCGGGAACCCTAATGAGTCTGCTCCTTTCGATAATTTGACCAAAAAGGAAAACATATGCGACTCAATGCAAGCCGCAAAAATAAACAAATCTTAATGACTGACTTTATAAATTTTGGCCAAAAATTGTTATCTGCTTATGGATCTTTGAATACAGTGAAACTTGAATAAATTTTTTTATTCTAACCACATGTTACGATTTTAAAGTTGGATGTAATAAATAATTACAGCATATTCATAAACTATAAAATTTGAAGCTCTCTTGGCAATGACGGTTAATTCTTTAGTCATTTTCTAACACCGCGGTTAAAATCGCACTTATTGCTAATTATTTTATTGCTTAAGCTTTTCCTTTTCCTCACAATTAAAATTACATAAAATTAGTAGCCAACGATCGATCATTTCCATCGACTACAAATACAAGTAGAGTGTGTATTATATCACAAATTATCCACTGCAGAGTCTGCAGACTGAACTCCTTATTTATACGCACAGTATAATTTATAATTATCACAAATTTGTAATACAATGGAAATATTTTAATACTCTTTTCATGAGCCATAAAAAAATCCGCGCTTAACTAAGGGAGAGCGAGAGACTTGAAATGTGCATAAGTAACAAAACCAACTCTTTTTCTTGCAGGAAATTTTGGGTGCACAGCAAGTTATCAACGTTCGAGCGGTCCTTTCTGGTAATCTCACTTATTATAAATGCAGAGACTTATTTTTTTTTACATTTTAATTTGTTTATTCTGAATATCCTGGATTCATGGAAGTTCAAGTTAGTTGCAACGTTAACGTTAAAATTGAACCGATTTTTGTGTGACAATTGACAACCATTAGATAATTCCGCAAGTTTAAAAATAAAAATCCTTAACTTTTGAGAGTAAATTTGTAATTTCATATAAAAAACCCATTAGATAATTTTTCATACAAATCATGAACTAAAACTTTCACGATGTTTTTTTTTTTTTTTTTTAATTTTTGCACTGAATTGTGCAATTTTTGTGTGTATGACACCATATCATATTGCTTTGAGAAAAAAATCATCCAGCAAATTGAACGCTATTATGCTTAATAATGTTTTTATTTCCAACATTAATCTAAATGTGGAACAGAAAACATTATATATGAGAATAAAAAAGTTGGGAAAAAGTACCTGAAATGGCCGGAACATGAAGTTATTATTTTATGATTTATGATAAATTAAGGCTCTCAAAATCTTGAAGTTCAAGTTGAGAAAATACGCAAAAAATAAACGACTGAGTTTAATTCTTTTCAGGGGTGTCGAGTTTGTCGTCGGTGCGACTGTCACTGAGGTCCCGACGCGTATACGTGGTGCGTTGCTGCGGTGGACGCTCTTGCCTTGAGACCAAGCCACGTAACGACACGGAGATCGTCTACCAATACGTGAGTTCAAATCATATAAAGTACATCTCTCTCGCTATTTCAACCGGCCCTAGCGCGCTGCTTGACGAAAAGACAAGATATGGCAGAGAAAGGAGAGTGAGAGTAGTAAATTTAAACGATAAAGTTGGTTTGATTGCATTCAATTCAAAATTGAGTAATTATGTAGAAAAATACTTCTTGTCAAAGGTTTCCATACATACTTTATTCGCATTGTCAAAAAAATAGAATCTCTCCTTTCTCTGACCTACTGTATCTTGCGCTATGAATTTCGTCAAGAAGTAACCTGGAAGCAGGAAGACGACTACGGGGAGGACGGCAACGCGACGACAAGCGGAGGGACGTCGAATGCTGCAGAGGAATTCACAGACACAACCAGCGGGGAGGAGACGACAGCCTCCGCCGAAGAGACCAGTCCATCCGAGGAAACCACCCCCACGGAAGGCGAAACTACCCCTGAGGCTGAGACAACGATCGGCGACGGGACGTCGGCCTCCAACGCAGCCCTTCGTGTCGCCCCTGACGCCAGGAACATGCAGGCACGCCTGCTGCACTTTGTCAAGGCCCTACCCCCTTCTACTGATAAGGCTCCCACTTCTAGGGGGACGCCTCCAGCTGTGATCACCACTTTGTCCACCACTACGACGACCCCTCCAGCAACCTCCCCTCCTACGTCACCTGCGTGGGAGCAGTCGACGACAATAGCAGTCCTCAAGGCGTTGCTGGCGCCACCTTCGACGCCACCAGGGGCCACTGAGCGCGTCGCCTCTCTCCATGATGCCCTCCAATTCACCCCTGAACCCCTTTTCAACCCACTCGCAAATTGACGATTGACGTTCCATGCACCAACTTACCTTATCCATTCCGTCTCATTTATTTCAACAATACACACGCCTAATTGTGCATTGTTTTTTTTCTCTCTGAAAGCCTTTGGAATTATTTTGTGAATTTAAGTTTAACCTGTGGAGTAGACCTTTTCTTAATTTAATGTTACAATCTGATCAGATATTTGTTTGGAATCTGAACTTGTTTCATGTTTATATGCAGCAAATAAAAACGGTGACCTATTTAAAATTCGCTAATTTTTTGACATTTCAGCCTTCATCCAAGATTATTGAAATAAATAATGTAATTTAATTTAGTTAAATGACCTTTCTATTTAATTAAATATAAAAAATGTAGCGTTGGAAAATTTTAAAGTCATTTTAATGGTTTATGATGGAAGTAACGGTGCATTGAATTTGCAAGTTTAGCGTCTGGGAGGGTGTTTTGGTCGCCGATTGTGGCGAACGGTTTGTTGTAGGGATTCGCAGGGGGTCGGCAGCATTGTTGTTGGAAAGTAGGCAAAAAGTTGTACTAGATATCGCTATTGGGGAGTTGTAGGGGAGTTCTGGAGGGGCTGTAGGGGGCCGTCGAAGAAGGGAAATTTTTTTTGTAATTTTTGTAGGTAGTATGCATGGTAATGTTATAGTACGCGCGACGTGTTTTTTCATAGGTTGGCAACATTTGTGCTCCCATGTAAAAGTATCACGTCGCGCGTTCGATAGTGGTTTTACGTCGCGCATACAATAATGGTTTTACGTCGCGCGTACGATACTGGTGGCGGTATAATTGTTAAGAAAATCTTTATTAAATTTTATTGTTCAGGCGCATTAAATGACTTCAATCAAACGCGCTGGCCAAACCGAGGCAATATTGAGAGTTGGATTCAAGGTGAAAATCATGAATTTTATTTAATACATTATTCCACTACATCTTTATTAAATTTTATTGTTCAGGCGCATTAAATGACTTCAATTGAACGCGCTGGCCAAATCGAGGCAATATTGAGAGTTGGATTCAAGGTGAAAATCATGAATTTTATTTAATACATTATTCCACTACATCTTTATTAAATTTTATTGTTCAGGCGCATTAAATGACTTTAATCAAACGCGCTGGCCAAACCGAAGCAATATTGAAAGTTGGATTCAAGGTGAAAATCATGAATATTATTTATTTCATTATTCCACTACATCTTTATTAAATTTTATTGTTCAGGCGCATGAAATGACTTTAATCAAACGCGCTGGCCAAACCGAGGCGATATTGAGAGTTGGATTCATGGTGAAAATCATGAATTTTATTTTTTTTCATTATTCCACTACATCTTTATTAAATTTTATTGTTCAGGCGCATTAAATGACTTTAATCAAACGCGCTGGCCAAACCGAAGCAATATTGAAAGTTGGATTCAAGGTGAAAATCATGAATTGTATTTTTTTCATTATTCCACTACATCTTTATTAAATTTTATTGTTCAGGCGCATGAAATGACTTAAATCAAACGCGCTGGCCAAACCGAGGCAATATTGAGAGTTGGATTCATGGTGAAAATCATGAATTTTATTTTTTTCATTATTCCACTACATCTTTATTAAATTTTATTGTTCAGGCGCATAAAATGACTTAAATCGAATGCGCTGGCCAAACCGAGGCAATATTGAAAGATTAATTCATGGTGAAAATCATGAATTGTATTTTTTTCATTATTCCACTACATCTTTATTAAATTTTATTGTTCAGGCGCATAAAATGACTTTAATCGAAGGCGCTGGCCAAACCGAAGCAATATTGAAAGTTGGATTCAAGGTGAAAATCATGAATTTTATTTTTTTCATTATTCCCCTACATCTTTATTAAATTTTATTGTTCAGGCACATGAAATGACTTCAATCAAACGCGCTGGCCAAACCGAGGCAATATTGAAAGATAAATTCATGGTGAAAATCATGAATTTTATTTTTTTCATTATTCCACTACATCTTTATTAAATTTTATTGTTCAGGCGCATTAAATGACTTCAATCAAACGCGCTGGCCAAACCGAGGCAATATTGAGAGTTGGATTCAAGGTGAAAATCATAAATTTTATTTTTTTCATTATTCCACTGCATCTTTATTAAATTTTATTGTTCAGGCGCATTAAATGACTTCAATCAAACGCGCTGGCCAAACCGAGGCAATATTGAGAGTTGGATTCAAGGTGAAAATCATAAATTTTATTTTTTTCATTATTCCACTGCATCTTTATTAAATTTTATTGTTCAGGCGCATTAAATGACTTTAATCGAAGGCGCTGGCCAAACCGAAGCAATATTGAAAGTTGGATTCAAGGTGAAAATCATGAATTTTATTTTTTTCATTATTCCCCTACATCTTTATTAAATTTTATTGTTCAGGCGCATGAAATGACTTAAATCAAACGCGCTGGCCAAACCGAGGCAATATTGAAAGATAAATTCATGGTGAAAATCATGAATTTTATTTTTTTCATTATTCCACTACATCTTTATTAAATTTTATTGTTCAGGCGCATTAAATGACTTCAATCAAACGCGCTGGCCAAACCGAGGCAATATTGAGAGTTGGATTCAAGGTGAAAATCATAAATTTTATTTTTTTCATTATTCCACTGCATCTTTATTAAATTTTATTGTTCAGGCGCATTAAATGACTTCAATCAAACGCGCTGGCCAAACCGAGGCAATATTGAAAGTTGGATTCAAGGTGAAAATTATGAATTTTATTTATTTCATTATTCCACTACATCTTTATTAAATTTTATTGTTCAGGCGCATGAAATGACTTTAATCAAACGCGCTGGCCAAACCGAGGCAATATTGAGAGTTGGATTCATGGTGAAAATCATGAATTTTATTTTTTTCATTATTCCACTACATCTTTATTAAATTTTATTGTTCAGGCGCATTAAATGACTTCAATCAAACGCGCTGGCCAAACCGAGGCAATATTGAAAGTTGGATTCAAGGTGAAAATTATGAATTTTATTTATTTCATTATTCCACTACATCTTTATTAAATTTTATTGTTCAGGCGCATGAAATGACTTTAATCAAACGCGCTGGCCAAACCGAGGCAATATTGAGAGTTGGATTCATGGTGAAAATCATGAATTTTATTTTTTTCATTATTCCACTACATCTTTATTAAATTTTATTGTTCAGGCGCATTAAATGACTTCAATCAAACGCGCTGGCCAAACCGAGGCAATATTGAGAGTTGGATTCATGGTGAAAATCATGAATTTTATTTTTTTCATTATTCCACTACATCTTTATTAAATTTTATTGTTCAGGCGCATAAAATGACTTAAATCACACGCGATGGCCAAACCGTGGCAATATTGAGAGTTGGATTCAAGGTGAAAATCATGAATTTTATTTATTTTATTATTCCACTACATCTTTATTAAATTTTATTGTTCAGGCGCATAAAATGACTTAAATCGAATGCGCTGGCCAAACCGAGGCAATATTGAAAGATTAATTCATGGTGAAAATCATGAATTTTATTTTTTTCATTATTCCACTACATCTTTATTAAATTTTATTGTTCAGGCGCATAAAATGACTTTAATCGAAGGCGCTGGCCAAACCGAGGCAATATTGAAAGATTAATTCATTGTGAAAATCATGAATTTCCTTTTTTTCATTATTCCACTACATCTTTATTAAATTTTATTGTTCAGGCGCATTAAATGACTTAAATCAAACGCGCTGGCCAAACCGAGGCAATATTGACAGTTGGATTCATGGTGAAAATCATGAATTTTATTTTTTTCATTATTCCACTACATTTTTATTAAATTTTATTGTTCAGGCGCATTAAATGACTTCAATCAAACGCGCTGGCCAAACCGAGGCAATATTGAAAGATAAATTCATGGTGAAAATCATGAATTTTATTTTTTTCATTATTCCACTACATCTTTATTAAATTTTATTGTTCAGGCGCATTAAATGACTTCAATCAAACGCGCTGGCCAAACCGAGGCAATATTGAGAGTTGGATTCAAGGTGAAAATCATAAATTTTATTTTTTTCATTATTCCACTGCATCTTTATTAAATTTTATTGTTCAGGCGCATTAAATGACTTCAATCAAACGCGCTGGCCAAACCGAGGCAATATTGAGAGTTGGATTCAAGGTGAAAATCATAAATTTTATTTTTTTCATTATTCCACTGCATCTTTATTAAATTTTATTGTTCAGGCGCATTAAATGACTTTAATCGAAGGCGCTGGCCAAACCGAAGCAATATTGAAAGTTGGATTCAAGGTGAAAATCATGAATTTTATTTTTTTCATTATTCCCCTACATCTTTATTAAATTTTATTGTTCAGGCGCATGAAATGACTTAAATCAAACGCGCTGGCCAAACCGAGGCAATATTGAAAGATAAATTCATGGTGAAAATCATGAATTTTATTTTTTTCATTATTCCACTACATCTTTATTAAATTTTATTGTTCAGGCGCATTAAATGACTTCAATCAAACGCGCTGGCCAAACCGAGGCAATATTGAGAGTTGGATTCAAGGTGAAAATCATAAATTTTATTTTTTTCATTATTCCACTGCATCTTTATTAAATTTTATTGTTCAGGCGCATTAAATGACTTCAATCAAACGCGCTGGCCAAACCGAGGCAATATTGAAAGTTGGATTCAAGGTGAAAATTATGAATTTTATTTATTTCATTATTCCACTACATCTTTATTAAATTTTATTGTTCAGGCGCATGAAATGACTTTAATCAAACGCGCTGGCCAAACCGAGGCAATATTGAGAGTTGGATTCATGGTGAAAATCATGAATTTTATTTTTTTCATTATTCCACTACATCTTTATTAAATTTTATTGTTCAGGCGCATTAAATGACTTCAATCAAACGCGCTGGCCAAACCGAGGCAATATTGAGAGTTGGATTCATGGTGAAAATCATGAATTTTATTTTTTTCATTATTCCACTACATCTTTATTAAATTTTATTGTTCAGGCGCATAAAATGACTTAAATCACACGCGATGGCCAAACCGTGGCAATATTGAGAGTTGGATTCAAGGTGAAAATCATGAATTTTATTTATTTTATTATTCCACTACATCTTTATTAAATTTTATTGTTCAGGCGCATAAAATGACTTAAATCGAATGCGCTGGCCAAACCGAGGCAATATTGAAAGATTAATTCATGGTGAAAATCATGAATTTTATTTTTTTCATTA